TTACTAAAAGTACTTTTAAAAGGGTGGAATTTAATATAATATATAAGAATATTTTATATAAGTTAATTAGTATAAAAGGTAATAAACTTATTAATATTATAAAAATATTATTTATTAGTTTAAATAGCTTATTAATATTATTTAACTTTTAAATATAATAAAAGTAAATCCTTATTTATATTTATAATATAAATAGAAATAATTTAATTTATAATTTGCTAATTAATTATTTAAATACCTATATTATTTTTAATAGGCAACTTTCCCTTTATAAACCAAGCATATTTAATATTAATATTAAGCCTAATTAGTTATTAAGGGCTTGGATAAATAACTTTATATTTAGCTTGTCTATTAATATTACTAGAAAATATAATAAAGGGTTTATAAAAATAAAATTATAAAGTTAGAATTATTATTATAAAAAAAAGAAGAAAAGGAGTTAAAAGTTGTATAAAAAGAAAAAAAAGTTTAAATAATAATTAAAAGTAATAAAAAGCTATAAAAAAAAAGCTAGTAATTTACTTAATTTTACTAATTACTTAAATAGGTAACTATTTAAAATAAGCTAGTAATAATTTTAATTACTTATAAGCTAGTAATTTAAAATATAACTTTTAACTTAATATAATTAATTTTAATTTTTTTCCTTTTAATAACTACTTTATAAAAGAGGTTACAAGAAATTTTTAATAGCTATTAATAATAAAATTTAAATAATTTTTCTTTTAAATATTAAATAAAAAAGGTTATTTACTTTTATTACTATTAAATATATTTAACTTTAATTGCCATAATAAAAGCCTTGATTATTTATAGCCCTTTTATTAATAATTTTTATAATACTTTTTTTTTTAATTAATTATATAACATTTCTTAAAGTTGCAAGCTTTTTTTATATATAAAATTTCTTTTATTATTTAAATTTATTTACCCTATTATTTAATATATTATTATTAAATAAACTTTTAACCCTTTTATTAAACTATATATTAGCTTAAAATTACTTTAATATAATATTTTTAAAAAGTAGCGGATAAAATAATTTATATATTTTTATATTTATTTAAATAATAATAAAATTTTAAAAAACTTAAATATTATATAATTAATTTAGCAAGTTTTATATTTGGTTAAATTTATTAAAAATATTTTTCTTTTTATATAAATATAACCTTAAGGCCTTAAATAAAGTATATTATTAACTACTTTTTTTTAATTTGCTAGTAAAAAATAAATATAAAAATAAAGTTTATAATACCTACTTAGTAAAATATTTTATACTTTTTATAAGCTAGAAGAATTTATTTTAAATAATTAAAATTAATTAATATTTATATTTAAGCTAAAATAGGTTTTTAATTAATATTTATAAAATGTGGCCTATATTATTAATATTATAATTAAACTTATTAATAAGGAAAAATATAATAATTAGAAATATAATGCCCAACTTAAAAATAAACAACTAGTTACTTTTATTATTTATATAGCTATTAATAAATACTATATATTTTGCTAGGCTAATTATAAATTTAAAAATTTTTATAATTAATTTAAATTATAAAGGCCATAAAAGCTTTTAATAATTATTATATATAGCTAAATAACTCTATTTGCATATATTTAAATAAAGGAATTATAAAGTATCTGCCTAATATAATATATTTGTTAAATATTACATAATTTTAAAAATATTTAATAATAGCCTTTATATTATTAATAACTTTTAAATGCTTTTTTAAAAATTAAAAATTATTCTACTTAAAGGCTTTTATAAATATATAAATTAAATAAAAGCCTTTTATTTATAATAAACCTTATTTAAAATATAAAAATAAAAAAATATAATAAAAATATAATAGTTATAGCCATTTAAATAAAACTTAAAAGTAAAGGCCATTAATTTTGCTAGCTTAAAAAACTATAAGTTTTTAAATAAAGTAAATATTATAAAAAAAATAATACTTTTAAAATAAAAGTTATTTTTATACTTAATTACAAACTAGTTCCTTAATTTAATTTATTTATTTTTAAGCTTTTTATTAAAAATAAAGTTAACCTATTTAGCTATAAAAAACGCTTAATTTTAATTATAATTATATATTATTTTATAATTAGCTAATAATTTAAATTTTACTAAAAACTTAAAGTGCTATTAAAACTTTAATTTATATAATTATTAAACTTGCTAGCCTATATTTTATTTTAAAATAATTTTTTAAAAACTTTATTATTAAATATATTTATATAAAGCTTTATAATAAAAGCAAAAATTAATACTTTTAAATATTATTTATATATATAAAAGCGTTTTTAAGCTAAATAACTTCTATAAAAGCTATATATAAAAATAAGTGCTTATTATATGCCTCTAAAATATAAAATATTATCCTTTTATTACTAGTAATAATAATAATAATTAATTTATATAATTTTTATAGTTTCTAAGCCAATTAATGCCACTTTTATTATAACAGCTAATATTAGCTTATTATTAATTTAATTATTCTATTAGCTATTTTTTTAACTATAAGGATTATAAATACTACCTTTATTTAAATACTTTAACTTTATTTATAATTAAAATAAAAACATAATATTTACTAATAAATAAATTATAACATTAATTTTTAAAAATAAGCCTATATAAAAGCCAAAAAGACTAAAATATAAAATATAGTTTAAAAATTAAATAGAAACTTATAAAAATAATAATATATTTTATAGCTTTTAGCATATTAATTTTATTCTTAAAACCTAATTTTATTTATTTTTTATATTTATATTATAATATTTTTTAATACTTTTTTTAATATTCTTTATTTATATAGGTATTAAACCTATATTATTATTTACATATTTGAACATATATATATTAGTAAAGGTATAAATTAGTAAGGGCCTTTATACCTATAAATACCCTATATAAAAAAATATCTACTTACCCCTTTTTTAGGTAATTAAAAGAATTTAATCCTTTTTTATTTTTTTTTTAAATATATTTAAATTAAGAAATTTTTACTATCTCCTTTTATTCCGCGCAAGCGCTTCTTTGGGCCTGTAGTTAGCCGCTTAACTAGCCTACTTGCACTCTAATTTAATATATAATCTAAAAGGTTTAAAAGGTAAAGGTAAAAGGTTTTAAAAGGTAAAGATAAAGGGTTTTAAAAGGGGTATTAAAAGAGGTTTAAAAAGAGTTTAAAAAGGGCTTATATTAAAAGTATTAAAAATTTAAAGAATCTTAATTAAATATATAGTTTTATATAGGCCCTATATATAAATTCTTATATTAAGTAAGTAGTTAAAAAAATTAAGTGAGTAGATATAATTATTAAGTGAGTAGATATTAACTTTAAATTATAAGTATTAATTTTAAGTAAAATATAAATAAAAAGTTAATATTAAATATTATATTAAATATTTATTAATTTTATATACTTTATTTTTTAAATATTATAATAGTTTATAAGTTAATATTATTAAAGAAATAAAATTATAAAGTAATTAAAACTATATAAAAATATTTATTAATATTATAATAATATTTTTAAAATAAATAATAAGATATCTCTATTGAACTAACTAATAGGTCTTATAAAAATAGTTAGTCTAGTAGTGTGATGTGGAAATAGATATTAACATACTGGACCGCTGAAAGTTTTTTTTGAGAACCTTTTGGTTTCAAATCGAAATGGGTAGCAAACTTTGCTGGCGATTCTCAGTATCTTGGCCTAGTCGGTCGCTTATGCTTTGCCTTGGGAAAGACGGGATGAAGATCTCCCGCATCAAGCGTGTCAATGGCACGGCCCGCAGCTGCCAAATACCGGTAGTAGAATCAAGCACCAGTTGCCGTAGACCAAGCGGTCTTGGTGAGAGAACATGGCAAAAGGACCTATCACGTTGCTTGGGTGCCAGCCACCGAATAGTTGGGCCGGAGGCTCGGCTGCCATGCATTCATGCACTAACTATCTACACGGTTCCTGAATTCCGCTGATCATATGCTGATCCGATCGACGACAAGGCTTGTCAGGGACAAGGTTTTCCCCTGCAGGGCTGCTTGAATCCTAACCCTCGAGACGTCACCTCAGACAGGACGACAGTTTTGGAAACGCGGCATTCTCAAGGCAGGCATGCTCAGGCTCGTCTGATCCCTGTTGCAGGACGAAAACTTTGAACGAAATTGATCTCGCCCAAGGCACTGACTCATAGCCCCTATCATGACAATTGATGACAGAATTCCACACGGGCGTGGTATTGGAGTGCTTAGTGCAAGATTGAGGTTCCTAAAGATGTTGGTGAGCAAAGAAACCAGGTATTGTAGTGTGTTGCTAAGTTTGGCTAGCATGCTAGAAGCCGGACACAGGGGCTCTTGTGGGTCAAATTGTTGCTAACCTTGGAAGTTCTTCGGCGGCAACATCAAACCTTGTTCTCCTGCAACCAGACTTCTCTTCTTGCCACGCGGCCGAGCTCGAGATATATGCAGCTCTACAGCGAATCTGCGGTGTTTCAAGTGATATCTTTGTTCACCTATTACTTCCCGATCTGTACCTCTGTTGTTCCACAATGGTGGATACTCCCAGCAGCGCTCAAAGCGCCCCCGCGGGGAACAGACACAATGTGGATCCGCGACGTACCGGCACGTCGGTGAGCACGACAGAGCGCCTGCCAAGTCGGACCTGTTCATGGAAGCAAGACTCCAGGATGACCATAATAGACTTACGGACTCCTGGTTTCCGGCCCATGTTCAACTTCAGCAAAGCTGTCATCTTGCGTGTCCAGAAACGCTGCTGGTCTCTACCGGAGCTTGGCATTTATTCCTCTGCTGCTTCGACCTCTTCAAGATTTCATTTGCAGCTGACAGGTCTCCTCCAGTCAACAATGCAGCTGTCTACAATAAAGAAGAGCAAGTGGACAAGTGGGCCTGCTCGAAGCGTGGAAGCGTGGGGTATTCGTGCTGCAGTGAGCTGTGCTCCTAGGCATCCTTTCTTCCCCCGGCCATGAACGCAGCGGTCGCCTACAGGGCATCCCTATACGGCCTGGATCAGCCGTTGGGACTCCCACCCGGTTCTCGGCGTAGGAAAAATGACGACTTGAATCCGAAAACAGCACTGGAATTGGAGCAAGGGAGGATTGCACGACGACAAAGTTTCATCCCAGTCAACTGGGTCCAGTACAAGAATGATTGTGCCCAAGAGGCTACCACCAAACCCGAGTCAATATTCGACGTCGAATGGGAGCAAGATGTGGAGGTTCCCACCGTCACGGAGCAGGCCCTGCGTATGGTCACGATCTTTCCATACAGAGATGCAGTCTGGGTCGTCAAAATCTTCTTGACGCTAGGTGGGACTCTCATGGCCCTCGCCGCCACCTTCGCCGTCGTGACAGCTCAAAGGCTGGCCAGAGGGGAGAAGGTCTCACCACAAACCATCGGGTTCGACATCAACGCTGCCGTAATCCTCACCACCGACCTGGGCCTCATCCTCCTGCTGATCGGCGGCACTCTGGGCCTTGTCGCGATCCTCAACGCGCACCGCGGTGCCATGGAGCCTCTTGACATCAAGATCGGTGCCCTCGAGCCGCCGAAAGCATACAAGCCGGCCCTGCTGGGTGCCAAGTCCTGGGTGTGGCTGCCAACCAGACCCGACCTGACGGCACTCTGGGCCAAGATCCCCTTCCGCGCGGCCTTCGTCAACTGGATCGGCCTCATCGTGCTCAACGTCGTGGACGTCACCACCATCCCGGGCCTCTTCGACCCGGCCGACAAACAACGGATCCTCCTGGCCGTCCAGCTCCCATTGTTCATCGGCTTTGTCCTACTAGTCGTGGCCAACTTTACTCTGGTTATGTGGCTGCAGGAGAGGTGGTACAAGCCCAAGTGGCAGAAGGCCGCGTGGCTGAGCGCCTTCCTCGCCACGTTCGCTTCGGTCAGCCTGACACTGTCGACACTCTACCAGTTTGCCGGGATGGTTCTTTCTGGTGCGCTGGCTACATTGGTCGGCCGGTGGGTTTTCTTTGTGGCGATCCTTATCGGATTCTACGATCTCATGGCGTTTCATCCTAATGCTTGGGCTGGTTTTGCGATTGGCGGTCGTCAATGATGAGCAGGTATGACTTGCGGAATTGACGAGGCCAAATGCCGGCCGCCTCAGTAGCCAACTTTGGTATACTGCTCTGACGAAGTGTCACTATACGGCCGCTTCCTTTTGGTGAAAAACTCATTACAGTTACTTCTCCAGACCCACTTCCGAAATACTTGAATATGGGTGGAGAATCGAAGTATAGAATGTACATAGATAACCCAGCCTTGTATTGCCAAGAGCAGGTAGATCACCATTCGTTTTCATAGCACCAGTCTTCCATTGACTCCTTCCAGGTCCTGCTCAGGGATTGTCCCGGACACGGAGCATGCTCTTGAGCTTGCACGTGAGCTTGTTGTCTTTGCAGTTGCCCTGGATAGATTACCAATATCCTTTGAATTCCTCAATAGGCCTGCAACATTGGCTCTGAAGGGCATCGTTGGCCGTCTGGTTCCAGAAACCGCAGTAGCCCTTGGCTATGGTAGCAAATTCCTTGATCGAATCCGTCGAGCAGCGGCCGGCAGGGCCGGGGTTCGGCCCGAAAAGACACGGCTCGATCATTCCGGCCACCTTGTTGGTGTTCTTGCAGTGGCAGATGTGGTCATCCCTGTCGCAGCCGTCGTTTGTAAGGGCCTGAACGTGGCAGTACTGTGCGCATTTGGGCACTACAATACTGGTGATTAGCCAGGTACCTAGGTAGTCACTAACGGACAATGGTTATACGAATGTATTTACTAATAGAGAGGCTATTGAAACGAGGGCGGGCTTGGGATTATAGGGAGTCGTTGTCACAGATCCACGCCTGAGGGGTTCATTGAAATCTTCTAGGAAGCTGCTTACCAATCGCCGTATATTCAGGCTGCGTCTTAATGCAACCGTAGTTGATTTGTGCCACGACACTTGTGGTCGCCATGGTGGCGCAGGCCAGGAGAAATGTTGAGAATTGCATTCTGGTGGCGAGATGATAATATTTACAACCAGGTGTTCTTCACGACAGGAAGCTTAGAAGAGCTTTGACAGAAATCACGAACTTATGGGGTAACATATCCAACAGGTCTAAGAACAACTATGGCCCTTCGAAACATTTTTATAATTCCACAATCTACTGGTGTTCTTCCCCAATGGTCTCGTGCTGGAATGGCATCGTAATGAGATTTGAATACCTAGGTACTGAGAATATTTCCAGTAGTTGGAGAAATTCCAAGAAAACAACAACATACCTACACAGGAACGTCGAAATCAGATCAAGCACCGACATCAACTCATGTACGCACTGTCCAAGGCGCCGTTGGTAATCTAGTCTCAGCCGTTGTGCCCGCTTGATCAACGTCCTTGACCCGATTAGGAGCAGCGGCCCTACCATGTTTCACTCCGCAGTGATTCACACTAACAACCCCGGCATTCATTCCAGAACTACAGAATCTCACGGCGATGACACATTGCCCGTGCTTGGAAACAGTGTCTACCCAGCCTTGAAGTTGAGATGATGGACTGATACCTACCTCGGTAGGTACCAACTGTACACACAAGTGTAGTCATGCCTGGCAAACTTCATCTGCGCGGTAGACCGGGATTTATTTCAATGTGGGTCTAAGCCAAAGATCTTGCACATGTGAGGGCTCAGCTAGACTCAAATCTCAGTATTATGTGAGGATCAGTTACACTATCTAGGCACGAGGGAACTCTCGGCCGCCGATCACAATCACTTTGCACCTGGCAACCTGGAAGTGTTTACAACCCCGTCTGTGGGGACGCGCTAATATTCTAAAGTTTGATTTTTCGAGACAAATTTGATACATACAGCGACATTCTTGTGATCAAGTGTTCTGGAGACGGGGTTGATGGCCTTCCCCGGCCTCGTGTCAGTTTTTATGGTATTTCTAGACTTACTTTATTCAGCAAAATTTCCAAGTCGTGGGTCAGATTCCTATTAATAAAAAAGAGGGTAGTTCAGACTACGTAATGGGTGTGGAAACATCTGTCTCACAAGATTAATGAGTTCACTGTCTCCCCGCTATCAATCTTGTAGAACTCATTCTGTGGTGAGCAAATATGGCCCAATACAACAGATAGTCCAAACCTAAACAGTCCTGATTCGCGTCCCGGTTGGGAAAAGTCATAATTCAAAGTCAAGAACTTGGAAGAAGACAGAAAAACACTGACACGACACAGAAATCTCGCTAGTGGCTCGTCAGGTCACCACCAAGCGTCGCCTACACTGGTTTACGGATTCCGAAGTCTGCACGGCTCAAGCATGTGCGAGACCCAATTCTCTTATAACAATGTCCGCTGCCTTCTCGCCAATGACCATTGCGGTGTTCGCCGTGTTCGCGCCGACATTCTCGGGAACTATACTCCTACAAAACATAGAAATGTTAGCAACGATTGATGCGTGTCCAAGTCGCTGAAGAGAATGGCAGGATGAATTAAATCGTGGAGGCCTACAGATCAGCCAACTTCAGGCCTCGAAGGCCATGTACTCCAAGAGCCTCGTCAACGACTCCAAGACGACCGACCGGCGCCATTTTGGCAGTCCCCAGCGAGTGCCAGGTAGTCGCCACGTTCTCACGTACCCAGGCCTCGATGGCCGCATCGTCCTCGGGCGTGTATCTGCTATCACCTGCTCCGTCATGGCCAACCCCGCCGCTGCCGTCTTCGTCACACGCAGCTTCAGAGTCAGATGCGAACCGTGGGTGGCCGGACGCGATCTCGCCCCGGTACATCTTCGTGCGGCGCATGATCTCGCGCTGTTTCTTGTATGCCCAAACGTGCTTCTTCAAGTCGATATCACTCTTGTCTGAAAGAATGCCGGCGTCGAAGTCGATTGGGTCGGTGATGCTTGGTCCGGTGATGTGGATGTGGCCACGTGAGTATGGATATCTGTGGGTGGCGGTGGGTCAGTCAGGAATGTGCCATATGACAAATCTGGAGATGCTCTAATTCCTATAAGAACTGTGATGGGTGACTTACGCTGTATAATTCAGTATGGACATGTACTGACCAGGGGGTACAGCAGACGGGTCTCCGAAATAGTACGAGAAAGCAGCCGTGAGCATCAGAGGCTTGCTCGGAACGCTCTTGAAGTCTCGGTCCCAGGCTTCGCGAAAGGCCGGGCCCATGGCGGTAACATCAGCCTCCGTAGGGCGCAGCTTGGAGCCAATGTCCGTGCCGTTCCACCCCATCTTCATCGATTTGTTATCGATCAGCGTCTGAGGGTCCTCGCGCCCTGCCAGAAGTCCATCGAGCGTCTCTTCAGGCTCTAGGTCGGTCTTGTACGGGTAGTACACAAGATGATGGTCCTGGTAGTCGTGGCCGACCCCGGGAAGGTCCGCCACCACTGGCACCCCGGCGCGCTGTAGGATGCGCGCATCGCCCACCCCGGAACGCTCGAGGAGCAGCGGCGTCGCGAGAGCGCCGCATGACACAATCACCATCCGCCGTGCCCTGACTGTCCGAACGGGCGTCATCGTTAGAGGCATCATGGCTTGAAAGTCGGGGTTGGGCCGGTATTCGATGCCGACGGCTGTGTTATCTTCGAAAAGGACGCGCAGGACCTGCGACTCAACAAGAACGTGTAGGTTTGGGTGCTTCCCGCCCTCGAGCTTCGGGTGCAGGTATGTGTGAGCAGTGTCCTGTCGCCTGCCGTCTGGACTCACGTAGCGCAGCCAGCGACTGAAGCCATTGTTAGAGTTCAGGTCCTGAAGATCTGTCAACTCGGGATAGCCGACTTTTTCGGCCGCTGCTAGAATGTCGTCTTCGAATCTTTTGCAACGGTAGGTGCCATCAGCTACGTTCACAGGCCCGTCGTATCCATGATGCTGACTGGCTCCAGGGCCATGATATGTCTCGAGCTATAATTTTCACTCAGTTACTATGCCCCGGAATCGCTAGATTTGTTCGGCATTGGTGGATTATAAGCATAAAACGGCCTCACCTTCTTCAGAAACGGCAACAAATCGTCTGCTGACCAGCCAGGCGTGTTCCAAGAATCGAAGTCGCAGCCCTGGGCGCGGGTATACATCATGGCGTTGACCGAAGAGCCGCCGCCAAGCAGGCCACCGGTGGACACGATGGGATTCCTTCCTGCCAAATGCGATGACGTTTTCCCCTCGTAATAAAGGAGTTTGTGCTTGCATGGTTTGAGATTAGAGTGGAAAAACGGAGGGTGCACGATATCCGGATCATTGCGGTTGTTTGGGCCGGACTCGACGACCAGGATTGACAGCTCTGGGCTCGCATCGGCTAACCGTGCGGCCACGATGCAGCCAGCCGTACCGCCTGGAGGGTTGGAAAACATATAATTAGCTTCATTCTAAGGGAAGCTTTGCCCTCAGATATTTCTGCTGAAATGTCTTACCACCGGCAATAACGAAATCGAATTCGGAAGCGTCATTGAGCAGCTTTGTGTACAGAGGCATGTTGTCTAACACTGATTTCTGTAGAGTCGCTTCTTAGAGCTCTTCAAGAATCTGTGACAAAGTTGAAGACGAAAAGACCTGAACGATGATTGTCAAAACGATCTGCTAATAAATCGAGCTGCCAGCTTCTCTTAATATAAAGATCTAGAACTACCCAGGTAAGGACCATCGACGAGGGGTATTCTCCGCAATGGCTTCCCCTCACTGTTTATGTCTGCCTTCCTGTTTCTATCAATCCCATGCGTTACACCGCAGTAACAAGAGGCGCATGGGGCGTTTTTGGAGAGCGGAGTCGGTCCCTACATCACCGTGCTTGCCAATGCCGTATTTCCTTGGCGACAATTTTGATACAAGAAGTCGAATCCGTAGCTCCCATATGATACCCTCTGGCTTCACGAGCGGGCCGATAACATCATCGAGAGCCTTCAGGAATGCCTTCATGCCCTTGCAATTTGGGACGCTAGCTAAGCCATTGATGAAGCCCTATGGATATGGTTGCCGAAGGCTCGGTCGGCTTGCTGTTGGACTAGATCTCGTTTGGTCTCAAATTACCTAGGTGATGGGGCGCTCATGGGCATAGAATTCGGATAGTTCGAAGGTCATGTAGATGTTTGACGTGCCATGGGCTAGCTTCTCCCCTTGGTCCCTGCCCAGATGGTAAAGCATCCTTCGTGCATTTGTATTCTCATTAGTGGCCGTTTAAAGAAAAGCAATTGTTCGACTTGATTTATCCGTCATTTGGCCTTGCATCCAAGACATCGGCGGCTTCTTTCTCGCAGCTCACGCGCAGCCTGGACAACGCGCCGGCTGTCGCATCATCTTCACAAATACTGTGGAAGAAGTACTGCGGCACCTTATATCATCAGGCCCACCTCTCTCGAAGATTCTGAGCTTGTCCCGGTCTACGGGAGCACCTGAGACATGGCGAACTAGTCTTCCTTGTTGATAATACCATCAAAGGTTTGAGCCAATCTCCGTGTGAAGACGTAGATGCTTACTGACCACCTGAATCTACAATTATCGTTGCATGCTTACACTCCGTCGCACCGCATGCGCTGTAAGCAAGCCATTACCTACTTCTTCCTACAAAAAAGCCAACTCAAGTTCCTCGATGGAACGTTTCAGCTCGGCAGTAAATCCTTCTCCACTGTTTAGTGCGCTCTGTTCTGACTTCATGTTTCGTGCACAGCTTCTCAGCCACCGGACTCTAGTCACAAGTACAGAACAACGGCATTGAGAGTCACAAGACACCAGCCGCAGCGCAGCCTAGACATCTGGAGGTAAACTGAGACTACAAATCCATTATCCTGCCATACTTAGCAAAGTACGCAACAAAGCTGTCTTGATTTCTTATCATGACTTGCTACCTAAGTATGAAAAGGTGTCACAGCTGTCATAGGTCTTCCTCGGGCAAGAACGTTATGGAGTCAGGGCCCCATTCAGGACAGGTCGGACTTCCATACTGGTCACCACACTGCAGTATGCCCCCCACGTTTCCTATCTCTGAGTCTGAAGTACAAACTGTGAGCGGAGACGTCCTGTAACGACAGGTAGAATTGTTGACTTACTCAGGTTGATCGTCGTATCGACAAAGTGCCCATTGTCATTCCTGCACAGGCACGTCATCAGAGGCCCGTCCCAGGCATCCTTCATGAAGGCGCAGCTGTCGATTTCGCACGTCGAGCTCAGGTTATCCGATGGCTCCTCGCCGGCTTCCCACGCCTTGAGTATGCCGTTGACGTTCTTGTAGCAGTCGTCGAGCTTCAGCCTGGTGCAGATGCGCGTTCGCTCCTTACCCTCCTCGTCGGCGCCCCCGGAGCAGAAGCCTTCGAGGTAAAGCTCATTGGTCCCGTCTGCGACACCGTTGTCAAGATAGTAGTCTGAAAAGTCCAGCTTCGTCAGTTTTCTCTACTCAATCGCGCTCCTCTGGTGCGACCTGCCCTGTCCTTGACACTCTGTGTTGCGGTGGCGTGACTGTGATTGAAGACTCACTGTAGCACGAGTGCTGGAAGTTCTGGGCAGATACGTATGCAGTGAGCGACATCACCGCCGCCAATAAGGCGATCAACTTGTTCATCCTGAGCTGTCGCATGTCTGGGCGAGGAGGCAGAGCCGGAGAGAAAGTGGACGGAGCAAGAGCTGGCTGGGAACGCAGATTCCAGAAGGTTTGATCCTTGCGTTGGCCAAGCCAAGTCTCATGCGACACGAATCGAATCTTCAGGTGGCACAATGGTGGCTTCGGTTTCGGCACATTATTTTCGTCGGATCGCGACAGACATGGCTTTTGTATTGGGTGGCAATCCCAAGGATGCTAGGACACTCGTATCGTTCGAAACACCATTACATGCAGCTGTCCAGATGGGGTGGGGAATATGAAGTAACTGTAGAGGACAGCGACCGACTCGGCCGTGGCCGAACAGAGGAAACTGTAAAATTTAAAGCTTAATTCAGCTGAGTTTTGGCGGATACCGGCGTCTGTCATATGACACGGAAATGAACCATGCGGCCCCTGAGACGGTTAGAGTGCCAAGCGTTTTAGGTCCTCTAACGATCCTTTTGTCCTAGGAGAAGGACCGTTCGCGATACGAAGTCAAAGCAGCCGCGATAGACTGTTGAAGTCTTATAACGATAAAAAGGCGATTATGCTTACAGTACACGTATCTCAGCGTCTTCATGGGCCTATATGTCGTTGTGTTGACGGCTCGGCATGTTCTGGAGATGGGTCGCATGGTCAGTCCAGGTTGTCTTGGCACAACCTTAGTGGAGCCGGAATTGAACTCAAACACCGTTCGCCTGGAAGCTCCAGAAGACGTCTTCTCCGGCCGTATATGTAAGATGCCCTACAGGTAGCAAGGGCCAAGGTGTAATTCGTAGACAAGACAACTCAAGTGCTGGGGGCTAATTATATACCAAAGCGAGGATGCGTTTTGCTCACAACATAGTCGCCTGTTCCCCAAATCGGGCATTGCAGTGCGCTGGAAATGGCAGTATGCAGTATCATGTCGTGTAGCATTGAAGCTATTCCATTCCTCGTTTAGCCACGACCCCACACTTCAACATCATCCCTCATGCCAGTGTATCTACGTGACAGCTGTCCTTCCATGATGCATATTCTCAGCTTCTCTGATATTCTGACAAACCTGAATCCGTTGACTACAGAAATAACAAGCATTTCTTCCCTCGAGAAAGATCCTAGCCTTCACAATGTGGGGTATGAGACCTACTGACGCGGTGAAAAGTGGCCGCATTGTCAAAGTGGGAATCATAGGGTTTGTCGAGGGCCAGCAACCTCTGTTCAATATAGAATTACATACTAAATGTTTTCAGATGCGGCTTGGTCACGCAAGTTGTTCACGTGCCCTGTATGAACTCGTTGTCCCACCTGTTCCAGGTGACATACCTCTATGACGTCTCTGAGGATGCTACGAAACACAGCCTGGAAAAGCTCGCTGGCAGCTCGAAGCCCAAGACCACCAGAAGGCTCGAGGAAATTTGCAACGCGCCTGAAGTCGACTTGGTGCTGATAGCAACACATCACGCTTTTCATGCATCCCATGCATTGCTTGCGCTGCAAGCAAACAAGCACGTGTTCATTGAGAAGCCCATTGCATTGACTTTGCAAGACACAGACCGTATTATTGCTGCGGACACGGCTGCAGGCGGTGGCAGAGTCATGATCGGTTACATGAGGAGATATGCTGCAGCTTTTGTCGACGCGGTGAAAGAGGTTGGCACCATTGATCAAGTGCGTTACGCTCGCGTTCGAGACATCATCGGGCCGAACTCCGTCTTCGTGGGACAATCCGGCACATTCCCTAGGACTTTCAACGATTACCAAGAAGCAGATTCCGAAGCTTTGCGTCAGAAGATAGCGGAAGATGTTGACCAGGCTCTGCAGACTGAGCTTGGGGTCTCCGTCACACCGGAAACGGATATGATGTGGCACACGCTTTCCATGCTTGGTTCACATGACTTGAGCGCCATGCGGGAAATCCTGGGAATGCCAAAGGGTGTCGTAGGATTCTCTCCCTGTGCTACTACTGGCTCACCGTTCTGGAGGTAAGCTAGTTCTCTAAGAATGTATTCACTTAACATGCTGACCATGATAGTGCGATATTCCAATACCCCAGCTTTGCCGTCGCATACGAGTCTGGTGTCGACCAGGTGGCAAGATTTGATGCATCAATCGAGGTTTTTGGCGATACAAAGACTGTCAAAGTGTGCATCGATACCCCGTTTGTCAGGGGCCTGCCGACGACGATGATCGTAAAAGAGACCCTGCCGGATGGATCGTACCGGGAATCCACCATCCGGCGAACTTACGAAGACCCGTTCTTGCTCGAACTACAGGAGATGTACAAATGGGTCACGGAAGGGAATATTCCCAAGACAACCCCAGCTGATGCTCGGAACGATCTCGAGATTTTGGGGATGCTTATGAAAGCTATTGCCAATTGAGAGAGATTATGTAAAGGCGATCAATTCCAATGGAGGCATGGTTTGCTTTGGCACTGGGAGCCGCCGAATTTAATCTTCATCATCCGTCGTGTCATCCTTCGTATGCCCACCCTTGGTACTCTTGCCGCCCGACGCCTTGTCTGTCTGCTTCTGCTTCTTCTTGTCCTTGCTCTTGCTCTTGCTACGCTTTGCCTTTGACTTCTTCTTCTTCTTAGACTTCGCGCGGGAGTCATCCGAGTCGCTGTCCGATGACCCCGAGCTCGAGCTGTCAGAGGAGCTGTCCGAGTCGCTTTCGTCAGACGAGTCGCTGTCGTCCCCGGAATCTCGTCGCGATCTAGTCTTCCCACGCTTCCGGGTGAATGTGGCCCGTTCCTCGTGTCTCCTTGCCATCTTGTCTTCGTCCATCCCGTGTACTGACTCCAAATATTCGTCGAACTCCGCAGCGGCTCTCCCAAGCTTGACAAAGTGCTTCTTGGTCATCATCGGGACTTTGTCTGGGGAGTCGCTCACTTCGAAGTCGGCCAGAGCTATTGCAGTTTGAAATGCGTTGCGGATCTGTCTGCCGTTCCACTTCAGGTCTGCCAAGTGTTTCTCCGCATACTTGATGATGCTCTTCTCGTCAAACTCCACTGACTTGAGGCCTTGCAGAACACGGTCATCGTTGAGCTTCTTTAGCCTTCTGACATTTGTCTTCCAGATCTTGAGGGCACTCCTCTTGCTCAGTTTGCGGTAGTAGAGTGTGACATGAATCCTTGACTTGAACGCAGGATCCAAGGTACCCACACGGTTGGTCGTAAGGAATAGAATTCCAGAGTAATACTCTAGGATTCGGAGGAATACTGTGGTTTCCGGAAGATTAGGCCCAAAATCTCAAGGTGGTTCAACCTCAAACTTACCGGATACAAGACCATTCCTCGCAACATCGGATTTCTGTACGCTGTTAGAAGCACCGCAACACGGTGACATGGTCCGGACAATACGTCTTCCCGCTAAGGTTCGGGTACTCACGTCTCTCTTCGCCAAGAACACGTCGGCTTCGTCAAGGAGCAACACGCAACCCCACTTGTGGGCAAGTGTAAAATGCTTCTCTAAGTTCTGTTCGACTTCTTTCGGGTCCGTCCCGATATCCCCTTCGCAGGTCAGCGGTCGGAACGGCGCCGTGAGAGCTTTAGAAATTTCGGACTTGGGCTTACCGCAAGTGATCGGATATAAAGGCCGCTTAGTATAGAGAGCGACACATTCTGCAAAAGTGTATTAGCGGCCCCTGGGACTTCGAAAGGCTGCAGGGCTCTGTATAACTGACCTGCGGTACTCGTCTTGCCAACGCCCGGCTCCCCATGCAACAACAAAATGCAGCCTTTGCCTGGAAGATGTAAGCCACGACTCATTACCTAGGTAAGTGGATTACTGTATCGTAACCACAAATATCGACAGGTACAGTACCTTTTCCCCGCACCAGGTCAACCTCAAGATTCGTATGTGCCTGCCCAGATGCGGACCTTGATCCAGCAGCATGGGTTTGTACCATTGCTTGGACAAGATTCTTGTGTCTCTGTGGAAGAACGAGATCGTCCCAGCCTTCCTCCTCTTCGATCGGCCCAAGCGCCATGATGTCTACCTTGACTGCAGAAGATCAGTCGTCATATTCACCCGAGACGTTGTCGTGAATGGCTTACCCCATTTGCGACCACGCAAGACGTATGCCAAGCCATAACCCGGAAGCAGATCAAGCAATTCCAGCTTTTCGATCTGGCTTTCCAACAATTTAAGGCCAGGTCCAGATCTCGAAGTCGGAACCTCGAGCTCATCAAGCTGACTGGTCAAGCTGCGCATCTTCTTCTCGCAAGCCTCACTCTGATGGGCAGGGTAGGCGTCCTCCAGGCAGGCAGATTTGTGGCAGTCAACGTGTGAGCATGAGCGCGTAGGGATTTCAAGGATCTGTCTTGGTTGCTCCTTCCAACTGACCATAGGATTGTATGGAAAGTTTGGGTCCCAGTCCTCGTTGGATTCGAGCCCCATCTTGAAATCGATAATGACAGGGCTGTTGACGTCTTCTTTGTCTTTACCAAGAGTGATACCGTCGTATTGTCTGTGGTCCACGACTGTAAGATCCAGAAACCGACGGCCTCGCTGTTCTAGATCCAATAAACGGTTCCCATCGCCAGATCTATACCGCATGGGATACGCGAGGAGATCCGAAACCTTGATGTCTCCTTCAAACGGCTTGAACTCAAAAAAGGTTTGTCCCGGGCTGAACCTTGTCCCATCGAAATAAACAAAGTAGCAATCGACGTAGAACTCGGTATATCTGTCGCTTTTGGAGGAAATGGCTATGCCGCCTGGTTCGTTCTGGGAATCTTGACCCTCAATGAAGTATTGTCCCTCGGAGTATGGCAGACCAGAAGATCTCTTTCTTTTTTTGGTCGCACCAATCCCTCCCGAGGTCGCAAGCACACGATATGCTTGAGGCGTATGAACTGTAAGTGGAATGCTGGTGTTGCCGTTGCGACTATTGCCATTATACGCAGTTGGCAGTGTTCCGTCTCTCTTCTGGAAGGGACAGTATATCAGATCTCCGACGTCGAAAAGCATCCACAGTCTCTCGAAAGCAATCGTTGGCATCTGGCCTTTGGAGTACTGCTTGTACAGTGAGATCTCTTCGCCAAGGTACTCATCCACAAATGCCACCAGCTCTCTGAAGTCACCCAGGGCGCCTCTCTGCTCATATGACGGTCTGGTAGACTTCAAATCTGAATCTTTGTCGCTCGATTTCGAGTTTGCTGGAGTACCTATGCCGGAGAAATTCTTGTCTGCCGGAGATCCTAGCGATGCAGACCTGTGTGTCTCTGCGGCGTGCCTGTCAAAACGTCAGGGCTCTAGTCTGAACTATCAGTTTAAATTGGAGATCAGGGACCAAAACCCTCAGAACCAGAGGGTACACTCGTGAAAAGCTAACTACCTAGGTAGTTGTCTCATAAGAGGTTATCCCATAGGAGGATATCCTATGGGTCTTGGGTGTACCCTCCGTTTTTGCGGGTGTGAATCCCCGATCTCTCAAATAGAGCGCTTGACTATACCCATGCTCTTGCTCCAAGAGGGAGAGTTGTTTCTTTACAGAATCAACATTTCTGATCAAGGATCTGAATGGGCGCTTGAAATGGACCACGCCGTCTTTATGGACGTCGTAATCCAACTGCTTTGCCAAGAACGAGCTAATCGGGTCGGAATGAATCCTGACTTCGGAAATTTGGATGCTCCTAGGGTCAGGATGCTCATCATTGCGTGGAGAGGCGTTATCGGAAGAGGCTTGCTGAACCCAGTTGAAAAGGACTCGGAGGCAGTGCTTGGGATCGACTTGTGAGAGGAAAGCGCCTTGTTCGTTCCAGCCTATCTCATCATCATCGGAGGTTGTACCCTGTGACTGTGGCTGTGCGGACGCATCATAAAATGTCGTCTGGACAGTATGTCCCTTGCCCGGGGTATCCTCGGGCTCCTTGATCGACTGGGCGTTGATGCCGACCTTAGATTCAATCGCGGCCAGCCTGTCGTCGACTGCACGCACATAATCAATGAATGACCGTGCTAATCTTGGGTTACGTTCACTCGCGGGGCTCTTGTCGTAAGTATCGGCGTATTTTCCAAGCTTCGATACCCACATATTGTAAATCTCCGTGGAACTCGCTTCTGCACCGACCCATTCTAGAAAGTCGTTATGATGCGTCCCTTCGATCGTAAAAGCGCCCCTCAGATCGAAGTTAGGCGCGGACTTGACGGGCAGCCTCTCTGAAACGAGGAGACTATCAGTCACATTAGCGGTCTTTGGCATTTTGGGTTGACCAGGCTTTGATTCGGCCTCGCTGTTTGAGGATTCCACTGCGGGAGGGAAATTTCCACCAGCACCTTGCTCGGATTGCGAGGGCTCAATGAGGCTCATAGTCTGTGCTGTGGGTAGGACACTGGACGACGTCCCACCCGTCCCGCCTGACGAGATGCTTTCCGCCATGATGAATAGTTTAAGTTAGTTTAGTTCGAGGACCGGTCTTCATGATTCTGTGAGATTGGTTGGGAAATCCCTAGACGGTGTATAAGTACTGGAAGGGGCAGAAAGACGAATTTTCTGTTTGCGAGAGGAGGCTCTGAGCGGAGAGTTGCGCCCCGCCGTCGGAAGGCCCGAGGATTGGAGAAGGATCACAAGCAACGCAAGCGATCAGCATACTTCAGGCTTTTCTCGGAAGGACGCCTTAGCGAGGATACACAGCATGAAGTTGAGGCCGGCTTATGGGCACCCACAATTGGTCGGCGGTAACCAGATGATCGCGCCATTGCTTATGTGCAGCAGAGAGGAAGCGCCTAGCATGGGTACCTAGGTAGGTGTGGCACACCAGTTCTGTACTATCGGCAGAGATCACATTATTCCAGGCCATGTTTGACCAGGCTACAGGCCTGGCACAAATCATGTCCAAAATGGTGCACGAGACAACTCATCTCCCGTCTCCAGCGGCACAGGTCCCTTACTCCATGCTTAATCAACCCGCAAAAATTACACCCAAGCACTTCAACGGCGTTTGGCAGACCGCTGCATCCCATATGCGCGTCGTCATGTTGTGAAGGAACCTGATGCATGCCACTGCATTCTTCTTTGCGAGAACGATCCCAACCTTGCACCTCCATGACTGACAAGAAATACGTGAACATGGCACAGATCAACCGACCTATCGTTGTCAGACCCACGCTCTTGACAAACAGTGCGGCCGAGTTTGTTGAGAATCACATCGACTCGGCCCTGGAAATGGACATATCGGGAAATGCCCAGGCAGAGTTCGTACCCGAGCATGACCGATTCGAGTTGGCAAACAGCATCACCACGTGAGTCTCCCTGCGCCCCGGCCAGCATCGTCACACTCATGGCACAGAAGATTCCACTGCTGCTCTGACACTGTGATCCAGTGTCGATTATTATCAAGAGTCGAGGAAGAGAATCAAGGAATTCGAAGAAACCCTCGAACGATTTTCAAAAAGGCTCGAAAAGAACGACCTGGCCAGAAAAATAGACATCACGTTGAAGAAACCGGGCGAATACAACCTCAAGGACGTGCTTCAAATCGCCGATAAGGTCTGTGAGAGACATAAGAACGCAGACGACGTGAAGAGCTGTACCGGTGCGATCCGGAAGTGTTTCCGCGCTGTTGGGAAAAACGCGAGCCCTCTCCAGTGCTTGCTCAACTTCGTGCCTAGTGATGCATATGGTTCTGTTATTTCCGGGGGTTTCGCGGTGATTCTGGCTGTAGGTTCAGCTTAAGGTCCCACACATGAGCCACGCTGACGAAAGCTTGTCAGGCTGCCGAGCGAGTCGAGTCTCTCCGTGAGAGTATATATGCTGCCCTCGAGCAGGTTCCGAAGAAGCTCCGGATCGTCCAGGCGTTGAGCGATGTCAACTATAGATCTGAGAACCTCTATCTAGCTGTTGACGCGGTCTTTGTCTCCCTGCTCAAGGTTCTCGATAGAATCGTGGAAGAATTGTCAAAGAATATGGCCAGTACGTCAATCTGTTGCAGGTAGATTATTGCAGACTACTAACAAGCGGTTCAGAGAAGGGCTTCAAGGCCGTTATTAAGGGTAAAGCCTATGGAAAGGAGATTGATGAGTCCCTGAAAGATCTTGAAGAGGCACTCGGCCATTTTAAAGAAGAGGCACATATTTGCAGCGAGCAGAGGCTGGGGAGACTGGAAGAGCACATGCTCTCGTTCAAACAAAATGCGGCTACACTGGAAGGAAACCAGCGAGCAACGATGAGCGTCCTGAACAAGATGTATAGACTTTTCACGAGCAGCGAAGCCTTCGACCCTCGCACTGGGAAAGGTAAGTCAAATACCTGGGGCATACGTCAAAATACAAGGTGACAGGGCCTGATCGTCCGAAATAGCTCGCACGGCAGACTACCTCCTGGCTCAGGGCGCGAACCCGCCACTGTTGATACTATCCAGATCGGTCACGCCCGAGCCATCGCCGAAGCTCAACAAGAAGGTACTCAAGGGGTGGGCGGCGCGGCTCCCAGTCGACTTTGTCTCAGCAGCCGCGAGGGACATTGGCGACTCACTTAGGTCCAGCCTCCACCCGGCGCAGGAGAACCAGGTCCAGTACATCATGACATCCGAGAAGCTCCTGGGGTGGCTCGAAGATTCGAAACCAGGCCTGCTGGTGCTGCAGGCCCAGACCGCACCGCAGACCCAGGCAAACGCCATCTCCCTCTCCTCCGCCTTCCTGGCACAGATCCTGCGGGAGAGCCACGACAGCCCGGTGTTGTACCACTCGTGCGGGCTGCGCACCGAGGAGGGCCCCCGCGGCGCCGAGACATCGGGCACCATCGCCCTCATCAACAGCCTCAACTCGCAGCTTGCGCGCCAGCTGAGCCGCCGCGCAGACCTTTCGTTCCTCGGGGAAGACAGATATCGAAAAAAGGCCCAGAGGCGCCCCCGCCCCGCCGTGAAGCTCCTCAAGCGCCTGATAAGCGAGGTGCCCGAGAAGAAGACCGTCTTTGTTATCATCGACTCGCTGTCTCGGCTGAGTGGCGACGCAGAAAGCGAAGCGGGGGCGATAAGGGCGATTTCACAGCTCGTCGACGACCGGGAGGAAGGGGGTCCCGCGGTCAAGATCCTGATGACGGACCTCCTCCCCGAGCACATGCTTCAGCTCCAGCCCCTCGGCGAAGAGCTGTACGTGCCGGACCGTGTCGACGTCGGCGGCCACGGGCTTAATGCTGATTACTTGCGTGAGGTATCTGGGGCTTCTATTGGGAGGTTCGAGGAGCGCCGCCGTGGTGGGGGGTCTCCTGGCGATCCTGCAGACTCTGGCGAGGATTTGGACGGCTCTGGGAGTGACGTTGAGACTACTGATGACGAGAGCGACTAAAGATCGTGACTTGAAAGAGCACAAGGATCATGGACGCTTCTAAAGTTGAATGCAAATATATGAGCATTAGGCAGAAGCTATCCAGGTAGCATTGCGTGTTACCCATAGACCAGAGTTCTTCATCTATATATCTTCACTTTTATAGATGTCAAGTGAGCACAACACGGATATTTCCGAAATTTTAGTACTTACCGTCCTTTTAGGGAGGACTGTCCAGACCGGGCTCTTTGGATCTTTTCCCACAGCAGTCTGGCTTTGGAAACGCAAAGTCAACAAAAGTGTGTTTAAAAGTGAAGCCTGCCACCGCTTAGGTGAGGTTGTACGGGTGGGAATGACCCAAGCCGAGGCTACCAGGCAAGGAGCCCCCAACTCCAACTCCGAAAGCCTCATGCAAGCCGCGGCGGGATCGAGTCAGTTACGAGGAGAGCAAAGGGGGCGGTCTCGCCGATCGCGAAAAAAGAAGAAGAAAAAAGACTCATGGCTCAAACAAGACGGGCCGGCTCGAGTGAATCATGCCGTGACGTCTTCATCTTAGGGGGGGGGGGGGCGGGTCTTGTAAGTATCTCGTGGCTCGTCTCGTGATCTTGCACGTCGCGGCCCGCCCCCCAAGGTTGTCTCAGGTCAGGAGACAGACGCACGAGAGACAGAGACAGAGACCTCCCCCCCCCCCACGCCGTCAAGAAGTCTAATAAGAAGGGGGGCAGAATCCTTATCTCGAGCCCGTGTGGAATCATGTGATGACATGCACCTCCTCTGCGATGCACATGTCAGTGTAGTTAGTAGTGTAGTGTAGCACGCAAAAAGGCCGACAGCGGACCATCGCGGGGGCGAGACGAACGCGTCCCGTGCATGGCTGGCAAGGTTTGTACTCGCATGCGGCGTCTCACACGTGCAACGGCTGGATGAGCTGGCCGATGGGCGGGACCAGACAAGCACCGCAGGGCGGCCAGGCCAGTTTGATGTATTGGAGATTTGCGAGATCTCGCTACTTGCTTGGCGCGCAGTTTGAAGGCTACGTGGGTGGGTAGTCTTTGAATAAAGTCCCGAGGTCTGACGCATTACCCACTACTGCAAAAAGGGATGCAGAATGACAGATGGAGGGATGGTGTGTGGTGGTGTGTGGTGTGGGTGCTGTTCCGTCTGGACTGTCTGGACTGTTGCTGATAGACGGTGTGTGTAAGTCAAGTCAGTCATGATGGTGGTGGTGTTGTGTTGTTGACTTACACTACATAGTACTGTGTGTACCTACCACAGACTGACAGTAGTGTACTACCCACCACCGTGGGCTGGAGGGGCTGGAGGGGCTGGAGGGGCTGCGTGGGGTTCAGCCAGCCGTTTCTGCGGTTGGGAACTGGCAGGGTCGCAGCCGAGGTGGGTCATGGCTGTTAGGATCAACTGGATGACAGGCCCGATGCCAGATGGTGTCAGGGAGCCACGGTACCACGATGAGGTCATTTTAGTGGGCGTCCCAGCAGCCCTGATCTTGGTTGGGCGGCAGGCGGGACTGATCGGTTGAGGACCGACTGACAGACTGACAGACTGACATGTGTTAGAGAGACGAGGGCTTCATGCCTGATCTTGCACAAAGGAAACCCAGAGAGATGGTCTAGAAGATCTGTTAGTTGGTTATTGTGCCTGGCGCGAGACAGCACTAATATCCGCTGTTGCACTTGCCCGATTCGGCAACCCGCCGCCCTGGGGACTAAGTTGCGATGTTTATTACCATGGCACTTGTGTTACCTGCTCACAGGGTCCTCCTTGATTGTCATGAACGGTGAGCAGCTGCTGGGTGCATGCTAATAATTAACAAGCGTGGCCACGTCGTCCTGTCACCGTTGTTTTGATTGTTTGGTGTCACCTGGAACAAGGTTATTATTGTCCGTTGCGCCCTGGGCGCTGGCACTCACATACTGTACACGCACACACTCGAAGGTGTTGGGCGGCAAAGGCGATGAAAGTGCCAGATAAGAAAGAGTGACTGCTAGCAGCCCGCTCAATTGGGAAGGAATGGCCCAAGTCTGGGAGTCTGGCTGTCTGGCCAGGAGCTGCCCCTCCACACACCAACAAGATGGGAACCGGTGGGATTCTGGCGGGCTCTAAAACAAGGCGAGACTGGTTCCCGACACCACTGCACAGTAGTTTAATAATAATCTTTTTGCCAGGCATAGTCGTCCTCCATCCTGCCCCTCCTCCACCCAGCAGTCCATCTCGTGTGCGCCCCAGCAGTGTTATCATGTCATCCTCTCCTTGTCGGTCCTACCCTCATCGCAGTCGACCTTGACCTGCATGTCAGCCCGCCAACACTACCGATAGACACTCAGTCCCCAGGTAATATTCCCCGTCTTTTCTTGGCGACCTGCGACGCGACTTCGTTCCCCGGAGCTCCTCGTTAAACCCGACCAAAGCAGCTGCAGACTGCCTCGAGGTTCTGCTCGACCCGAGGAGAACAACAAGTGCGAGTAGAACAAGTCTTGGATTCGCTCCTGCTCGACCTGTCTGAAAGATCTTGACCAAACATATCGTCCACCGACCACCGACCGCCCACCACCGACCAGCCCACCACGACCTCCAACTATTGGACATCCTCGCTCCCCTGCGGTTGCGTCACCACCAGGAGCTTTGGCCCCGACCCACCGCTCTTCGGTAGCCCACGCCGCGGAATCGATCTTGCGCTGCACAAGCCAGAGAGAGGGCAAAGCAGCACTCGGGAGCGTGCACTCTCCTGGCCTACAATCTGCTTTGTTGCTTGGAACCGCCATCGCAGGTGTTTTGTTCATATATCCACGCTCTCACCCACGGACGGACTTGGACCAGCGCGCGTCCCCAGCCCCATCAATTTACACATCCTATCTAGTATCTAGACCATCTGTCTGCCGCCGCGCCCATCTCGGCCAGCCAGGTCTAATCAATCAGCTCGATCCTGGCCTGCCCTCCCGTGCCAGTTACAGCCCGCCGTCCCCCCCCCATATAAACCAATCCTTCGCGGCCCAGCAATCCTTGTAGAGGTCCAACAACCTTGGAAGGCCGAGGAGACTCAGAGAAAAAGCCCAGCCCGACGAGGGGACCCAGCCCCTCCTCCAGACCAAGATTGAGCGTGGCCAAGAGAGGAAAGGAGAAATTGAAGATCATCCTGACGCGACCCGCCTTGCAGCCGCAGCGTTGCCCCTCGACACGAGCGACAGCAGCAGCCAGCAGGCACACCCATCCAGACTGCGACCAAAATAATAAAGCTCGCCTTGATCGCCAATCGCAATCGGGCGCCCCCTGCCACTCACACACCAGCGCTGCCCATTTTCATTTCACTGTACTAGCAGCAGCATCAGCAGCATCAGCAGCAAGAGCAGCAACCGGCATTTTCGTTGTCATCATCATCAATCATCATTGCCATCCAGTCCAGCTCAGCGCCAGCGTTTTGAATGTTCGCATCAGCATTTGCCCATCCCGCCTACCTTTTCAGCCCGACAAAAATTTCACTTGTCTCGAAATTCGTCCAGGGGCAGCAATACCATCCCCGGCATCGACCACGAAACCCAGACCAGAGATAACCTTTCTCCTGCTTCAAAGACAGACCAAACTTTAGAAGCTGTGAAACATTGGGGACAACAAGGCCGAGACATCTTCACACAACACCCTAGATAGCGACCGCGGCCGTCTCTTTTCCGTCCCAGAGCCACCCAGGCCTTGACGAAGCTACGGAGCTCCATCCATCCCACCTCTCATCATAATCCTACCGCAACCGACTTATAGATAAACGACCGACTATGAACGGCGGGCAGCTGCAGCAGACACAGCACCAACAAGAAACCGACGCGCACCAGCCCTCCCGGCCGCAAACCGATTCCAAGATGGCGGCGACGACGAGCGACGAGAACAGCACCGGCGGAGGTGTAGGACTCACGACGGGCGGAACTGGCGCGGCGCCCACTGTCAAGATGCAACAGTCGCGGCAGGACGCGCCAGCTGTCACACCGGCGACTGTGACCGCAGCAGCGGCACCCGCCATGACGACGGCTTCGGCAGCGGCGACGGCCGTGGCAGCGGCCGCCGCGGCCACGGCTGCCGCATCGCCTACTGCCTCTGGGGCAAACGGTAGTGGTGGCAACAACAACGGGGTCGGCAATAGTTCGCCGACGACAGCGGCGCAGACAGTGGCGGCCATCAATAAGAAACGCAAGAAGGAAGGCCTGAAGCCCATCATCACGACGGACAACCCGGCGACTGGGTATGTATATGCTTTCCTTTGTTCTATTTTCCCGTCTGCTGTCTGTGTTGCTGCATTGTTAGGTGGTGTTATTGCGTCTTTTTTCTCTTCGCGTACATTTTCCTACTCAGGTCAACCCTGTCTTGCTCGCGTCTGATGCTGGACCCTGGATCTGGTCTGTGTGTCGCCGCCCATCCTGGGTCGTGTCCTGCTGTGCGGTGGTTCCGCAGCATGGGGGACGTGAATCGAGCACAGGTCGCATTCTGGTTCATGATCGCTGGTAAGTCTGCCGGTCGGTCATGCAGTCAGTCAGTCAGTCATATCAATCAATCGGCCTGTCGCCAGCCAGCCAGCCAGAAAGAGGCCCATTTCGAACTTGCTGAGCGGGTGGCGCATTGGTGGTATTGGTGGCGATGGCAAGGAGGACGGGCTCAGATGGACGCGTGCAAAGCTGAGTCGGGCAAGGATCTGGCCAGGAGAGCACTGCGGCCGAAAGAGAAGTTTTGCGGGGACGGAAGACGGTGGAATCCCAAACAAAGACCACTTGTCCCCACGGAATCTGGCCCCGAGGCTGTGACCACAACTCCTGCTGAGCTTCGTCGCCGGCTGCAGCTGTCAATGGCGGGAGCAGAAGGTTGTGTGGCGGCCCATACTGGAGGGCTGTCGAGTGTCTTGGGCGCTGTGTTCCTGCTGCATCGCAGGTGTCTCGCGGTGTCTGTTTCTCTAGGGTCTGACCTGGCCCTGTGGCCTTGTGGTCCTCTGACTGTCTACTTGTGTGGCCGTCGTGATATATGCCTCGCATACCATATGCAAGTGCTATGCTGTGTGTCTTATCTTAGTACCATGGCATATATGAAAGATGCGTGGGCCGGACGCGCTGCCATTGTCAGTCAGTGTAGCCCTCTGGTGCTGCTCAAGTGAGTGGCGGGGTAGATGACCGCATCATCTCATTCGAGGGCGGCAGCTGCACAAAAGTGGAGCTGGCCGGTATGAGGTCAGTGCGATTGGGGAGGGGTGACGCCTTGCGAGATGATGGTGGACCTTTCTTTCCCTGGCCATGACAGGGCAAGACAAGCTTCGAGCAGGACATGGCTGGGCAGGGCAGGACATCTGGCCTGTGCCTCTCGGTGCTATGTTATGTTCTGTTTGTTTTGACGGGTCAACATGATGCAAGTCATCTGCTCCCTCCCCAAATAACCCTCATCTTTCCCCTCTCATTGTTGAGGGAGGCGACAAGGAGCGAGGGAATGATGGATTGAGTGGCATTAAGGATGAGATATGTCCATGGGGGCCATATCCGTGCTAAGAGCGCGGGATGGTATGGGCGACTTCCGTAGGGCCAGAGGCACAGCAGGCCTGGTCTTGGTAGCCGCCGCAGTCAGTCGTTGCGAGCTGAATCAGGACCCGCACGGAATGACGACCCCCTCTGACTGGTTGGTTGCCTTCCTGCCTGCCTTGCCCGCCCCGCCGCCTGCTTACCTGCCTTTTGCCATTTGCCATTTGCCTCTGTCTGCCTGCTTGCCCGCCTGCGTGTGCGTGTGTGCCTGCCTCGTGTCTTATTGCAGAGTGGCAGAGTGGCAGAGTGGCAGAGTGGCAGGCCAGCAGCTGGAACACGCAAGGAGCGCTAGATGGCCAGGCCAGAGCTAGGTCTCGGTTTGCGGCTATGGCTTGGCTGGGCTGGTCTGGTGCCTTGGGTTGGGGGGGGGGGGTGCACATCAGATGCCGTGCGATGCGATGAGGAGCGATTCGACAGGGCGGGATGACCCTTCTCACCTTAAACCCGCCCTGTCCAAATGCCCCTGGCACCTGAGCGTTGAGCCTGACGAGCCTGGCAGCCTGGACCTCGACCTGACCTACCTTGGACCCTAAGCCCGAGTGAGCCCCAGTCCTTGCCGTGCAGGGCGCTTGACCTTCCCTGCCCGTCTCTCTGTATCTGCCTTGGTTCCCCCTCCAACCCCACCCCACCTTATTACTCCCACCACCCATGTCGCCATTTTATGGTCAATCCACCTTGGGCATATCGCCCCTGCTACTGCTACAGCTGCGGTTGCCGTTGCCGCTGCCGCCCTGTCTGCACATGTTCCATCTGCCCCAACTTGAAAGTAGACGAGTGATGAAGGGGCACCGGCGGGCGTGTGCTGGACGCTCGTTGATCTTTTTGGTTGGGTTTGGGACGAGGGGTTCCTGAGAGGGAGGGAGAGAGACTGACTGCAGTGGTCAGTCAGTCTGTCTGGACTCGCAACTTGTTGACCTGACTTTGGCCTACCTGCCTGACCTGATCTGATGCGCGATGACTTGACCTGGCTTGATTGACTTGCCATCTCAAACATCCCCAACCCCGTACCCCCCCCCATCCCATCATCCCCATCCCCAACTCCCCATTTCACTCCGGCTGCCACTGCCAGTGCCACTCCTACTCTACTCTATTCTCCTCTCTCCCACTCGGGCTGGGCATTCTTGCATCTGCGACCTGGGGCTGGCTGCAACTGGGGCTGGACTGCGACTGCGACTGCACCTTGCCTTGCACCTGCATATTGCATGCCTTTTGCCCTCGTTCCTTGTCCTCGGTCACTTGTCTTCGTTTCCCGACCTTGTCTCCTCCTCCTCGTCCTCCTCCACCAAACTACAACAACATACAAGCCCACATCCGCATCCGCGCATCCACCTCCACAGCCACATCCACCCACTCTGGAGATGCCAATTGCGTCTCCAGGATTATTGCCCGCCCGCCTCCTCAGCCTCCATCCACTCCACCCTTTTCGACCAACCGCCCGCCCTCGGCCGTCGAACTACTAGAAGAGCACCTCCTGCTGCAGGACCATGACCATGTTCAAGTCCAAGAACACTCTTCCTCCTTTGCGCGAAACAGACAAGAAGGACCCAATGTTGAAAACAAGGTTTTTACCGCCCGCCCATTTTGAATCTTACACCCAACCCACCCGCCCACTGCACGCCCACTGCACGCCCCTTCCAGACCTTAGCCGTAATATGAGTTGCAGTCGCGGTTGCAGTCGCAGTCGCAGGTGCAGGTGCATGTCAACCAAGGTCCAGACTGCGAGTGCGAGTGCGAGTGCGCCCCCGTCCTGCCCTGTCAGAACCACCAGCAGCAGCAGCAGCAGCAGCACCCGCCCGCCTGTACTGCACTACACTGCACTGCATCGCGCTGTGTGTGATGGTGGTGGTGGTAGTGCTGGTGGTGGTGTGTGTTACGAGCAGGAGCGCCGGCACCGCATTTCATTTTACTTTGGATTCGCTTCGCTCCGCTCCGTCTTGTATTGCCTCAGAGATGGGCGCATCCCGGGCAAAAAAAACCACACCAGGCAATCCCCACCGCCCGCGCCCACCCGCCACTTCACTTTACTTTATTACTTTACCTTACCTTACTTTGATCCCGCACTACCCAACATCCCGACCCCAGAAAGCTGAAGCCTTACCTATCTGGACCACCGCTAGCGCCTAACACTGCACAACCACTTCTCCCGCTCTGCGATAACCCCGTTAAAATGCCCTGAACCCCATCTCTCACAACCTGACCCGACCCGACTCCATTCCCGCATTGCTGACAGCCTGCGCCCACCCACAGAACCGCCCAGCTCTCCGCCATGCAGGCATCACCAACCTCCTCGTCCTCCCCCGAGGACGCCGCCGAGAACACAGCAGACGAGGAGGATTCCGAGGACTACTGCAAGGGAGGCTACCACCCCGTCTCAATTGGCGAAAAGTTCAAGGAGGGCAAATACACCGTCGTGCGCAAGCTGGGCTGGGGCCATTTCTCCACCGTCTGGCTGTCGCGCGACAACACCACAGGCAAGCATGTCGCCCTCAAGGTCGTGCGCTCTGCCGCACACTACACAGAGACCGCCATCGACGAGATCAAGCTCCTCCAGAAGATCGTCACCGCGAAGCCCGACCACCCCGGCCGCAAACACGTCGTCAGCCTGCTCGACTCCTTCGAACACAAGGGCCCCAACGGAACACACGTCTGCATGGTTTTTGAGGTTCTAGGCGAGAACCTGTTGGGCCTCATCAAGAAATGGAACCACCGCGGCATCCCCATGCCCTTAGTGAAGCAGATTACCAAACAGGTGCTGCTGGGGCTCGACTATCTCCACCGGGAGTGCGGCATCATCCATACCGACCTCAAGCCCGAGAACGTATTGATCGAGATCGGTGACGTCGAGCAGATTGTCAAGAAGGTTGTTAAGAGCGAACCGTCAGATAAGGAGAACAATCGCAACGGCCGAAGGAGGCGGAGGACATTGATCACTGGCAGCCAGCCATTACCGTCGCCACTCAACGCGTCCTTCAATCACAACAATCTCTTCCCATCACCCAACTCACACTCCAGCCTCGGCCAGATGTTGAACGAAGGTGAGTGCCCCCAATCGTCGTGGGCCAAGCTCCGCATCCTCCAGCCAGCCCCGAAACCCGCCACCAGGAGGCCAACCAGCCCCGCGCCCCGCGCCCCGCGCTTCGCCCCCAACGCCACATCCTGGGCCTGGGCGTACAGTGCCCAGAGGCTGTCCACGTCAATCAACCGCGTGTCGCGCCACGACTTTTGAGTTCGTCTTGCTAACGGTAGACCCCTGTAGGCAACAAACCAAAAGAATCATCACCAACCGACGAGATCAAGCAGAAGCAGCGGGAAAAGACAGCGTGAGTCTGCTCTTGAAGATGAGGCTCGACCCTCATCGCGCATTGCGCACTCACCATAGTTTCCCATACTGACCAAAGTTTCTCGGTTCTAGGGATCTCCTTACAAAGGAAGTATCTGGCATCTCCCTGGACAAGTCTTCAAACTCGTCGTCATCATCCACAGGCGAAAAGCGCAAGGCCGAAGACTTTGGTCTAGACGTCATCAGTGTCAAGATTGCAGACCTGGGCAACGCCTGCTGGGTAAACCATCACTTCACAAACGATATCCAAACGAGACAATACCGGTCGCCCGAGGTGATACTTGGTTCGAAATGGGGGGCTAGCACGGATGTGTGGAGCATGGCTGCAATGGTATGTCACCCAATTACTGCCTGCAGGCGCGGTCACACAGAAGCATCCAAGCGCTAACCAATCTCGCCCGTACAGGTCTTCGAACTTATCACTGGCGACTATCTCTTCGACCCTCAGTCCGGCACTAAGTATGGCAAGGACGACGATCACATAGCCCAGATAATAGAGTTGATGGGTCCATTTCCGAAGTCACTGTGTCTATCGGGCAAGTGGTCGCAAGAGATATTCAATCGTAAGGGCGAGCTCCGCAACATCCACCGGCTGCGGCACTGGGCGCTTCCTGATGTCCTGAGGGAGAAGTACCACTTCAAGGAGGAGGAAGCCAAGCGCATTGCCGACTTTCTGGTGCCCATGCTGGAGCTCGTTCCGGAGAAGCGAGCCAACGCCGGCGGCATGGCGGGGCATGTCTGGCTGGAGGACACGGCAGGGATGAAGGGTGTCAGGATCGAGGGACTGGAGGTTGGTTCCCGGGGCGAGGGCATAGACGGTTGGGCGAACGAAATCCGGAGGCGATAGGGACTGTCTCTTAGCGATGGGCTCGACTACCTACTGCCCCGTCTCGGTCCGCCTAGACAGGACTCGACTGACGGTGGTGATGATGATGAGAAAGAGAGCCAAGACGAGGAAGAAGGTGGTGGCGGAAGTCTCCGTCCCGAGGATGACAAGGAAGCCGATGATGGGCACAGTGACTCTGACCATTCCTCAAGGCTCTGATGGGAACGACAATCGGGGTTGAAGAGGGTGGGGAGCGGGGGCGGATCCAGATCCCCGGGCTCAAGCCGTGGCTGTTGCTGCCCTGAATAGACAAAGAGAGAGAAAGATGACGAAGAAGGCGCACAAGAGAGAGTGACAGTGAGAGAGAGCATTCAAGAGCTGCAAACCCGAGAGCCAGCGTTTTTTGCTAAGAGGTAGGGTGGCCGACGAAACTCGACGTGATCGATGCCGAACATGATGTCTCTCTCTCTTGAAGCGGTGAAGCAGATGCGATGCTGCAGGTACACATGATGCGCACAAGGCCAGCCAGCCTGGCGAGTCGAGGGTCGGCGGCGCACAGGGCCCAGGCTCCGCCGGGGATGGAGCAAGAAGGTGGTGGTGCAGATGCGATGGCAAAAAAGGACTGAGGACTGATGTTGTCGATCGCCGTCGGGCGCGTTTTCCTCCCGCCATCACTCGCACTCGCCCTCACATTCATCCTCCTTCCTTTCTCTCTCTCTATCTCTCTCTTGTGGTGGTGATATTATTATTACGACGGGATGACGGACTGGCTGACCGCTGCCCCTTTTTTGGGGGAGGGTCCGGGAAGTTAATGAAGTTGGGAAATCAGACCAACGGGAGGGAGCAGGAAGAAGAAGGAAGGAAGATATCACGCATGTATGTATGTATGTATGTATGGAGTTGGTATGGGGAGGCATGGAGTTTTGACGGAGGATGGATGGATGGTAAGGCAGGCACATGCACACAAAGACACGACACAACACAACAGATTACACAACACACATCACACAACATATATATCATCATATCATATTATATCAATTACATTATATTATAGGACTATGGGATCAATACATGAGTCTACAATGGGAGTGTAGCATGGTGAATCAGGTGGTTGGTCTTTGATTTGGAGAGTTTCTTTTTGTTTTGTTTGCTGGTGTTAGGACTGGTTGGGTTGTACGTGGTTCTCGTGACTTGCTTGTGTGTTGGTTGGTTGGTTGGTTGGTTGGTGATGAAAGACTTTGCCGGAAGGTACGGAGTACTTGGTGCCGTTTCTGGGCGTGGTGGTTGAGAGGCGAGGGAGGGAACGAAGGGGTGAAGGATGGAGTGGGTGGGAGTGGAGGATGAGGGCAGACAGACAGGCAGCAACCATTGCTTATGGGCGATGTGCTTGCCGTCTGTCTGTCTGTCTGTCATTTGTATGTTGCAATGTACATGCTTGCCCGTTTGGCATGAGGTCGGTCAGGCTCGGTTGTGCGTGGGAAACTCCATGAGGAACCAAAAAAACCAAAGAGGAGAACCCCAGCTTTGATGTTGAGCCTGCCTGGTTGGCAAAGGGAGGGGAGAACGTTGTCTTTTGCAAGTGAGGTCTTCCAACTTTGAGACAAAGGAAGACCCTAAAGGGTGGATATTTTGGATAATTGTATTGTAGCCCATAGTCTTCGTCTTGATATGCGATACTCATCTTGCTCATGTGTGGTATTGATGGGGCCAACCGACCAAGTGACCCAAGCCCCGATCATGCATCCATCCGACCACCAACAGACTCTGCGCACATGCATGTGCATTCTACTTCATCATGGGCATGCTCCTTCGTTGTAGTTTGGGCCACCGATATTCATGCAACTGACCGGATGATCCATCCACCCATCTTTCACGAACCCTTGGCCCAACTCCGCTCTATCGGCCGTGCTTTCTTCTCGTCCTGCACCAAGGAAGGAAATGACATCGTCAGACGGTCGATGAACCAACCCGAGCGTTCTTTCTCATAGAAAGCTACACCCCATTACGTGGACTCGCTTGTCATCCGACGGTTCGCGTCACCTGCAATGCCAAAACTGAAGGGCCAGGAAAGGCCTTCACCACGGCGCCCACGACACCAACAGCTCTACCAAAAAGGAGGCCCGCACAACTGCAGAACCCATTCGCCGCAGTGTCCGCAACCACTCCGTTCTCCTTTCGTAGCCCCCCACAAAAAACATAAGAAGGAAGGGCGAGCACCCAGCCGTCCTGTCCTGTCCGCCTAGTTGCCGCTCTTCTTCTTCCCCTGCGTGATCTTCCTGAACGCCTGCTCGGTGCCCGCGCCCACGGGCCTGTGGTCGGCCCCGCCGCCGGCGCCGCTGCCGAGCTGCGAGATGGGCGCGATGGTGTAGGAGACGGGCATGCCGGCGGGCCGGGCGCGGTTCGTCGCGCGGACGGGCTCGAGGGCGGCGGCCCGCTTCGCCGCCAGCCTCTCGGACACGGAGCTGACCTTCTTGCCGCTGCTGCTGACGCCTCCTGGCCGGTGGGCCAGGGACTGCTGGGAGGAGGGGGCGGCCTGGGAGCCTGGGCCTCTGTACTTGAGGGAGCTGTTGGTTTGGGGGGGTTGGGCTTGTTAGTTGCTTTTTTCCCCACCTTTTCTCTCTGGGGCTGGGACAAAAGATTGTGTGGGACGACGTACTCTGGATCTATGTACCGGGCCTCGATCTGCCTCTTCTTGTAGTCGTCTGTCCGCTGCAGGATGGGCCTGCTCCACTCCCCCATGAGCCTCTCGGCCATGCGCTTGATCTCGGGCTGGGCGCGCTTGGTCTTTGTGTAGAAGAGCACGACCTGGCCGATGCCGCTGGACAGCAGGGCCTCCTTCTCCACCGGCATCTTGGTCAGGGCGGTGAAGATCTCGCGCTGGATGTTGTAGGCGGGCAGGCTGCCGTCGGCCTGCAGGGGCTCGAGGAAGTACTTGACGGCCTGCAGGAAGTTGGTCTCCGGGTCCAGGATGGCGTGCTGGATGTTCTGCCGGTTCAGGAGCGTCATCACCTCGGGCAGGAGCTTGATCTTGGCCACGGCGGCCCGGTCGTCCTCGCGCGCCGCGTTGTCCTCCTTACACGCCGTCTCCATCTTGACCTTGAGGTCTGCGATGATATCGTCAAGCTCTTCTTCCAGGTCCTGCAAGTTGTATTGTCAGCATGTGATTCACCCCCAAGCTGCCACGAACCCGGGTGGTGAGATTCGGGTGTGTGTGTGAGTGTGTGTGTGTGTGGCATGTGAACAACATACCACCTCGTCCTTCTTGGTGCGCCTCTTGTTGCTCTTCCCCTTGACGGCAGCATCCATCGCCCTCTCGATCGCCCTCGCCCGCCTCTGCTCAGGCGTCAGGTGCTCGTCGTTCTCCGGCTCGGGCGAGGGCCGCTTGGAGCGGCTCTTGGGCTTCTTCTCGCCGCCGCCGCCCGAGCCGCCGCCGGCGCGCCGCCTCTTGCCCTCGATGATGGTCCCGTCGGCGGCGCTGACCTCGTCGCCGTCCTCTGTGCGCCGCTTCTTGGGCCGCCGGCCCTCCTTGGGCTTCTTGGAGGCCGCCTCGCCCTCGGCGCGCTTCCGCTTGGTCGCCTTGAGCGACTTGGCCACGTCCTCGTCGATGTCGACGGGCCGCTGCTCGATGTTGGCCTTGAGGGGGTCGTACTCTTCGAGGTCGATGTCGCCCACCTCGGACAGGATGTCTGAGTCGCGGTCGGACATGTCGCCGTCGTTGATGCCTGCTGCTTGGACCTCGTCCTCAGGCGCGGGCGACGCCTGGCGGGAGTCGTTGTCCTCGATGTCGGACATTGTGTCTTTGTCTGGCTGGACTGGAGCACCAGGCCAGAGGATCGAGCGATGGTGTGGGATGTGTCGCCTGCTTCGGGAGGCTGTGGCAACGAGGTTGGGTCTTTGGTGTTTGGGCTGGCTGGGATCTGACTGAGAAACGAGGAATCAGAGATGGGGAGGACGGTCGACGGTTGATGGTCGGAAAAGGTGGGAGCTGGTGGAGTCAGGCCTGGTCTGTCGGTGTTTGGATGTCAAAGTGGGCAGAGTACAATTGACAGCTGCGATTTGGGAACCTGGCAGCTAAGGTAATCAATCAATCCTTTGACTTTTTGCTGCTGCTGCTACACCAGGTACGGTACGGTCCTGGCTGTCGCTCTGGCTCTAGTTGATTAGCTCCTCTGCTCCTGGGTCTGGAGGCTGAATGTGAGCAGGGCCCGTGCACTAGGCAGGGGGTAGTATCCTTGTATCTTGGTAGCTAGGCCTGCTGGGCAGCTGGGATGCTACTGCTGACTGAGCCTGTACCCCTGGACCTGGCCCGTTCTCGCTTCTGGCTTCTGGGCCGCAATTAAACGACGCTAGCGCACGACGTTTCTCTTGTTTATTGTTGACATGACTGCACAGCTGCAGAAGCTTTGCAGGTTGCCATCCACAACGTCCATCGCTCACCCCTCTCTCCCCATCACCCTCTCCCTGCTCAGCTTGCACAAGACGACCGACCGTACCTAGCTTTGCCCTTAAAAGACCCACCGGTGCCCGCTTCTTTGCGCATGGGATCTGCATCTCACCATCAGTCAATCCTCCATTTGCCGCAGCTGGACAACTAGCCCTGCTCTGCCGAACCTGCGACGCTTTCGCATTCCATAGCCCGCCCGCCTCATCATCATGAATAGGCGCGGGGGTGAGGGTCCTATGGACGGGCTCGAGTTTCAGAACGCAAATGTCGACAAGTCGAGTCCTTTTGTCCTCTATGCGAATCAAAATCCAGCCCTCCGTACGTCCGCATCTCCTCACACCACGACCACGCGACCACATGCTGGTCGCCTGTCCCCCGCCAGATTGTTGATACTGACCCATTCGCGCCACCCACAGCTTCTCAAAACCCAGCAGCGCAGCCCCGTGTTTCCTTTGGCACAAACCTCTTCCAGTCCCAGAATGCAGTGCCCAGGAATGCCAGCCCCTTGAGGCAACAACAGACCTTCCCACGAGCACCAGAAAGATCCGTCTTCAGCCCGTCGATATCGCACCAATACACTGCGGCGCCGCTGCGCAACCCAGCATTCACCAGTGTCAGACCCGGCACACCTGCTTTCATGACGCCCCAGAAGGATCGCTTCGAGGACTCGGTCATGTCAGAGACTCCCGCCGACGATAGTCCCGCCATGACGGATGCTTCTGGCCCTGCCGATACCTCAGCCGATACCCCTGACTTTGATAACTCCGGCTTGCTTGACGGCATGACAATATCAACGCCTGATCATCGGGTCAGCCGCACTCTGTTTTCCGAGAAGAGGTCAGGCAGGGGCGAGCTGCCTAATCTTAGACAGGGGGATTGGTTCCAGCGCGGCAAGGTCCGCAAGAGGTTCAGGACGGACAGGGATAAGGATGTAGGGAGCGCGAGGTTACGCCTGCCAGACGGCCGCGATGAGGATGATAGCGACGACGACGACGACGACGAACCACGGGCCGGCCGGCGCAACAGGAGGAACCGAGACACGGGGTGGCTACACCACATCTTGACCTCCATCTCCTCCAACCCCAACGCGCCCATGATAATCTCGTGGTATCTACAGGTGCTCTTCAATGCAGCTTGCGGTGGTGTGGTACTATGGATGGCCTGGGGTATCATCTCAGCGATACGCGGCGAGGTGCTCTACTCGTCTGAGAAGGCCAGGGCGCAGCTCATGGAAGAGATGAACGCATGCTCTCGCAGGTATATCGAGAACAAGTGCTCTCCGATCCAGGACCGACTGCCAGCCCTTGAAGGCATGTGCAACGAGTGGGAAACCTGCATGAGCCAGGATTCAAACGTGGTGGCGGGCGTCAAGGCGTCCGCAGGGCACCTGGCCGATATCCTGAACGAGTTCTTCTCGCGGCTCTCCTGGAAGGCGACCGTGACGCTGTCCACCTTCTCCATCATCGCCATGCTCGTCTGCAACGTTGCCTTCAGCAAGTTCCGGCACAACTACAGGGAGCAGACCCTCCACCAGGGAAATCCCGGGTCGCAGTACCAGGGCATGGGCCCCATGGGCTTCCCAATGTCACCGGGCAAGAACCAGGCCTACATCTTTGCTCCCATCGGACAGACGCCGAAGCACATCAGGCGGGCTTTCCTGCAGGACGATACGGAATCCGAGGCCTCGCCGGATGCCAGATACTTGCCACCGCCGGTGACGCCGTCACGCACCCGGAGCCCTATAAAGAGTGAGAGGAGCAGGAGCCCTACCAAGATGAAGTTGGAGATGAGTCCTAGCAAGATGGATCGTAGTCAGAGTCCGTCGAAGAGGAGCCCGTCCAAGAGGCTTGAGTGGCAACTGTGATTGGACAGGAAAAACAGCGTGAAGAGGGCGCAAAGCTATCTCATGAGGTGAGGTGAAGATATGTACATTAAATTGCGTGGGTAGTCAGAATGGACATGACCGCTTGAGAATGTGGGGTCCGAACGGGGGAGATCCAAGGCAGGAAACGGAAAGGGAAGGGCACAGTCAATTTTGTACAAGGACCAACAGGCCCGAGGAGTATGGATACCCGGGATACCCACGAAAACACCGGGGAGCTTCAGGAAATGGGGGTGTTTCGGGCCGGGACTGAGCGATAGCGACTGGGCACTCTACTCTTGAGGTGTCTTGGTTAATATACATAGTACTTCTGCAGAAGATGAATGACTGCTATCCAATGTGCTGTAATCACAGCCATGAAGTTGTACACCTAGGGACTTGTATGAGAGGGTGGTCTAGGGGATACAAGGCCGAAGTGATTGGTGATTGATATGCGGGCACCACGGCCCAGGTCAAACTTACGATAAAAGCTTGGTTGTCTGTGGTACTTGCACCCAATCGTCCGCTCAATGCGGCTTGCATCTCCGGGGACGGTGGGTCCCTTCCCGAGCAAAAATAATGCTGGGGTTCATCAGAGTCCGGGCGCGCAGCTCGAGGGCGAGGGGCCCGAGATTATCCCCAGCCAACCACCCCCATCCGAGTCGAGTCGACTGCCCCGGGGACCCGAACACGGGGTTCGAGTGAGGCTGTGGTGTGTGGTTCGATACGACTGTAGGATGTCAATATTGACGGCCGTTGCTGCATTATACGATATTGACTTTGGGTCTGTGTGGTTCGGCAACGGACTAATTGATTATTTGATGAATAACTACCACATATCAGATTGGATAATTGTAGATTTTTAGGTTCTGCTCAACTTTAGAAGAACATGTCAAGGTCCCTTATTTGTTCTTCAAAAGGAAGTTGGTTTTCCTCTCCCGGAAAAAAAAGCGGTCGCTCTCTTCGAATTGAGCACTTGCCTTGCAAAACGCAGTCATTTACTTGACCTGTTGTTTCGTTCCAGAAGAGTCAATAACTTGCTTGGCTAAACATCTTCCAAGTCAACCCGCTTCGTCCCCGAGTCCCCAAGCTCAACAATGCAGTTCCACGTGCTCACCTCCTGCCTGGCCTTCTCCTCGGTCTCGTGCCTAGTTGTCCCCAGGGAGCACGAGCAAGGCCTCCTGAGCAGCACCGGAGAGGCCCAAGGACCCATCAGCACGACATGGGTAGGCGTGGAGAAGAGCACGGCAGCAGTCCCAGACGGACCCGTGCCTGACACGGAGTCATCATTCCTTGACGTAAGTATTTTTTTCCCGCTCAGCCTGAGAAGGGGGGGGGAGGGGGGTCCCGTCTGCTTTCCCCCGGGCGTCAGTAGCACATGATTGGGATGGATGGGGGAAATCAAAGAAAAAGTTGTTGACACGCTGGCCACAAACGACAGGAAGACGTGGCCCTCAGGCGCTCTGCCGGGCTGATCCTCGCCAGGCGCGCCCGCGTACCCACCGCGCGAGGGCGGTCGGGTGGAGGAACAGTGTGAAGCGGGAAGGCGGTTGGTTCTTGAGCGGGCTCCGGGCTCGTGGGGGACAGCGTGGCGGTGTTGTTGGGTGTCATTGGCGAGTGGTTGGTGTGGCCCGGCTCTCTGGGGTTGTGATGTAAACACAACGGCAGACGGAACCTCGGTGACTCATCCTTTTGCCTAACCCGACGGCACAATTTATGTGTTCTGCATCCTTTCTCGGGCATGTGATGATCCAAGCGAGGACAAGACTTCAGTTACCGACCAGTGGCTTCCAAGGTTGTCCTCCTCGTGTTTAGGCAGCTATGTACCTCTCAGCCCACGCGAGCGCCATGCGTGGGCAGATACATCGGCGGCGATTCAAGTTTCCCTGCATGGATATGCATGCAGGTCACTCACGGTTTACCGACTTTCTCGCCCTCGCCTCACTTTGGTTTTATCTCCGGGGGGCGAGACAAGTTGTTGTTACAGAGTCATGTGCTTTGCTTCTTTGTTTTGTTGGGCAGATCTTTAACGATCACCCCGCGAAGTCGGGCCTGATGACAGAGCGTGTGAAAAGTTCTTCCCTTTGGCACGCGGAATAGGTACATATGTCGTAGGCCTATTCTGCGGCCAGCTTAGTCGACATGACGGCCTCTATACCTGCCGTTTGTTAGGAAAGAGTGTCTGGTATTCCCCTTTTTATATGTTGGGTGTCGTTTTAGATGCGAAGGATACCTGGGTAGTCTTCAAGGATCTAAGCGAGTATTATGCCGTTGATGTCCTCCGTTCTTTTCGACCCAATGGGGATTGTTCACATTGATATTGACTATAAGCTGCACATGTAAGTCGGCGACGGGACTATAGACGATTGTCTGTGGCTCCCGAGCGTTTCACCAGAGCCCAAGCTGGATGGAAAACGTGTGGGATCTCGACCATGCTGGGCAGATCAATTCAAACTCCTACGAAGGTCGCAAATCATTGTTGAAATGCTCCTGGTTGATACAGAGGACTCAAAGCCTGGTCTTTTGTTACGCTGAGCCGACGGGTAGAACCAGAAGCGCCTTTGCCACCATCCTGCACGTCCAGTGATCCGATCTTGCATTGGTGTTCTAGAAGATGCCCGAATGAGGAAAAGAGGGGGGGTGGCAGGCACAATCAAAGAAAATTCTGCCTACAATAGCCAGGTCTACATTGGTCGTCCATTTGTCGAGCCGTCTAATACCTACCTACCCGACCCCAGAGACACACAAGACAAGGGAGGGCGGAGCAAATGCTCCGACACGGGCAACAAGTGCAAGTACCTCTGTACCGCGTACTGTGCTTCGTTAGCTGAGTTAGTTTTGTGGAAAGGCCACATGGCTGCGGAGCCGCCTGTCGGTCTGACACGGCAAGGAGGGGGCGGGTAGCTGGCGGGAAGAAGCCAGTTCAGAACGACGGGTAAGTAATACAGGAAACAACGGTGCAAGGGTCTGCTTGGACATTTGGAGGTACGTGCTTAGCCAGGCAGCCAGCCAGACAGCCAGACAAGGCAGAATATCTCAAGAAGCATTTCAGTTGCAGATACTTGCCTAGATATGATATTTCTCGTGGCCTTTTCCTTTTTGATGCGTGTCGTACAAGATCCCCAACATGCAGCAAGAACGCCGGCAAAGGCAGCCCGGCAGCCCGGCTGAATGACCAGCGTACCCGAGACAAATGTCTGTCTGCCTCTACGGGACTGTCGGGATGTCGGCTCCTGCCTCAACTCCCCGAAGACCTGGGCCGTGCTGGACCAGGCCGGGCCATGGCGGCCATCAGAACGACTGTCGAAACACACTCCCGAAAAGGCAACCTCCTCGCCGTAGTCGACTCAACAGGGCGAGGAAACCTGGGCCTTATTCATTGCCCTAGCAACAGATAACAAACAACATCACCTGCAGGATTATTAGGGCTGTTGTCAGCGCCGACCTCCTTTTGCTCGCGTGTCGTCGTCGTCACGGCAGCCTGGCGAGAGCAGTCGATCATAGAGAGGATCTTCAGCCAAGACTTCATCTTCCTCGGACTGACTGCAGCAGCAGCGGGGACGGTCTCTACTCCGCAGGGGCGGAAGAGCGTGCGTGCATCAGGACTATGTCGTGCATGTCGGGCCTCTCGCGGTCGAGCCCTGGGCAGATATTTCTTTTCGTCGTTGGGTCATTGCGTCGGTGTGCCAGTGTGCCTATGGCGATGGCGGAGGCGTGAGTTGCTGGTGGCCATAAGAAGCACAGGGTAGAAGAGATATAGACATCAGTCTTCGGGCCGATCGCTGCATGTCATCGGGCTGGAGTGGGGTCGAGACAGCTCGAGTCTGTGTAGGTACCTAGGTACCTAGGTAGTTCGGCTGTCTGGCTGTCTGGCTGTCTGGTACGGAGTACGGAATAGTTGATCTTTAACACACGTCGATCATGTGGAGGACAGGTAAGGTGGGTGGCGAGTGATGCAAGTGCAAGTGCGAGTGCCGTGCGCCACAGCCCATCAGAGTGGCACAGCCGTTGGTTGTCCCGCAGTCCCGTGTCCCGTCATAGCATGCAAATCCTGATGGGAAATTGACAGGAGCCCCAAGGCAGGCTGGCAGGCCGGGCCAGGGCTTCCAGAAATGCCATGCTGCCCCCAGCCAATCCACCGGCCGAGCTAGCCCCAGATGGCCAGCTCGTGCCCCTCCACTGCTGCAGGGGTGCCATGTTCCGAGGTTGCAGGAGCAGCAGCTGGCAGCTTTGCATGCATTCTGTCATATCATGCCGTCGATTTCTACTGCTTGATTTGAGCTCTGTCCCCGTTGCCCGCCCCGTTGTAAGCTTGCGACATTACAAAAAGTCGGAGAAGCGCAGACAGATGAGGGGCCAGCCAGGATCTGGTTTGCGCCGTCAGCTGCGACACGCAACACACACTCCGCACCAGCCTTCCACTGCAGCCCGCCAGCCAGCCAGCTAGTGCTCAAACAGCACAGCATACCTGCCTAGCAAAGCACAGCACCTGCCTAGCAAAGCACAGCACTTGCTGCCCGGTCTCGACCTTCTCCCAACTATGACGTCGTGCGCCGCGCCGACCTGATTTCGCACGCGAACCACACACCCCCCTCCTCTTTCCTGAACCCCCACCCCCCGCTATTCCACCGCCCACTGGGAGATTCCAATGGCGTCCGAGAAACGCGCCCGCGCGCCCAGTATGGATGACCACATGGAGCAGGACTCTCCCCATCCCGACGACACGCCCTCCTCAAACCAGCCCGACTCTGGCGCAACTCCCGTCTCAACCACCCAGACCACCGGCGCCTCGACGACCTCAGCCTCCAACCCCTCAGCCGGCACTCCCGCCACTGCCGCCACCGCCCACACCGCCGACACCTCCTCCTCCGCCGGCACTCCCAACGCGCCGCCTGCGCCCTCCCACGCCACCAATGTCGCCTCTAAGAGACGGAGGGGCCTGGGCGTGGTCACCCCCAATGCCTGTACCGAGTGTCGCAAGAAGCGCGCAAAGGTACTATCACCTCCTTGTTGCTCAGTCTCGGTCGCGCAAGCCGTCCCACGTCTCCTGGACTGACTGTTTGCTATTCTGCGCCCCATAGTGCGACGGCCAGCAGCCCTGTAGCAGATGCGCCTCCCAGAAGGACGTCGAGTGCCACTACGAGGTTCCCGTGCGCCAGTCAAAGGAGAACCTCCGCAACGAGATCGAGTATCTGCGCCGCCAGCAGGCCTCCAACGAGTCCGTCATCAGCGCCCTCTCCCAGAACGTGCAATGGGAGGAGGTCCTGCGACGCCTGCGCAGTGGCCAGTCCGTCGAGGCCATATCCGACTGGCTGGGCACTCAGATGTCCTCGGGAGCTGGCCCGATGCCCTCCTTTGGCCAGCCCTCCGGCTCCGGTTCCAACCTCACCGGCGTCGCCACTTTCGCCGGCGCGAGCGCCTCCTCTTATACCCCTGGCCTGGCCAATATGGCACTGTCGGCCGCCACTGTCAGCCCCACATCAACCGTCCATCCTCTGAGTGCGCGACAGGACATGGACACCTCGAGCCAGTGGAGTCTCTATTCGGCCGCCAGCCAGGCACATACCAACAGGAGCAACTCACAGTCAGACGCAATGCATTGGAGCCGTTCAGGGCCTCCACAGACACGGGTCGGATCATGGGTTGCCGATAACCTGTCACCTTTGCAGCACTCGCAGCCCTCAGATGGGGGCTACCACGGCCTCTCTCAGGTATTGACACCCGATATGCCCCCTCCCTCAGGCCTGCCCACCACCTGGACCGAGGTCAGCTCAGATAGAAGCTTGGTCCAGCACCTGCTTGCCCTCTACTTTTGCTGGGAATACCCGACCTTCGCATCTTTGAGCAAGGAGCACTTCCTCAAGGATTTCCATCACGGGCGCCAGCGCTACTGCTCTCCCATCCTCGTAAACGCCCTGCTTGCACTGGGGTGCCGCTTTTCGACCCAGCCCAGTACGCTTGCGAACCCGGACGACCCCTACTCATCCGGGGACCACTTTTTCAAGGAGAGCCTCCGTCTCTTTTTCCTGGAGGACAACCACCACAGCCTCACTACAATCCAGGCTCTTGGCATCATGTCCATACGAGAGGCAAGCTGCGGTAGGGACTCGGAGAGTTGGTATTATGCCGGGCAGAGCATTCGTCTCGCTGTCGAGATGGGCCTGCACCGCGTGAGTGACGATTCGGGGGATAGCGACGAGGTCGCTGTCCAGGCAGCTACGTTCTGGGGTGCCTTTGCGTTGGACCAGTGAGTCTCTCGGCCTGTCTGCTCGGGCGCTGACATGTTAGCTGACTCGCTTTCCTCTCAGTGCTTGGTCTCTAGCCACTGGTTCTTTGCCTCAAACGTCTTGTTTCCCTCATTTGCCTCCCAAACCAGCCATTATGCCAGATATCGAAGCTTCTGTCTGGATTCCTTATACGGACAACGGTACGTGCTGCCCTTCTCCCAGATCTCGTTCGAGTCTCAAGACGCCTGACCCGGAAACAAGGTGCCCCATTACAACGGTCGTGCGAGCAGCCGTCCAATGTCAGATCGGTATACAAATGTTTCTGCGAACTCAGCGAATTAGTCCATGCATCCCTCTATATTCTCCACACCCCTGGCCGACCAGTCACGGGACCCGATCTATTGAGCATTTACAACCAGTTCATTGACTGGTACGACACGGTACCAGTCGCACTCAAACTTGGACATAATTTCACCCCCGCAGTCCTCTTCGCCCAGTAGGTCAAGAGCTGATACCGCTCCAGAATGCACCGCTGACATATCTTGATTGCAGTATGTATTATCATTTTGCCATATTGCTACTCTTCCGGCCTCTGGTCAAATTGCGGATCAAGGGGTCAAGTGTCGTGCCGCGAGATGTCTGCTATCAAGCTGCAGACGCCATTCAAGGTTTATCCAAATCATATTCACAATTGTACACGCTGCAGCGGACACCCTCGTTTGTCCCTTATTTTGTTCTCACCGCTGCGATCATGCATCTGGCCATCGCGGCATCGGGGATCCCGCCGCCAGAAGAAGGCGAGACAGAACCCATGGGCGGTCCCAGTGGGGGGCCCTCGACAACACGGCAAGCAGCCGGCCACCCACCAGTTGGCTCTGACCCGCCTGCAGTGTCCCCTCACGTAACTCGGTCCATAAACCAAGGCATCGCGGACCTGACCGAGATGGCGCCGTGCCACCACTTTGCGGAGCAGGCGCTGAACATCCTGCGGTACCTGGCCAAGAAGTGGAACATCGAGGTCGACATGGACGTGCCGCAGAGGATGAGGCGCGAGAAGGAGAAGGCGCAGCGGGAGGGCCGCGAGGCGACGCGGTCGTCGGACCTGACGAGGATGGACGACCACGACTACGGCACGCGCGCCGCGACCAACAGCCTCAACTTCTTCGCGCCCAACATGACGGAGAACGACTTTGTCACCACGTGGGGCACCTCGGTGTCGCTGCCCGCGGCGCCGACGCCGACGCCCAGCGCGCCCGTGGCGAGGTCCGGCGACTCGATGGAGAACCCGCTGTTCTGGCCGTTCCCCATGCAGGGGAGGCCGATCCTGCCCACGGGGGAGGCGCTTGCTGATGCTGGGTTTGAGCTGGTCTAGACGGGTCGGGGTGGGGCGGGGCGGGACGGAGCATTGGTGGGTCGGAGGGGATGTGGTTACTCATCTGACACGGAAAAGCTCGCTGTTGCTTGTGGCTTGTGGCTTGTGGCTGGCTGGTCGAGATTACTATCTACCTGGGATGAGCAAAGCCAGCTTTGTGTATGGAGTTGTTGATACCCCGGCCAGTTTGAAGAATATGTGCGAGATAACTAATTCAAAAGGAAGAGACTGGATTCTGATGGGGGGGGGGGGGGTAAAGCCCCCGGCCAGGCGGGCAGGTCTTCCTCGCTTGCATGATCACGGGCATCTTTTCCTCTCTCTCTCTCTCTCTCTCCTGGTACGGTGTTGTTGTGAAAGAGCCTTGTTGCTGTTTTCTTATCATAGACTCGGTTATGGCTTTCGTCCCCCCCACCCCTTCCCGAGTTTCATTTGAGTTAGAGTGGTCAATATTCGGAATGATGACTCTTACATGGCATGGGCACTAGGGTCTCCGGTGGTGATGAGGGACGGCGCAGCTCTCGGGGCTGGGGGAATTCTGTCTTTCTTGTCTAGGGTCCTTGGCCAATCGGTCCGGCAGTCAGGCAGTCATCACGCGAGGGGGAGGAGGTTTCAAGTGGCTTGTGGTTTTGTTCCTCATCCCCAACGCCGTCGTCAAGACGGTGCCCCTTAGCCTTGTCTGTGCGTCGCAAGGCTGAGGCCACAAGCACCTATCGTATTATAACTATCGTTATCGGCATCGTATTCTTTCCAAGCGCTGGGCCTTGAGTGCTTACCACCGTATAAAGGCGCCATGTATGTCCTCAGACGTATACGGAATAGAAGCGAAACCACATACATATAAAACATATGTGGCGCCTTTATGCAGTGGTAAGCGATCAAGACCCAGCGTTCAAAGAATACAGTGCCAATAACAGTAGAGAGAAAACAGTACGTGGGCACGCGGCCTCAACCTCATGCCGCATAGACAAGGCTAGGAGATATCGCTCCCGACGGTGCGGTTGACTAGGAAGGTGGTAAAGCAGTCACAAGGCGAGACTATAATAGTTTTAAGATGGTCCCTATAAGAGTCACACGTGAACCAATATTTTGTTGCTTCCCAAAACGATCAACGTCTTGAGCATTTACCACTGTGTGAAGGGCGCCGCATACGTTTTGGGATTGAAAACGAAACCACCCGACTCGTCGAAATGGATAACAACGAAGCAGCCGATGTTGGGGTATGTTACGCCTTTCCACCTCGCCATAATCACTGACAGTTGTTAGAAATCCCTGCTCGACCTCCCAGGCGAACTTCGAAACACCATCTACACCATGGTCATCCACGATTCCCCCAGAAGCATTCCTTGGACAGCGAAATCTCTGGACGGGGTGTTGGGGCTGCATGTGTGCCAGCAATCAGCGCTGGCCAGGGTCAACCGGCAGTTGCGCTGCGAGTTCCTGTCCATGTGGTACGGCGAGAACAGCGTTGGCGCCCACGTCTACCCCAAGAAGCACGAGGGCGCCGACCAGGCCTGGCAGGACTTCGTCGACCGGCTCGACGCCCTCCGTGCCCCCAGCCTCTGGTCTCCCGGGCCCGACGGCACGACCGCCGGCAGGAGGTCGTGCCTGTCGCACATCCGGAGCCTCGAGGTCCAGCTCTGGCACCCGGCCTACGACTTTGCCCCCGAGGCCTACATGTGCAGCTTCATGCTCGGCACGCACGAATTCAGCTGCGAAGGCGTGTACCCCCTCGAGTTGTGCAACGGCGTCTACCTCCTGTTCGGACCTACCAGTAGGGATGTTACCCGGGCCGGGGGCGATGCCACCGACTGGACAGACCGCGGCGCGGTCTGGGACGTCCTTGCGGACGCCATAGTACGGGATCGCGGCGGCCGCGGCCTCGGCCGATTTGTCTTACCACCGCGGCACGGCCGCAGGGGTGAGACCTCCGTCAGGAGGGCGTTCCCGATCGACCGGCTGGTGGACCTGGCGATAACGGTCATGGCTGAGTGCGACAAGGCTACCCGTCTTGTCCACGTCTCTACCGTACTGGGAAAATAGGGGCTTCAACAATAGTTCCTCACCAAAATTGACGGTTATATTTATGATAACGATTCCTCCTTTAATAACGGACAATCCCTAACTTCTAATTAACTAATTAAATAGACTACTTCCTACTTTAGAATTAAAACTACTTAAAAAAAATTACTCTATAAATCTTCTTTATTATTAAATAAACTTAATATAAAAAGAAAGCTAATTTTAAGCCTATCTCTATATATACTTTTTAATTCCTTATTTCTTCTCTTTTTTTATAAGTAATAATTTAAAAATCCTATAATATACCTTCCTCAACCTCAACCTCCTCCTTCTATCAATAGGTATACAATTAGAAGGTTAATTAGAAGCTAGGGATTATCCGTTATTAGAGGAGGAACCGTTACTAGAAGAAGAACCGTTAATTCTAGGGCTTTAATTGGCCCCCTTGGGCAACCGTTGCCAGAACCTATAGACCCCCGGTCCGGTACTTTTTCCGCGCCGGCACCCAGGTCGCAACTTTTTGGTGCGCAATCGAGGAGACCGCTATAAACGTCAAGGCCCCTTTGTGGTGAAGATCCACTTCCTTGCCATGGGGAACCTGTCTGCCACTTGCGACAGCGATGCCGCATCGAAAAGTTCCAGTTGTGATAGAAAATAGCTCGCGACCAGAAACACTGTAATATCAAAAGCTTTACCCTGGGAAAACATAGGACTGTTTCCAAGTACCTGGGCCCGCACATGTGGGCAATGGACTTCGTCCACTGGCCGACAAACCGTCTGTCCACTTTGACACAGGGTTGTTTTTGTCTCCATGTGTGAACCGGCCCCGGCAGAGGAAAGAATGGAGTCGATGCACGCCCCTCTAGAATCTAGGATTGGGGATTTCTGCCGAAAGGTCCGACGGTGTTCGGTAGTAATGGAAGCATTTGAATAACATTTTGTCCGAATCAATCCGTCCGCTTACTGCGGAGATAAGGCGCTAAAGGCGCCATTTATGTCCTCGGACGTAAGGGCGGGCTGGAAAAAGGACACCAAGAGCAAAATGCACACCGTCACCATCATCGAGTTATAAATATTCTCAGATCGACCAAGAATTCCACGCGTAATCGTAGAAGAAGTTCAATTAGCGTGCTCTTTAAAAAATGGCGTACTCAGACAAGGACATCGTGCTCATAACCGGCGGGAACGGGGGTATCGGCCTTGAGGTCGCACGACAGCTCACACGAGACCACGGCAAGAGGTTCCACGTCCTCGTTGGCTGCCGCAGCCTCTCTGACGGGGAGGCTGCCGTGAAGCGGTTACAGGAAGAGGACGGCGTGGGGGAGGGGGTCGAGGCCATCCAGATCGACATCACCAGCGAGGAGTCCCTGGCCGCCGCTGCCAAGCAGGTCGGTGACAAGTTCGGCAGGCTTGATGTCCTGCATGCGAATGTGAGTCGGCCAACTAATGAGTCTCCTCATCTGAAAAGGTGGAATTAGATCCTAAGTCCCAACCAGGCAGGAATTTCTGGCGACCAGACCTACGCTGGCCGGCCCATCGGCGAGGTCATCACCCTGACCGTCGCCACCAACGCGGCGGGCGCCGCGGCGAGTGTTGAGCACTTCGTGCCGCTGCTTTCCAGGGCCAAAAACCCCCGGGTCGTCTTCATGAGCTCTGGCGCCGGGAGCCTGAAGCTCGCGCACGACTTTGCGTTTGTGAAGGACTACCCGGCCTACTCGGTCAGCAAGGCTGCCGAGAACATGGTGATGCTTTATTACCACCATCGGTTTCCGGGGTGGAAGGTCAATGCTTCTAATCCTGGCTTCAGGGTGGGTACTTTTTAACTTGTTCTCCACTCCTTGCCGTTTGGAATGCACATGTGGACTCGTTTTCAGCTCCGTGTCTAGAAACTGACGTGTCCTTTGAAAATCACAGGCTACCAAGATCAACAATTATGGCCAGGGGTCGAAGGAGACGCCCGGGCCGGTATCTGAAGGCGCTATGAATGCTGTGAGATTGACGCTCCTCGGTGAGGATGGCGAGTCGGGCACGCACACTATGATTCAGGCCTCACAGGATGAGTACAGCAAGACGATGGAGGGCAAGAATAACATTGTGACTGTGCCCTGGTAGGCCACAGTGGTCTTGTGCCAACTGTGAGGTACTCTCGTGTACCTTGGCATTGTGAATGGACATCCCCTCTCATCCGTATGATCCCGTTTGGCTAGGCAGTAATGGCTCTTGATCTCCGATTAACACTGGAACCGTGTCTCACTACATTGTCACTGGAACTTCCTTTGACGGACCAGTACGGGGCTCACCTAGTTGCTAGCCTGTCTAGAGACCAAGCGGGGGGCCGTGTAATGGATGGAGCGCCTCATGACGAATGTATCCGCTTGTGAAGCCTTTATCTCGTGGCGACACTTGAGAAGATCCCTTGGTGCGCAAGGTCGATGCATTCGATGCTCTATCTCTTTACAGAGGCGGGTCCCAAGTTCGACGACACCGCATCAGCATCACAAGATGTCTTCACTGCTAAAAATATTTCACGTTCCTTTCATGGTTGAATGAACGAAACAGATAATTACAGCATTTTCCCTTGATCTGGCATGATGGACCCATAACGTTTCCTATCCCTAGGCTCTCTCCACCAGACGTACGCCACGCAAAGCTCAAGCTTAGAGGATAAGCACAGTCAAGGTTAAGACAAGCACTATTACAAGACCAATCTCGATTATTTCCTCCGTAACCTGTCCCCACATGATTGTAGAATGTTCCCACATGGCATTGCCCGTGGCACTGACATATGGCGGTAGAACGGAAAGGAGAGTCTGCATGATAATATGTCCGCAGGGCGTGTTGCTGTTTGCAATAAATTTCTCCGCAACTTCTTCCCAAAACGCGGTCGGCTCGTTAGAACAAGAGGTTCCAATCCGTCCAGCGTGCTCGTAAATGGGCCGGTGCGATGGAGTGGTGTGAGCACAAGCCTCAGGCCTGGCCGGCTTGGTTGAAGGGGGCTGTGATGTGTCCGCTTCGCCTGAAGTCGTTGGCCTAGGCGAATTCTTGGTTCGTGGCTCTGGGGGAACGACCTCGGCCGCGCTCATCTTCTCCGTCGGCCAAGGACCAGAGTGTTTCATTTGGGCCTTGGTCTCTATGCTCAGGCCGCTCAAAATCTCAAAGACCTTCCACTTCAAGCCCTTGATTTTCTCGTGGTGCCAGCGTGGCTTGCCACGCCCTTCAAGACGATCTGCGAATTCGAGCACTCTGTTCCAAAGGACTGGATCGACCTGGCACGCATGCTCTTGTAACTTCTCCGCCTGTCTGAGCTTGTCTTCCATCCGCTCGGAGGACCCGGAGGTATTCAGGATGACAAGGCTCCTATGGGTATGCTCTCTTTCCCTTAGCTTTCTCATGAAGTGTTCATACGGCCTCAAGGCGCGTGTCCGAAGGCCAACCAGATCCTTGTTTCCCTCCATGATAATATCCGAAATCTGGTTGGACCAGGCGATTGCTGATTTGATCCCACTGTTCATGCCTCGTCCTGGCCAAAAGTGGTGGGTCAATGCAGCATCGCCTGCTAGTGATGCTAGAAAGTGTGGATGGCCAGCCTTTACATTTCGCCGGTCGAGAAAGACCTTTCTAGTACAAGACTTCACGCCGATGAGGTTGATGGGAATCCTTGCAATGCTCTTGACGTCCTCTTCCACGAAGCCGTAGAGCTGTAGCCCATTTTTGATTGTTTTCCACAATTGGGATTTCTGATGGTATGGAGCAAAGACCTGCTGCTTTGTAAACCCAGGAGGCTCAGTACCGTTGTGAAGGATGCAAGCTGGTGATCTGAAGTCGGCTGGTGAGCCGTCTACTGAGACACACTGATCATACTCCTGCTGCGTGAGTAGCACATTCAAGTAGCCTGTACTGTCGCGATCACTCGCATTAAGTAAGAATCTGGTCTGGATCAGGGTGAGGAAGATATTCAGAGCCTGTGGATGAGGTAGGCCTTTATCGCCACGGTCAAGAGCAACGCCCAGTGCGAAGCTCGTCCCACACTGCTCTTCCTCTGCTGAGAAGTAGCGCTTCCGAACCCAGGAGTTGGCGCCGTCTGCGGCAAGTAACAGATGAAAATCACCCCCTGCCGCTTTCAACAAAGTTTCTTCGTCTTTGATCTCGGCACCGTGCAGGTAAATCATGCCGTCAAATATCGAGTCTTGAGCACGCTTGAGTAGAGCATCTTCGACCTTGCTGATTTGGAGATTGGATGATTCAGGCCATACGCGCTCCGCTCCCCGCTTTTCAAGTCCATAATCCAGAGATTTGATTGTCTCTCTTGAAAACATATTTTTGACGTGGTCCTGGATGGTAACGACCTGATCGCGACGACGCTCGTCTTCAGGGTACACCGTGAAGTGGAGTTTCCCGAATCTTTGTTTCATCCAACGCTTTTCGTAGACGTGGATGTGCACGAGCTCCCGGCATCTGACTTGCTCGGCCAGATTGATCGCTGCTGAGAGTCCCGTCGGCCCTCCTCCAATAATCACAATCTTGACCCTGCTTCTTGGGAGCTCGAACGCGGTCAAGTTGTCACGCGGCAAATTCGTACTCTGGAGGAAACCATGCGGTATTGAAGGATCGAAGAAAAAGTGGCGCATGCGATCTGTTCCCATGGTCTGAGAAAAATTTGGAAGACATTTGATCAATATGAAACGAATCCTGTCGAGTAGCAAGTTGGAATCGAAGGACTTGTGTCGATTCTGAAATATGTGCCACTGGATGACCCAAGCGAGCCAGTCAACATCGTAGTCAATGAATGGACTTTTTTCCCTGGAGAGAAATATAACGTCCCATTGAGTTTTCAGTTCAAGTTTGTCTGACCCGTTATTGCTGTTGAAATAGTCATAAAGGATGCCTTTGGCTTTCTCGAAGTCCGTCAGACCCTCATTTGACCACATGTCATCCCATGACTTCGGGAAATAAATGTACTGCTTCGATTCAGTGATAGGATTAGTCATAGTGGGCTGGGTCATGTATCACTTGATGAGATTCTGGTTCCGTTGACTGAAAAGGAACGAAAGTGTAGCTTGCCGAGCGTAGCCCACCGTGCGCTATTAACACTAAATAACTCAGGCTCTCAATCTTGTTGAAGTTTTGTGAAGACCACAATGCTTTGATTTTGCCTCTTTGTTATACATATATTCATGACCTCAAGATGCTTAATGGCTTGTGTCAGAGTTAGACAAACAACATCAAGTGTGTGGGTCAACTCGTGTGAACAGGTTAGTGCAGGCAGCTGTTAGTTCAAAGTGGGCATTGTCATATTGCTTCAAATTTCCTTAGATGTCTCCAGTCTCACAGGTAAATGGCAATGTGCCTAGTAAAACCCCAGATTGTTTTCGACACAACGTCCTATGTCCACATCACCTTCTTTGGGACCAGCCCATTCATCATTTACTCTGGCCCAGGTGACAGGACCGCACAGGCCAACTAGCAATGAATGAATTGCATAGTGACAATGAGCGAGTCGAGATGGAAATGTGGGGCCTCCAAGGTCCCTCGCCCTCGAAATCTCACCATCCCACGCCCGAATCCGTTTGCTTTGGTCCAGATGTCCTTCTAGCCTTCAACAACAGCAACAAGCGACAACAACAACCATCAACATAACTGTAACCAAAAACATTTTCCTGGAGCCACTTTGATCATTGTTGACCCCTCGGTCCCTTTCATCACACAAATGGCAACTGGGTTCAAGCACTGAACTCCTGAAGTCTGAGCTGTTGCAATTGACCAGTCAATTGTTCAGCGTGGCCATCCAGCCGATGCTCTTGTCGTGATAAATTCTCTCACTGCAGTCTGCTTCCAAGAGAAAAGGGTGAGTCCTGAAAGCATTTGTCAATACCATAATGCTTCGTATTATCCTAACACAACTTGCGAGCCAGAAAGAGCACAACACAGCGCGTGTGTACGCGTTCGTCACGTGCCAACACCATGAGCTGGGTCACAACCTGGGCCATCGCTTACATGGTGCTTGGAATTATCAGCACCTTCCTGGCAGAGACGTCTCCCCTCAATCACCGCCCGGCGCCCGCACAAGCTCCTAAGCTGTATCGAATCATTCACCGGTTCAGGCGAGCCAATCTGATTGGCCTCCTTATTGGCATACTTTATAACCCTGATACGTTGGTCACCGGATGCATCGGGTTGGCCGTCAGCATCCTGATTCGAACCTTTTGCATAAGTTTGAGATGGGCCAGTGGCAACAATCGCCTCTGCAACTCCCGGCCCATCTGTGAGCACCGCTCGTGGATTCAATGTTTTTTCGACTTCTTGAGCTGGGCATATTGAGCCGTTGCTTGTGAGCAGACCACATGGGGCCTTGCGCAAATTATTGAGAGAAGGGGTGTATCGTGTGACAACGTGATAGCAGAGGTAAGTAAGTGAAGGCGCTCACCATCTCAACTCCGGTACACGGCCATACACTAACATGATTTTGGGAACCGGAAATAGTTTCCAGGCCTTCAATATCAGGGCTCAACTCAATGCGAAGTCGAGAATTAAGGGATGGAATTCGGCTAAGGGCGGCCATGGAATAGTTGCACAAACATTGTTTGAGGAGGTGCCTGCAAGTTGTGCTCTGCTAAGGAGATTTTGATTTGGACTATCTTCAGACCAGACGTTCAAAACAGCTTGAGGACTTTGAACCCCAAATCTATTCCAGATTCCAACCGTGAAGATCGCTTCACTGCCCCTAAAATCAACCACTGGCTTAACCATGGTCGGATGTCAAGCACGCTGCTGTGATTCAAGCCATGATAACCCTTAGACGCATTGCCAGTACCAGTCATTCTAGACAGGTAATCAGCAACTGTGCAGTTACAGAGATATTAGGGCATCACGACTTACCTGCTTTGTGCAGACATATGGACTTGCACAGGCTGTTGGGCCTGTCCATCCGTTTCCTCCACACTGGGCCCACTGCTGTGCGACCCCAGTAGCCGAAGGAGTAGCGGACGTGCTCGTTGTGGTCGTCCTCAGCGTAGTCGACGTTGTCCGGACCGTAGTGCTCGATGAGGTCTGTGCAGTACTGGATCGTGAGCTTGTAGTGGCGGTGGTCCTGCTGGTGCTCGTCACAGCGCCGCCTCCGTTCTTCCATCCTTGGATCTCGTCAAGGGTGAGGACGTAGTCTGACGAGTAGACAGACTTCAGGAAGTCGAGGGAGTTCCAGCTTCCGCCGGAGATGAAGTCGCCGCTCCAGACCACGAAGTAGACCCAATCTGCTTGGTACAGCTTCAACTGGGCAGGGTCCATGACGGAGCCAATCTCGGCCGCCGCGATAATTTTCTTATCGCCGACGAGATCGAGAAGCGCGTTGTATGTCGCTGAAATGGGCTGCATTGAATTTCGGTCAGAATATCCACATGATGATTCACAAACGTAATTTTGAAAGGATACTTACGCCGTGGTCGCCTTGAGTGTAGGTATCCGCGCTGACCACGTCGACAGTAGCACTGCCGGGGTACCAATCAGCCGCCACCGAGTTCCAAACCCACAGGAGGTTGTTGATCTTGTGGTAGTTGGTGATGCGGTCATAGACAATGCCCCACAGCTTCTTGGCCGGCTCGGGACCCTGGGCCCCCCACCAGAACCACTTGCCCTCAGCCTCGTGCAGTGGCCTGAACAGGACAGGGACGCCAGCAGCCTCCAGCTTCTTCAGCTGCACGGCGATGGTGTCAATGTCCTTGATCAGGAGGGTGTAGTTGGCATTCGTGGTATCCTTAAGTGCGGTGGTGATATTGAAATCCGTTGCTGCCGTGTAGAAACCCGAGTACCAAGGCTGCGCGGCGGTGTCGTATAGCCCCACGGGCGCACCCCAGTGCCACACGAAGTTGATTATGCCACCTTTGGCGGCGAAGGCGATGGCCTTGTCGACGTCTGTGCTAGAAGCTCCGCGAGAAATGCGGGACTCGGTGTAGTCCATGAGGTCGACGCCAAGGATTGCTGGGGTCTTTCCGACGTTGTTGGTCACCCAGTCGAGGGAGGCTTGGTCCTGCTGTCCGGAGAGGATGTTCTTGCCGTAGATGCTACCGAGGTACTTGAGCAGGGCTTTCGCGTTGGCATCGGCATTAGGGTTGACTGGAGTTGTGGTGATTTGGTGTGGCCCTCGTGCAGCGGCAGGTGTCAAGGTGATGGCGTCGATGAGATACCTGGTTTTGATTTAGCACCGTCTCATTTTACCGCCACTCTGTAGTCGGAAATAGCTGTCTTACCATCCCCAGTTGTTCTTGATTTCGATCGTATTCGATCCCGCATTCAAAAGAACTTGTCCAGCAGGAATGGTCACCCAGGCCGTGGTAGCCGGCAACGACACTTGGCCGCCTCCAGCACCATTCAGCGCAACAGTAGTGTACTTATCACCATACGGCCCATTGTAGATAATTTTCAGATCATACAGGGCTTGAGTGGCGCTGGTGACGGTGAACTTGATCTGGTCGCCGTCAGCGTCAAAGCCACCAACATATCCAGTGCCTAACGGAAAATGTTAATAAGCCGCCGAATCGCATTGTAGTGGGCAGATGACCCTAGGGTACTCACCAGTATAGCCAGCCACCTCAGTCGCAACTGTGACACCTGTCAAAGCTGCGTCTTCGGCTTGGTACGTTGTGGTCTGCGCGATAGCTAGGCCAGCTAAGGCTGCAACCACCGTTGAAAAGGTTGACAACATCCTTGATCAGTCTTGGAAGAGCAATGGGCGTGTCAGACTAGAATCCCGCTACCGAGAAAAAAGGACTGAAGATCTTTCTCATATACAGCTTCACGATACTTTTATACAAACGGCCACACGTCAAGTCAGTAGGACTCGGGGGGACCCGTGGTTAGCTTCGGCTGTGGATACTCCGCAGGGCTCAAAATGGAAGTGTGCACTGCTACATAAGCATCCATGTATCGTAGCGTGACATGGAATAATCCTTTTCCTTTTTTCTCATCCTGTTCCTGTCCATCCTTGGTATTTCGAGTTCCATCGATACTTTAGGTTCATTACCCATGCGAGGGGAAACATACATTTAGACTGCCAAAATTTCCCTTCGACATTTGTCAAAACGTATTTCACAGTTGCAGCAAAGATCGTGAACTCTGGAGGCAGCGAGCGATGCATGACCTCCCTGCATGAACGTAACAGGAATGACTGAATAAACATCCTGTGGTGGCCAGTTCGTAGACTTTGGCGTGTCACATGGTACACGTTGGCATGCTGTTTTAGTTAGGGGTCTATTGTTTCTTCGGAGGAATTCGCTGCGCAAGTGACCGAAAAGGGCCCAGACTCCGTGCCACAGTGAGCGAAGTTCTGGGCAAATCTAAAACCATTGAATCTGCCCGGCTCCGTCGGCCCGCCTGTCTGCCCAGCTACTACCCGTGGGTGCAACTCCACACCAACGCACCATCACGGTTGCGCCGCCCGTAGAAACCGAAGGGAGCGGCGCCACAGCCTAGATGAGGTCAAGGTCGACTTTGTTATTAACGGTTTGTAGTATACCACGCGTGTGTCGTTTCTCTCCGCAGATTTGACGGGTTGCGTGATCGCCTTTGAGATGCTTGGCGAAATCTCCGAGTCGAACACTTTGGCCACTGACTACTTTGACGGTGGTTTCGATTTGGGACCATGTTCAGCGTCGTTACGAACGGCTCACATGGACAGTAGAATTAATATCGAATGTAGAAATAACTAGTGACTGCAAGAACGGTCAGTTCTAAGAGCCTCTGCTGGTCTTCATACAGCAGCCTCATTGCATAAACTACACCACGTCACAAGTTTTGAAGCTCTATTCGATGCCACCTTTATGTCCCTTTTGGGGATGCATGGACACCGGATACACCTGCGCAGGTATTCAAGTTCCCCCAATCTCCGAAAATACAATGAGTAGGTCTCAGATGATAATTGACGGGGACGAAGTTCAGAAATTTGAAGTAGCTCATTCTCTCGATGCTTCCAGTCTTGCTTGATAGACGGGGACTGTCTCCTTGAAAAGATCTGGCAATATTTGAGGCATGTGGAATCCACTAATCACGAAATACCGGCCATCTCGAGCATGGTATAGACCACCACCAGCAGTAGTCCAGACAGCTGTTGCGTACCTTTACCGTCCAAATGTCTTTTAGCGATAGGCCAAGCACACCGATATCGGCTTCATGTATCATCCAGCTGAAGGGCCATGTGTATACTGCTTATTCTCGAATTAAACGTCCGTTGTGACAGAACTCTCACTGTGCTACTCCTGACTCCGGATACTGCACCGACATGTATCTGAAATCACCCGTGACCCCAATATTACCGACAATACCTAGCCCAAGCCACTTCTTTTGTTCTGGGGTCAGCGTTTCTTGTACCTCTTTTGACAACTTTGCTGTCCAGTTGACCTGTTGCCGCATGAATCCCTTGGTGTAGTACCCGAATAATAGTGCGCGGTCTTGGTCCTTGGTCGTATTGGACCCACTTGTGTGCCATACTCGCCCATCCATAATAATAATGTCACCCGCCTTGCCTTGAAACGGGACTAGCAGCTCGGGCGCGTTATCGGGAACTTCTTTTCGCGTGACCCACTGCCATAGAATCATTCAAATGCGTTCAGCTTCCTACGCGGCCTGTTTCTGGTGTTGAAGCGGATGTGTATTCAGATGTCTCACCTTATTCGATCCAGGGATGTACATCGTCGCCCCATTCTCCTTAGTAACATCGGTCAGGCACCAAATAACATTCAGAGCCCAGATGTCTTGCCAGGGGTCCGGGAAGACAATGCTCTGGTCAGAGTGCAGCGCCATGCTCTTGGATCCTGGCCGGGCGATGTTGGCCGTGAAGTTGGAGATTATAAACTCCTCGCCTAGCAGTGACCTCACCATATCAATGGCGGTGGGATGGGAAATCAGGTCGCGGAAGATCTTGTCGACAGCCATGAGGTAGAAGACGCGGACATTGCTTGGGTTTGGGTCCAGGAAATCCAGATATGTCTGCTCGCCTTCAGCTTCCACCACGGCCTTGGCTTTCCACAACCGGTCCAGCGCATGTGCCGCCTCCTCCTTGGTGAGCACGGAGGAAATCCGTGCCCAGCCATGCTCTTTGAGGTGAGCTTTTGCTTCAGCTTGGTCGTCTGGCATTTTTATTCAGACCTGGCAGGGTACTCGAACGGTTTATGTTGGGGCTGTCTGCTTGCTACAGTGTTGTTACGAATAATGCCACTGCACGGTTCGAAGCAAAAGTGATGCCGCTATTTTTCATACGCACATGGGCACATAGCGTATATATCTTGACAGCTGTGCTATTGAGGACAGCAGGACAGCATGGGAATTCCAACTGCCATACGGATCGAGTAGCATGGTGGTACTCCACGTCAATAGTTGATGACAGCTATGGAAATCCCTCCCCAATAGGCAAATGATCAGCCCATCTATGCATTATTGGGTATCCATGCATTAGTAGGACCAATTGACTACAACTTACTCCGCACAGATTGACACCTAGGTAAAGAGCCCCGAGAGGCCGCATGGCTTGGCCAGTTCCAGCTACATACCGTTACCTAGGTAGTATTCTGCGAACTTCGGATGAGGGCTGACATGAGCTTCACACTGCTTTCTGTGTTGTTAATGATAAAACTGAATGGCTGTGACGTTCAGCAAAACAGGCAATACAAACAGGCCCTTCCAAGGCTAGGTAAATGCACTAATGAAACTTCAATGCAAGCTTGCTTCACCGTGACGGTATAATAGCCAACACCGCCACAACAGTCAAATCCATAAAAGGTTTTCGGTATTTTTTGTATTTCATCCGAGTCACTTCAAATGATTTGTGTTGCCTGAATTTTGTGACAGTAGCTCTTCAACAATTCAATAAGTACTTAGTTACTTATGTATGTGTCAAACTTCGTCGCGGGGCGGGAGGGGGGGGGGGAATTTTAGAGCTTGCCCCATGAAATCGTTTGCAGGTCTTCGACGTGACAAGCTTAGTATTATATCCATGATAGTGGGAATGGTCACACTCCCGGAGTTGCACAATTCTTGCTTGCATCTGAGAAGCCATCCCGACAATTCACCGTGCAGTCGGCTGGATGATCAGGTGATCCAGGCCACCCACTGGCACCGCACTACGATCCGCAGCGGAGATCCCAACCTTGGAAAGCATCTGACTTATGTAAAGTGAGCTCCGACGTCAATTCAAAAGTCTTGATCGGCCTTTACGTATGATTGCCTTTCAGTAGAGCACACACTGATGGATAATGTTGGCAAAATGGTGAACAGTGCATTTTTTGTCCGATCTTGCTTTTCCCTATACGTCCTCGGGATCTGCGATCTCCCACATCGTGTTTCAAGTCCTTGTTGACCTGCGCGGAGCTTGGAAGCCAGCATCGATGATAGCCAAGGTCGATTATGACGAATGTCTTGACTTCTGCACCGACCAGCTTCTGAGTCGGCACGCAGCCTCGGTCCACAGAGCGTATAGGTTGTCGCAACTCTGGACGAGTCGCACGTCTTGCATCGCAATGATGAGAAAATTAGCTCCCAAAAGAACCGCAGCCAACGCCATGGCCAAGGAACACCGAGCCGGAAAAGAGGCAATGCGGCTGCAGGAGTGCAAATTCTGGGCAAGATCCTTGCAGCATGTGCATGTCCTGTCACCATCCATCACCAAATCAAGTGCGGGGAGGAGGCACACATTCAGCCTGAGAATGGTTGATAGTGATGCCTGCACCTTTCCAGGTGTGGTTTCGTTTTCAATCCCCATATATGTAAAATGTACGTGGCGCCTTCATACAGTGGTAAACGCTTAAGACCTAGCGTCTGAAGAAATATAGTGCTAATAATAGTGGAAAGAGAATATAGTACGTTTATGGGTATATGGCTGAGCCTCGTACCGTATAGATAAGGCTAGAAGGTATCGCTCCCAACGACGCCGTACTAAAAAGCTGGTAAAGTAGTTATATAATAAGACTAAAATAGTCTTAAAATGGCCCCTATAAGAAGAAGAATTCTATAATGTGAGACTTAGTAAGCTGGCTCTTTCCTATTAATATACTCGTTATATAGCTATTTAGATCTACTTTTACTAGGTAAGCTAGATATACTATAATCTTTATTCTAAGTATATAGCTAATAGAATAGTAATACTATAATAGTAAATCTATTTAAGAAAGCCTTTCTATATAAATTTTATAAAAAAATTAAAACCCTTTTAGAAAGTTAAGTAGAGTTTATTTACTATATATTAGATAAATACTATATAAAGAAAGTGGAAGTCTGGGTATTTAAGAATTAAATCTTCCTTCTTTAAGTATACTACTTTATTGTTAAGGATTTATCTGCTTCTGTATAATATGTGAGGAATGTGGTGGAAGAGGGAGCTCTATGGGGGAAGCTGGCAACTCTATGTGTGGATAAGTTTGAGGGTATGTATCGAGTAATTGTTGACTTTGTGCTCGAGGTATGAGCTGATGGTTAGTCTAAAAGCTGAGAAGACGACGAATAGATAAATACACAGTTGAACAAAAAATACAATGTGGCCAAAGCCCTGCACCTTTCCAAATTGATACGGTATCAAGCCCAATGTTCAGAGCCAACAGGAGAATGCGGTCTTCTCCGCCTACAATCCTCTCAACACCTTATCGCCTCGATCCTCACGATGTCCATTCCTGCGCAGCCACACAAATAGACTGATAAGTGCCCATGATACCCCACGAACATGTTGAACGGCCAACAACGTACTCCACAACAACATCGAACTAGTGTGAATTGGGAAAGGGGCTTACCGAAAACCCCCCAGTATATCTGCGACCCGATGCAATGGATCCTCCTGCTCGTTTTGCCTGTCTCTTCTGGCTAAGGCATGTCTTGGCATTCGTGACACCCATGGTGATATCTTCCTGGGCACGGGAAGAAAGATCTTTGAGGGTGGTCTCACACGATATCAAAAGTTTCTGTGCATGCTTCGAGACCGCGGATTGTAACAACGTTTATGGGGAGCCAAGCCCGTCGCGCATCCGTGGCTGTCCAGGGATACCCAGGTCTCTCGAGCTAAGAGAGTCCTTATCAATTCCCAAGCCCTGTTGGTCTGGGCATTCCTCTTCCGTGCTACGATCAAACGATCATGTGGCAAGAGCGGCCTCTGTCGGTTCTTTGGCGATGATAAACATGGCCACTCTTGTGGCAATCACGATTCTGGTCTACTTTGGATACCTCGTGGCGAACAAGGCTGATAGCCACCATGAGAAACGTCGGGAAGATACAGGGAACTAGACACCGTAGAAGTCGAATGGGTCCCCTCTCCGATGGACTGGGGTAGTAAAAAAATGGCACCCCCACAAACCTTGGAATGGACCACATTCTCCCAGTGTTGTCTCGCAGGACGTTCATGAAGCCGAATGGCGGGCATCGATTTGGGGCGGATTGCTCAAGTGAATGAGGAGCAATGCCATCCTCCTGCAAGTTTTCGCCATCGCCCATTTGGGTGATACAGTACTACCTTCGAAAGGGCAGGTCTATAGTGCCGAGCCCATACCAAGCTGTCGCCAAGGACATTATTGTGGGCACCACAAACTGACCTGTAGAAAGCCCATGAAGTGTCAGCCCATCGGTGTGACCTCAAGCGAAGCCTTATCTCTTGGTACTGCAGTGAAGAGGTGTGAGCAGACCGGGAGGTTTATCGAACTTCCACAGGGCATGGGCCTGGCCACAGAAGAGGGTGTTGACCTGATATTGGGTACCATTTCAAATGTAATACGCCATCAGTACTACCTCACGCAGAAGTCGGCATTCTTGGATTTGTATATAATCCTCGCATCCCCAGGGGTATGGCCTCCAGTTCCTGAGGCCATTTGGTAACCCAGCGCTTCGCACTTAGGTCAATATGGCTCCCCGGCCCAGCGAAATTGGGACTGGCCTCTCCGAAACCAAAACCCAAGATGAAATTTTCGCCACAGCTAGCACTGAGAAAAAGGAAGCTGTACGCTAGAACATCCTCTGGATGAGTTTTTGTTCCTTCTGCTGACAACAGCCGAAGTTTCCTACCGAGTCAGAAATAGATGAGCATACGAAAGCTTTAGAGCAGTAAGAGAGTCCCCTTCCTTTCAATCACATACAGAACGCAGTACATGTAGTTGACACGTGCTCCAGGGACTTGAACGTCACCGAAGATGACCTCATCGAAGCCAGGGAGCTCGCAGCTCAGATGAGCACCGAGGATGTCCGCAAGGTAACCTTGGCCGTCTCCAAGCGCGTTCCGCCAACCTCATGCTAACATGCATCACCGCAGCTGATGACCAACGTGCTCCGGATTCACGAGCACGATCCCAACTTCCCGCACATCATCATCGATCGGATCCAGGCTTTCCTTGAGGACGATGACGTCTTCGAAAACCCGGAGAAGCACGAGACGCTCATCATGGAGATGAAGCTCGAGGCCGCCCTCATCACTAACAACAGCCCCTACGCTGAGGTCCGCGCCGTCGTCGACAACAAGGACGATCCGTCCACCCCATGCTCGACTGTCCGCGCCTGGACCATCGGCGTTCTGTTTTCCGTGTTCCTCGCGTTCATAAACCAGCTCTTCAGCATCCGCCTGCCATCCATCGTCATCAGCGCCAACGTCGCGCAGTTGCTGGCCTTCCCGTTCGGCAAGGCTTGGGAGAAATGGATGCCTACCTGGGAGTTTAGGATCCTGGGACAGACTCATAATCTCAACCCGGGGAGGTTTAATAGTAAGTATTTATCACTCGCCTGTGAGGCCTCCCTCGTCACTTTGCTAACAGCCGCCCAGAGAAGGAGCACATGCTGATCGCTATCATGGCCAATACTGCGCAAAGTCTTCCCTACACACAGTACATCGTGTGGACACAGGTTCTGCCGCAGTATTTTGACCAGCCATACGCTCGAAGCTTTGCCTATCAAATACTGATTGCATTGTCAACCAACTTCATAGGATATGGGTTGGCAGGGCTTACGCGACGTTTCATTGGTGAGTATCAGGCCGTGTCTTGCGCCCACCGCGTGTATTGCATGCAGTCTTTCGTGTTAGCCTGGCTAATCTGTTTACAAGTATACCCATCGTACTGTGTCTGGCCTCACTCTTTGGTGACCATCGCACTCAACTCAGCACTTCACAATGACACAAATGTGACAGTGCCTGGGCCGTTCAAGAGGTTCTACAGCATGAGCCGCTATAAGGTATGTTAGTTACGTATCATTAACTTCTAAAGATTGATTGTTCTTTTATAATACTAACTAATGCAATTAAACAGTTCTTTTTATGGGCTTTTGGAGCAATGTTTATCTACTTCTGGTTCCCCAACTACCTCTTTGAAGCTCTTACATTCTTCAGCTGGATGACATGGATTGCGCCTGACAACCACAATCTCGGTATTCTCACCGGCTTCAGAAATGGCCTGGGAGTAAGTCGCCTCAATGAGGTCCGGATGATGACCGTTTTCAAAAGCTGACAAGACTGGTCCAGCTCTTTAACCCGTTGCCAACCTTTGATTGGAACGTCCTTCTTTTTGACGACGTTGATCCCCTGGTATGCGGTAGCGCCCAAATTCTGTCATAATTCATGCGGCTGACTTCTTGGTTTTATAGATGGTGCCCGCATTTTCTACACTGAACAAATGTCTCGGCATGTTCCTCTGGGGACTCGTGGCACTCGGGATCTATTACTCCAACACATGGAATACCGGCTATCTTCCCATCAACTCCAACCGCGTGTTCGACCACTTTGGTCAGCTTTATAACGTCAGTCGTGCCCTGGACGAGCGAGGACTGTATGACCACGAGAAGTACATGGACTACTCGGCTGCTTACCTCGGCGCTGCCAACACCATGGTCTACTGTGCCTTTTTCGGCATTTATACCAGCACAATCACTCATGTCATCTTGTTCCATCGGTACGAAATTAGCATGGGCTTCAAGGGCTTCTGGGCTAGTATCCGCCGGAATAAGAAGACACAGGAGGGTGTTGAGAGCGGAGAGTACAAAGATGTGCACAACCGTCTTATGGCTGCTTATCCAGAGGGTAAGATCCGATCCTCCTTGCTGTGCCCTTATTGTTTGACATCCACTAATGCCTGTCTGTCCTTAGTGTCTGAGTGGTGGTACCTCGGAACCCTACTCATTGCAGCAGGATTCGGATTCGCCGGCGTGGGGTAATACTTTTTTTCTTTTTGGACAAATCAGCCCCCCTTTTTAATTTCAGATTTAAACTGACATCATGATGTTTCAGAGGCTGGCCAACGTATACCACACTAGGAGTTGTTCCATATGGAATAGCTCTGGCTCTTGTGTTTGTGTAAGTGGTTCTCTACTTATTCAATGACGCAGCCCTCTTGCCCAACAATGCTGAGAGACGGCATAACTGGATCGAGGCATATGAACCTTGGGCGTGATTGCAACCAAAGACTACTTGCTGACGAGGGGGCACAGAATTCCCGTCGGAATCATCAAATCTACGACTGGCATTTCAGTGACACTCAACGTGCTGGCCGAATTCATTGGTGGCATTTGGGTGCAAGGAAACGCGGTAAGCTTCCCGAGGTCGTTGGTCGTATGCGAACTGCGAGCAAGAGTTACTAACTCGGAAAACAGCTTGCCATGAACTACTTCAAGTCCTTTGGCTATGTGACCTGCGCCCATGCAATTTCCTTCGCCAATGATTTGAAAATCGCACATTACGTCAAGGTCAGTTAGGGTAGTCATCCTCGATCAGCGTCTCGTGCTCATCTAACGATGTTTGATCAGATTCCTCCGAGACACACCTTCGTGGCGCAAATGGTAGCGACCTTGATATCAACTTTCGTCTGTACGGGCGTCATGAATTTCCAGGTAAGTCTCAATTCAACAAGCATCTATCATTTGGGCCTAACATGATAATCGCCAGATAAACATTCCCAACGTCTGCTCCCCGACAAATCCACCTATGCGTTTCTTCTGCCCGGGCCCAAACACTTTCTTCACAGCCGCAGTTCTATGGGGAACCATCGGCCCCCTCAAAGTCTTCGGAGTAAATGGCCAGTACGCAGCGACCCTTCTAGGTTTTCCCATCGGCGTCGCCGTCGCCCTGGCTGTGTGGGTGATGGTCAAGTACACGCGCAACCGCCGCCTCTCCCGCTTCGCGAGGCAGCTTCATCCCGTGGCCCTGTTCTACGGCGGCGTCAACTTCGCGCCCTACTCCTTCTCGTACGCGTGGCCCGCCGTTCCCATCGCCTGGCTCAGCTGGGTCTATGTCCGCAAGAGGTACCTGGCCTTCTGGTCCAAGTACAACTTTGTGCTGTCCGCGGCCTTTAGCGCTGGCATCGCCATCTCGGGTATTATCATGTTGTTTAGCGTGCAGTGGGCGGAGATCGAAATCCCGTGGTGGGGAAACAACGTGCCCTACGAGGGGTGTGAGGCGAGCGGTGGGCCGTGCCGCTTGCACGAGCTCGCGGAAGGGGAGAGATTCTTTCCTTGGTGGGATGGGACGAAGACGCCTGCTCCCTAGACTGCCAAGTATTGGTGGTGGACTTCATGATGCTTCAGCATTTTCCACTTCTGCGCGGGCAACTCGCTCTCTCCGATGTCCTTCAGCATGCGTAGGGGCTAGGCAATCAGGAAGATGTGGTCATCAAATTCCTTTGTCTAGCCTGTTTCTTAGGATAGACAATGGCCGTATGTTTCGCACATCTGTGATCCTAGCTGAATGATAGGAAATCGCCCAAAAATCACAGCCGGAGAACGCACTTCTTGTACCTTGACAACTCCCGCTTACGACCTGCTTATCTTCTTCCCATCCGATACTTGTAGTAGTTATTATTTTGACGAGCAAGGAAGTCTTCCCGTACAAAAGTCTCCTCACAAATCTCGTACTCGCCTCCTATGGGAGGATATACAATGTGTGTTCCCCACTTGATATGCTGTCTCCACACGTGTCGGCCTCTCTCCTTTTCATCATTAAATTCCCTCACACGGTTAGTTGCCGAGCATATCCTGTGAGACATAAAGTGTTCCCTGGCGACACCAAATTGTCATTGCAGTGAACAAGGCAGTTAGACAGAGCTGGACGACCGAACGGGAGAATAACGCACTCCATGTCAACCATGGCAAGAGCTTTGTACGTGCAATACTTCCAGTCAAAACGAGTCCGTATTCGTACTTTCACCGCTGGTGATAATAGCAATGGAGCTCGAGGCGGCAGAAACGGGATACTGTCGGATGCCGGACCTGGGCTTCTAGGAGAAGTCGAGACTGCAGTGATTTGGGCAGGAAACCCCTTAAGGGGAAATTAGGATGTAGAACTTCTCAAAATCGTCTGCTTCGCTTTCTCACCAAGGTAAAATGTTCTCTGGTGAAGTGGTGGTCACTCGCCGGCTTCTCAGAATACCGTGGAGGGTGCCACAAGCTCGAGCCTAGGACAGGGCGACGCGACGAGTAAATAAGTTTGTGAATACCTACCTAGGTAGCTTCCCCTTTTTCAAACTCGTTTCAAACCAATCCAACATGTCATCTTAATATCTATTCAATTCTAACAAACCCTCTCTGACACGGAGGCAGTGCTGGAGCATTTACTGCATCGAGAAGCGCTAATAGCGTTAGTCGCATTTGGGAGCCTGTACCTGCCCAGCAATCCATGGATGGTGGGCCTCAATACGGAGTACAGTCAGACTGTCAGACTCCCTAACCAAAATGAGAATTAGATCGACTTCCGGCAGGCAGCCATTTTCTCTTAATATATATAGTCTAGCATGTTGTACTCAGGTATCAGCGCAAAGCATCAGCGCCCCGTTGATACTGAAAGGCAGCTAATTTCGGATGAGACCTCTGTCTCTCAGACGCAAAGCCATGGCCTCCATCTCGAAATCTCTATCCTTCGAAGCCGCTTTACCTACGATTTTGATCACTGCAGCCATCTGGCTGTTTTACACGATTATAACATTCGGGCGCCGAGAGAAGAGTCTGCCTCCCGGCCCTCCAACCATCCCGATTCTGGGAAATGCGCATCTGATGCCAACCCAAGGCTTCTCTCGCCAGTAAGTATTTGTGATTAAACGCTTCAGGTCACCTGATAACCGGCTCTAGACTTGTGGCCTGGCGCAAGGAATATGGTTCAGTCTACTCGCTCAAGGTCGGCCGGAGCACTATGGTCGTGCTCAACGACCGGCGCGCCATTCATGAACTCCTGACCAAGCAGGGTGCTTGCTACAATGACAGGCCCGAGGACACACATTTCATCATTGCGAACAAAGACGAGAACCCGGCGACGATGAAGGAAGGCCCAAAATGGCGGGCGACGCGGAAAGTGATAGCAAACTACTTCTCCCCGAAGAATTTGGATTCGACTCTGAAACCCATCCAAGAAGCTGAGTGTGTGAAAAGTATCTTATTAGCGAAAGTTCTTGAGAAATCGTGCTCATCTGTTACAGAGTCAACCGTCTTATGTTCGACCTTTTAACCAAACCCGAAGAGTTTTCGACCAGCATAAAACGTACAACCGCCTCTATAGCCAGTATCACGCTATTCGGTCACAGAGCACCCGATTTTGACAGTTTTTGGGCATACGTGAGTCTGCAAGCCCATTCTTCCCGGAACATTGCTGACTTCGCATCCACAGGCTGTTTACATTGTGATGGAAGCGGTAAGAACATCCCAATATGCCAGTACTTTCCCTTGAGAAGAGTCAAGCTAATCCTTTTGCTATTGAAGGTCTCGAAAGGAGCCGCCCCAGGTAGTTACCTGCCAGTTGACCAATTTCCCATCCTGAAGCTCCTTCCAGATCGCTTCATTATGGGAAGGCAACGCGCCAAAGATTTGTACGCCACGATGACAGGCGTCTGGAACGATGCTCGCGAGCGCATTGACAAGCGGCGCAGCGCCGGAGACAAACGTGAATCTCTCATGGACAGATTCCTCGATGGAGACATAAAGAGCGATGTCCCGCTCTCTTATTCAGGACTAAACAACTTGCTGGGAGGTGTACACATGGCTGCCGCGGACACGACCGCAATAGCAATGCTGACAACCATCCTGTTTCTTGCCAAACACCCCGAGTTCCAAGAGAAGGCAAGAGTTGAACTCGACCGGGTGTGCGGGACTGATCGTATGCCTCAGTGGTCAGACTTCAATGACCTGCCGTATGTGAACTGCATCGTCAAAGAGGGGTTGCGGATCAGACCTATGTAAGTACAGTTTGGCTTCCAATCACTGCTTTGAGAATGCTGACTCTCCTCATCAAGCTCGCCCGCTGGCGTTCCTCACGCCGCAAAGGAGGACAGATGGTACAACGGCATGCTCATCCCAGCTGGCAGTGCCATCTTTATACCGCCCTCCACTCTCAACTTCGACGAGGCCTTTACAGCAGACCCCGATTCCTACAATCCTGATAGGTACCTCCACCAGGCCCACATGTTGGCCCCCGAGCTCTCAGCGTCACCACAGTACGAGGAGCGTGACCATTATTCATACGGTGCGGGACGTCGTATGTGTGCTGGAATCCACCTGGCGGAGAGGTCGCAGTGGCGAATGGTGGCGCAAATGCTTTGGGCCTTCAGGATAGAGCCAGACATTGGTTCTGACGGGAAGCCGGTGGAGGTGAAGACTGGTTTGGATGTGTACGAAGAAGGATTCTTGCACGTTCCGCACGAGTTCAATGTGCGCATGGTCCCCCGGAGTGACAAGCATGCCGATGTTGTGACGAAGAGTTTCAAGAAGACAGAGTCTGATCTGAAAAAGTGGGAGTGATCGGATTAGAAACAAGTCTAGTGTAAATAAACGGCAGCGCCGTAAGCCACAGCTCTAAGGAAGAACGAGAATCTTGATTTAGGGGGGTAGTTACGGTTAGCCGTGAGGCTCACGTCCCTCTGTGTCTTTTGAACTACTCATGATGACTTGCGCGGCACCTCAGCCCTGGGGCACTTCGTCAACTCAGCGAATTTGGGCCCGGATTCGATTTTTGAAACCGGTCATCCAGTCGTCCTATTCGGTAGAGACTTTTGGGGTGTTGCTGACGCGTCAAGGGGGATATACTTCTTTTCGGCTGTGTTCAGGGAGGACTTGGACCAAATCGCGGCCTACATCATTGGCCAACATTACCTAGGTATCGGCCTGCATCAAGTTGCAGATCCCCCTCATCTGCAATACCACATGTTTCCCTTGGGCCTATCAAAAGTGGTAGGCCTACCGCAGGAAGCTAGACACCCAAGACCAATCATGCTGCCCAAGCGTGCCGAGTGTCCAGAAACAAAACAATAAATATCGAGCTTTGAAATGTTCATTTTGCCCCCTCTTCTTTCTTTACTGTTTATTTAATTTAAGGAACAGCTCCTCCCTTCATCATTCCGTTCATTGAATCTTCTCACTTCCCCCGAACCCATGGTTACAACAATCGTCCCAAAGGTTTCAGGACCCTTCGTTGGCCATGTCACCACTGGACATGATGCAGTGCCTGCTGTAGACGCAAATCCTTCAGCAGGACTGGAAACAGCAACCAGTGGTCCGCTAGCCCAGGTCTCTGGTGAAGCTCACAGCCGTTTTGTTATCGTCACAACTTTGCTGAGTCTGATCGACCGGGTTCGCGGGGAGCCCACGACTCACAGTCTCGATAGGCATCCTCACGATGATACCTGGAGGCAGGACCAACTGCAGAAGAAGTTTCTTGACTCCTTCGCCTTGATTTCTTCAACCTCCAAGAAGGGCGGTGAAACTGCCTCAGCTGTCTGTCTGGAGCAGGGTCATCCCAGCGGCAACATCCTTCGACTTGCTCGCAACCGTGGCATTCCCCAGGACCTCGTCTTTAGGCTACAGGAAGTTCTGGAAGACCTGACCACCGTCGCCCTGAGAGGTACAGAACTCCTAAGAGATGCAGGCTTGATGTACGAGATGCTGATTCAACTCGTTCACCAGAGAATAAACCAAAAGACCTCGAAGACGAGATCCTGCGCAAGATAATTGCGCTAACTAAGGACAAGGTCCAGTCTCTCTTGCAGAAACTTGATCGCGCTGAAGTCCGTGCCTCCATCCACCATGCGACTGACAAGATTTCAGAGGATTCATTATTGGATGATACAGAGGACCTCAATTTCAAGGAATGGGTCCGTAATCTTCCTTTACTGGTTTCCACCAACTCCAAATGGGAGCCTTCAGAGCTTGTCTCTCATATCAAATGGGCATCTCGAGCCAGATGGATCTACTCGGAGCAGTTGGAGATGCTCTTCGGCTTCGAGGATGGAAAACCACCGCCTTGGCTCAAGTACATCTACAAGCTTGGGCGTTATTATGCAGCGACCAAAGCGATGCTGAAATTGGCTGTAAAACAGCCGCATATTTTCACCCACATCCACATTGCGCCTGTTAAGGCCCCCGAACCGCAAAGCTTCTCCCTGGGGCAACAGAGGACCCCCCTCGTGACGATTGTAAAGAAGATCACCAAAGCTGACCCCGGTCACCTCATCGAGAAGCTCGGCCAGACCTGGCTCACAAACGACCCTGAGGAACGACTACGTCGAGCATGCCGCATGATGCTCACCGTCCATGCCGAGATGCAACTTCTCAGCTTCTACGACCACAACCCTCATCTGACACCCCGTCTGCTATTCATGGGTACCAGCAAGAAAGCATGCTACCTTTGCCACGAGTTCATGTCCCGCCATCCACTTACGATTGGTGTGTCGGCAAGCCACCAGAAGTTGTATCCAACCTGGATGCCCGCGCCGTGCTCTTCCGCCGTGCGAAAAAGGCACAAAGTTCTTCTCTGGGAGTTCAGTCGACACCTTGAACAAACAACTGCGCGGGATCTTGAGACCAGGCTGGGAATTCAGCGACGGCCATTCAACTTGGATTCTACGGCTGGGCCTTCGCTGACAACGACTGGGACGGTCTCCACGGGATTTTGGTTCCAGAATCTGCCTTTGAGTATTCGCGACGCGAGCGAGAAAGCTGACTCTGAAGGGTCTGACAGGGAGTAGAGCGCAGGTGAGACTCGGTCACAGCCCGAAGTGTTCCTTCATATTCAAGTACAGTATCAAGCTTGGAATACTTGTAGTGTTTGGACGTGGCATTTTGACTTGGTATTCAAGTGTGCTGTGAGCCCATGAGAGGGTGCCAGGACGGATAAAAAGACCTATGTACATCTGGGATGCTTCGATAAAAGAATCTTATCTTCCTAGGGACCACTTGTGTGCAATATCATGTATTCTTTTTATCCAATAGACCACTGCATACGAAAGTGGGAAACCTCATCTCTAGCAATTCCTTCCATAACAGGTCCTCAGGCCTTAATCAGTGCTTCTTGATGGGAATCAAGTTGCCATGTATCTCATGCTGGAATGCCATTTGAATCTCCCTGCCGACGCATCATCAACTCAGAAAATGGCCTCTGCGCAACCTGGGCATGCCGATCACATATTCATAAGCCGCGTATTGTTAAAATACTGCCCAATTTTACAGAATCAAACAAGTAGTGAGAATACTTTGAAGTTCAAAGACGCGCTCAAAGCCTTCTTGAGGCTCTTCGAATTTAAGAGTCTGGATCTCTGAATCTTGCCGAATAAAGGTGGCCATACCCGCTCGTGTGTAGGATATGAGTCCATCGTGATCCTCTCGGTGCAAGAGGAGAAAGTTCCAATCAGCGATTGGCGAGTCATCTTCGTACCATGTAGACTCAGATATCTCCAAAATATAGATTTCTTGCCACAGAGGATCTCCATAAGCCCCTTCATGGCCCATGTCCATCCTAATTGACAGGTTTGACTGTGAATTATCGACGAACCTGGCCCATTCATCCCTATCAGGGACATAAAAAGAGCAGCCCTCGGGCCCTTTTCCGACAACAGATGCAAGGACCCTGCCCTTCAAAACCAATCGGCTGCTCTGAAGGATGCCAAATTCATTTTCGCCTAAGTAGCTGCAGTTTGCCTCGATTATCTCTGCCATGGGAAAACTGAAATCAGCGAAGTAATAGCCAACGTTGCGTTTCAGAGATGCCCATGACCACGTGGGCAGAGAAAACGGCCGTTCCAATTCCCCATTGCTCTCCTGCGACGGGGCTCGTTGGGCTAAACGAAACCACAGTAGATCATCAAGTAGAGACCTCGACCAGAGGCCGGCGAGGTAGGCCTCCCCCATGCGAGCGCGCTTGAACTGCTCGGCGACAGCTCCAAGGGCCGGTAATCTATCTCGTGGCATTGATGTTTTCAGTGCTGAGTACTCCCTAACAACTGAGGTCCTCCAATCCCTCGCGATGTCCCAATCTCGACCATCCTGCGTCTGAAGGTCACATCTGAAACGTTCAGATGCGCGATCCTTGCCTTTCAGCTTCAGAGATTCGGACTCGGTCTGCATGAAGATGCTCGTCTTGTGGGTTCGGTGGACGATTTGTGTCTGGCTCCACTCTTGTGCAGCGCCACATTCGCACTCGACGTGTTCCAGGCATTGGAAGATCATTTCGCTCTCGGTGAAGAACACCACGCGGGGCGATATAGTGCGCTCTTGGTAAGCCCAGGCTCGACTGAGGAGGGGATAACGGTAAGCCAGCGATTTATTTTCGTGATGTTCCATGAACTTGGATTTGAGAAGGCTGTCGAGATAGTGGGCCTGCCGCATATACAAGGGGTAGACGTTCTGCGCGATGCGCAACTCAGCCACAACATGGGAGTCCTGCTTTATGGATATGTTGTGTAGTCCAGAGTTGCTGTCACCCCCAGAAAGAGCCGCCAATGTCAGGTAGGAGTTTTTGTAAACGGCGTTCATCTTCCCCGCTTCCCGTTGCCAGTCATCTTCGTCTTCCTGAATGATGCAAATACTGTCAATCCAGAGAAACTGAATCCCGAGACTTTGGGTAAAAGCCGCCGCATCTTGGAATGTCGCTGGCAGTTTGTCCCATGCGATCCTCGTTTGGTTCTCAGCCAGAGTCCCGGCAGTTGTGATGCAAGCGGGTCTGTAACCGCCCCAGCAATAACTCAGCGCGACGTAGGGGGCCCTGGGCCGCACAGCCTGAGGGCTGGACTTTTCAAGTCGCACATCCAAACCCTTCCAGCCTGGCTTAAGGTTGATCAACCTTGTGGGCATGAAAGAATCGCCGCTCTGTGACTTGCAGAGCTCGTGTGAGTTCGCACACGCTGCAAGACGCTCCTGTACCCACCCCGCTGACCTATCATTTAGACTGTCGCTGTTCAAGATAAATCGTTTCGAGATGTTGTAGCGGTCAATATCTGACCTGGGAGTGTCTGAAGACACAAAGATAGAGTGGTTCCCCCGACCAGCCTCATCATCCAACCAAGTGACAACATGGAAGTCTGGCCCGATGATGTAGCTGCTCTCTGTCGCTTGCCTGCCCTCCACTTCAGCTCTCTTGTAAAGTATGCACCGAAGAAGCTTGCACGATGCGCAGTTGATGGGCTCCTGCCTGAAATGTCTTCCAGTAAGTTCATCCATGGCTATTCGTCTACCATACCCCCAGAAACTATCAGGGTCACCATTCCAGTCACAAATCGGACATTGGGCGGGTGAGGTCCCTGGCAACAATTTCCCATTCTCACCCCAGCGGTGAGGCAAGTCGATGATGGGAGGCGGTGCTGACGACATTGCCTGAGATTCTGGATCCATTAGACTGTCTGACCGCTCGAGGTAGAGGCATCAAGAGCTATCATGGTCGTGGTTGCAAGGCATGCTAGGTGATACTTCGACAGCACCGGGCGGGATGAACAAGGAGTTCTACAAGAACCACAGGCTCAAGGAGGGGCACGCGGAATGCATGTCAGCTCACGTGACCATATCTACTAGCAGAGTCCCAGGGTGGGAGCTCCAGAGCATTTTCAAGGTTGAAGGGGTATAATAAGATTGGGAAAGCGAAGAGATAGAGAAAAAAGGAAAGAAAGTCTAGAGACACCCAGTATAGCAGTGTAGCACCATGACAAGCTCAGCTCGAAGATGCATGTATCCCGAACACTCGAGATCAACATCTATTTCCAAAAAGTACGCCGATGCCATGTTCGATATGCTGGGATGTTTTCAGGCTTCTGTTCTGAAACGGGACTATGCAAACTCAGCAGTCTATCCAATGAAATCAACCTGTTCCGCATCTCTCACAATAGTGCACATACGTTCCCAGCAGAGATCAGAGACCCTTCAGGGTGACAAATACAGGTTGCTTGTGAACGCCACTATGAATGACTTGCCAGATTCATTGAGGGATTCAATTCTCAAAAACAGTTCAGACGATCAAGGAGGTTGGTCTCTGGACCTCTTTATGCGAATCGGCCTGACGATCATCACGATGTGGACCCTGCAGAATTCCGAGTGGGGACCAATCTCTGTCGTCCACTAGAGACAGCAGTGTACTGCCAGATTTAATTTCCGGATTGAAGTCCCAGAGAGGTCTCGAACGCCCCCATCGTGAGCCAAGTCGAAGCAAGGTAGTTTCCAACCTGGGGCTCCTCAAAATGCTGCTCGGACGAGCACCATGAGAAATTGTAATACAGCAACTTTGGACGCGGCGGTGCTGTACCTCGTGAATATACCATAGGTGCCAATCCGTACCCAGAGTGTACCGTTCAACAACCCATGGATTAACTCGTAAATGACCAATATGAAGATGCACAGAGCCCATACTATTGACCTGGCCATGCTCTTATGGATTACTGGCACCTGAGGTGCCACTGCGCGTACCACGTTGGAGTGCCGGATAGCATCCTCTCACGAGGTCCATGATCCCGGATCCTAGTCGCTCAACGGGCGACCGGCACAGCTTGTCAGGGTAGCGTCAGATTTAACGACGATCGCCCCAGCGCCCCTCCGCAAATGACCTGTCTGTCAGGACCCCGGCCTCAGCTCCGCCAGATTGGCCCCCAGCCCGGGCACGGCAATGCGCGCATGCAGCCCCCAATCACAGGCGACAGGCACCGTCTGCCAGGCTATTCTTGGTGGAGCTTGGCCACGGCCCGGCGTGTTCTGGCGACACACGGCGCCTGTGGGGGCCCAGGGGCCCCAAGATCTCCTGTCGTCCCCAAAAGGTGATTGGCCAACTTGCTGGTAGGATTATTGGACGGATCTTTCCACTCAGCATCCATGTATCGCTTAGGAGGCCGCTGGCCGCGCTGGCCCGCCACGATCAAGATAGGGGAGGAGACGGTCCAACAGTAAAGAAATTAGCAGTGACTTTTAGGGGTCCCCTGCCACAGTGAATGGGTTCGTATGGGGAACCTGTCGTTAGTTACTATACAAATTCAGTAGTGTCCCCTCCCATCTGGCTGCCCCTGAGGACATTCGGGATGCCTCTCCGTCTGACAGGTCTGCACTCCTCGGGCTGTCAAACCGAGTCTCATTAGGATTTGGGAGTTCAGGCTGCCGACTGACAAGACTGGCTCCGAAAACGACGTCGACAAAATGAAGCTCACCACTGTCCTCCTTCCGGCTCTCGCCATGACCGCGCAAGCACTCACAGTCCCAGCCAGCCTTAAACCGATCTTCGATGTAAACGACATCCTTGCCTTCGTGGCCAGGATCTTCCCCTTCGACGTGACCCTCGAAGCTGCACAGAAGCTAAGCCTGGCTGCCGAGGAGGCGCTTGCGCTTGCTCAGGGGTTCCGAACGACGCGGCAGGAGCTCGATGACGGGAGGTGTGGTGACCTGCTTGTGATATTTGCAAGGGGGACTCAGGAACCGGGCAACGTCGGCGCGCTGGTCGGACCGCCTTTCTTCAAGGCCTTGGAGAGGGCCTTGGGCGGCTCCCATTCGCTCTCCGTGCAGGGAGTCGAATATGAGGCGAACGTGGGTGGTTACTTGGAAGGAGGTGATGCCGAGGGCAGCCAGGGGATGTGAGTTGAGGGCTCTTGCTGAGAACAGTGTCGAGTGCCAGCCGAGCTAATTTGAATAGGGCCTCACTCGTGACTGAGGCTTTCAGCACATGTCCCAACTCCAAGATCGTGCTCAGTGGTTATTCTCAGGGTGGGCAACTGGTACACAACGCAGCCAAGTTGTTGCCCGCAGACACAATGAAGGCGGTCAGCTCAGTGGTTATCTTTGGAGATCCTGGTATGTCAAGCTCTCCTCGAGATCCACTGGTGTCGCGCAAGCCGCTGACTTCCAAACAGACAGCAGTCAAAGCGTGGAGAACGTCGACTCAGACAAGGTCTTGGTGATCTGCCATAAGGGGGATGACATCTGCCAATTCGGAGACTTGGTTAAACTCGAGCATCTGACATATGCACAAGATGCGGACACGGCAGCGGACTTTGTGGTGTCAAAAGCTGTGTTTTGAGATTTTGAGAGGCTGGAATCCGCCATATAAGCCGAGTTTGCCCAGACATCTCAGGGTATTGGCAACACCATTATATCACAAATGAACTGATCCCAGCCCCCAGTTGCCTTGACCGAGATTTTTTATAAGGTATGTGGCAATAACCACGTCGCACATGTTGCTCATCCCATGCCCCACGCAATTTTCACCTCGAGAACTTTTCCGGGTATCGATCGAGTGGTCCAACAAGGCATGAGCACGGAATTTGTGACCGTCACAGCATTGCCGACCGATCAATTGGACTTCGACGAATTCAACGATATTATTCATCGAAGAAATCGTAGCCCAAAAAAAAAGACATGAAAATGTCAACGGCTGTCAGCTCAATTATCGTGATTCATGACGCGCCGCGCAGCCGGAGCTTTTCCTCCTGTGGGTCTCGGCCGAGATGCTATGATTTCGTCATTGGTACTTCACCCTGACGACCCTCGTCATCGCTGCGTTCCTCCGACTTTGAAGACGACGTTCATTGTGTCTTTGTAACGAGTATTTACGGTTGCTTTTTTATGACATTGGCTCCTGCAGTCTTCGTCAAGAGTAGCTCGTCTGGCCCGTTTTGTACATTGGAACATGCGTTAGCCCAACCAACGTCATGATGCTCTCAACTACCTCATCGACTGCACGCCTTCCCCTCCGCCAGGCTAGACCGTTTATTAACGGGCTGTCCCAGACAGCAGCTCGCCTTCTAAGTTCAATTTCCGTTGGATCATTTTCAAAAAGCACACCCCACTCTCTACCAGCCAGACTTCACGACTTCTTTCCCACGTCACTTCATCGTCCACTTCCAACCATTCCGTTATCAACAACAACAACACAAACATCCAGCATGTCAACCCAAAGCATTGCAGCAGCCAGCCATGGCGATCTCAACCGCAACAGCCTGTTTAACCTGAAGGGCCGTGTTGCCCTCGTCACCGGAGGCGGCAGTGGAATTGGCCTGATGATCACCCAAGCCCTAGCCGTGAACGGCGCAAAGGTCGGTTTCCTCCCAGTCCCGTCATCTGCCATGTCATATTCACTGACATTCCACAGGTCTACATCACAGGCCGCAGCGAAGACAAACTCAACAAGGTGAAGGAGACGTACGCAAAGGACATCGAGGGCGAGATTATCCCGCTGAGCGGCTTCGACGTGACGAGCAAAGACCACATCGGCAAGCTGGTCAAGGAGATCGAGTCCCGCGAGAAGTGCCTTTGCGTCCTTGTCAACAACGCCGGCATCAGCAGCAACACCGTCACGACCGAGACCGACTCGACGCCGGAGCTCAGCAAGAACCTGTTTGACTCCGAGGGCGTCGACTTCAACGACTGGCTCAACCCGTACAGCACAAACGTTGCCGCTGTCTACTTCACATCTGGTCAGTGATCGCCCACCGGGCCTTTCCATTCCATGACACAAATTGCTGACCGCCACCCACAGCCGCCTTCCTCCCCCTCCTGCAAAAGTCCTCCGACCTGCACGAGGGCTGGTCCGGCACCATCCTGAACATCACCTCCATCTCGGGCATGATCCAGAAGGCGCAGCACCACTTCGCGTACAACGCCTCCAAGGGCGCCGCCATCCACCTCACGCGCATGCTCGCCTCCGAGGTCTCGTCCAACGGCCACAAGATCCGCATCAACAGCCTGGCGCCCGGCGTCTTCCCCTCCGAGATGACCGCCGGCGAGTCCGACGAGTACCAGAAGAGCCACATCCCCAAGGACAAGTACGAGGGCAAGTTCCCCGCGTCCCGGCCCGGCAGGGACGTCGACATGGCGCAGGCCGTGCTGTTTGCGGTTACGAACCAGTACCTTAATGGCCAGAACTTTGCTGTTGATGGCGGATACACCATTGCTGCGGGTCTATGAGGCAGGTTTGACCAGGAAACCGAAAGACATGTTGTCACGTTTTCGTTTTGAGAATTAAAAGCGAGGCATTGCTGGGCCATAAATGAAACCTCACTCAAACCTTCATAATCGAGAGCTGTAGCCAGGGATTCCTGGAGTTTCTTCGGGTCTTGATCATGTACATCCATGTGAGGAGGCAGACAATCACACACGAGGTGGAGCTCCGCCGTAACTAAACTTAACTGACCGTTTCGCGTTGGGCATACTGGCCTTACCTGAGCGGATTCTGTACCGAAGTAGCCCCGGCATTGAACTGTGTTATGCGTGTGAGCTTCCAGTAAAACTGAGTATGAGAGTGGGAGTCAGGTCTACCTAGGTAACTAAGTTTCCTTCTAAGGTTTACTCGCATGTCCAACATCATGTCCTACGACTTGCGGTCACTTTGCGATTTCATGGCTACCGAACTACGTTGTTGAGCCGGTCTCCCACAGTTTTTGATAAATATCGGCAAGATTCTTGTATGCGCTATAAGCCCACACGCATTGCATCACACCCTGTGCCCGTATCTGCCCAAGCACCAAAATCCCGTGTCTCCCTCATCCCCGTATCAACCTAGGTACTCTCCTCCACTGATGCTCTTGGGAGTCCGACGGTGAGCCTAATGCACCCGTACTGTAGACTGGGAACATTGAAAGGATGAGATTCACAATTAGTCAAGGCAGGCCTCCTCGACAACCGCGGGTAGGCTATCACCGAAAGGCGCCAGCGAAGTCCTGCTAAGATACCCTGCCACTACACAGTCCACGGGAAGTAGTAGACAGCTATCCTCATGAGTTCAACACATCCAGGGTCTTTTCTTTCTCCCCCTTACCGTTCGTCAAAGACACACATGTTCCCTTCCATTGATCCCCTACCCCTTTACTCACCTCAGTCACCCGAGCTACCACCCCCCCCCCATCTTCTACCACGGCCCAGTCAAGGCCTCAAATACATCCACCTGGGCATGGGCGGACAACAAAACTTCAAACCCGGAAAACAAACCGCCACCGTCAAAATGTGGTGTACGAGCAGGAGCCGACGCCGGCACCAGCGCTCTACGGGCTCGTTCCCACGAGTCCGGGGCCAATGTTCCGTCCCCCTAAGCTCCCAACAAAACCAACCGCCGCCTCTGCCAGTCGCCGAGGTCCCCTCCCCCCCACCCAAAGCGACACCATCCGCCCAGAGAGGCCCTCTCGTGCTGCGAGCCTAACTACCTACACAGAGACTCAAGCTGCCGCCCGGCTGTGGCTAAACCCCCCGCTGCCCGCCAAGCGGGAGCAAAGCCTGGCGGGATCCGCTTGTTGGGTTGGGTGGTAGGTCGGTTACATCTGTAGGCATGCACAACATATCACAGGACAGATACCTTTCCAAACACACATATCACGCGGAACCTTTGAACCAGGGGCAAATGATACATTAGCTTACATAAACATCCGTCGAACGGGAGGTATTCAGGCTCCAGAATTGCATGTCCACGCAACAGCTTTGCTTTCCGTTGTCTTTCTGCTTCAAGCGGGTTGGGGGGGGGGGGGAGTCGAACCACATGGTTCCCGGGAGACGCAACGCGAACGTATCTTCAATCCTCCTCCGCCCGTCCAGCGTCCCATCCACGTCCACAACAGTGGATGTGATAATAAGCCCAAGCTCTGATGTGCGAGGGAAGCGTTCTCGCCAGGATTTGTAGAGCAAACTGTGGCCTGGAATTTTCGATCCGGAGCCTTCATGCAAGTGCTCAAATCGGATGTTTCCAAGCACCGGCGACTCTAGACAGACATGGCCACATGCACCACCACCTGAGGCTCCCGGGCGTGAAGCCTGTCCACGTTGGAATCGACAAAGCCAAAGAGACGGCATTGATGCGAGCAGGGAACATGTGAAGCATCTTCCATCTTCTTATTATCCTTATTACTATGAACTATCTACCCCGAGGGTAAGTACAAAAAATGAATTGACTCCTCCTTCAATCCATGGGAGGTGACCAGAGCCGACACTGGCCACAGTCGCAGTGGTCAGCCAGTCAACCTTCAAACGACCGACCCATGAAGAAGGAGTCCCAGACTAAAAAAAGCCCGCAAACCCCACCCAGCGGCCCCATCATCCGATCAAACAACCCGAAATGTGCATATAGATTACTCCCCGGCAAGGTTCCGAAAGGCGACCTTAATGAGGGGAGACAAGGCATGGAACGCATGGAAGGCATGGATGAGGTGGTTAGACTTTCGCGCCCGCTGCAGGTACGCTCGTCTCGCCCTTCCCAGTCTTGCCAGTCCCGTCCACCCTCTCCTGCGTTCTGTCCAACCCCCACGCCGGGCCGTCCAGAGCGCCGAAAGCTTCCATGTTACGGTTACGTCTGCTCCGGTGGCTTTGCATCTTCTTGATTTTGTTCGTCCTTGGCCCGATGGCATGCTGACGGCACACCGGTGGCAGGTGTGATGTTTCAGTCATATTGCGGCCTAGCGCGGAAAGTCCCGCCGAAGGTTTTCCAGTGGCTGTTGGCGGCGCTGCTGTTATGGTTATGATAATTGTGATTGTTCATCGATGGCAAATCTCTTGGAGTTATGGCCAAGTCAGAGATGGACGGTCAGCATGTTCGACTGCAGATTCCGAACTCTGCGCTGTGCCTTGACTGACGATCTTACTCGCCGAAAAAACTAGACCCTGATGCTCATAGTGTGGTACTCTGGCAGGGCTTCGCCAACGACGTCATAGAAAGATTTGACAAAAAGCCTCAGCAAGAGCCGTCGCGAGCGCCGACATTGTGTTCGGATCTGGCTCGCAGGAAGAAGTATCCCGTCGCCACAACGGCCAGATAAACTTCCTTCTCGGGGTCCTAAGGCGCATCCCACGTGCCTGAGGAGCAAACCTAAGGAATGAGAGGGATCGTCTGCCCCGGCCTTACATGGGCCGGTCTAGCCCTTGACGATCACTACTTACTTGATCACCCACTTGGGCTCAAGCACACAGTAGGACGTTGGAAGGTTCACGCATCGAAAAGTCTATCAATGAGCATGTTGAAGGTGGGAAACCACTTGGCAGGTGTGCGCGACGCACAATGGGTAGGTAACAGCAGCAGTGCGGGAAGGCTGCTACGCTCGCGGGTCCCACCAAACCCTACGGTTTGCGTGCCTCGTCGCCCGCCCGCCCTTCCGAGAAACCCAATTGTCTAGCGCATCCCAGCGCTGGGGGCCCCGTTTCGGACCGCTCAGCCTAGCAGGGCACTTGCCTGCTAGCCTGCAGGGCTCGCAGAGAAATGGACGCGGACAATGCGTCGCACCGGGTCGATCACCGCTCGATCCCTGGGCCGGCAGATCTTCTACCCTGGCGCGACCGCTGGGGTTACCCGGGGCGGTCCTGCAGCCTCACTTTTGGCTTAGCGGGCCATGCGGCAGACCAGAACCCGCACCCCCGGCGGGCTTGCAGGGCTGCTGGCTCGGCCTCGTTGTTTTCCTTGGACACCCCACCGCCGCAGGGCAAAAAAGGCGCTGAGCTGATGGGATTCTGGGAGGCTGGTGGAGCAAGGGCTGCAAGGTTGACGGACGATGCAGAGGCGAGCGCCTTTTTGGCGGATTGACTCTACCCAGGTGTCAAAGTTCTCCCCGGGGAGGACTCCAATTGACCAGTTCATCAAGCTGCGACGAAACATGTTTGTGCAGGCGTTAGGCCCTCCGGGCAGCCATCGAATGCGCAGCTTCGTCAAAGGCTGGCGGTCTGGCGGTCCTGGCCATGACATCATGCAAGCCGAATCGTGTCGCTTGATGATTCGAGACCGCAAAGCCTCGAGGCAGCATTGCTCCCTGTCCTCAGGCTCGTGCACTCGCGCGTTCTGGGTTTGTCCGGATACCGGGCTCAGGCCAGGAGAAAACCTTGACCGGTACCTGAGACTCAGAGTTGTATTCATCGGTTTCCGTTTGGAGGTGGGCCTCGATGGGGGCAAAGCAAAGATTGGGTTGTTGTTTTCTCCTGCGAGGGGGTGGGGCTGTCACCATGGCGTCCCGAAGTCAATTGAGCAGCGATCAGGCGATGGCACCACGCTTTGAGCCCTGAATGTTACCGCGCTATATTGCTCCTGCGATTGGGATGAACTTTGGCTTCCGCGTGGCGGGGGAGTGGAATGTCCCGCTGCAGGTGGACACTTTCTCGAAGGACATGCCCTTCACATGCTTGTTGGGTGTTGGCAGCCGCACGACAAGGCTGCATGCTATCATTGAGTCCATCAGTGGGCCCCCATCCTGATCCACGGCAACAAAGTAATGTGAAACACACAGCTGATGAATTGATATCGTCAAGCTGGTCAAGCCACCGGGGCTCAATGCTGGGCGGTGGAGGGCCAGATCGGCGGCCGGTAAGAGAAGACACTCTGGACGAATTGGCCAATTGGTGGAAGGAATTGAGAGGCGCTGGGCTGTGGCGAGAACACAATGTGTCCCCTTGACGCAAACACAAAGCCCAATTGAGCGAGCCTGGCGTGGCCCTGCCGTTGCTGGTGCTCACGACGAATGTTGGACCCAAGACGTGGCTGCCCAACTGATTTGGGAGGCACCAAGGCCGTGGAATGGAGGGACGAGGGACCGCAGCATGGCGCCCTGCATTGCAGCACAGCAGCGGGGCCCGGACAAAGGAAGGATCGTGGAGGATCTCGAACCAGTTGGCGGCGTCGAGCAAGTTGGGCGTGTTGGCTGCACGACAGGGATCTCGCGGCGTTTTCCAAATTTGGAGGCTGAGAGATGCTGCGTCAATTAGCACATGGGGGGCAGGCATGGACGGACAATGGGATTCGGTCCCCTCCCTTTCCGCATCCATCGTCTTGCATCGTGAGACGGGGCGGGCCAACTGTGAGACCTGACATGTACACCTGGGCATCCACTGACTGCAGTTGCTTGCACTGCTGCAACAGCTCCTCCAACGGGACGATGGCGCAGCAGCCGAAACAGACCAGACCGGGACAACAGATGTGACCGGTCTCTGGGGCTGTTTGCCTGCCAGGCCTGCCTGTCCCCAAGAAAGCCGGATGCATCAATGGGGTGCGATTGTGCCGGTCAGAGCATGGGGAGGCAGAGACAGCCTTGCCAGCTTGCCCGGCGAGTGAGGAGGCGGGACTGGCATTTTGGAGTCGCATCAAGCGCGCCCTGCTTTTGCATTGAATCGCACGCGCCCGCCCGGCTTGCCTGTGCACACAATGTGATGTGATGAGATTGGACACTGAAAACCATGAGATGTGATACTGGTGACGAAGTCAATCGAAGTCAATGATGTGGCGCCTGTCGGCCAGGGAGACATTGGATGAAGAGAAGCATTGGTTGCCAATTGAGAAACAGTCTGCAGTAGACTAAAATTATCTGGCCGAGTACTGTAGTCTGGTCAATTCAACCCACCTTCCTTCCTCGGTGAGGGTCAAACTGGGCGGCAGAGAAAGACGGGCAGAGGCAGGAAGGAGGAGCTGGGCCGGCGAGTCACCTTCCACCGACCCCTCCTTCCAACCGCACCCCAAAGGAGGGGTGATAAGATAAGCCCAATTACGGTCTGGTCTGGTTCCAGTCTTGGGATACGGGCAGCTTGCCTGCCTGGACAATGGTCAATTAACAATCGCATTGGCATTGGCATTGGCACCGGCAACGTCATTTACGTCGGCGCTGGAATGGGTGATAGACTGGCTCAGCTGACTGCCTGTCGCGGCTTGGGGGGATACAGAGGCTATCGCGGGACGGGAAAACCGCCGCACGTTAATTGACGTCTAAGCGCGCCTGCTGCCAAATGCCCAGACCAACAGGACCCCTAAGATCTACATGCATTGCGAGACATCGAGGGCCATGTGAAGGTGGATCCACCCACCACTAGCACCTGAGATAACGGCGGCACGGGTGTCGTGACTGTCGCTTGTCTCGGACAGGTAATCACGAGAGTGTCGCCGTGGTTGCGGCAGATGACGGGATGATATCAGATCAGCGGAGATAAGATGCCACCCAGGCTGGCCACAAGGGCAAGGGCAGGCCAAAGTACTGCGACTTTGCGACTTGTCTGCGACCCTGCGGACTCGTGCACTGCTGAGGATGCCATCGTCGCGGCTGCCCGCTAGCACTCGAGCACCTGGGCACGCATACCGTTGATATCCCACACACGTTTGGGGATGGATCACCGGATGAGGGCCTAGTGTGGGAGACTGGGTCATGTGGCTGCTGGGGCACCTGGGGCACGTCGCGTTGGGGGTGTGTGGCGATATTGGCGACACTGCCGCCTCTTCCCTTGGACGACTAGCGCTGTCGCGATTGCCATTGGCGTATTGGGCAAGTGTGGCCAGTGTGCTAAGAGTGTGTTCGTGATCCAAGGGGCCTCATGAGTCGCGAGGGCGTGGGAGTGGGATGCGACTATTGCTTCTTCGGTTACCTGCTTGATCAGGCCACGGTGCGTGTGTCACCTAGCACGCACACGCACTCGCTCACAGGCTCACTGAGCCACAGCTGGAGCAAGAGGAGACTCTGTTGCGTGGACTAAACTCGGCGTCTTCGGACCAAGAGCAGGTCAGGTCGGGTTGCTCGCGAGCTTGTGCGTGCAGCAACAGAGAGGGTGACGACGAGCGAGGCGAGGGGTGGGTGGCGCAGGCCAGGGTGTCGCGTTACAAGTCGCCCGCCAGACTTATTAACTTCACCTAGCACCGTACGGTTGGAGCGTCGGAGCACAAAGCGAGCCTGCATGTGGACGAACTGAACTGGCCGGCTGGCCGGCTGCTTCTCACACCAGCCCAATTCCCCTCCGGGCAGGCTGCTTGAATCTTGTCGGGTGCGTGTGGCGTGGCTGGTGAGGCGTACTAGGCAGAAGGTATTTACGCGTAACCCAACGGAGGCTGCCATCAATCGCGACACGGCCCCACGCCCTTCAGAGCCCGTAAAGGCAATTGAAGGCAATGATTCATCAATGGCGCCCGAGTTGACTCAACATCGGCAACGACGGGCCCATCCGGCTGCAGTAGTGATACAAACCGCTTGTCGGTCAGAAGCACTGTTTGTCCCCATGTTGCCACGAATTGCTCACTGTCCTCCAAGGGCGACGACGCTGGCGCAATGTGCGCGCCAGGACCTACCATGCCTAACTAGGTAGCTGAGCAGGTTGGCAGGCAGGCAGTCAGTCTGCTGCTGTTCTGGCAGCCAGGACAGAGTTCGGGCGGTCCTTGTTACCAAGTTGCCAGAGTGTTCTGCCCTGATTGTTATTATTCATGCGACGCAATTGACGCGATCGCATTGGGTCACCAGCCGTCCTGCTAGAGCGATGGCTGACATGCCCTTGCACGGCGCATGCTAAGCCGTGGATCTCGGGCGCCGTGGGCTCTGGGGCTCTGGGGCTGGGGACAGATTCAAGCCCAGTCCACGCAATAGCGGTCATATGGGACCTTCTTTCCGTCTAACAAGTGTAATACGGGTCCGACGGCTTTGAGTCGAGCCCAGCCAGGCCCGTGGGAGCCGGACCAAGGAGTTAGTCGGCGATAATCTGGGGCATGACGGCAGTGCTGACGGCAGCACTTGGGAGCTGAGGATGACGAGGGAGAATAGCGGCAACAATTGGTAAAAGCGGGCAGCAATGGATTGGGCAATTGACGACAAGGCAGTCAGTCATAAGGGCAGCCAAGAAGGGCCAGAGTGGGCGAGGGAGAGAGGCAGAACAGAAGGCAGAGGCACAGGTAGAGACAGATGGAATGGGAGAGAATCCGTCAGGCTGGATTGGATTTGTGATGCAGGCAGGCTGGCTGGCCATCTTCTTGATACGCACACGCCCTCCCAGGGTGCCGTCCCCAGTTCTAGGCCCACAGGCATCAAGTACCCGCAGACTGCGGCATGTCAGACGGTACATGCTCGTTACTTGTGTCACTGCCGTTCACAGGGCCGTGACTTCCCTCCCTGTTCCCCAGGTCTGCCAGGTCCTGCTCTCCCTCTCCCTCACACCCTGGTTCCCGAGTGGGCAGGCATGCGAGCACATTATGGAGGGTGCATTATCAATCATTATCGATTACACCTGGTATCGATAACGTCAACTAGGCCAAACCGGCCTGTGCCCGACCGAGCGCTGCTGCCGTTTCAATCGGGCGGGGCTCCTGCGAAACGACAGGCCCCCGTCGCTCCGTTTCCCTGTTCCCGTTCCCGCCTTCCTGCCTCTTCCTGCCCATGGCCCCATGCTCTTCTCGGTCGTGCAATGGTGCATTGGTGCTCCATCTGTGTCCATGGGCTGCCTCTCTCTGCCTCGACCGTTTCTGTCCTCTGTCTGGCCCAACAGTATCCCCGTCAATTGATTTCACAACAACTCCTGCTTGTTGATTTTCGACTTTCTGGCCGGTGTGACTCACACCCGTCGTGGTCTCGTCTGGTCTGGAGCTGGATTCCCACCAACACTTGCTTGGTCATGGCACCAGCAGCATGCGACCGTCTCCGTCCAGAGCCGAAAACAGCCACTTGATGCTCCACGTCAGCCCTAGCCATTGGCCAATTCCCTCGTCCCGACGGCTCCATGTTTCCTGCTGGCGCGGAAAGTCAAGAGCATCCCAAAGGTGGCAATGCAAACTTTCCACAGGCAGACCCGGCAGACCTGGCAGACCTGGCAGACCCGGCCACCTGGCTTCTGCATGGCTTCCATGGTTCAGGAAGAGAAAGGGCCTGAGGGCCTGCGACACGGACACAGCACCAGCTCACGGCCCCCAGCCAATGGATGCACCTGTTTCGAAGCCTGCCAGGGGCATCGCATCACTGAGCGTGGCCTCTCCCACAGGGCCCGGGCGGCCTAGACCTGCCTGTGTCTTGTTGCACCGGTCCAGCGGTCTCCACATCGCGGGACACACTCAATTGATCCCGCACCACCATAGCATTTCCGCCCTCGGTGCCCCGAGCCCATCCTTGAGAAGTCGTTCATGCCTTGGAAATTACAGGCCACCTGGCACCAATTGGCTTTCGGGAGTCTCGCATAAACCACGCTGAAGCTTGCCGACAGGGTGAGTTCGGTGCGTGGGATGCCAGAGCTGAGGGCTGAGAGCTGTCACTGATGCGCGCCGTGCCCATCCGTGCCGATTGATGTCATGTCATCAGCTATCAAACTCAGGGTCGCAGAGATCTCGTCCCTCGTCCCTCGTCCCTCGCCCCGCCCACCTCCTGAAGCTCATGGAGCCTGGGCTCTTGGCCATTGATGGAAGCAGTGGGGGGAGATGGCCAATTCCCGCTTTATCGTGCCTTGCCAATGCCTGGCAGCACCATCAGGCTCCCAGACTTCCAAGTCGGACCACCGATCGGATTGTACATTTTCCCCATGCACCAGCCATCATGCCAGCCTCGGGCTGATATTCGACCCATTCCAGGATCGAACATGTGCGTGTTGCTCCGCCGAGGGCGTGAGCCCCTCTGGCACGCCACCCGTCATAGCTTGTACGGATACAGATGTGGCAACCCGGCACAAGAGGAATCTCAACAGCTCGCGAGACCTGTCATGATGCAGCACACACGCCCATCTCTCGGAGTTTGCCATTGATGCGCTTAAACCTGACGCACTGCCTTGGGCCAGCTCCCAAGTAGAGTCATCTACGCGTCCCCCCACCCCTCTCGAGTCCCCATTGTGCCCGGCGAAGTACGCTGCCTGCTAAAGTGCATGCTCGCCCAGGTAGCCCGCGTCATCCTCTTCAGACATCTGCCTAGATTCGCGTCCTGCTCCTCCTCACTTTTTGCCATAACCAATCCACGACGTTCCATATACGTGTCATGCAGTCATGGCTGTCAGGGTCTGGTTCGCATCTGGCCAAGTTTCGCGCCTCGTGCATGCGGAAGGCTGGCTGGCTGGAGGGGCCTTTGGGCATTACTTTCTCTTACTGCCTGAGCCTCGCTGCTCGGGGAGACATCCCTACCACGCTTTGTCAACGTTTATCCACCCAGAGACCCCATCAAGTAAAAGAGCATGATTGGGGCAAAAGTCAATGGTGAAAAACTCGATGTGAAAATTCCGCAATTCTGGGCTGACCCAGCATGACTGGTTTTTTGCGTCGCTGATATTGTATGGTGAAGGTTAAAATAATCCGCAAGCGCAGTCCGGCTGCGGCCAGCGTCCATCGCGCAAGGGAGAGACAGACGGGTGCCGTTCCGCCAACCTTTGGCCGGCCCTACGTGCCTCCCAAAGGTACGTGCACTGCAGGCAGGAACCGGAAAGCTACCGCGAGCTTGGGTTGTTTCACGCGCAAAGTTTCTTGACCTTTTCAGGTACCTGCACAATCCACCGCCCTACAATTGGGTACAGACTCTGCTGCCAGTGGCGGGAACGAGTCAACATGCGGGTGTGCTCAGGCAACGGATTGAGCAGGCTGGCCAATAAGTCCCAGCAATTAGGATGCCTTGAATGCCTACGAAAAAGCCAAATGGCAGACAGACAGTCGCTTAAACCCGAAGCGTCCCCATGGGGCCTTGTATCACACACTTTAGCATGAGTCCTTAACATGCTGTTGGTCACCTCTCTTTGCTTGTTACGGTGGCACGCATGGTTGGGTATCATTGTGGACCACGGAAACTTGTTCTCGAGGTTCACATGCCTCAGGTCAATTCCACACGCGGGAGGGCTGGTGGTGGGTGGGGGGGGGTGAAGGGGGCAGGGAGCTGATTGATGCTCCAGCTACCGATTCACCTGTTGCCTGGCCCAGCGGCCATGGACGGTTAGGGGACTGACCAGTAGGAGCAGATGACCTTAGTTGGTCGACTGACACATCCTAGCGAACAAGTAGACCGCATGTACCGACGACAAGCGTGGGATGACAGGGATGGCGCGATGACACGACGGGGCGTGGCTCTAGCGCCCAAAAGTGTGACTCTTTGCGACACCCTCCATGACGACCAACCATAAACAACAGAAGTCGCTGCCGAAAGTCCTGCCCTCAGCAAGCGAGCACCTTTCCTGCAGGCTTACAGCAGAATCCAATGTACCTGTACACTAGGCCGCGGCCATCACAGCGCTGCTGAATTTAGGTCACAACCCATGTAGGTGCGCTCGCTGGCTTGATTTCATGACACCCCCCCCCCCCAACTGTCCCCCCAACTCCCCCCAACTCCAACTCACTTTCAGGTCTTCTGCTGCTCCGCCCGACCAAGTAATCCTCCCCATTTCCATCGACATTCTTCTACTTACTTTCCTCTTCTCGAACACCACTTTTACTTTGCGATTGATTGTTTTTCGATTACCCATTACTTTTGTCCAGCTGACCAATTCAGTCCTTCCTGTCTGCACTAACAGCGCCCGCCTTACCGCCAGACCCAAGCCAATTCGCCCCAACCGGAGCGGCGGCCTTCTGCCACACACACACTACCAGCATACTACAAAACGCTGGCACACCCCCCGGTCTTGACTTCGCCTTGCCTTGGATTGTCTTTCCTTTCCTTTGCCAATGCGCAGTCCTCAAACCTGCCCCATTTCAATTCGTCTCGTCCCAGTGAATCACCGCACTGGCCCTACTCTCAATTATCGACAGAACCACCAAGGAATTTTGTCACGACCCCGACTCCGTCACAACCACTTCTGAAGGTCCCATCCCACCTTCGCCAAGACTCACGATCCGCGCACCCGCCTAACTATCTAACACCACACCCACCTACCACCCGACGACCACTCTTGAACCAGATACAAAACCTACTCGCCTCGCGATACCATAGCCTGCGTGAAAATTCGGGTTTATCGGACGTGCGATATTCTGGTGCCGAATTCAATCTCAACTTGCTGCCTGCGACAACTCGCCACCTTCCTGGACCGTTAACACCGCCTACCCAATAACTGGCGAGCCGCCTTTTCATACGAAATGGCAACCCGTCCCCAGCCCGACGAGGTTTCGACAACACAAAACCACCAACGCGCATCGATGAGTCCCGCCGAAGCCATTGCGGTCAAGACATCATCCGCTTCTGTTCCATCTTCCAAGATGCAACCAAAGAACCCACTGGCCATAAGCAGCATGATATCGCCCCCAGAGCAGACCCCTCTCGACAGCTTTAAGCAGGTATCAGAACACTTTCAGCCCTTCAGCATGCAGCCGCCGACAAGGCCCAAGCAGGCCCACCCCCAGCAACCCCCATCGCCCCCAATCTCGCCATGGACCAAGGCGGACAACCATGTCAACGCTACTGCGATCTCTCCGGGCGTCAAAGACCCCATACTCTACCCTGAGGCGCCGGCAAGTCCTTCTTCGCCCCTCTTCGACGACCGAAAGCTCAGCCCCGCCGAAGTGCACAACGCCGTCGTCGAGCACATTGCGTCAAGGGGAGCCGCTTCTCTCCCGCACCATGTCGCGCCCCCGAAACCACAGGACTATGAGTACTTCTTGTGCTTTACGGAGAATGTCTTCCCGCTCTACCAACGCAACCCCCGTGCCTGGCTGAGGAGGAACCGCGAGCAATTGCTCGAAGACGCTAGGGCTCGTGCCGGTCGTGGTTCTGGATACAGGAAGCATTCACACCCAATCATCCAAGCCAAGCCCCTGATGGCGCGCCCATCAAACACCATTATTGCCAAAGCAACTGCTCCGAAGCACAACTCCCCTCAGAGGAACACCACCAAGGTCACCAAGCCGTCGACAGGGCCCAGACCAGTTCGCGCTCAGACAACAAAGGCAGCCCGGCGCATCAGCTCTACACCTGAGCCTCGCAGTCGTCTGGTACCTCCCAACCGAGAGGACAAGGATTTCAGTTCCATTCCTGACTACTGCCCACCGCTGAGTTCTCTCCCCGACAAGTCAAACCTGATGCGGGTCGACTGGAAGGGTGCGCCCCTGGACCTGAGCAAGGACCCGCACAGGCATCTCCTACATCCCGATGAGCTCCAATTGGCGGCAGGCCTAAGGCTGGACTGTGCTACCTACCTCACCAGCAAGCGCCGCATCTTTGAGGCTCGCCTGGATTATTACCATAAGGGCAAGGAGTTCCGCAAGACCCATGCCCAGCAGGCTTGCAAGATTGACGTCAACAAAGCCTCCAAACTGCACACTGCATACGAGAGAGCTGGCTGGTTTGAGAAAAGGTGGATGCAGAACCTACCGGTCCCTGCATCTCGCTAGATGATGCACTTGCGTTGCATACAATAGCCGGCATGGCCGTCCTCACTCCTCCTCCACGTCAACCGCATGCTGCTGTCTCTCCCGCCTTTCTTGGGTCAAGGGCTGAGCCCTCGTCGACAATTTCTTTTGTTGGATCGACCATGTGCGACATGATTTGGTAGAGGACCAAGTGTCCGGCGCTTTGCAGTTCTGCCTGGGTTTTCTTTTTCGGGCGACGCAAGTTTTCTCAGCATGTGATGCGGTACTAGTTCTGTCGGGCTCCCCATACACACAATATACACACAGCGCGGCACACAACGAGACAATTACACACAAGATACCCGGAGTACGAGACCACAACACACCTCGTCGTCACAACACATCATATACAACAACACAGCGAGATCACAACATCTTGCTCGAGTTCCATCTCGCCAACTCCTCTCTCCATGTCTTCTCGGGTCTCCACTTTGCATAATGTTTCAGGGTTTCGCGGTCGGTTGGGTACGGTCACGGTCTATGCGAGGAGTTCCTGTCCATTATTTTGGTTGACGGCTGTTTGGTCTTCGGCTGGTCCCAACGCTTGCGCGGGCCTGCTCAGGACACATTGACCCGCTCGCTTCATCAGATTGGTCTTTTGCATATGACTGCGGCGTTTTCTCCCGAGATCGCCACAGCCGTCTCTGGGATTTCCCTTTTCTTCCTTTTTTGGTTTCTGTGTGTCACTTTTCACGGCGGGGAGTCCTTACAGAGAGGTTCTTACACGGAAGAGATTGATGGGAACTGTATGGACAACCGCCATCAAGACTACTGCTGTCATCGTCATGTTATACCCCCAATATACCCCCTTGAGTTTGATTACAGTCTTCACTTCACGCCACGTAGGGCGCAGACGATACGTCAGTCCTGGCCTTCACTTTTGTCGACCCCTTCTTATCTTCCCTTTGTCAGTCTGTCTGTCGACTTCATTTTTGCTCATAGATGGATGTTCGGTATCTGGTTGGGAGCGGCATCATGCTTCTCATGAAGAGAGCAGAGGTGACCAATCCCCGTCTGCAGCGAGCTGAGTTGAGCTGAGCTGGCATTCATGAGGCCTGATGGAGGGATTACACGACAGAATGGGGGCTTTGCTTCTCGGATTTGGACAATCTCCGTGACGGGGGAGCGACGGGGAGGAGAGTAAGAGACTGGCATTTTGGATATGACAGAAACAATGTGCTGGCCGACTTAGCTCGCGCACCCACCAAGCCGCACATGCGTGCCTACATAGGTAGGCACTTAGTTACTTGCTAGCTCCCCTTCCTCGAAAGCGGAGAACAAGAAATGATTGAGTTCGAGAAACCCCAGTCATGCGTATCAATGCTATGCTGTGAGATGTGTGCGTGATTGCTTGGTTTCAAATGCCGTTGAACAATTTTGTCGAGATTGTCACATGTCCACGGGGCGCTCGTGACACCCAGAAACACCCCCATGCAAGTCAGGTCAGCCCTATGACCTGTCAAAACGGGATCTCTCCCTTGCGGTTTGCGGAGATAGAGGGCAGGACCCTTGCGTGCGGGAACGGATTAGATTGATTGGGAAGGGAAGGGGTCAGTCAAGTCAGATTCCTCGATAGAATGGACGGGTGATCTGCCGGGCCCACGGCCACCCTTTCCCCGCTGGCTGGGGGGGCCCCCAGCCCCGCCCACCCAGGAACCCGCTGCGGGATGTAATCTCGCTACTGTACGGGGTAGTGTAAAAATTTCTTGAGGTGCATCTTTGTTTTTGGCATCACTCGATTTTTGTGTGTTGCTCCCGTCGGGACGCTACCCCAGGGTTCTTGTCTATGCTACGTCTAGTAGCACTTTAGTACAGGTAGCGTTCTGGGGTTTTTGCGTTCCGGGTGCCCTAATGACTGGCTGGCTACCTACCTACCTAGGTACCTATGTGCTTACTCGAGCACTTACATGCTTTCCCCGGGGAGGCAATCGGGCCAAAACTCACATATTGTGACGGTGGCATCTTGGGTGATCGGGGCTCGCGGCAGGGTGGCGGGCGGATACCCAAGTACCGGCCCCCGGAACCTTGGCCTCACGGGCGGGATTGTGACTTTTGGTTTTTGTTTTTCCCTTTTCCGGTGTGGGAGTTACTTTTTACTATTCTTGGGGGTGGGCAGTGTTTTTTTCCCCCCTTCTCTTGCGGCCCTGCCTCCTCGCTGCGTCCGATATCCCAGGAACCCAGCTCCGTTGTTTTTGTTTGGTTTCGACTCTTTTTTGGGGGTTGGGACTTGTGTGAGCATGCCTGCATGCGTGCGTGCGTGCGTGCGTGCATTTGTTCATCTGCGCTGGAATCATGCGCGTGCCTTGATCGATCCATCTCGCGGGAGAGCCCCGGGAGGCTGGCTGTGGCTGGCTAACCTTGCACGGTTCACCCCCCTGGCTGGCGGACTGACTGGCTGGCTGACTGACTGACTGGATTGGGGATCCGAGGCCGTTCCCGGACGCGCAGGTGGCTGACTTGGGACAAAAGTCCTGTTCCCCTGGGTCGGTCCCGGCGGGACTTTGGTGGTCAGGAAAGTTCTTTTTTTTTTGGAGGGGGGGGGGGTGCGCTGGGCCCTGGTTGGACGGACTATCTTCGTCTTTGTGTCTTGGTGAACCACACGGATAGATAGGATAGACAGACCATGTGGTGTGCAGCCCGCACTGCCACCCCGCGATGGGGACCGGCGCCGACGTCCACGGGTAGCAGGTAGGCGGTGCACCATCCCCGCACAAGTAAAGTACTCGGAGCCGCCGTCTTTCAACGGCGACGGCACCCCGGCCCTAACCTTGATTGACTGGTTTCGCTTCTATTCCGCATACGTCCAGGGACATACATGGCGCTTTCATACGGTGGTAAACGCTCAAGACCAACCTTGATTGAAGCTGGAGTCCACGGGTGCTGGCCTGCACATGATGGAAGATATAACCGCCACATAACCGCCACCTGTAGACGTGAGCGTGGCTGGCTTCACGTTCGCGACTCGTCGAAAAACGCGACTTTCGGGGCATTGACTTGCTATGACGGACACAGGGCGATATATACGTATATATATGTATTTTTTCTTCTTATGATTTGCGTAGCATAGCATGGCGAATGTACTTGAGTAGTTACTCCTTGATAAACACACCACCGCCTTGTGCATGTAGTCCACCGCTTGCTTCATTAGTTTTTAGTTATACTTAAGGGTCTTATTTTGTACTCAATTATAATTATTTGAGTAAGAGGCTACACTATTTCTTGTTACTTGAATATAATATTATAATAGGAGGCTTCTATCAAAGGTAGACGAACCTCTAGTGCTCTCGCGCAACAATGCCTAGAGATCCCGTGCTTGGGGGAGAAAGTCGCGCAACCAGATTTGCCGACCATCCCCAGGTCTCGAATGCATTTCCATTCACCCCGCGGACTGTGCAGATGCTACTTCATGTTAGCACCATTCCTCACCGGGGGAGTTTCAACGAGCTACAGGGAAAGCAAAAGAGAACAAGGGAAACCCGGGGGGGGTGGGGTGTGGGTGGGCGGGACTTGTTCGAGATCAGGCTGTGCGGCTGAGTACAGCATCGTGAGACCCGAAAATATATCATCCGCGGCTGGAGAGACCTCGAGTTCTCACTTCTTTGAGTTCTTATATGAAAAGTTATTATCACCGTATCGGAGCCGCCGTAGCGAGCTAGGAAGACAACCCTTGGGAAGCAGCGGGTAGTGCGGTGCTACGTGGCGTGGCCGAAACAAAGTCCATTTTGGCTCGTCATCCGCAATCTTTTAGAATTGCTGCTTCAAAGACTCAATGGACTCATTTTCCGGGCTTATTCCAGAGACGTTGACTGTAAGTCTCGCCCGAGAGAACATCCTGAAGTACAGAGAGAGCTAGTTGATTGCAAGTGCGCTGGTGTGCTCGGTTCGGGGGGGGGGGGGGGGGTGGAGGTGCCGGCAGAGGAGAGGGCGTATCAGCGTATGTTCATTACGGCGGGGAGCACGCATGAATATTGCTTCTCATGTTGCACAAGTGCCAGCCTGCAGACGAGCGGCCGAAGTCCGGCCGCAGCATTCGTACGACATCCGACCATTTGCAGATTTAAGCACCTCCCCACGGGGCGAAGTCATCCAACGTTGCACATTTACCCCGCTAAGCTGCATTTAATCTTATACATATGAATTATCATAGTCTTTAATCTTATGAATCGAATTAGATACTACTCTAAATTATTAAGAAAAGTATATACTTAATATATATTTTATAGGTGTTTTTCTATATAAATATTTAAATTGAATTATATTTTTTCTATATATTATTTTATTTAAATTTTAAAGTAAATAAAAGTATTAATATATAAATTATTTAAAGTAATAAAAGTTATATAATATAATAATATAATATATTATATTATTTTAATTATTTATAAGTAACTTTTAATAATAATAAAAATATATAAATTTATATTATAAGAATTATAATAATTAATTAAGTTAAATATATTAATAAATTATTTGAACTAATAATTAATTAATATAAAACCCTTATATAATAAACTATATTAAAGTCATTTATTATATTATTAAAGTTTTAAATAATAATAGGTATCTCCTAGTCGGTAGGCACCGTTACTGAGAGGCACCTGTAGACACCCCCCCGAGGTCCTTCTCCTCATCGCTTACAGTAACGACACAGCCATACCGGACTGAATTGCCAAACCGGTGAACTTATGCATAAGTTAAAGTCTCGTCATTACCTATATCACATCTGCGCTCACTAAAGACCATCTGCAGAAGAGTTCAGCCTCAGCCTGCCGAAAGTCTGTACCACTTGGCTCATATGCATGAGAGCCAAGGTTTTGCATGTGTTACCAATCTTGTAGGATGTTGACATCATCTGCCTTGCGATTTCACTTTCAGTCGATGACGACAGGTGGTGGAAGGAATGTGCAGTATTCACCCATCAGGTGCGAAGAACTTGCCAACTTTTCAGGTGCCACCTGGACAGCTTTCAGTGCTATCCCTATATAATGACAGGCTTCTGTCCAGACACGTCGGCCGGAATTCTCAACCAAACACTCCAAACTTCCTCAAAGTTTATGCAATAATTCCCCAAACCATGCCTTTCCAGTTTCAATGTATCATCCAGCGCAAGAATGCAGAAGGTAATCGCAGTTCCACACATCGCCTTCGATTGTCTGCCACTCGAACTAACCATGAAAGCAACTGAAGATCCTGGCAGAACGGTGAATGTCACCGAGAATGAAGTGAACATCACCGAGAACAATAAAACAATATTCATCAATTACTTCAAGGCGTGGGTGACCAGCGCATACGTGGTCCCAGGCGTTGTGAGTATTCATCGCTCCAAAGACGATGGGGAAACAGGCAGCCGGATCCCCGCCGATGAACCAATCGAGGAACTTGAATTCTCGATTACGGAAAATGAGGTCCTGTACGTTCTCTACGACGAGGACACACGCGGTCCCAGGGGTTTTGGTCCGGGCAAGCGTACCGGCTCCTCTAATGCATGTGACGATGCAAAGGCGTTCGGAGAGGGAGGGACGGGCACCGGGGGCCGATTGGATAGCAAGGGAAAGTCTACGGGGGGTCATGGAATAGGCGGTGCTCTCTACAGCCAGACCGGAAGTGGTAAAGAGGGCATAGGCTCTGGTGGCACGGTGGCTAGCAAGGACGGGAAGGTTGGGTCTGGAAGCGGTGGCAAAGTCGATCTAAGGCCCGCATCCTGACTGAAGGCTACCTAGGTAACAATGCACGTCCAAGTTCGTTGGCTTCACTCATAGGCATCGCGAAACTCTTCGAGCCCCTTTGTGATAGTCACAAAGATGCATGATTATTGGGTTTCTCTACACCTGACTAGGACTTCTTCTATGGAAAATGTAAATATATTGAAGCATATCCTGCTTTCCCCGTCACTGGATATCTCTTTCATTCGTAACTATAATGTAGTGGCAAGCACCCGAGTTTCTTAGCAGCCACCACAGTTCTAGAAGTCACATCACATTCACTATAGTTTATATAGTAGCATAACCGCATTTTCTTTCAACAGTACGCAACGTCAACGGAGCCGTGTCCAGCTTGACAAGCTTGTGCTCAAAGACATACCTTTCACAAGTTTACCCGATGAGCAGTAGTCCTACAGAAGGTTAATCTGATGAAATAGGGCAATAGGGCTGCACAGTTGGTGCACTCAACACATACCTAGGTACTTTGCCTCCACATCAACCACGCTATGACAGTTTGTGTTCGGTGCAATTGAAAGAAAGAGGAAACTTGAAGTCAGGAAGAGAGCGGTCAAAACTTGACTGTTTCTACAAGGCAGCAATCCATACGTACATCCGCTCATGCCATACTCAAGCGTCTGAGCTACTGCGTGGTCACTGATCATACTGGGAGTTGATTCCGATGCTCGCTTGTATGCGGGCTGGCAATGCCCTGCACTACCTGCCAGGTCTGTGTGGTCAGTGGTCATCCTGCAGGCTTGAGCTTGGCTGCCTCTTCGAGTCCGTTATATCCACACCCCTTCCAAGATCCCAAGCCTGAGTTACAAGAAGCAAGTCTCTTTGCTGAGGGGTCCTAGGTAGTGGTCTTGTGGCTTTGGGAGAGCAAATTGAGCAGCTTCCAGAGCCTTACAAGGGAACAATCCTTAGATGGAGCTACGTCTGTCAGAAAAGTTAAATTTGATGGATCAAGTTCTTCACAGATGTCATTTCTCTACGTGACTCTTTGAACCTAGTTCAATACCAAGCTCGGCACGTCGTGCTGTCTTCTATTTGATAAGCCAGAAATTCGGGACCACCCGGACTTCATTCCCTGCCACTGACAATGCCGTTTACGAGAGACATGGGTTGGAGAAGTCATGTCCCAAGCAGGCTACGTCCAAGCCAAAGCCAGAACCTCGTCTCAAGTCCTCACGATGTCACGGATGCAGAATTGATAGCCTCTGTGCTGGCTTTAGCCACACTGTATTTTTCCTTTACACTATATAACTATCTTTTTATGTAACTACTTATTTCTTCCCTCTAAAGCTTATATATAAAACCTTTAATAACTCTATATATATTTTTATATTCCTTCTATAAAGAAACTTTAAATTCTCTTTTTATTTTATTATACTTTTTTATATTATTAAAAAGTTAATAATTACTAATAATAAAAATATAAATTTAAAGGAAAATAAGCTTATTATACTTTTTTTATCTTTTTATTAATTATTTTTAAAACTTTCTTTAAAAGTTTAAATATTTTATTATAAAACCTTAAAAATAATATATTATAAATTAATCTTTGTTATTTTAATTTTTTTAAAGTTAATAATTATATATTTAAATAAAAGTTATAATCTTAAATTTTATAAACTTATTTAATTAAAATTTTATTAGTATATACATATTTAAAAGAATAATCTTTTAATTAAGATTCTCTTTTTATTTTAGTTTTATAATAATTATTTTTAAAGATTTAATCTTACTATATAATTTCCTTATAATATTAATACTATTATTAAAATAATACCTTTTAGTTTTATTATTATATTATAAAACCAAGATTATTAATACCTATTATATACTTTCTAAGTACTAAGTTTTAAGTACTTACTGTTATATAAAGGCGCTATATATGTCCTTCAATGTATACGGAATAGAAGCGAAACCACATAGCCTCTGCGCTCTCACAGCCTGCAAGCAGTCCCAGCCTGGGCAGGCGAAACCACTTTCAAACCCAGAATCGTACAGTTGGAATCATTCTAAGTGTGCTTTTTTTGGCGTGTTAATCGTCATTGTGATCCCTTCAATATGCATCTACCGATGCACTCACGCCCACCGCCGTTATCAGACTCAGGATCGTCTCGCTCAGCGTCGCTGAGGACACAGGATTTTCTCATCTATCCACAAATCTATACCAAGCACGAGAGAAGGCGGCAATGGGGGTCAAGGTACGGCTGGGCAGCCAGGTGGGGAAGGACAAGATTTTGTCGGGGCCGATTTTTTGAACCGCAGAAAACATAGGGAGGGCGACAACTTTGCTGCAAGTGGGTCAAGATCCAGCAATTCAGAAAATAGTCATATCCAAGGCACTTTTCACAGACACATCGCAGGACCAGGCACAGGTGGTGATGCAATGGGTGGTTGTGGTGGTGCTGGAGGCGATGGTGGCAGAGGCGGCCAAGGAGGTCGCGGAGGCCAAGGAGGGGATGCCACTGCTCATGCTGAAGCATATGCATCGGTGTACGCCTTGATGATGTGTTGTGTCCAGAGAAATGAAAGAAAAGGCCGGCGGGGACCGCGACATCGACCACAGCCCGGGTGGCCTGGATCTCATGGGCCTCCTGGGGCTGATGGCAAAGACGGGATGCCTGGGCCGTAAGGAGAAATGGGATACCCAGGACGATTACAAGCCGAAGAGGGGCGGAGACCCATTATAAACAGAATTGTGAATAAAGGTGGCGTTGGAGTTGGGGGAAAGGCTAATGGCGGAAAAGGAGGCCTGGGAGGACATGGAGGGGCGGGCGGTTCGGGGGGGGGGGGAGGGAGGAAGGGGTGGGAAGGGTGATGCCAGTGCATCCGCTGCCACACATATATACCCTCAAGTGTTGTGTTGTGTCTATGTGAGGTCTTACCCAGAACATCACGGTAGGGGAAGGGGATAAACAATGAATGTAGTAAAAACGAGCCGCACCCAAGTGTCGGCTACTAGGCTATAGAAGCTAATGTAGACAATATGCGCGCGGCTTCGTGTTAGAGCCCCAGCTCTAGATGGCCAGCGTCTTAGGTTGCTAGCGCGCGAACGGTCCAGGCTTGATGGTTTATGGCTGGGCTGACGGACTTTCAGCAGGATTGATGATGGGTGCACGGGCTCGAATCAGGTCTTCCCCCGTTCTGGAGATGATGAATGCACCCTGTGCCCCCGTGTGGTGGTGTGTTGTGACATGCAGCCTGTTGTTACCAAGCCGGCACGGCTATCCGACTTGGAGTCTGGTGTTTTGCGGACCAGATAAGTAGGTATTACGTCGATAGGTCGGTATTGTCAAGTAGCAATGCCGACGACCCATTGCCCAAGATGCCGTATTATCCATCCATCCATCCACGGTGGCGTGTTCATGTTGCCGACAACACGAAGAAAAACATCCCCCATTGCCGTCAATTTACCCCAGGACAGCCTTGAATGCCATTTCGCCAAGCAAAATTCCTCTAGAGGGTGTCCCAGGCCGCCGGACCGGCCAGGCCGAGTCCCCAACCCGGGCCCACCCCACACACAACCACGGCACTGGAACAAGCAGTTGGTGGCTATAATCAGGGCCTCAAACTCCAGTGATTACTTAAATCAGTAGCACGGCGGGTGCCGAATAGGCGGGTGCCGAGTAGGCGGGCTTCCTGGGCAGATAGACCCGTCCGTCTGACCCCCGGGCTGGTCTCGGCCAATCCACGTTCGGTCGGGGCCAGGCCTCGGCGTGCCCTGGGCAAAGTCGCCGCCGCATGACGGATGCCGGGGCCGCATGACGTAGGGCTCTACACATTCCAGGGTCGTGGTGCGCGGCGGCTGAGGCTGGGGTAAGGCTATGTCATGTCAGTATGTTGGTGAGCTTTGTGTGAGGTGAGGATCGTTTATATAAGTCGGTGTGAATTCCATCTGTTTTCGCTAATACACATCAAATAAACTCAACTTCTATCTGACATCTTCATCTCTCTCTTGTGAAGAAACGGGAAATTTAAACCAGAATAAAAGATACCCTGCCACAAAAACTTCACAAAACAAATTGGAAAACCACCCAATCTCTACAACCACACACGACAAATCACACCAAGTGAGTCCCGGAGCACTCTAGGGCTGCAGAGGTGAACCCGTCCTGTCACGAGTCCATCATCGACCGACCCACTAACGAATAGGCCAGAAACTCCTTACATATACACATCATCCCATACACAAACGGGACAAACAAAGAGTTACTAGTACCAATATACCTCCAAAAAAATGTGTTTTGGATTGGGAGGCTCCCGCCGCCGCCAGGCTCACTACGGCCCAACACACGGCTCGCGCCCAGTGATTGTCGAGAAGAGACACTATTACGGAGGTGGAGGAGGAGGACATGGAGGAGGACACTGTGGGCCGCCCCGGGGTTATGGTTACGGACGTCCGATGATGGGCGGTGGTGGTGGTGGGTTCGGCATGGGACGGAGGAGGAGGTACTAGCGTATTATTTTGTTGGGGGGCTCGTTCATGATGCTATTTATGGGGGACATTTGAGCGGGAGAGTCTTGCTTTTGAACAAACTTTTTTTGAAGCACATTGTCTTATCTTGCCTAGATATATCGCATTACACTGGCATCTATTCAATATTAGTATATTGAACTGTCTCAACTACAATCTAACACCTGATTTACAGTAATACTTTTCTCTGAGACACTCACCTGATTTACTACTCTTGTCTTTCAAATATAAAGATCATTCAGGCATAATGTCCACCATACGGTGACAGCTAAAGTCACCCATTACCTGCTCTACTAACGCTCTTCTCAGGTACCTAGCACAGACATGTTAACTCCACATATATCACAACACAACTGCACTTAATGGGAGGTATTTATTGAAATATCCAAAAAGTATCCGAAATGAGATTCAGATGGTCCTTCTTTCCTTTTTTTTTAAAAAAAAAGGAGGGAGGGAGAAGGCTGGCAGGATTAAGCGATTCACAAGGCAGACTCGGCCAGGTGATGCAGGCTCCCAGCACTGCTATGGATCATATGCAGTACCATGCTCATCAATGTGATCGGACAGAATTTCTCAGGCATGTAGTAACACCTAATAGTGCTGCTCATGAATGATGAGCCCTGGAAATTCACTGGGTGCTAGCACGTCACACAAGCCTGTCTGGGCTTATAATCAAACAAGGGTAACCCGGTCACTCAAAATCGTCGAATCAGACCACGTGGGCATATGATGGCTACCATTGCTTTTGACAATGACTCCGTGGGAAAGGTGACAACTTCAGTGTGGAATGACCCAGTAACCGTTGCCCTCCATTCATGCCTGCTTGATCTGTGACTGGTCACTTCCAGTTGTCAACTCTCACACACACACACAACTATGTATGTCAGCGTCCAAGTTGGTAAGGCTTTGTTCATAGTGCTTTATTAGGCTTGAACATCAAGGTCTACACCTGACTAGGTGCTTTATTACCTAAAACATAAGCCTCCAACCAAGCAACCTACACACCACCAACTTAAACTAATCCATACGTACATGAGGAAAGCCAACTGTCAGTCTGCGTCTTCTTTATTACAGCCCAGTTTGATTGCAGTATCATGGGACCACAACCCGTGCCTGTGCAATGTCAATAAATCAGGGTGAAGAAAGCCAACTGTCACGAGCAGTCTAGGTCTTCTTTATTACAGCCCAGTTTTATTGCAGTGTCATAGGACTAAAATCCTTTCCTGTGTAATGTTGAGAATCACAGTGCCCTCCGGAATCCTATAAAAGGGATTGGTCCCTCCACCCGTATACCTCTTCTTCCACAGTCTCAGAAAGACAATTCCAACTGTTAGCACGAGGAGAAGTTACAATTCAACCACATCAGATTCAAAACACCAAGGCTACAACTGAGCAACAAACGACAATTCCTTTCACCAGATCCCTCCACAGCTAGCTATCAGAATCTCGGTTGCACTAGAAGCCAATCAAATTCAACATAGCCACCTAGGTAAACTTGCATCCTATAATGTCACATCTGGAAGATTTACTGACATTAAAATAACAGCTCAGGTGCTTGCTCTCACATCATAAGCCTAGCAACCAGCCCCAAAGGCAACATGGGTTACAGGGCAGAGCGTCCGGGAGAGATGTGCTATAACAGGGGCCGAGACTTCGATTGTGATATAAAGGGCAAAATGATTTGCTGTGGCAGCTACGCTAAGCCGAGCACGATCTATTTTGTCCCTGGCTGAGATCTATCTGAGTGTCTGGAGGGACCTCCACCGCAGTACCTTCGTGCCGTTGTCAATGGATGGCATTCTGCCTGAGGCCTGAGGGTGTCAAGGATTCAGGAGAGGTATGTTATGGCCGCATCGGACTGGGGGCTGAGGTGGGTGACTGGGCACACGGCCTCCTGTGGCTTCTACAGCCTTAAGCTCGTCTAGACTTGGAACAATCGTAGGAAGGTAGGTTCCTTTCTTCTTTCCTTCTCTTTTTTTTGGGGGGGCAGACTAGCTAGCTATTCTTTTGGAATCCTATAATTTTTGGTAAGACTTAAGAGCTTTGCCTTGTCTATGTCCTTCCTGTGATAAGTTGAGGGTGTGGGGGGATTGTATAGAATCTGAAGGCATGTAGATCTAATAACTATCTTACTAAGGTGAGTAAAGGTAGTTACTTAGCTTTATATAAGCTTTAAAGTATAATTATAAATATTAATCTATAATTATTATTTAAATATTAATATAATTAATTATATTTTATATAAAAGTAAAATATAATATATATTAAATAATATTTAAAATAGTTTTATATTAATAATAATAATATAATATTAAAATATTATAAAAAGTATATTAAATAATAATTTTAGAAAACTTTTATTAATTAATACGCCCCGCTAGATTACCGCTATAGTAAAAGGGAGAGAGACTTATTAGTTACTTAAAGGGCTCTTTTATAAGCTTAAATAGGTGGATTAAACTTAATTAAGCACTATCACACTTAGCTTCAAGGCCTAGAGTGCAACATTAGTAATTCTATTACTTTATTATTTTAGAAATATATATTTATTATTATTAAAATAATATCTTTTAAAGTTTATTATTAAATTTAATAATAAAAAATATTAAAGTTTATAATAAAGATTTATTTATTTAAAATATATAATTTTATATATAATAATATAAATATAATAATAGAGTTATAATCTTATATTATAAAAGGTATAGAGGTTATTTTAACTAATTAGTTAAGTAGATTATATAAACCTATTAGTTAGTTCTATATACGATTAGCCTAAAGCCCTGACATTCTTCCTCTTTGTGATGGTGCGGGTTTATGTGCTGCTGGGAATAACCACTTGGATGAATTGGTTATTATGGTCTTTTAGCCGAGGAGTCTATTACGACTAGCTGTTTGTAGGTAGCCGTCTCACTGCTTCCTCTTCTAAGACGACTGGTCTAATGCCACCGGGGTCTGCATATAACTACATGGCGCGAGAACGGCCCACCCTCTTGTATATCTAACTACCTAGGTACCTAGGCAGTGGCGCTCTTTTTATCCAGCACAGACAAATCAACTTTACATATATACATAACGGGCATGCCCCGGGGCCGTCTAGGTAAAATCATAGACCAAAAGGCTCTCCCTCCCACCCCTCGCCTCCTTAAGCACAATGACCATCTCATCGTCGAACCCGACCCAGTTCCTCCTCTCCTCCCCCCAGTCATCACTGCCGTTCACGACCTCACCCCCAGCACCCTCCGCGTCGTGTCCATCCCCCACGTCACCGCCACCAGGGGGAGCCCCGACCACAGCAGGGGCGGCAGCGGCGCGGACCTCGACGCTCCTGCTCCGCACCCCGCTGGGCCGGCCCTCGAGCTCCCAGACGCGCATCTCGTCCCCGCGGCTGCTGACGCTGACGGCCTTGCCGCGGGCGGTGATCTCGGCGTCGGATATGCCCGAGGTGTGGCCCCAGAGCCGAATACCGGGGGAGACGGACAGGGCGGCGGCGGTGGAGGTGCAGAGGTGCAGGATCAGGGTGTTGTCGGGGAGGGTGGCGAGGAGGTAGGGGTGGCTGTAGCAGAGGGTCGTGGGGCCCTGGGTCTGCTGTTGCTGGGGGAGGCGCTGGCGGTCGCTTTGTGGTGATGATGGTGGGGTGTTCCGGGTCGGGCTGGGGGAGGATGGGTGGTTGTTCTGTTGTCGAGATGGTGGCCCTTGTGGGTGTGGAGGGTCCAACGGTGCTGCTCCCACGCCGTGCCCGAGCGTGGTGATGGTGGTCGGGGAGGTGTAGGCGAGCCGTGTGGTGATGGCCGGGGCGCTCTTCAATGCCTCGTCCGGGGTGATGTGGAGGTCCTGGATGCCGATGGACCACCCATGCCGGGTGAAGAAGGTGTATGCTATCGAGGCGACAGTCGCGCCGGCCGTCTTCCGTATTGACAGCGCGAGGGGCGGGCTGGAGCTGTACGACTTGAGCGACGTCATGAGGTAAGGGGCAGGGAGTGCAGTCTGGTCGGTGGTGGCCGCGTCATCATCGTCCGCGTAATCCTTCAGGGCGCTCTTGAGCTTAGACGAGAGCCCCCGCGCGGGCGACGTGTCTCGCGTGTCGCTCCTGATGTCCCCTCCGTCGGTGGTTTCGAGCGGCACATCAAAGGTGTAGAGGGATATCAGCACGGCGCGCGTGGCTGTCAGCAGGTAAGGGTGCGAGTAGGCCATGCCGATCAGCTCGCCGTTGCTGGACTTCTCGTGGCGATACCGCCGGGATATGGTCTTGGCCTGGGTGCTCAGGGCCCAGACCCCGAAGCTGCCGTCCACGAAGCCGACCGAGACGTCCAGTGTGCCCTGGTCCAGGCTGCGGTCGTCAATGGCGATGCAACTCGGCTGGGCGACTTCGGCTTCCGCGCCGTCGTCTCCAAGGCTGGCTTGCGCGATCACCTCCCTGGTCTTGAGATCCCACGCCCGCAGCCCGGATGTCCTGTCCACAGTGACAGCGAGCCCCTCGACGACCTTGACCAGCATCTTGCTCCTGTCGGGTCCATCCATGACGTCGGTAGGACCTTCGCCCGCTAATGAGTCGCCTCCATCCTCAGGCCCCGGGCCAAGCCTCAGTTCCTCAACGGCGCACTTGCCCCTAGCCCAGTTGTGTCGTATCTTGAACTGCCTCTTCCAGTTGACCCTGTCGCTCTTCCCACCCAGGCCCTCAGCCTCCTCAGTAAGGCGTATCTTCCACCCATCAGTGGCCCCCGCGGCATCCCTCACCAGCCCGCCGGAGCGCCCGCTCGCCCACAGGTTCCTCCTGCCCTTGTAGTGCAGCTTGTGGTCCTTTAGCCTCTCGGCCAGCCTGCCCTCGCGGAAGCCAGGGATGCGCATGGCGCGCGGCAGCACGAAGCGGGCGTAGTACAGTGCCTTCCACAGCTGGTTGTCGTGGGCGAGGCGGCGGAAGCGGGCGCTCACGGGGGCGACGGCGAGGAGGTGCGGCAGGGACAGGTGGCTGAGGATGCGGATCAGGATCTCCGAGGGCAGCTGGGAGAGCCGGTCTGCCCGCTGCTTCCTCGACGCTGCTGGCGTAACTATAACTGCATGGTCGCTGGACGACTGGGCGGTGCGTTGTCGTTTTAGGGGGCGAGATTGTGGTTGTGGTTGTGGTTGTGGGTGCGAGTCTGGTAATGCGGATGCGACGGGATCGCAGTCGTCGTAGTCGTCATCGTCATCTGCGCGTGGGCGTTTGGGATGCATCCTTGCGCGTCTCCCTTGTTGTTCGTTCTTGTCCATTTGCGTGCATGTAATGCCCTGCGCTCAGCAACCTCGTGGCCTCCGTTCCCTGGCCTGCTCGATCCCAGGTCGAGGACACGATTCGATGCAGCGCACTATGCTTTGTTGTGGTCGCCGACAAAGGGTTGGTCAATGAGATCGAGGGGGGCAGGCTTGCACGGAGATAAGGAAATAATTCATCTAAGGTGGGAAGTATCCAGGTACCTAGGTACCTAAGTACTTGGTAGGCAGGATGGTGTGCGACGGCCTCCAATTTGCCCACCAGTGTGCCGGGAGCACGCCAGGCTGCCAGGCTGCAGGGTTTGAGCCACCACAGCCACCATGCGGCTGCTGATACAGAGCCTAGACTGACCAGTTGACGGCCTGTCGCAGCACTGTAATCTTCTGATCTGAAGCATCTCGTCCACTGCCGGCTTATGCCTGTCCCATAACGCACGGACTTTGTCTATTTCATCCACACCTACAGCTCAAGTGCTTGCCGTGTCACTTGAACGATATGATTGGTACCTTACGTATGATAACATTAAGAAATAATTACGGAACAATGACAGAGGTAGAGTATAGTAGGCTAGCTTTTGAAGGAATAGTAGTTGTTTATGCGTATGCCCGCCGGCAAACGAGTGTGTGATTCAAGTTCCTAATTGTTTATGCCCCTTGTATGGGGTCGAACTGTACACACCTAACCACTACTACACGCACAAATCTATGCAGCCACATCTGCCAGGAACTGCTCAAGGATGGGAAGAAACTCCTCCGGCTTCTCCCACATCGGGCCGTGCTCGGCACCAACAATCTCAACGACCTTGCCGCTCCAAAGGTTGCCATACTTGAGGCCCTTGATCTTGCTGTTGTCGAGATGCGGCTCATCAGTGCCAATGACAACAGCAGTCGGCACCTTGGTCTCAGCAATCAGCTTCTGCTGGTTCGAGCAGTCCCCATACCCAAGGTTCTGGAACAGGACCCTGCGTGCCTTGCCGTCCGTCCGGATGGCCGCGTCCGCCATCCACTGCTCAAACGGCCCGCCCGTGCCAATCTTGGCGTATGTGGTCAGGTCCTCCACCGTGAGATCCTGGCGCATGTTCCACTTGGTGCGGTCGTCGTCAAGGGGCTTGTCCCACAGCTCTACCAGCAGCGAGCCGATCATCATCAGCCCCTTGGTCCCCGGGAACAGGGGCAGCATCTCGGTCCCGATGTGTCCCCCCAGCGACCAGCCGACCACAACAACCTCCTTGATCCCAAGCTTCTCCAGGACCTCGATTGCCGCCTTCGCGTAGGAAGGCATCGTGTACGTGCGCTCAGGGTCGGCGGCATCAGCGGACTCGCCGTGGCCGGGGAGGTCGAGCGACAGCACGCGGCGCGTGGATGTGATTTTGCTGCACTGGAGCACATGGCGGAAGATTTCAGCGCTCGACGAGTTGCCATGGATACAGAGGACCGGAGGCAGGCTGCCAGAGCCTTCTGAGCGAACAGCCAGTCGGCCATAGCTTGTGTCGACAAAGATGGGCTCTGGGAGTCTGGTCTTGATGGCCATGATGAGTGTTAAGTGAGATGAAGAAGGAAGTTAGAGAGCTTTTATTGTACGTTGTGTTGTGCCGGATTGCGAGAACTTCAGGACAGGAGGCAAAGTCGCAATTGTGGTTATAGGCTTTCCACCTGATTTTATGTGATGAGGAAAGGCATCATCTATATATATTGAATGAGTCTGGCGGAGTTCGGTATCACTGCGTCTAAGTTTCCGGTATCGTTCAAATTGTTCCACTCATTTGATGATTGTTCATCCTGTCATCGGACACCGGAGTGTTCAAAAACCTCTCATTCATGCCATCCTCAAGCTGCATCGGTCGGATATCGAAGCGATTAAAGAGGAATTTGGGAGGGGTATCTCTCATCTGCCGTAGGGACAGCACATGAAATTCGTAGGATCCGTCTGCATTCGTTGGCCACTTGGCGAGTCGTATCGTGTAAATTTTCATGCTTCTATGGTTCCAAAAGTTGCTTTGTATAACCGATCTTAACTAATGTGTACCGTTTTGCATCGATGTCAGTTTGGAGCTCTGTACCCGCAACGGGTACGAGCCTCCGGTTAAGTCGAACCAACATACTGCACACACCATTTTCATCTCATCCGAGGTTTTAGGGACCGTATGGTTCGGTTCCGTGCGGGTTATGGAGGTGAACTCTCTCTGAATTCCAGGCGGCAATTGCCATCTGCTCCGCTCGCCGAGCATATGCCGGATGTTACATTTCTCCGAGTTTGTCTTCAGTCCGATACTACGGGACAACTCACCGTCCGGGTGTGCGCATGATGCACACCGCTCAAAAGCGATCTATTGGAGTTGATGTGTTTAAGTGTTTTAGCACCTTCCTGTCCTTCTCCAAGCTCTACCCACTGGATAGAATAGAGGCTCACACTGCGACTCAAGTACATATCACCATCTAACACATAGACAACAGCAAACCAATGGCCACCTACGCAGTTTTCGGTGCCACTGGCAATTGCGGCAGCTCACTCATCGAAGTCCTGCTCCCAATCAAAGACGTAACCATCCACGCCTACTGCCGAAATGAAGCCAAGCTAAGGGACATGTTCCCCGAAGCCATCGAGACTGGCCGGGTCAAGGTCTTCGAAGGCCAGATTGACAACGTGGAGGTTTTCAAGCAGTGTGTCCGCGGCTGCCGCGCTGCCATGCTCGCAGTCACCATGAACGACAACATCCCGCGCGTCCGAGTGGCGCAGGACACCGCCCGCACGCTGCTGGCGGCGCTGAGGCAGATCCGCGCCGAGGACCCCACCGCCAGGATGCCAAAGCTCGCCGTCCTGTCGTCCTCCAGTCTCGAACCTTGGATGTGTGGCAATCTGCCCGGGCCTATGCACTGGATCGTGACGCATGCCAACTCCAACGTCTATGCCGACCTCCGCGTCCAGGAGGACATGCTCCGCGCCGAGGAGTCCTGGCTGACCAGCATCTTCGTGAAGCCGGGTGGTCTGGTCAAGGACAAACAGCGCGGCCACAAGCTGAACCTTAAGGAGCAGGAGACTTTTGTCTCCTACCTCGACTTGGCGGCTGCCATGATTGAGGCAGCGGACGATCCTGAAGGCCGATACGACATGCGGGACGTGAGCGTCAACAATGTGGGAGGTAGTGCAAGATTCCCGAAGAAACTTCCCCTGCAAGCCCTTTTCGGGATCTTGAGACATTTCTTCCCCTTCTTACACCCATTTCTTCCAATGTTGGGTTGAAGAAATGATGAAAGTATAGGTCGTCCTAAGACATGGGATAAGGATGAGACTGGTCTCTACTAAAATAGAGATTGTTTTTTTTTTTTGGAAGGGGGGGGGGGGGGAACGCATTGGAACAGTGGCCAGAATAACGAAGGGCTTCACTTGTGTAATATCCATAACAGCTCTCTCTGTTTATCTTGATATCCACTTATTCTCGGTGATGGGAATATCACGAGTACTGTGCGAATATCCATTCTCTTTAATTTTGGCCCTCCCCCAAATGCCCATAATGTTCGTCTAGATGTGCACTTATAGCGTAATAGGTACGCAATTTGCTGACGACGTGCATGTTCAACATTTATCTAGAGAACATATGACTGTGCCACATATTCACCTCTGATGGACCGAATCATATCATTTTTCAAAATTCTGTAGTCATTCGTCTCACTAAATAGTGGAGCCTTCAAGACAATTCTGCTTGGCGCCCGCTCTGCTTGGTTCAAATCCCATCTAGGAGCCATTGAAGGATGTTATCCTAGCTACCTAGGTACGAGTCGCCTTCAGCCGCATGTGAGGCAGGCAGACCTGACAGAGCAGGCAACATGTCGCCAAGTCACGATCCACTAATACTGGTTCGCCAAGACGATTCCTTCCTTCCTTTCACTCCTCGCTGAGAAGCATTGAGTATATATTGAAGCCGTTTGCGCATTTGAATGATCAGATCCCAACTTCAACGAGATCTCCAAGCTGATCTCGGCCTTGACTTCATCACCATGCGTCTCGCTTTTTTTCCACTCTGCGCCTCTGTGGCAGTATGTTTCTCCATGCCGGACCTCAAAGGCCCTCTCAAGGTCGGCGTGACCTCCTTCGAGCTCACTGATTTCAGTCGCTCTGACCCACTTGCCCCGGATGTTCGACCTCGCAAGCTTCCCATCTCGGTCTGGTACCCCGTCTCCAACGACGCACCCGAGAACTACGAGCTGTCGCCCATGTTCACACCCGCATTCCAAGCATATATCGACCCCATCTACCTCGTCCCCGACGGCACCTCCGGCACTATCATCTCCGGCGCATACCGCGACGCCCCGCTATCTTCCGCAAACTCCAACGGCCGCGTGCTCTTCTTCTCCCCTGGCTACGCGCTGCACACCGTCGAATTCAGCACCTCGCTGTCCAACCTCGCCTCACACGGCTACATCGTCGTTGGCACCGCGCACCCCTTCGACGCCAACTTCATCGACTACGAGGACGGGACGTCGGTCACCAACGAGGGCGAGAACGCCACCCCTGCCGACTGGGGCGACTCCGAGTACGTGGCGCTGCGGGCCGCTGACATGGCGTTCATAGCGGCCCAGCTGACGACGAACGCCACGGCCGCGAGCCTCATCCCCGGCGTGGAGGGGCCGCTCCCCAGGGACCAGGTTGGCATCTTCGGGCATAGCTACGGCGGGTCGGCGGCGGCGCAGAGCATCGTCGAGGACCAGGGGCTGTTCAGGTGCGGGCTGAACCAGGATGGTGGGATCTACGCGCCGGCGAACGAGACCGGGGTGGGCGTGCCGTTCCTGAACGTGGCGAGGAATCTTACGGTCGATTACACGTGGGAGCCGTTTGGGGAGCTCTCTACGGGGTGGTATGAGACGGTTGGGATATTTGGCACGCTGCATATGGCGTTTTTGGACTTTTTGTACATCCAGCAGGTGTGGTATGAGCAGGGCTTGGTGAGTGATGATTACATCACTTGGGCTGGAACTGTTGAAGGGTCGAGGATGCTGGATATTTTGGACGTTGTTATGACAGACTTCTTTGATGGGTGCTTTGGTGGAGAGGGATATGGTGTGTTGGAGGGACCTCATGATGTTTGGCCTGAGATCAGGTTTGATGGGGTTGTGGAGGGCTGAAGAATGCCAGTGACTGTCTAGCTTTTCTCTGATGGGAAATCCTCGCGTCATAGCCCCAGAAAATCGAATTTTGCTCGCTATTGGTCTGCCTAGGGTGAATATCCTCGTCAAGGTCGGCACGGTGAGCCAGATAGTAAAGAGCGCCGTGGGTCTCGACAATATCTCCAAAGGTCAAATTGACCATTATTGAGCCATCATCCCACCAAATGAAATGAAAAAGCTCATAGCTGACTTCTTCATCATCTCAAATCAATGTCCCAGCGCATCAACAGAAGACTCGCGTTTGCGTGACACGAAATCCCCGCGCCAACATCCACTCCGATTTGGCAGTCACTAGTGGGCATTTCCGAGAATGAGGTCAGAGAAAATGGACGCTGGCCTCGACAAATTCAGGGACAGCGTCGACAAAGCAAACTAGGTGGTTAGACATCTCCCAATCTCTTTCAGAATCGCGGCCGCTGCTCCCAAGATCGTGGGCTCTTGATTCTTCTATGAATACTATATTCACATGTCTATATTGGAGTGACCATGTCTTCCGAATGAGGATCCCCAATCTTCTCCCATAAGCTATTGAAACTGGCCCTCCTCATATGCTACCCTGGGAATTCCTTGTTGACGGCCGCGACTGGTGCTCGCCCACCTCTTGTTGAACATGGCTGGCATGTTCTATCAACTCGCAAATACTCTCTCTTTGTCCATCATTGTGATTCATGCTTTCTGACGCCTCGTGAATACATAGCGATCTTTCTCCGGTGTCGAGAGACGAAGAGCCAGGTTGACCTGCTTTGAAGTTCGTGAATTGGATGTTGGGTACTGCTGGATTTGGAGAGCCCTTGTGCTGTGAGCTCCTGCTGGAGCTGAGCTTAGAGAGGTCGTTTTTAACGGTTATGATTGTCAATCCATTGCTCCTGGCCGCCGGGTCCATCTCGTAAGATGTGTCTATTTTCAGCCCCATTGTGTTGCCAAGCATGCTTTCGAAAAGTCCTTTCATACCGGGGATACAGGCCGTGATAACCGAAAGATGTAACGATATTTCAAGCCAAACCATGTGGTCTAGCGACCTCCAGGTAAAGTCGGTTCCTTCGCCGTTATACAAGCTTGATGACCTCATCATCGCGGGTATCATGAAAGCCGCACAGAGCATCCGGGAGGAAAATAGCAAGACGACGAGGGTCTTTCTTTTCAGCTCCGTCTGGATATTCCAGACCATGGCAACGGAAAGGAAGCAGATGGCGGCATCTGTGAGAAAGCTCGAAGTCAGACTGTATATGTGGATTGGATAGATCGCTCGACAGGTTTGCCCATTCGTGGCGAGCCATGGGGTTGGAAGCGGGCATTGCAACGCTACGGCTGCAAAATTGGAGATGAAGCATGCGATCACAAGCGCAATGAGAGCCGATGTTGCAGTGCTCACACGGCCGTACGAGTTGATAGATCTGACCAAAAGGCACAGAGAGACCTTGGTACAGACGAAGACAGTGATGCCGAGTAGCGATGATGCATATTGTAACTGGCGATGAAGTTGGTCAGCACAGCCAGAACCTCTTGAGTCGTAAAGTGCACAACGCCACTTGAATCAGAATTACCTTCCGGATCTTGTCCAAATTCCCAACATCAATATCGGCCTCGTGTTTCCCCAGACCCAAATGAGCAATGCGGACAGCTATGACAGACTGGACGACAACTAAAAGTGTGCCGACCAAGAGGGCGTAGTCGAAGTGCCGTAAAGATAGGAAGCTAGACTGGTAAAGCAGCTTTGCAGTGACAGTTAACAGACATGTAATGCAGCAGACAATCGTGACGACTGGAAGGACTCCACTGAGGTCGGTCGAGTCCAACTCAAAAAAGGGCTCAGCTTTCCTCATGGCAGGCTTCGTGGATTACATGTGCACCCGGATCGCTCAGTCGACGTGAACACGAGGTGTTGTGCTGAGGATGACTGGAGCTTCTTCTGTCCGAATCAGAAGCGGAGGGAATGATGTTAAAGCATTGCAAACTCTGATCGAATGCGTGATCCTTCCAACAGAACCAACCGTCCAACGTTTCGGAGAATAGAAAAGTCGATCGAGCACGCTACCTTGGCGTGTGTAAAGGAAACCCGGGGCCTCAAACCCGTCACATCGAGGAGAACCCTACCCAAGTATTATTAAACCAAAACTTCGTTCCAAATGCCGAGCCCAGGGTGCTCGTAGAGGATCCAGTGATGCAGGCTCGGCAGTACACGCTGCACCCGCTACAAGCCCTTTTACAAGGCCCCAGAAGCTGCAGGTGAGCATGCATGCATGTGATGTCCGCCTACCAGTGCTGTACTCTACAGCGAAATCATGCACTTTATTTGACATGTCACGTAAAGTTTGGTGGCACGCATACCAAATACACATGTGAGACAAGTCCCATCCACTGCCTCAGGCCAACGCAGTTGGAAGGAGTCCAGGCAGGCAGAGGGAAGCTTTCCGATGCAACAGCATTTACCTAAGTAGATATCTAAATTGCAGAAGAGACCAAGGAATCAACATTCCCAACCGTTGCTGTGGGTCATGGGTGTTTGGCAAACGGCACAGCAACGCCGAAAAAAGCCGCAGAGGAGTAATACACTGCAACGCATCCATAGCCAGTCAACCTCAAAACCATGGAAGGAACCGCAAAATCCTGAGACGGAAATCATTTTCCAAGAAATTCCCACGGAGATGAAAGCCCTAAATCTGAACAGGGAAGGTGACGACTTGGACCTCGGTTGTCTATCGTCTGCTAACTACTGCGTCCCTGGGCAGCCTGGGGCGGTTGGTTCAAGTTGATGGCTGATGATACCTTGCAACAACCAACAGCAGGGCAAGCGCCCCCGTGCTACATTTTCACCACTTTATGAGGCCTCTTCCTGCCCTGGTTCGGTCAATTTTTCCTGCGCCGAGGGCTACCTGGGCCTTGTGCGTTTCAGAGCCAGTTGGATTAGCTCGATCCTGGCTCTTCACCTGCAGGCCTGTTGGTGCAGGGTACACTGGTAGCGGTGTAAGGCGCCTTGTACTAGTCTTGCGGACCGTATTTCGCGCGCAAGTATCCTGGTAACCGGTGTGAAGATATGCTCCACTATTATCCCGAATCTCGGTACGCCAGCTCTTGGGCGGGGTGACGTGACGTTGGCTAATAATACGCTGGTCGTCTTGTCGGTCCTTTCCTTATTACCTGCCTAGTAGGTAAAGTTCCTTCGGTTCTGTCTGGGACTGCCTCGTGTGTGAAAATTTTGTTGAAGAATCGCTGCAAGCAACAAGATCTTTGTGCGAAAAATAATGTCAACTGTCCTATTCCACCCCGAGATGCCATTTGTCTCACAAGACCACATTTCATTATATACATATTGTACAAACAGGTATAAATCGAGATCTAACTAGGACATGAACCCTTGCCACAGAAAATCAACGATGTAGGTATGCATGCAATAATAGTGGCAAATTCGAAGAACCAGATAAGGTAGCAGCCACGCAGTTAGCTGCAGCTAGGTAGGCTTGGAGATCAGGAGATGAACACCCGGCACTGAGAGCCATATGCGCCAAGAGGGGATCCATAACCGAACGTGGTTAGGCATATGTACCTAGGTAGGTAATTTGACTGCTCAGAACCAACAGGCTGAAACCGTGAGCCACCCAGTGTCACCCTGACAAGACATATCAGATTTTGCAACCCCATTGGTGTGAAATTGTTGAATATGGCCAACATTGTATGCTGGGAAAAATGCATCAAGCGGGCTCGGCCGGGTATGCATGTTCAGATACCCGCAGGCGGCCCATTGCAGCCCGGATCCTACAAATGCATCGGTTCGGCTGATGAGCGGGCAGCCAGACCCTACTTTGCCGGCATTCAGCTTACGTCCGTTTTTGTTCTCCTGTTCGACGTCAGACAGCTTCTCTCACGATGGCCGACCGCGACTATGAGTTGAGCGTGTCCAAGCTCGACATCACAGAGCCTAACGTGCGGGAAAGGCAGGATACGACGCCTGAAAATGCCTCTATCTTAGAGAAACAGACAAGGACGCGAAGACTGTTCTCTTCGGCCCAGCTCTTTTGCTTCTCCCTGATATACCTTGTAACATGGATGGGGATGGGAAAGTAAGTGCACGTTAATGCTGGTACCGTCGCACACCGCATGGCACGCCGACACTGACTTGATCCGATCTGCAGTAACATGTACTATGCCATGCTCAACGGAGGGCCGGCGGCATATGTATTCAACTACATCATCTGTATCCTGGGTGCTCTCTCACAGGCTGCTTGCTTCGCCGAACTCTCGTCCATCATACCGATCGCCGGAGCCCAGTACTACTGGACCTTCCATTTCGCCCCGCCGAGGACGAAGAGGTTCTTGACTTGGATCCAAGGATGGTCTACCTGGCTCGGATATATCTCGATTCTGGCCTCGTCCGTCAACGTCGGCGCGGTTACCGTCGAGGCGACAGTGCAGCTTAACAGCCCAGATTATGTAAATGGAGGATGGCACACGACGCTCCTGGTCCTCGCGCTATTGACCTTTTACCTGGTCGTCAACCTCTGGTTCTTCCGCATCGTTCCATGGTTTGAGCTGGCATGTGGCCTTGCGAACATCATATTCTTCTTGATCACCATCATCGCCCTCTGGGTGCTGTCCCCGCGCAACCCTTCCGACTTTTTGCTCACAAAATCCAGTCTCGGCGGTTGGGATAATGACTTCCTGTCATGGAACATCGGGCTGCTGACTCAAGTCTGGCAATTTGTCGGCCTCGAGAGTGTTATCCACATGGGCGAGGAAACCAAGAACGCCAGGCGCTCTGCCCCCATCTCTATGTTTTGGTCCATGGTTGTCAGTGGCGTGATGGGATTCATTGCAGTTATCACTTATACGGTCAGTTCTTTCGTTCGAAGAATCATTGGAGAATCTTGAACGCTGATGGGTGTTGTCGAACTGCAGATCTGTATGCCAAACATTGACGACATGATGGCGTCTTCGAATCCATTTCTATATCTGTTGCTGGCATCGACCGGGTCACGGGCGCTGACCACGTTTCTGGGTGCTGGGCTCATACTGCTCAACATGGGTTGCAACATGTCGGTATTTTCTTCCGCCTCGCGGCTGACATGGGCCTGGGCAAGGGACGGAGGCTGTAAGTATTTTCTCGTGCTGGAACCGCTACCTAGGTATCGTCGACACGACATTGAATGTATGCTGACTCTTACATTCACCTCAAGTGCCAATGTACTTCAGCTTGGTCGATGGCAAATACCGCGTGCCAATACGATCCGTCTTGCTCACCTGGATTCTCTGCGCCCTCCTGGCCCTGCTCAACATTGGTAGCGGCACCTACATCGCTCTTGGAGCCATCACTTCACTCTCGTCGCTCGCCTCCTACTTCAGCTACACCATCATCCTGTGTGTCACTTTGCACACTCGGCTTACCACCGGACTGCAGACAAGTGAGTGGAGTATGGGCCGTCTCGGCTTGTACGTCAACGCGTTTGCCCTCATCTACACGGTCTACGCCATGATCTGGCTTCCGTTCCCCACGAGTCTTCCGGTTGATGCATCGAACATGAACTATTGCGGGCCCGTATTCGGTGCTGTTATGATTGGGGCACTTGGCGCATGGTTTGTATGGGGGAGCAGGCACTGGCCCGGACCCAACAAGGATATCGTGGAGATTGTTCTCCGCCTGGCTTCTTCGGCATAGGCTGCAAGATAGTACCTAAGTATCCAATGCATTGACCACGAGCAACTGTGCCACTTTCCTTGAACAGTTACACGTTGTGGTCACGGAACTGTTCAACATCGACGTCCAGTCAGTCCAGCGGTCCCGAACATGATTCTCGCCAGTTATGAGAACGGCGTTGGCCACGCCAGATATGTCATTCTCAAAGCTCAATCTCGACAAACGTATCTTGCCTTTCGAAATATGAAGAGACAACTGTAGGTGTGCAAAATAAACCTTTCAAAAATGTAATTGCTATTGTTCAAATGTTTCCATCAAGTCTAAGACATTATTGCCACAAGTTCGCGACAAAGAGACTAATTACGGAAGACTGCGTGCCGACGCTTGCGGGCGTGTAGGGCCCATCCCACGAAAGCCCGTACAGATCCATTAAGCTGCGGTCCGAAGACCAAGCAGACTTGGCGTTGTCCGAGAGGTACTCATCATACGGCCGACCCTGTACCTGTGCATTCAGCTCCGCGAGATTGCGAGTGAATATGCCCTTGAACGCCTGCTGGTTGTTGTCGCAGCCACCCGTGGTCTCACATGGTTCTTTCAAGATACCTCCGGGGGACAGGACCGAGCTAGAGATGGTGGCATCCGCGATGCTGCCTGCGGCATCCAGGTAGTGCTCCTCGCCGGTGGCAATGTAGAGCTCCGAAAGGGCGCCAAGTATCACGCCCTGGTTGTACGTCCAGGTTGTGTCGCCGTTGTTCACGCATGTGCCGTTGGACCGTTCTGCCAGGCCGTCATTGATGAGATGCGCTGGGTTGATCATCCCCGAGTGGTTGAACCAATTCCATCCCTCGACAGCTCGGTCCAGGTACTTCGTGTCTCCAGGAATGCGGTTGTGCAGGGACGCGGCCAGCTTGATGTACAGCTCGTTGCTGATTGCATTCTTGTAGCTCAGATCTGGGATGGCCCAAATCACCCCTCCGCCGCAGGTGCTGGCGTTCCAGTAGCTGTAGATGTACGCCTCGTCGGTCTCTGCGTATTCGAGGTATGTCCTGTTCCCGGTGATGTCGAACAGACGCACCATGGCCAACGCCCACCACCCAGTGTCGTCGGTCGAGTCCGCACGGAAATAGCCGCCGCCCTCCGGCCACCAGGGCAAAGGTCCGGATTGTTCCTGGACCGTATGCTCCATCTTCGAGAGGTACTGTGTATCCTTTGTTACGAAAGTGTAGTCGCACACTGCTTGCAGTGCGTTGCCGCTTAGCCACCACGCTGTTGTCGAATTCCAACGGCCATCTGTTTCGTTGTACCATGCCGTGTTCATGGCATCTATTGCCGCGGACGTGAGCTCGGGAGTGACACCTGTCCAGGTATTATTTGAGTCTGTAGCTGAAGTATCATTCGAACTTCTTGGATATATCATTTCCTTTGGCTGTGCGAAGCCAGCCACTGCCAGCATGAACAACAAGTTGAGTACCATCGTGTTGGCCACAGTGATCCACCGCCGGTATAAACAATTTTCAAAGCGATTTGATTGTGGATGGAATAAAAATCTGATAATTTAAAAGCCGTGTTTGGCAGTGTGAAGAGCTATATAGAGAGCCTGCGGCCGCATGTCCGGAGGGCAAGGCACATGCACGCCGGGTATCGTGATCAACATTGTCCGCAGTCCGGGTCCATATGACGCTAAGCTCGACTGCTGCATGATGACCGCTGGGTCTCAAGCCAACTATTTTCAAAAGAAAACACGTCCGTTCGCAAATCCTGACAGCCTCCCTGCAGTGCAATCCCACTGGTAAATCGGTCTCTCGGCCCCTGTATCGGACATGCTGCCCTGCAGGAACGAAAAGTCAGCGATGGGAAGCCCATTGGCTGAGGATGAAATGAGTATGATAATTCGACGGCATATGGACCTGCACTTGCGGGACAGCGGTGGCAGGTGGGTGGTACCGCAGTCCGGGTCGGAATGGATATGCCCGCTTCGTGCGTCAATCATCAAGAGAACGGGCCATAGGAGGTACGGCATGCTACGATTCCCTGCAATTGTACACGTGTATAGCTCGAGCTTGCATTTTGGAGGATATTACTGCTCAGAATGATTTGGCTGTGCAGACCTTCAAGGATTTTGAAGTTACACCGTTTGAAATGTACATTTAGTAGCTACTTTTGAGGAAGAATACAAAATCGAGCTGGGCCAATCATAGTCCTTTAGGCAGGCATACTTTTGGAGCACGTTGTACCATCAGCCGCCACTGGAAGGTTGTCTCGGCGATCTTTCATGCGTGTCATACCACCCTGCCCGGCCATCCTGTTCTGGCCTGCCTGCCCGGTGCGGTCCTACGGACAGGGCACGAGAGCAGAGACAGGCACAAGCCAATGTCAGCAGTGAGTTGCTCAACCTCCACGGTATGCACTTTGGAACTTATGCCTTTGTCCTATGCAGTGCAAGGTCCGTAATGTCTTTGTATTACATTCCAGCCTGCAGAAAATGACTAGTGAATCAAGCGGCCTGTTAATCCTGAATTTCTAAATGTGTACCTAAGTAACCATTCACCGCTTCTTATAGTTTGAGAAATCAATGTGTTCACTACCAGTTGAGCATTTAGCTGGCTGTGCTGATCCACATTCTTTAACATGCGGATAGCAATATTGTTCACAAATTACTCTATGACAGGTCCTGACCTGCTCGTTCAGGCCTGAGAATTTGTGGAACGCTATTGATGGGCGGCGGGTGACGCCTTTATTCCGAAACGAGCCTCGTCTTGCTTTTTTTGTGTGTGTGGTTTCGCTTCTATTCCGTATACGTCCGAGGACATACATGGCGCCTTCATACGGTGGTAAGCACTCAAGACCCAGCGCTTGGAAAGAACACGATGCCGATAACAATAGTTATAATACGATAGGTGCTTGTTCTCAATAATATTTTAATATCAATGTGGATTCTCATTCTTCTCTTACAAGATCAACACCAGCTAGAGGAAATTCAAATGAAACCAAGGAGTCTTACTCTGCAGAAATAAGCCCCTGAGAGTCTAGTTGTTCAATGTTCCTTAATAGGATTGTATATTGGTCGATATTTGTGCAGTTCAACCTCCCAGACCGCAAAGCCACAGTGGGAGGTCAATCCCCAGAACGACCACATCGATCAAGCAGAAAGTATTCCCATGATACATAGCCAAATACGACCAGGGATCACTCACACGTGGACGGGGAGTGCTACGTATAGCAGCCACATGTTCGCGGCAACGTCTTCGGGAATCCCACGGGACGAAATGACGTTTGCATTTCTTAATAGCCGCAATCGGCACATGGCAAATATGGATATCTGCGCATGAATGTTGGCGGTTTGGTGAGCAACTAATTCAAATGGTATCCTGAATTCAACAGCCCCGTAAATCGAAGCCATCGCAACACGGACGACCTCCCTGTTTGTCGTCCAGTTCTGTAGTTAGGGATATAGCTCTACCCACATTATGAAATCCTTCAAACAGTCTTTGGCTTTGTTCTCACCATCTCCTCAAATGGAGCACTGCCCATAAGGTTGGGGCCAGCATACTGGATTGTTCAAAATGAAGGACACGGAAGCCTTCGAAGCTTGACAACGTATCCCTTCTCGACGTGTACGAGCCCTCACTCAATCCAGAAATGTATTCTCTCTCAGGGTGGCGGTGCTCGAGCTCCCCGCCGGTCCAATGGTCTGTTGTATCGTAGTCTGCTTGACGATGTCCTTCCCCTCAGGCGACACCGTCCGACCAACCGTCTGGTTCTGGTCGTACATGGTCAACTCGAGCTCATCGAGCTCCTCATACGGCGGCTTCCGGCTGCTGCCATACTTGATGCTGTTCTTGACGGCGCCCATGCGGCGCGAGGACCCGTACTCGTAGTCGGATGTACCTGTGGCCTCGGGCTTGGGGTAGAAGTGCGACCAGATGGGTCGCAATGTCGGGAGGCAGGCGCACACTATGGCCAGGGACAGCTCGATGTTGGTCCAGAAGAATACCGGCGCGGTGTAGACTGTTGGTTGGCGGTCAGCAGGGCGCGCTCGTTCAGATACAGAGGGAATGCTTGTATGGGTATTTCTTGAAGAGTCAACAACTCACATAACTGGTCGTTCGGATGCTTGATGAACTCTTCTGCGATTGCGTACGTGGCGATCACTCTGGTGACGCTGACTGCGCATACCCTGTATGCTTGTCAGAAGGCCATAAAGACTGTGGGTGCCAGCGCCGAGGGCAAACGGAGCTATTAATACTTACGCAGCGCCCAAGCCCAACATGCCTATCACTGCAAGTTTCTTTTTCCAGGGCAGTTGCACCTTGAGAACCATCGGCACCGGTAGTAATAATATTGCCCAATCCGCAAACACATCGGTGAAGAGTAATGCGAGAAACATGGGAATCGTGTTCACGCATGAATGCCCATAAAATGGCTCGATGAAAACGGTGATGGGGTAACAGGTAAACAGGTGCGAGAAGAAGAAGCTGATGGTCCACCCTATGACGAAAGCCAGCGAGCCCGACACGACATAGCGGAAGATCTTGCTCGGGAATAGGTTGTAGTATTGTACGAGGATTGAGGACTTGACTAGGCCAAGGCCCAGGATGGATATCATGTTCAGCGCAAACTTAGTCTGTGGTTGGGCTCTCGTTAGATTTGTTGGACCTTGCCAAGAAGACCAGACGTCCAAGGAAGGCCGCTCACCTGCTCGAAAAAGATAAAGCCCGGGTCTTCCAAAATTGCTGTACCATCGGGACGCTTTGGCTGGTGCTCGCCAAGATGGCCATAGACCGCAGCTAAGTAGATGGTTATTCTCATGATTCCCTAATAGGAATTCGGCCATACGCACTGACTAGCTGTAATGTACAACATGTGATGGCGATCAACTGTGATTGGAGTTATCAGCAACCTTTCAAGTTGATAAACAAAATAAGGAGGAGTCCCGTGAAACCTACAAGCGCTGCTCCCGTTAGATAATCGTCCAGCGCGAATCGTTTGACGAGGAGTTTGGCCCATATGCGGAGCCCGTAGAAGACCGTTGGAATAATCATGAAGCCAACAGCCAGACCGATCATCTGACCTTTGGTGTAGTCGTAGTTCATAGTCACCATGATGGGCGATGTTTGTATGGTACTTGGCAGCGGGCGGGTCTCTGAGAAGCGGATCACCTGCCGCAAAACTCCCCGAACACCGGGTCCGGTGGGTAACTGAACAGGCCCTGGGAATAATTGAAAGGTATGGAGAAGCGGGAAGACGGGAGTCCCCACGAACAAAGAGCTATTTTGATGCGATAGTGGAATCTATATGTGACTCGTACGTGTTCGCGATTGCATGTCCCCTAGTCGACTGATCGCTGCCCAGGTGGGGGCACCGGAGTGTCGTTATGTCGCATACGGAACAAAGTCCTTTGCCACGGGGCGTGTTTCAAAAGTGAGACTCCTTTGCCTTCTTTCCTGCAGTCGAATGATATGACCAATACTGTTTTAATGCAACCTGATTATCACGCTGGTGTGGCCCCGAAGATGTGGAAGCCCAGAATACTCGCCATAATATTCTCCAGGTCATTAAGTCGCCAGCCCGACCGAACTCTTTTGTTCTGGCCTCGTCCCCCAATGCCGGGCCCACACCACCTTGAAAGTATCGTTTTGAAGCAGTGGCATGTGCGTCGGACATCTGGCATTGCCGCGCCATGTCCTTGGCCGCATCGCCACGAACAGGTTTTGACCCCAGTGAGTTTCGGGTGTAATTACTGACTCAGGCCTGCCCACCATCCGCCGTTTTCCCGTCGAAGTACCGGGTTATAAAATGCTAATAAATACACGTGGGCTCACCCCGCTGCTCGTGTGCAATCGGCCGTGCAAGGGATCTCTACGATGTCGCCCCCTTCTCGAAGCTTGGCGAGTGCCAGATAACGGTTATCCTCCGCTAGTGTGCGCCAGGGCGCTGCAGTTTCGCAAACCTTAACTGGCGTCCCATCCGGCGGGTGATTCCTGAAAGGGCTCCGGTGGAGATCAGCCATACGATACTCTCGGGAAGGAGCTGTTGCTTGTGAGTAACGGTACGATCTACCCGATCCCAATGCAAGTTGGCTTATTTGCAACTGTACGCAGGCCATCGTAGTATTAGATTCAGCCCAGCCTGGACGAACATGACCTGGGAGCAGGAACAGCGTTGCACTGGATATGGGGCTCTCTTGATGAACGCCCTCGAGAGGGTAGTACGGAATGGATTCCCAAATACAGAAGCACGCGGGAAATAGTTCATGTGAGAGTGCAGACGTGTTCATGGGCAGAAAGGGGGAGACGTGTAAATACCGATGGCATCGTGAGGAGTAATTTGTGAGAGAGGGGTAAGTTTTGATTGTTCGCCGTGCTTGCCCCCCCCTCCCCCTTCGCCCCGTCTCGCATGGACTTGGTGCCAGGCTTTGGTCAGATTGACTTCACAAGGGTGGACGCATGCTCAGATAACATACTTTCGCCAGAATCGAATGGTTACCTAGGTATGCAAAGAATGAGAACTTCACTGTCTTTGCTGTTGACTATGTGTGCAATGATGATAACGCAGAGGAGTGAAGTCAGATTTCGCGTAATCAACAAGAAGAAATAATCAAGAAGCACACTCGCGCCCGTGCAAGTCAAAGCAACATCGGACCATCTTAGTACAGCCAGTATAACACGTGCCATGTGCCTACCCGACAGCGTAACGTCGGCATGAAAGGGTAAATTGCGACCGAGGTCTACTTGAGTAGGTCGTGGCCTGAGGAACTGTGTACTTGCATCCGGGCCCTTCGATGCTTCCAAGCGATGGCATATAACATGGCTACTGCTTGCATTGTTGCGACGAGAACTTGCCGGACAAGACTTCGTCTGGGATCCAAACCGATTTCCCGGCCTCTGAGATCCGCTCTTCCGGTGGTTGGCTGTAGGATCGCCGTCTAATGTCGTATACCTAGGTATCTTGCGAAACGGGCCTATAAAGCACAACAAGAGTGGGTTCCGCATAGCCCACGCGGGGAACGACAGGGTATGCTGGGCGTCCCTGTCCGGCAAGATATCGCAATTTCGGACACCAAGGCAGCAAGGGTGTAAGACGTGCTGCAGCAAGCAGCAGAGTAGCATCCGAAGCGTCTTTGCGGCGATTCAGGGCAGTCAGTCACTGTTCGAAGACCTCAACTCAGCCACTATTGTACCAACCCCACTTCTTACCACCCTGCAGTCACTCTGGCAACATTGAATCGACCGCTTAAGCTACCCCAATGCCGGAATATGTTATGCGTGCGCGGCATTTGTGGGCTGCAAGCCTCTCAGTTGTTGTGGATCACCGGTGACCCAAGCCATCTGCAGCCATGGAAGACGGACGACCCCTGTTATCCGATACATGAGGAGGCTAATAAATGAACTATTAGCAAAGCCCTGCAGGAGGAGTCTGCGCGAACAAGCATCGCCAAGGTAACCGCATGCCAAGGGTGCCATACGAGGGGTCTCCTTTCCGGCGAGGAGTTCATTTCAGTGAGGAGAGTTCACCGCATCGTCTGACAGGAGGCGAGGTTCGCACAACCTTCTCCCAAGATCCTTAAAAACCCAATAAAGCCCTGACTTACACGGGCTTCTCGGCTGCATACATACCGTCAGGGAACTTGGGAACTTGGGAACTTGGAACTTGGCGACCTGCCGAAGAACTCTTTTGCCATTGCAACCTTGACCATGCAACTCCTCCGGTTCTTGCTTTTGGGCTCGCAGAGCGCGGCAATAGCTGCTGCAGCTGCCATCGACCTTGCTGCCCGGTCTGTGGCCAGCGATCTTCAGAGCCTGGCCCCGGCCTCTTCCGTCGCTGTCCAGCTCCGGGAGCGGTGGAGTGAGGTGGACGCGCCCGTGGCCACTGTTGTGTTCAATGCGACCAGTGAGGAGGACATCAGTGCAACGGTATGTCGCTGTGAAGAACGGGCTGCTGCCTACCATTTCACCTTAATATGCTTTCAATACTAAATCACAATCACAGGTCAAGTACTGTGTCCAGAAAAAGATCCCCTTCGTCGCCCAGAACGGCGGCAATGGGTGGGCAACAGGTCAGTTCAACCTGGGCAGCACGGGCGTTCTCATCAACCTGGCCGGCCTGAACCAGGTCAGCGTCAGCGCGGACAAGAAGACGGCCACGATCGGCGGCGGCGCCATCATCAGCGATGTCATCACAGCCGCCGACGCCGCGGGCGTCCTGGTCCAGACGGGCAACTGCAACTGCGTAGGGGCCCTCGGTGCGTCCCTGGGCGGCGGCTACGGGAACCTCGTCGGCGAGCACGGGCTCGCCGTCGACAACATCCTCGAGCTGCGCGTCGTGACAGCCACGGGCGAGGCACTCACGGCCTCGAGCACGACCAACCCAGACCTGTTCTGGGCCCTGCGCGGCGCAGGTCCCAACTTCGGCATCGTCACCTCGGCGAAGGTGAACGCGTTCCCGACCGACGACCGCACAGCCCTGATCGTCAACTTCACCTTCGACTCGGCAAAGATCGCCGCCGTGGCCCAGGCCGTCCAGGACCTGGCCCTCCTCCCGCAGCAGGTCGTCTACATGATACTGTCCAACTCTGCCGACGGGACCAACACCCCCACGGTGGTCATCACGGGCTTCCTCCGCGGCGGCACGGTGGAGAGCGGGCGCACCGCCTACGCCTCGCTCTACGACCTCGGGCCCCTGACGAACTCGAGCGCCGTGACGCCCTACCAGGGCTGGAACGCAGCCAACGACCCCTTCTGCACGCGGGGAGGCCGCAAGCCCGCCTTCAGCACCACCATCGACAACATGAACTCCCAGAACTGGCCGCAGATCTGGGACCTCTACAAGGGGTTCCAGGCGCAGCCCGGGGCGCAGAACTCGGCGATGCTGATTGAGCGCTACAACCTGACGGCGGCGCAGGCTGTGCCAGCCGGCTCGACGGCCTTCGCGGAGGAGAAGCGCCACGAGGCGTTTGCGCAGGCCATCGTGATCCCATGGTACGAGGACGCGGCGCTCGACGCGCAGGCTGAGGCGTTTGGGGCGCAGGTCAGGGACATCTGGAAGTTTTCGCCGAGTGCGGTCTCGAACCCCACGTGAGTTTCTTCGGTCCAGAATCCTATTTCTCGTTTTTCGGCACTGGACAATATCCCTACACGCCTGATATGGAAATGAAGCTGACAGTCGAGAAGATACATCAACTTTGCCCATGGTGATGAGGAGTTGCAGGCCATCTATGGGTCCGCCCTGGACCGACTGAGGACGCTCAAGCAGCAGTATGACCCTTCTGGTGTCTTCAATCAGTGGTTCCCGATCAAGTGATTGGTCAATGGGAGCATATGATGGCAGTAGTAGTATATAGGGAGGCTATTATGCTTATTAAGATTAATTCTTGTACATGACACAAGTTCTATTCAGCCAACTGTACAGAAAAAACAACATATCTAACTAGACTATTACACAAAACTTTGACTATGAAGGCCACTATTGTTCTTGGTGAATTGCCCACTTGTCCTCACCGGGATTAAGCCACTCCATAGGAGCACTCGAGACTTATTAATAGAGCCTAGACCACTTGCAGTAAATGCCCACCCAGCCCCTCCCGGCCCCGCTGCTGGGGAGTGGGAAAGCCTCGGCTCCCCGCGGAGGCCGAGACTCGCTCGTGCCCGGACCCTGGAGAACGCGTGCAGTGCACGCTCCGAAGCAATGTCCACGGCCACAGCGCACCCAGCCCACCCGCAAAGGAGATGAGGGACGAGACGAGCCGTGGCCCGCCAAGCAAGCTTCGATGAAAGCAAAGCCACAACGGTTGAGCATTGAATGTTGAACGTTCCATCCGTCTCGGCGTTTCTTCTTGTCTTGGACCTGTCTCCTCCGCGTCAGACACCTTTTTTATATGCCAATGAACCCCTCCCGAGACCTGCAGCATGGGAACCGGTAGCACCCCCTCAGATCACGGCCGGGGCGACTCAGGGGCAGCACCACCGGCCGCCGGAGGCGGCGGAGGAGGGGGAGGAGGGCCTCTGGACCCGGCCAATGCGGCCATCAGTCGAGCAGTACGTACAATGGATCGCATATGCGAGTGTTTTCCAGAGGGATTTTGAAAAGGGGACGGACGGGCCGTGGTTTTATACATGCGCCCGTCCCGTCCCCAGTCTCGCCCAGACTTCCCGACTCACACACATCGTGCAAATCCTCGGGCGTCCGAGGACCCCCTTGGGATATCCACCGAGTATACCACCTCAGGCGAGACCCCCCCTTGCTGACGGATAGCCTCTCACAGTGTGACCAGTGCCGGATAAGGAAAGTAAGTACACACGCGCTTGTATTGCGGATGATGTGCACGTCTGGTAGTCTGCTCGTCCGCGGGCGCCCTGGCGTCGCGGCTAGCACCCGGACGGGGAGCCCCTCATCGCGTCGGCTCGTGTAGGAGGGCTTTTGGCTGACGCGACCGCCCCGCCAGATACGATGTGACAAAGAATCACCATGCTCGAACTGTCGCATAGCCAACCGCGTCTGCAGTTCGACGGGGGCGGGACAGAAGCCCAGGGAGGCGAGGCAGAGGGTCTTGATATCTACGCAATAGTTCGTCTCTCTCGTGTCTTTACATCTCGTCTCATAAAGCCCAGCCCGTGCGGAGCCCACAAGCCCTCAAACTTCGGCCAAGTCCTCGGCGCACAACGGTCCCAATGGCACACCGACCCTGACTAACCGCCCACCAGTGAGCGCAAGATCGACCAGATCGAACAGCGCCTCGGCTCGATAGAGAAGCTCCTCCGCGAGCTGAGCAACAACAGCGGCTTCAGGCGGCGCCCGTCAGACCTGCCACTCCACGAGGGCCCCCCGCCACTGGCCTCCTCGTCATCATCATCCAACCTCATGGAACCAGGCAGCAGCAGGGCAGCGGCGGCGGCGGGTGGCGGAAACAGCAAGTCCCCGCTGACACACCACCACCACCACCACCACAACGACGACATGGAAGATATCTCAGGCGACGACCGCACCGGCGACGACGACGACGAGGACGAGGACGAGACCAGCACCCCCGGCGGCGGGTCGGCGGGCAACAACGAGCTCGACTCGTCGGCCTTCGAGGGCAACTCGTCGCTCACGGCGCACACGGTCTTCGCGTCCGAGTTCCTCGAGCACGCCGTCGAGCGCACCTCCCTGCGCGACATGAACCCCAGCATGGCGGCGGCGCTGACCTCGCTCAAGCAGATCGTCGGGCTGAGCCGGCAGAAGAACGGGCAGCAGCAGCAGCAGCCGGTCGGCGGTGCAGCACAGCAGCAGCAGCACCAGCACCAGCAGCAGCAACAACCGGTGCGGCGCGGCTCGGCGGGGACGTCGTCCGGGGGCGGTGGTGCCAGCAGCAGCAGCAGCGACGTCCGGTTCGCGCACCAGCGCGCCCTGCCGCGGGGCGGGTTCCGCGAGCTCCCGATGCCGCCCGTGCAGGCGGTGATCCCCGTGCTGCGGGAGGTCAAGGAGACGCCGCCCGGGACGTTCACGCTGATCAGCGTGTGCTGCTTCATGGCGGTGGAGAACTTTGCCGAGGCGTGCCGGCGGGTGTACTTTGCGCTCGAGGACTTCAGCCACGCCAACTTCATCATCGTCAACATGGGGCTGTACTACCTGTTCCAGGAGAAGGCCGTCGTGGCCGCGGGGCTCGGCGACGAGGCCGGGCGCGAGCGGTACTCGGGCTACTACCGCCTGTGCCGGGACAACCTGGAGACGGGGCTCGCGAACCTGCGCTTCTTCCTCGGCGCGTCCATGGAGAACATCGAGGCCCTGCTGCTGGGGGCCAGCTACGCCATCGAGGTCAGCCGGCCCAGCCTCGCGTGGCAGCTCAACACCACGGCGGCGCAGCTGTGCCAGGACCTGGGGTACCACCGCGTGTCGGGGGGCACGGTCGAGGTGGGCAGCCCGGGCGGCAGCAAGAGCACGGGGCCGGCGGACAGCGCCGTGCTCAGCGACAAGAAGGCGATCCTCTTCTGGTTCAGCTACATGCTGGACAGGGGGCTGGCGCTGCGCCTGGGCCGCGCGCCCACCATCCAGGACTTTGACGTGACGCTGCCGCGGGTCATCGGGCAGGTCAACGCGCCCGACATGTGGAAGGAGGTGCTGCGGCTGTGGATCGCCCACGCCGACATCCAGGGCCAGATCTACGAGCGGCTGTACTCGCCCTCGAGCCTGGGCCACCCCGTCGGCCAGCGCGTCGAGGTCGCCAGGCGGCTCGCGGGCAGGCTCAAGGTCATCGCCGACCAGGCGCTGCTGATCCGGAGCTCCGAGATGGGCAGGCTCAAGGCCGGCAGCGGCGGCGGCGGCGGCGGCGGCGGCGGGAGCTGGGCCGACGCGCGCAAGGCCACCGTCATGGAGATGGTCATGAAGAGCGACCAGGTCTCGTTCCTGAGCAGCCTGACGCTCGTCTATCGCGCCATCCCCGCCGGCGCGGGCGGGCACGGGTTCTCGACCTTCACGCCCGAGTGTATCGAGACGGCGAGGCTGGCCATGCAGACGCACGAGGAGTGCATGAAGCTGATGGGGAGCAACCTGTGGGTGGCTGCTTCGTACATACACTGGTGAGAGAGACACCCCCCGTTCAAATTTGAGACTGGCCGGTTTTATATTGCTTGCTGCTTGCTGCTTGCTGACTCTCTTCTCCCTCCGCCTAGGACAATCCTCTACGCACCATTCGTCCCCTTCATCGTCATATTCTGCCACATAATAGAGACATCCAACATGGCAGACCTGCAGCGCCTGCGCGACTTCATCGCGTCGCTCCAGCCGACGTGCGCCGTGTCCGAGGGCGTCGACAAGCTGCACCGCCTCTTCTCGGTTCTGCAGAACGTGGCCACGCTGTACGTCGAGGCCAAGACAAAGGCCAACTCGTCCGAGCCCCAGGACACCGACATGGCGCCGATCGGCAACGAGTTCGACGTCTACCTGTCCGCGCTGGGCTTCATGCCCGTCGACGGCGACATGTCCGCCGCGCAGGCGCAGGCGCATGTCCACCAGGCCCAGGTCCAACAGGCCCATGCCGCCGCTGCGGCCCACGCGGCGGCGGCGGCGGCGGCTGCGAGTGGCGCGCTGCCGACTTCGCCCGTGACCGCTGGGGCACCGTTTGGGGCATCGCCGGTGAACCACGCGCTGGCCATGAACCAGACGAGCCAGCTTGGCGACTGGTTCTCGGGGAATCGGTACATGATGGGCTTGCTGGAGGAGGATCTTTCGCAGTTCCAGCCAAATGTCTGGCCGAATTCGTAGGCATAATGCAAGGAATTGAAGCGGCTCGCCGTCCATTGTGTTGTCAGTGGCGTGCCTAGTGTCGACGTATCGTGCAGATGGAGATGATCTGTCCCGACTTCTCGCTCATCCGCCTTCTGTGACTGAGCCCATAGCACCGTGACGGCATCTCCCTCCCTTGACCCATCCAGGTCGAAACTTGCCGCTTGTTCAGCCGTGGAACCTGAGGGATGTGCCTCTGACGGGCCTCGTATCCTCCTCGCGGTGCGCTGCCTGCTCCCTTCGCCCGGCACCCTGAGCCGTCCACAGGACGTTTCTCCCACGGATGCTTTCCGCAGATCAGTTCTAGACCCGTGTGCCCAGTAGCAGGTCCGCAGGTCGGAGTGTTCGGTTCGGTTCGGCCCATCCTTGGCGTCTCAGTCGGTCGGGAAATTGGGGTCGTACATCTCGTACCCCTCGTCCTCGGTATCACTCTCCCCATCGCCGCCTCCGCCAGCACGCTGCAGCCCCAGGCTCTTGATCTTGACATCCTTCACCTCGTCCTCCTCCTTGATCACCTTGCCGGCCTCACCGTCCCCCTCGGCCGGCGCAAAGGCGCTCTTAAACCCGGACTTCTTGAACCCTCCCTTCTTGAACCCGCCACCTCCTCCTCCACCAGAGGCCTGGGGCTTGTCGGCGCCGCCGCCGCCGCCGCCGCCGAGCTGGATGCTGATGACGCCGTTCTCCCTGGCCTCGGCCTTGCGGGCGCGGGCGGCGGCGGCGGGGTCGCGGGTCATGGCGCGCATCTCCTTGAGGCGCACCTTGTGGGAGTGGTCGTAGGACGAGAGGTGGGCCTCATATTCGTTGTGACGGCTGTAGCCCTTCTGGCAGAGCTGGCAGTAGAAGGACTGGAGGGCCTCGCGGGCGGCGGCGGTGGCTGCTGGGGGGAGGGTCTGGTGTCGCTGATGGGTCGGGGCGGTTAGCTTGTGAATCCAAGGAAGGACAGAAGAATGTTATGGGGTATATTACTGGAGGCATCTTGGTTGCTTCCTGGTCGCAGAGCTATTGCTGTGGTGTTTGCCGTTGTCGGTGTGGATTGTGTTTGTCTTCGAGGTGGAGCGACCGGAATGGGAGTTTCTATGGAGTCAGTCGCTGTGGGTCTCTGCCGGCCGAGACGGTCGAGCTCTAAGTACCCAGGTACCTACCCTTGGTGCTGGGACCCCCGGACCCTGGCACCCTGCCAGGACAGCGGGCCGGGCTGCTGTCGCGTGTGTAATTCTAGCATCCTCACAGGGCAATTCGGCAGGAACTGGGCGGGTCATAGTGGGGCCAGTGACCTGGGCATGGCTTTACCCCAGTGTCAACGTCAGAGAAGGCCAGGGGGTGGGGTAGGGACAGAAGCGCCCTAAGCCTCGGACAACCTTCTCAACAGTTCTGGGTGCTCATGTGCCTGCCTGCCTGCCCAAGGTCCTGAATCATCCACGACTAGCCTGGCCTCCTCCTTCTTCCCCTTGGTCTTATGCCACCACCACTTTAGAACCCCATGATACCCTCATAACCACAACGTTGCGCCTCTACGAGCAGAGCAGACAAGTAGTGGCACTCAGGCCAGGTGCATAATCCGCCATGGATTCCCGGTCCCTGAGGGCGACTGCCTCGCAGGAGACGCTGATCTCGCTGATGCAACTCGAGCCGCAGCCCATGCCAGACACCGACAAGGACCTCCCACCGCTGCCTGAGGAGTCGAGTGATGGCACGAGGACAGAGGCAGACCCCGAGAAGGAATCCACCAGGTCGATTGGGTCCCGCGACGGGCCAGGCCATGCCCGGGCGTCGTCTCTCGGGCTGAGTGGGAGCGGCCACGGCTCGATATACTATCGTGAGTTCTTTTCTTTTCTGTCCTACACAATGCACAGCCACATGATGGACACCCACCGTCTAACATGTCGATCAACCATCCTAGTAACACGCATCCAACGCTACTCAACATACGCCCTCTCCATCTTCACCGGCCTGCACATCGCAAACACCTCCATAATACCGCTCGTCACCCGCTCCGTGCCCGCGTCCGAGGGCTACCTCCTGCTCGCCCGCGAGATCTACCAGACCCCCATGACCGAGCCCCTCTTCGTCGCCCTGCCCATAGCCGCCCACATCGCCTCGGGCGTCGCCCTGCGCCTGGTGCGCCGCTCCCAGAACCTCAAGCGCTACGGCGGCGCGACCCCGGCCTTCCTGCCCGCGAGGTCGTCCACGGGGCGGTCTGCCACGTCCTCCTCGTCGTCGTCCTCACCCTCCTCAAACGGCGGCAACGGGTCAGCCTGGCCGCAGCTGAGCTGGATCTCCGCGTCGGGGTACGGCTTCGCGGCCTTCCTCGCGGCGCACGTCGCCCTCAACCGCCTGCTGCCGCTGCACGTCGAGGGCGACAGCTCCAACATCGGCCTGGCGTACGTGGCGCACGGCTTCGCGTCGCACGCGGCCGTCTCGTACGCCGGCTACGCGGGGCTGCTGGGCCTCGGCTGCGGCCACATGGTCTGGGGGTGGGCCAGGTGGATCGGGCTGGCGCAGATGGCCGGGTGGGCCGCCGACATCAAGACCGTGGGGACCACGCGCGACAGGAACGAGGACGTGCGCCGCAGGAAGCGCAGGAGACGCATATGGCTGTGGGTCAACGGCACCGCGGTCGCCGCCACGGCCGTGTGGGCGGCTGGCGGGCTGGGCATCGTGGCCCGCGGCGGGCCGGCTCACGGCTGGGTCGGCAAGGTGTATGATGAGTTGTTTGCCGCCGTTGGGCTCGGGCATTATTAGTGGGAGTACGATGACGATGCGGTATAGGTACGGGTTGAGTAGTGCCAGGCGCTTGCCTGGCTTTGGATTCGGTTGCATTACAAGCGCATATACCTAGAGAGAAGGATAAACTATAGAAGATGAACACAAACACAAATCACACCCAGGCCCTCCTCGGCAGGCATTCATTCTCGTGTCACCCGGTCCGGCGCATGCATGTTCCGTATTCCGGTTCCAGGAGAGGCCGCCCTTGGACTTGCTTTTGCTGCTCGATCGTCAACAGCAACAGTGGCAATGACTGGGGATATCTACATGCCAACATGCTCATATCTGCCTCATCGCCATTGTGTGAGGGTAGTTTATACCAATGGCAGCATCATTTCGATGAGATGCATGAGACTTGCGCTGTGCATGAGTCATCCCTTCATCATGAGGGATACACAAAGCATGCGTTTGGTGAACAACACACTCTCGGTGCAGTAGTACAGCAAACAGGCAGTGTATCGACCCAATACTGGGTGCCCAACCAGTTGCCCCAGCCTGCCCAGCCAGAACACACAATCGGTCACCGCACATCTGCTCAGTCGAACTCTGCTCACACCGCATACCGCGTTTCTCCCCGGCTCCATGTGGCGCCGAGCCCTCGGATCGACCAAACAGCGGGATCGTCGCCCTCGTTGTCTCGACAGCTGAGGGATCGGCACCCCAAATCCCCCCTCCCTATTGTGTCGCTGGGACTAGTCTACTGTGGTGCTTGCGCCCGAGAGTAGTATCTCGCATCTCACCCACGTCAGTCAGCATCTTGTACCCCGGTTCGAGTAGCACCGCACCAGCAGGCTGGGTCCGCTTCGCCACCTCTTGCTGGCTGTCGGCTGTGCCCCAATGTCGGATGGCGGAAAAGGGACGTGGGGACGCAAGGACGGCAGAGCCACCAATTTTGGGGGAGGGCGGCTCGGGGATGACCGCGATGATCAACAGTTTGGCGTTCCCTCGCTCGGCCCGTATTTGGTGTGGTTGGTCGAGTTGGGCTGGGATGGGCGTGGAGGACTCCCGAGCTGACTGCGTTTTGGTTGCTCTTTGCCCTTTTGCCAATATAAGTTTTCACTACTGTTTCAATATCAACTCTTTCCTCCCCCGAGCCTCTTTCCTCCCCACTATTATTCTCTCAATACCTATCACGACTGCCGACCTACACATCACCACGACTTCCATCCCGAAGCGGCGACCAGGCTATCGTGGAGAGCCTGAAGCCGAGAGAGAAGACAATGCGAGCCTCCGTCTTGTGCACCCACGCGCGCCGCAGCTGTGCTCCAGACATTCGGTGACAAGGGCGCGTCAAGTCTCACGATCACCGTCCCACGGCGCGTAACCACCCATTCCCCACCCCGTGAACCCAATTCCAGCCACACGGAAACAACAAGATCAACAACAGGCCGCCAAGAAAACATGTCTCCAATGTCTCCCAGCACCGCAGCCGGCGCGCTCGCACGCAGCATCGTCCCCTCCGCCGACGCCGTCCCGGACTCGCCCCCGGACTCGACAACCTCGTGGCTCGAGCCGGGCGCCGGCCTGACCCCGGACTCGGGCGACCAGACGCCGGCCCTGCGCGCGTTCGTCATCACGGTCGGCGTGCTGGCCGTGTACAACGCCGCCGAGCTGGCGGTGATGGCGCTGCTGACCTTCCGGCGCTACAGCGGGCTCTACTTCTGGGCCGTGCTCGTCTCGGCGCTGGCCATCATCCCCTACACGGTCGGGTTCGCCCTCGACCTGCTGGACGTGGTCGGCGGGCCCGCGCGGTACGCGGCCATCACGCTCATCACGGTGGGCTGGTGGCCCATGGTCTCGGGCCAGGCGCTGGTGCTGTGGTCGCGGCTGCACCTGATCGTGCCCAAGGGCCCCCGGGGCGAGAGGATCGTGCGGTGGACGGGCTGGATGATCGCCGCCGACGCCGTAGTCTTCCACCTGCCCACGACCGTGTTCACGTTCGGGTCCGCGGTGGACGGGCCCTCGGTGCGCGCCTTCGCGAGGGGGTACGACGTCATGGAGAAGATCCAGATGACGGGCTTCTTCTGCCAGGAGGTCGTCCTGTCGTCCATCTACGTCGTCGAGACCTTCCGCATCCTGCGCACCAGCCTGCAGCCCGACACGCGCACCACCATGCGCCAGCTGCTCGCCATCAACGCCGTCATCATCGCCATGGACCTCGGCCTGCTCGGGCTCGAGGCCGCCAGCTACTACATCCTCGAGACCATGCTCAAGGGCGTCGTGTACTCGATCAAGCTCAAGCTCGAGTTCGCCATCCTGGGCAAGCTGGTGCGCTTCGTCGGCGGCGGGCAGCGGCCCGGCCCCGGTGCTGCGGGCGGTGGTGGTGGAGCTGGGGGCAACCGCCAGTTCGGATATGATGGTGGGGATTACGACCCCCGCAAGTACTCGGTCGGCTTCGTGTCGATGGCCACGGCGCCCGGCTGCCGCAAGCGCCGGGACCGCCGCGAGGAGGAGGACGAGGTCATGCTGGGGAACATGGACCACATCAGCGAGTTTGTCGACCTGGACCGGGTCGCGGGCGACGTCACGCGCCCGTCGAGGAGTACCGACTCGGGGACGCGGAGCAGGGGCGGGAGTGCCGCGGCGCATGGCGATGCCGAATATGATTTTGCGAGATTTGAGTACGTTGAGGATGTGACTACGCTCAGGGACAGCCTTGTGGGTGGGATGAAGGGTTCCGCGGGGGATGTGTTGCAGTATCCGAGGGTGGCATCTTTGTGAGATGGAGAGACACTCTTAATTGTATTACTAGTTCAGCTTATGGCATATTCAGCGGGTCTGCTTACGCTGCAGAGAGCTATATGATCGAACGTCACGATACCCAGCTAGGAATAATTGATTACATGCACGCTCTTAACTGTGGTATGCCTCAGCATGATTTAAGCACGTCTTCAAAGCAGTGACGAATCTGACTACTGGCGAGGCGGTCATGCAAGCTTACGATTGGGTTTACTGAGATGGTTCAACTGTTAGTTCACAATAAAACCCAGCATGTTGGTCTGGCACAGGTTGCCAACTAGTATGGCGAAGGCACAAAGTTCTCGCCGAACAGCCCAAAATGCGTCCATATATCATCACGGCATAGCTACATTTGTAGCAAATTGTAGCAACGGGCAGCCAAATCTAGCAAGGTTGAAGTACACTGTGCCCATAGTGGTCCCATATAGGAGGCTGCCAATTCTTCCCACCTCTGCCCTTCCCCAACCCGACCTGAGCCACGCCCAGAGTACCTAGGTATTGTGGCTTGCAAAGACGGGCTCTCGAATGGGAGAAGACAGCAATCAAATCCAAGGAAGATCAATTTCATTGTATTTTACTGTTTCTTGTGACCTTTCATGCCCGCGGGCCTCGTTGCTGGACTCCGGCCACATGTGGTTCCAATCACGACAGAGATGGGTCACTGGTTGACGCATGGGACTGAGCCGTCGCTGAAGATGAGGACTCAGACTTTAAAAAAACGATGTAAAACCAAAAGCATAGCATACCGACTAGGAACCTCAAATCAAGGGAAGTATGTCATTCACATTCGAGTCGCGACCGGATCAAATCTATTAACACCGACTCCGGGTCGCCGGAAGGGATCGCCCAACTGTATTGGATCCTGCCGCAAGCGAAACGGTGAAGTGGCAAATACATACGCAAGTGGCAATGACAGACTGCACTTGCGTCGATATTGAGGAACGGTTGTAATTAGTCCGATATATTACACATCTATGATCAATGCACAACACCCGTTCTTGACCCTGCTACGACGTAATGAGGCCATTGCAATATTGTCTTCTGTTTTTGTTGCTTTGTCTACTTCATCAAGTAAATGGCTCAAATAAAATCCAAGCATTTTGCACCTGTATATGTGCCTGACCATACAACTCGTGTCGAGTGTTCTTCCATATGTCTCTGTTGTATCTAAACAACCATGGTCCCTGACTGCCGCGGGTCGATGTACAAAGCTCACTGACGGCTTCGAGAGAAGGAATGCAATTTTCATGAACTACTCTGTTGGGGATACCCTGTTAAAGTATCTCGGTGTGCGATTAGAAAAGGTAGCTCAGGCATTTTCAGCTCAAATCTCCATGGCCCGGAGATTCTACTATGGGGTCTGTGCTCCTCCTGGTCTACAACCTCGATATATCTAAGTCACCGCATTTTCAAAACATCGCAATTATTTGCTGTGTCGTCCGTATTTTCAGATGACTTTCCTGACTCTGTGATTTTCCATGTACGGTCTCTGGCCTTCCGGCGAAATGTCTACGACAGCAACTTTGAACAGGACGGATGGCTCTACACACGCAAGCCAGTCGAGGACGGGCGTGCCGCAGACCGACGATTTGCGGCCTTTCGAAATCACCGATTGGGACCCAGTCCCTATACAATCTCGCAGGAAGTTTCCTAATACTACATCTCTGGAAACACAGTATGCGAAAGCCAGCAAGTCCCCCCTCACGCTGAAGACCAGCCCAAATGACATCTCGCGCTCGCCAAATTACGTGACTACCCCCGAAAGGCAGCCACATTCAGCATATACATACAGCGCCTTTCCATCCACATCACCAAACTTCGTCAGAGACAGCGAGAGGCGGAACAGCACATGGGCCGTCCCGCGGCGGCCCCCCGCGTACAACCCACCCAGCACCCCCCGCGACGACAATGCGCGCTGCAACGTGCTTGTCGTCAGCAACCTGCCGGCGGAGACGTCAGAGGACGAGCTGAGGGGCATCTTCGCCTCACAGCCCGGGTATGACCGGATGAGCCTGCGCGCGACGGCAAGCGGGCCGTCGTGCTTTGTCCAGTTCGACGATGTCACGGCCGCGGCCAGGGCGCTGCGGAACCTGTACGGGTGGCCGCTCAAGCACAGCAGGACAGGCGGGATCCGCCTGAGCTTTTCCAAGGACCACCTCGGCATGCCGCCGTCCCGCCCGCTGACGCCCCGGACTTGGAGGCGTGCTCCCCCGCCGCCGCCTCTGGTGTTGCCTGTGCGGCCCCCCCTCCATTCGCCCGGTGGATTTGCGTCGGACATAAATCGTCGCCCTGTTGCTGTGCCCGAATCTCCCACCTCGAGCATTGAGGTTCAGTCTGTCAGCAGTGCAAGTGTCGGGGAGTCGGCTACAACACTGGTAGCGGACGAAAAGTTGGGTGAAGGAGAGCCTTCCGCAGAGGCAAAGACTGCGCCCCCTGCCGATCCCCAAGGAGCGCTGGAATACACTCCTTCTGAAGGGCTGCAAATGCATACTGTCAGAGGACCGGACTACAAACTTGACATGTTTGATAATTATCGACTCTGGCTGGAGGAGGCAGTTGAGATGGAACTCGACTGGTACCCTCTCCCGCCGATCAAGCAGCCGCTGAGACTATCCCAATCGCGACTGGTGTGGACGGTGAGCACATTACAGTCAACCTTCTTTCTGCGGTGATTAACACGGCTGGAAACTGACCTAGTGATAGTACAATGGAAATCCGATGTCAATCTACCTGAGCGAAGACGAAACACAGCGCTGCAGTGGGTATCTCGAGGATATTCGTGGGAAATCACCAACCAGCAAGCCAGCCATTCAGCATGAAAGCCCCGACATCACTTATTATCAAAAGGCTAAAGCTATTGTGGAGGCCTGGGCTCGAATCCAGATCTTGTCTTGGCAGCTCTCGCGGGGCAGCAGCAATGTCCGGGCAAGTAATGCATCCCCCGCCAATGCCGGGGACACAAGGGAGCAGCTGGAAAGCCATCTGTGCCTCGAAAAGTACCCAACGCCGACTCAAGATGCCACGCTTTTGAGGCTCAAGTCCATAGAGCACATGGAGGACGACTTCGAGTTCTTCGTCCGCGCTCGAAGCATGATGTGTGATGCAGAGGGAAGTTGGTTGCGGCAGTTGTTACCATGGTCATACCGCGATGTCAGATTTTCAAAGGTATGCTTCGAGGCCACACTCACCCTAGCTGACGGGGATACATTGAAGGGCGTAGACTCAGGAGCACTAAATGCAACGTAGTTTCATTACTCCTCCAACGGCGGCAACAAAGTGCAAACAACAGACGAAACCAGCCAGCCAGACCCCCGAGATATCTGGGGCGGACACGAAGTTATTAAGTGCCTGCACGGTCAAGAAATAGATATCCACATGCGGATGTGCGCCCATATTCTATTGCAGGGAATTCGATATCCAGAAATCGGCCGCGGCTCCCGGGTCTTTCTTGATTGCGTTCCCGCGCTCAGGGGACCTATGACTTTCGATAAGGACACGATGACTGATGGTTGGGGTTTCTTTGTCAGACAAAGCCTATCTATGCCAAAGATCATGGCTTGGACTGTTATAATTGTGGTCCTAGGTTTAATGCTTGTGCCGTTCTTTGCATCACTTGCTCTTTTTGGAACTGTCTTCATATTGTTTGTGTTTCATCTTGGCGGGCATACGGAGTTGAGGCTATAGTGGTGAAGCATGGGATCAGTTCACTTTTAACCTTGTAGAAGTACTAAAGTAGAGACCATATGCTCTAGGACTCTGCTCGGTGAGAAGCTATACGAATATACAATTGAATGTTTGCAAAAGCTCACGGCAAGCAAATGTGCGTAGATGTATGTGACTGGTCAAGAGTGCAGGATTGGTAGTCACTGGCCGTCCAAGGTCATGTTGGGATTGAAATATACACCATGCTCAAAAGGTCGTCCACACTGGCCTGGTTTCGCTTTTACTCCGCACATGTCCGAAGATACCTAGGTATACATGACGTCTTCCCATGGTGGTAAACGCTCAAGACCCGGCTTTTTTTTTTTAAAAAAAAAGAAAAGAAAAGAAAAGCCACAATACCAATAACCATGCATAGAGAATGAAATACACAAGCAAGTGGCCTCAGCCTTGTGTCGCGCACACAAGGCTAGAGGTATCGCTCCCTTGGATCCTCGGGGAGCCCGCTCTGGATTTTGGGTCGGCTTTAACGCTTTGTCTTCGACCACCCGACGGCCTTGTCTCTCGTTCTAGCTCCGTAGAACTGGAATTGCAGCATGATGTATTCTTTGCACAGTCAAATGTAGAAGACCAGTCATTTCCTTTTTGGAACGGTCCTCAGGGCTGCCTGACTAGAGTCTCCATCATGGCCGATGTTTGAAAGGGGTATCAACGCTTGCTTCCATCAACACGAGTGCCCTCGTTCCCTCCCCAGCAGCAATTATCCCCATGAACCGGACACCCCGTAGCCCGCGGGCCCTCGTGGCCACACCCCACACCATAGTGATGCTGCGGCCTATCCGGGTCCCTGGACCTATCAAAGGGATTCACGCCGCTGAGCTCGGTGGCCATGGTGTTCGCCTGATACCACCCAGGCTCACGGTGGTGCTTCTTCTTCTTCTTCTCCCCGTTGCCGCCGTCGCGACCATCATCCTCAGTGCCCCGCGAGGAAGAAGGGAACGCAGGCGCCTCTCCTGGTGGCCTTGAGAAAGAGTTTGGGTCGTTTCGGGGTGTCAGAAGGACTGCTAGTCGCTGTTCAATCGACAAGCAGAAGACCAGTTAGCTGCTTGGGCGACGTCCAACATTGACATGAGTATGATCTCTGACGTACCCCGAAACACATCGTTTAACGTAAGACAGTCTTAGCTGATGTTTCAAGTATCTCCGGAGATGCTGGATGCTGGATGAAGTGGCACGGGAGTGCGGCGTCAGTTCTTGGGAGTGAGTGAGTGGGTGTTTGTTGTTCTTTTGAGACAAATGATTCCAAGAACAGGAAACCAACCATCTTGGTGCGTACTTTTCCACATCTAACACTATGACGTAGCAAACTGCACTAATCATGTGGCCAGACTTCGCTTCAGAACAGGTAAAAGCCAGAACTGGCAGGTTGGCTTACCACGGACGGGAGGTAGAAGCTGACGTTTTCCAACAGCTTGATTGGTTCTAGGGCGCCGATGTAACCCCTCACGCGCATTATTCCCATGGCACCGCCACATCTTCAAAATAGTAGAGGCGCTACTAGTATGATTTGCTTGTCTCCAATGTGTTGTTTTCTTTCGGCAGTTATTCTGTAGGACGTTTAGTTTCTTCGGTGGAGGAGGGAGTATCTAACAATTTGTCCTCCTCTTAGAGGTTCAAGTTGGTTTCTGGAACGCAAAGTTGGCGGGAGATACCTACGTATCTTGTAAGTCAATGGAATTTCTCATCAGAGGTTAATCTTTATCAGGTGGCCTTCGGTTTTCATATGGGACACCTGGATTTTATCCCGCACAAGGCTGTCCCGCACGGGGTTGGGGGGTTGAAACCTTCTTGATTCACTACATATGAATAGTACGCTATTGGGCTTTAGTATCTCGGTGCTCACTGTTTAAAACTGTCAATAGGATACGTACGTACATTTGTAGGAGTAATTATGGTTTATTAGGGTGGTGTGTTCTAGCTAAGTTCTAAGTACACTTTTACTTCTATAAAAATACCTACTATATATTAACTAAAACATACCTACTTTATAATACTTATAGTTTTTCCTTTAATAAATGGATATAATAATAAAGCTTTTAGCTTACTTTAAATATATCCTTTTAAATTAAAAGAATAAATAAAGTAATAGTTTAACTTACTCTAATTATTATTTTAAAGTAATTAGTAGAATAGTTATTCTAATTATTTTTATATAATAATTATATAAGTAGTATACTATATTAATAATATTTATAGCTAATTAACTCTAAACTTTATTATTAGTAGATAATACTATATTAAGAATTATAGTAGTTATCTTTAATTATTAAACCTTTTAAGTAAGTTTTTTTTATAGTAATATTTAATAATCCTTATTATTAGAGTTATTAGAATTATTAGTATTAACTTATTTTTATTAGTGTTTTAAAGTCTTTATCTTCTTTTTAAACTTATTATTTAATATATTAATGTATAATCTCTTTATAGCTATTATAGTTTTAGGCTTTATAATTTTTAAAGCTTTAGGTTTTATAGTAGTTTTTATAGCTTTAAACTTTATAGTAGTCTTTATAGCTTTAAACTATATAGTAGCCTTTATATCTTTAAGCTATATAATAGCTTTTATAGTTTTAGGCTTTATAACCTTTATAGCTATTACTTTAAAGGAGTCTTTTAAATTATTATTATCTTTATATTCTATTTTTTAATCCTTATAAATATTAATAGTAGATTTATTATTATATTTATTTTAAACTTTATTTATTACCTTTCTTTATCTTATATTATTTAGGAAATCATTAATTAAAGTTATCTATCTACCTTTTATAATATTTATAAGGGGGACTTTAATAAGGGAATAATTAAGTAATATAGTCTGTAATACTTTAATTATTAATTACTTTCTATTAATTTTAATTATATCTTTAATAGTTTTATTATTAATAATAGTTATATTCTTTATAGTTTTACTTATCTTTATTATATCTTTATTTTTTATTATTAGTTTTATTAAGGTATTTATTATTAGACTTTAATATAGTATTAATAATAGTTGTTATTTTTATTATATTTATTTTACTTTTTTAATATTTAATATTATACTTTTATATTTAAATAGTAAAGAATAAGCCTTTAGCTTTAATTTTAATAGCTTTATAATATATATTTTAGTAATATTCTTTATATATAAGGTTATATATATTTATTATCTTTTAAAGTAAAAAGTATATATTTAGTTTAATATTTTAATCTATTTAATAATTCTTTTATTACTTTTAATATAGTAGTTATAGAGATAGTTAGGTATACTTTATCCTTTTAGATTTATTATTATAGAGATTATAATAATATAGTATTTTAAGTAGTAGTTTATTTAATTTATATTTAAACTATATAAATTAGTAATAGAACTTTTAATATAGGAAATATCCTTTTATATTTTTATATTATAACGTTAAAAGAAAATTATTAATTTTAGTATTATAAGTTATTAATAATTTTATAAACTATAATTATTATTTTATAGTTAAGGTAGAGTTTATTAATTTAAATTTTTATTTTTCTTCTAGTTATTTAAATTAATAATATCTTTAAAATATACTTTAATTTTACTTTTATAACTTTTATTTTATTATATTATTTAACTATATAGTTATATTTAATTTATATTAAAGTTTTCTATTTTAAGCTTTCTTTTATATTACTTTAATGTCCTTTTATATAACCTTTATTATTATTATTATTAGAGAGGATAATTAAGTTTTATTAAGTAGTAATAGTGTTATTATTAAGGGTTTTATATAATACTTATAGTATTATTTTTAACTTTAATAATATTAATATTTTTATTATTCTTTATTAGATTATTTAATATAATAGTTATAATTTTATTTTTATTCTCTTTTTATAAATATTTGTAGTTGTTTTAACTATCTATTATATTATAATTCTTATAGTAATTACTAATTATATTTTTTAGTTATTAATTTATTTTATTAAGTGTATTATTATTTAAGCTTTTAATATTTTATAATATATAGGTATTTTATTAATAAACTAATAAAAGTATAATATAAAATATAGATTAAATTTTAAAAGATATATTAAAAATATAAGTTATAAGGTAAAACTTAATAATTATTATTATTAAATATAAGTAAGTTAATAAAATAATAAAGGTATAAGTAAAAGTATTTAAAAAGTATATAAAGTATTACTTTTAACTATAATTATAATATTTAATTATAATAGTTATAATTATAATAATAAATATAATAATAATAATCTTTAAATTAAGGTGATTATAATAATAATGTTTTTATAAGAATTAAGGTAGGATTTAATATATTATAGTAATAAAAGTAGAAGGTTTATAGTATAGTATTAGGGGAAAGTTTTAGGGATTATAGTAATAATAGTTAGAAATAAGTAGCTATTAGCTTACTATACTTTTTTTATTATATAAAAAAGTAGCTAGCTTTAAGCCTTTTATTAACTTATTTATATAAATATAAAGTTTATTATTATTAACTAACTTTTATAAAGTTAAATTTAGTTTTACCTTTATAAGTATATTTATTAGGTTATTTTTTTATTAATTTATTTTATTTTAATAATTTTTATATCTTATATAATTATTATAGAAATATAATATTTATTATAAGGTATTTCTCTTTTATAGTCTTAAGCTTTATAAAATATTTATATAAGTTATATAAATTTATATAAATAATAAATAGAATATTTAATAATAATAGTTATTATATAATTATTTTTAATATTATTATTAATAAAATTTTAATATTTATATTATTTATTATTTTATATATCTTATTAACTAATATATTTTAGATAATTTCTTTATATTTTATTAAGGATTAATAAAGGATATTTCTATTTAAAGTAAATCTTTTATTATTATTTATATAAGTCTTATTTTTAAGGATAATAATATAATTTAATTATAAAGTTAAGTCTTTATTATTAGTAAATAATTTATTTATAAATATAAAAGTTTTACTATATTAAGGTTTAATAATATATATTTTATATTTTTATAATATATTTTATTTATTATAATAGTTATTTATTTAATTATTTATAATATTTATTTTAAAGTTTTTATATTTATATAATAATAAATAGGTTATATAATACTTTTAGTTAGTAAATAAAGGCTATATACGCTCTTTAAGCTTTTATTTTAAGTATTATTAAAGAGTATTATTTATTATTTTATTAATAGTTATAATTTTATCCTTTTATTCTTTTATTTAATTTTAATAAAATTAAATATATTTATAGTTAAATAAGTATTATTAAAGTTAAATAGTTATTTAAATATTAAGTTAGTTTTTAGTTTTATATAAAGCTTTATAGCTTTAAGTTCTTTTTATTATTTAAAATTTATTTATTATTAATATTAATATATTATTTATCTATATTTTAATAATATTAAAAGTCTTTATAACTTTTATAATTAAAAGGTAAGGATTATATATAAAGTATTTTATATAAAGTTTTTCCTTATAATATTTTTAATATATATTATATTAATAAATATTAAATTTAAAAATATTATAAAAGGAATTTAAAATTTAAATAATAATATTTTTAAATATTTATTCTTTAATTCCTTTAGTAATAATATAAAAATTATTTATATTAGCTTTATTTAAGATTAAATATAAATCTATATAATATCTTATATTATTATTTTTATATTATAATATTAAATTTATAATAGTATAATTATAAAGATTATATATTAATTTATATATTATAATATTAAGTTTTAAATAAGAATAATATTTTATTATTATTATTATTTTCTTATATAATCTATTAAGATTTTTATATAGTTTTATAATTTTATTCTTTATTTTTATATTATTTAGGATTTAAAGAAATAATAGTTATTATATTTAATCTATAACTATTTTTAAATTAAATTACTCTTTATTTAATAAAATTATTAATCTTTATTTTATTAAATTCTTTAAAGGGTAAGTTAGATATTATAATAACACTATTTTATTTTAGTTTTATAATTAAAGTATAGTTATTATTTTCTTTCTTTATAAAATATATTATAATAATATAATTTTTAAATTTTAGTAATAATAATTACTTAACTATTAATCTTTATATTTTCTATTATTTAATAATAGGGTCCTTTAAAAATAATTATTATTTACTTTTATTTTTATTCTTATAATATAGTTAAACTATTATAAATTTAAATATTATTAATCTATTTAATAAATTTAATATAATATTATAGCTATTTATTATAATAACTTTATATAAGTCTTTTTAACTTTTATATTTATATTATATATAAATATTATATTATAATAAGTAGTTTATATTATTTATTAGTTTATTTTTATATTAATTATATTTTAAACTTATTATTTAATTATAGTTTTTTAATATTTTTATAGTCTTATTAATAAACTTAACTTACTTTTAAGTTAACTATAAAAGGGTAAGTTATATAATACTTATAAATAGGTATTAAAATAAAAAAGTTAGTATTAAGTTATCTAATTTTATTATATTATTTACTATCTTTATAGTTATTTATAAAATAGTATTATTATTTATATTATTATAAAGCTTTATATATAAAATCTTATATATTTATTATAATAAGTAATAATATTTTTAACCTTTTAATTAACTAATATACTTTAATTAAAACTTATTTATATATAATTTTATTATATAAACTTTAGTATAAAACTTTAAGGATATAAAGTTTATATTTATATTATATATAATAATATTTAGTAATCTTTAATAGGTATTAATTTAAAGGGTATAGAGTATTTATTAAATATATTTTACTATTATTAATTTAAGAAACCTAGCTTTTAGAAATTTATAGTTTAATTTATTATATATAAAATTAACTATTTATTTAAATATATTATATTAATTAGAATTTTATAGTTAAATTTATAATTATTATAAAATATAAATTTAAATTATTTTAATATAAGTTTATTTAGTTAATAATATTAGTATATCTTTTAATTTTCTTTAAAATTTATTTATTTATATTTAAATACTTAGTCTTTTTAATTATTTAATATAAATAGTCTATTATTAAATATTTAAATTAATAATATAACTATTTTAACTCTATTTTTAATAAAAGTAAATAGTATTTATAATTTTATTTAAAAAGAATTATAGGTATCTTTATTTATATAGGATTAATATAACTATTATAATATTATAGTAAGTTAGTTTATTTATAATATTATTATAATAAACTTTAAGTTAATCTATATTAGTTAAATAGAGTAAAAAAGTTTATATATTTATAATATAAAATATTATAAGTTTTATTAAAGTTTTTATATTTATTATTTTTAATAATTTAATTATTATTTTATTATTAAACTTTACTTTTATTATATTTATAGTTATTATATTTATTTTATATTTTAAATTTTCTTTTAAAATATAAAAACTATTTTTATTTAGCTATAAAACTATTAATACTCTTATATTAAGGAGAATATTTTAAAAGTATATTTAAAGTATTTATCTTTAAAAATAAACTAATTAATTAGTATAGTTATTATATTTTTAAAGATATTTTTTTATTAATTAATATATAAAAATTAGTTTATAAAGAAATTAATATTTACTTTAAAAATTAAATATTTTTATTATAAGTATTATTTTTAATATTTTCTTTTATAATTATAATATTCTTTTTATTTATATTATATTCTTTAAAGTTTAAAAGGAATATTTTAAAATCTTTTTTAATAACCTTTATATTTATATTATAATATATAGCTTATTTATACTATCTATTTTTATTAATAATATATTTTATTAACTAATAACCTTCCTTTTATAAATAAAATACTTCTTTCTATAATTATTCTCTATTAAAGTAATTTCTAAATATCCTTTAACTACTTTTATAGCTACATTTAAATCCTCTACTTCCTTATTAAAAGCTCTATAATAGTTATTCTCTTTAAACTTTAAACTATTTATTATATTATTAGTTAATATAGTATTAATCTTAAAGTTTATCTATTATATATATAATAGTTATATAATTAAGTTTAGTTTTAATTATTAAATATAAATTTAAAAATAACTTTTATATAATTATATTAATTTAAATAATACTATCTTTAACTTTAAAACTCCTTTATATACTTTAATAACTATTATATAAAGATTATTTTCTTTAATATAATTTAATTTTAATACTTATTAGTATAGTTATAGCTTATTAAGTATTATATAAAGTACTTTATATAAATCTATTTTTAAATATTATATTTATATTTTTATAAAGGTTATTATTATTTAATTTATATAATAATATTAATAATTTAAGTTTATATTAAAATATATTTTAATTTTTAAATATATTATTATAAATAAATTAATATAACTTATAAAGTATAAATAATATACTTCTATTTAATCCTTTAATATTTAAGGAAAGATTATATAAAATTAGTTTAATTAAATTTTAATATAATAATAAATATTAAAAATATTTTTATTTTATTATTTAATAAGTTATATAGTTCCTTTAAATACTTTTAAAAGAGTTAAAGATTTTAATAAATTATATAAACTTTATTAATTCTAATTTTTATTATTTATATAATATAAAGGAAGTATTTTATATAGGTTATACTTAATAATAGTTATATATTATAAATATATTAGTATATATAACTAAGGTTATATTAAATAAAATATATACCTTTAATATAAGTTTTATTTTTATTTTATAAAAAGAAATATAAGGTTTATTTTAATAAATTATATTATTTTTAATAGTCTTAACAGCTATTATATAAATAGTAGTATTTATAAAGGTTTTAATAGTATATTAGGTAGGGGAGGTTATCTAACTAGATATAAGCTTTATTTTAGTAGGTCTTATATAAATTCTAGTTATAGTAGATCTAATGGTGGAGGTACTAGTGAATTTAGTAGTAGATTTTTAGGTTATTCTTAAGGGTTTATAGGTAAATTTAGTGGATTTTCTAACTATCCTTTAGGATTTATAAGTGGATTTAATAGAGGGTTTAATATTATAACTATAAGTAATTATATATAATATTTATTTATTAAGGACTTAAAGTTTAAAATAATATTATAAAGTTTATTATTTTATTATTTTAATTATTTTTAACCTATATTAAGACTTATAGCTATAATATAATAAGTTAGTTATTATATTTAGTATATACTCCTATATTTAAAGAAAGTTTTTAATGTTTATTAGTAAGGTATTAATAGTTAAGTAAATATCCCAGATATTTAAATTAAAATCTTCTTAAAATATAATAAAAGATTATTATTAAAAGCTATTATTAGTTATAGTTTATTAGTATGCTTATAAGTATTATAATAAGATATTTTATAGGTAAAGTTATTTATAATAATTAGAATTATAGTTTTATTTTAATATATTTATAATATATAAAGTTAAATATTAAATATTTAATTAATAGTTTATTTATATTATATACTTTTATAAAATTATATTATTTCCTTTATTTTAATTATTACTACTTATATTTATTATAATAATTAGTATTTTAAAAGTATTTTTAAAATTTAAATAAGTATTATTAAAGTAAGTATTATATAATAATATTTAAATTAGATAATATTTTAATAATTATATATTTAAAAAGGAGTAATTAATAATAAAAAGTAAGGGGATTTTAATAAAGTAAGTAGGTTAAAAATAGTATTATTAGGTAAGAAGTTAGGTAGAGTAAACTATTTAAAGAGAAGGAGTTAAGGGAGTTATTTTCTATTAAGTCTTCCTTCCTTCCTAATCTAAGAAAGTTTAATAACTTAAAGTAGCCCTATACCTTTTATTATTATTACCACTAATAGTTATAAAGCTTATCTTACTTTTATAAATAAATATTATAATAAGTTAAATTAAAGTTATTAAGGTTGTTAATATTAATAAAAATATTATTTTTTAGGTATAAATCTTATATATAATAATATATATTATAATAAAAGGTAATAAATATATAATATTTATAAAGAAAGTTATTAAACTATATAATCTTTATACTTATTATTTAAGGTTTATATATAAAGAGGTCTATTATATAATAAGTTATTATATAATACTTAGTTAATATTAAGGATATTATAATAAAGGGAAATTAATATTAATAGCTTTTTTTATCTTACTATCTATTATTTAATAACGACTAATTAGTATTAATAGAATATATATATATGTTTATAGGAGTAATTATAGTTTATTGAGGTGGTGTGTTCTAGCTAAGTTCTGAGTGTACCCTCGCTTCCACAAGAGTGCCTGCTATATACTAGCTAAAACGTACCTGCCTTACGACAAAAACCTCACTCAGAAGTACCAGCAGTTCTTGAACTCGCACGTTGCCTTCTGCCAACTGGTATCTCCTCCTTAAGACTCTGACGGTCCATCTGAGACATAGCATCTATCACCGGGGAGACCCGGGGCGACATGGTCTTATTTGGCCGCTGGTTCCCGAAGGCCCTCTCGTACAGGGGGTTTCTCAGATCTCTAAGCCTTCCCTCAATCTCGTCAAAGAGATCGAGGAAGCACAGCGTTAAAGACGTGTAGTCCAGGGTGATTCCCTGGTCACGAAGGGGACACTTAGACAGAGCTTGCCTTATGGGTCGACACTGCCTGGGGGAGCACAAGGAAGTGCCCGTGGCCAATGTGAGGTTGTGTGCATTTGAACCGAGGGTTGACGGTGTTCTAGTCGATGGTGTGTGGCCAGCTTGACCACCCCCCTCCCCAAGGATGTTCCAGGGCTAGGGTTATCGCAGGGGTGAGGAAACCATGGGACCGTCCCCACTTCGGACTCTCATCAACCAAATGCAACTCAGAACTCCGTTCCCTTACATCACCGAAACACCACAACTGAAATGACTGGAGACCGTCACGATCTGATCCCATTTTGATTGAGCTGCTCAACTCTCCGACAATTTCAGACGTCGCCCCGCGTCTGGTACCCTCGCGCGTCCTGTGCGCAAGTGTCTGCGGCGCAGCACCGCAACTCGTTGCCCCGGCTACTCCCCCGCGGCCGCTTTTCGCGACCCGCCTTGCAGCCTTGCAAGGAGTACACAAACAACTCCCGCCAGCGCCATCAGCATTTCAAGCACGCGCAACCCTTCCTCCCCGTGGCCCCACCAACCCACCGTCTGGAGCATCTGCGTCTTCAGTCCATCACTCGTTCGACTCTCCCGGCTACGCCTTTTTCATTCTTCCGAATCACCACAATGTCGTCGCCGGAACCACCACAGTCGCCGGTCGGGGCCGTCGAGGCGGCCCGGCGCGAGAGCCAGCAGGCCGCGTACAAGCAGCTGCGCGCTACTCTGAAGAAGCTCGATCGCCTAGACGTCCCCGTGCTGGAGGACTCGCACCTGCAGGCCCTGGGCATCCGCAAGCTCCCTGATATCGATGTCGACGAGTATGCGCCGTTTGACCCGGAACCTCTGTTCTTTCGTCCTTACCCATTGGGCGAGGAGGAAGACCTGCCGGAATTTGTACACGATTCCCTTCAGGAGGGCTGGTATGATCCGGACTTGCAATGGAAAAAGCCTTGTACGGAATCGTACTGCCCGGGCGATTTGATTTCTTATCGTCACCATTGCTCTTGTGCCCGATACTGTTGGGCGAACTGCATGGCTGGACAATTCGATGACGGTATTATGGGGAAGACACAATGGCGTTACACCAAGTGAGTAGTGATTGGGCAGTTTTGCGTCATCCCGGTCTCGAAGATTTGAACACTGACAATAGCCATGATACAGCTCTCTGTCAGACGACGACCGCATGTACATAGAGGAGGACATTTCCCACAGTTTTACCCGCACCTGGGGCCGCGGCCGGGACAGCGGCTGGGAACTCCTCGGTGCGTACGGCACTCCGGGCTTCTACATGCAATTTTCGACTTTTGATAAACTGGATATGAGCAAACCGCACATTGGTGTGGCTGTGTGCGACTCATCCAGGAGCAGCGAGGCCACTCTTGCCAGTGAGGTGGCCGCAGCGATCACAGTGCTCAAATTCCGCTTTCGCCGCGGTGAATTTGTCCACTTTCACACCATACCTGTAAGACGTGTTCCTCCTTGCATGCGTCTATTGGCCGCACAGACTGAGGGGGCAGAGACTAATGCTCTTTAGATCATCATCTACAGCTTCCACCACGACGAATCTGCTCGGATTACCCAGGCGCATTGGGATGATAAGGGGCTCGTCATCCGCCACTCGAGGTTGCTTGATCTCCGCGGTGACCAGCCCACGAGGGATGCTTATCTTTTGATAAGATGGATGGCCAACAAGCCAGTTGGAGAAACTGCCTACCATGTCATGCAAGAAGCCAACAGTATGGGCAACGCTGAGAGGCCACGGCCAGATTGTGCCACACGCTGGGACATTAGTGTGGGGGCTTGACGGTATCATGTGGTTACAATACTTCAATTTGGAACCGTGTTGCTGCACTGCTATTGTTCTATTTGTGTTGTCGGCTCATGGATCAGTTGGTTGTAATTTGAAACACAATTGTTTCTTCCCAGGCAGGTTGTTGGGGGCGCGTAGAACTGCACCGATCGGCTGCTGTCGTTTTCGGCCCCCCTCGGTGGCTGCTTTGGCCTCGCCTGATGCAACCTTACCAAATCTGCGGCCAAGCCGTGGTGCAGAGCAATGAGGCCACTGCGCCGCCACGCTGCTTGTCTAGCGGAGCACACTTGATGCGCAACCAATAGATGGTGTCTTCGCACAGGTCAACAAGTGGCCGTTGGCTGGACTGCCTGGCCTGCTCGAAGGTCGCCAGGCCCGGCCGACCAGCATGCATTATTTTATTTCTGGATGCAGCCGTTCAGGCGAACGCCTCTCCGGGCCCCAACGACCGTCCTCCCTATTTAGAAGACATGGAAGCCTGTGAAGACCTCTTGCACCACTCGGCCACTCGGACTTCCTCGAAATTATATCGCATAGCAGCATCATCTTTGGCGCAACGATGTCGACCGCATCTATGTCGCAGCCGGCACCTCTAATCGAAACCAACAAATGCGGCCCGTTCACGGGGAAAAGTCCAGAAACATCGGTGATTTGGGATCGCTTTGTCGAAGAGTACCTAATAAATCGTGCTACAAATGAGCTGGAACCAGAGTGAGGAACTCCACGCCACGTCTATTTGGTGAAAGCATTCTTCGATGTACATGTGGGCAACACTGACTGGGTTCTATTACTACTAGGTTGCGCATTGGCTCTAATCACATCCGTCTTTGCGGTCTTAGGAGATGGAAGGCCGGCAAAGAGGAGCCCAAAGGGTCCGCAATGAACATCGAACATTTCCTTCACCTTCGCGCTCTTGTCCAGAACCATGTCAAGGAACCACTTCCGATCCAAGAGCTGGTTGATCTGAAGTACCTCCATGCTGCTGAGGAGTTTTTGAAGGAATGGCCGGAATTTGAAAACTACATTGACCAAGTTCCCATCATTGACCCAGCGGTGGATGTTGACAGCCTCGGACTATTCGCTGGGGCGAAGACGATGCAGAATCAAGTACTGCTCGATGCTTACCTGAACGTTGCCCAAGATGACGCAGACTCATTCGACGAATCTGTATCGGAGACACCTTTAAAGAAGGGGCGCTATAATACGAATTTCTACGGAAAACCACCAGACAACGACGCCGCCGACGAGCAAATCGTCAATGAATCCCTGATTTCCTATGCCTCCGCACTCACACGAAGGTGGATGATCGAGAAGACCGCAGCCTCGCCCTCTGGCGCCGACCAGACCCCATCCAAGGGCGCCATACCAACACACGATTGGATAACAATAGCAGACTGGACAATGTCGCGGGACAGGTTTTACATCCAGGAACGCGTAAGAGACAACGACGCCACACAAGATAGTCACATGGCGGGCTTGAAACCAACCGCGAGGAATGTGGGCGACGGACACTCGTACGGTCGGATCCTGACCAGCGAGACAGACGGGTCGTTATACCGCGTAGGTCCAAACTCAACAGAGACCCTTGCAATCGTGGAGTGCAAGAAACGCTTGAGAACGAAGAATATGGTCAAGATCGAATGGCAGGAAGCGGCGGAAGTCGTAGCCTGGTTGAACCTACGGCTTCGCACGGAGTCTGAGGACCGCAACCTGCAGGGTGGAGGAAGTTTGTCACCTAGGAGAGGAGTCCTGAAGCCGAAGCCAGCTTACAAAAGCTCCGCAGAAAAGTCCCGGTGAGCTATCAAAGCCCCCGTTGTATGACCTAGCTGAGCAACACTGCTGGATGAGGCTGAGGTATCTACGCCATCTCGAGCTGTGGAAGGGCTGGGCAAACCCCGATTCTCATCTATTCTTCCACCCTCCGAGTCACTCACTGCACCGCATATTCCGCTTTCAACTTCATTTTTCACCATGTCTTAGCACCCTGGCTAATATGCTCTCTCCTCAGTTGTCTGCTCCTTGCTCAGGACCGGGAAGAGATACACATTATCATCGGAGAGTGGGATGCAATGTACGAGGAATACATCATTGAAGGTAAACTCTCAAAGACCAACATCGACAAGCTTGATCAGTTGAGAGCCGCAAAGGATCCGGCGGTGCGTGATGCTGGATTTATTACCATGCATGTGTATGGGCCATTCGCCCGATTCACACAACGTTCCAGAGACCGAAAGGACAACATGAGGACGCTCAGCACTAACCTCCTTGCCCTGTCCCTACACCTCAGCCAAGCGTCGTGCTCTCCTTTTTCTCGAAGGAACTCTCCTCCCGGCTCCATACAGCTTCCCCCTCAGCGAGGCGAGCCGTGCTGCCCCGGGTGCACCTGTGGCTGCAACTGCGGGCCTCCCCTAGGAGTTCCGGGCACCTCCGAATCTCCGCCGGGGCCTCCAAAGCCGCCGTCGGAGACATCGGGGACACGCAGGGGCCGGCAGCAGAGCCCCCACGAGGGATCAGTACCAAGGGAGGCGAGCAACAAGACGCCGTCAATCTCTACCAGAAGCTCTTCCTCTTCGGGAAGACCGGATCCGACGCCGAGTAGGGGCCCCCGCCCCGAGGGCAGAAGGCCTGACGAGATCCGCGCCGCCTCTGCACACGCACGAGGCTCACAGCAAGGCCCCGGACCGGCTCATGCCCAAGGCCATGGCAGTCTACCTCTGCGGGGACGGCCGACAACCAGCGAGCAGCGAGGGGCCAGAAGCGAGTCGGAGGAACAGGCCTCCCGGTCAAGATCGCGCGCCCGAGCTGCTGCTGCTGCGGCAGCCGCTGGACATCAAGGCCCGGGCGTAGCACCCGTGGCAGCGCCGCGACACCCACCACTGCCACAAGCCCCCGGGGGGGCTGCCCAAGTCGCCGGACAACAGCGGCAGCCGCAGCAACAGCAAGGACAGCGAGATCCTCGCGGGCAACAGGGCCAGGCGACGGAGTCGCACCACAACCCGCGCCACGCCGCGGTGGGCTCTGCTGCCCAACAACAAGGCGGCACAGCTTACGACCAGGCCCAAGCGCGACCGCAGACACGGCCGCAGACTGCAAGGGGTCGTCCGCAGCAACAATCTCACGATCCCTCCTCCGAGCCCGGGCCGTCATCACTGCGCACGCCAGCTAGACCAGCTAGGCTAGAGACAGAGGAGCCACCACAACCTCAGCAGATTCCGGAGGAAAGGCCGGTTAAGCCGGACAAGAAGAACCCGCTGAGTCGTAAGAATTGGTTTCATAGGAAAGACAAGGACAAGAATGATAAGAAAGGAAAAGGCCGAGACGATAATAACGATGGGGAAGGTGGTGGTAAGAAATAGAGGCGAGATTGATCATCTAGCATTACACGCCATAGTGGGTGAGTCTATAGCGGGCTTCTGAAAGAAGTCATCAAGGTAGCCAGCGAGTGTAAGATCAAGTAGACATAGACGGCCAGGTGGAGAGCTCTTTCGGGACCTCAGGAATTCAAAAGTTACCTAGGTATTCGTCAAGGCGCGTGCGGCGGCGCGCCGCAAAATAGCCCTGCTACCTGAGACTACACCCCAGCGTTCCTCCTCTTTTATTGCAACAATCATTCTCTACCTAGGCATCCTTCGTAGTCACCTGCCGTCCCTAGGAGCCACTCAAAGAATTGGCTTGGCCCCCTCAGAACCTCGCCAAGGCCCTTAGAGTCGCCTCCTACTACTCTGACTTCTAATTCTCTGGGACCGGTATCCACACTCAGCACTAAGACAGCAATATTAGGCCAACCAAATTTTGAGGGTTTAAGCGGTCAGTGTTTGAGTCTACGGACAATCAATGATAATATGGCTGAAGTTGCCTCCTACTAGTACTCTTATTACTTCTAGTTATGGGACCCATATTCACACTCAGCACTAAGACAATAACACTAAGCCAATGAACCTTCCATCGCTTCTTTCTCAGTGCCAGGCGCCTCTTATCAACAAAAACAGTAAACACTTGATCAAGAGCACAGTCTGTTCGGAACTATAGGTGACGGTGATGATGATGATGATGATGATGATGGTTTAACGTCACGTCTAACTAGGCCTTCATTTACAGATTTCTCATGTATCCTTCCTAGCACTAGCTGTCCCCCCTTTCGAGAATCTCTGACGGGAGGATTGGGTACCTCCGTTTCGCTTGACAAAGGAAAAATTCTATTTTTAATTTCGGCTAGATATAGGAAAAACCACAAGGGGAAAAAACCTATATCTAGAGGTAGTGGCAGAGCCGAATACCTACCATAGTATTTAACATGGTCGGCTGTTCCATGGGTCTGTTTCGGGCCCCCAGCAGGAATCGAACCTGCTACCTTTACAAGGTACACCCAGCGCGTGACCAATGCGCCATGGGGGCATAGGTGACGGTGAAGGCCATAGGACAGAGAAACGTGCTAGTGTCTCACGGTCCGATTAATGTTGAGAAAAGGAATAACTCCAAGTGCCGTGCGGACGTCAAACTAGCGTGATGACAAGGAGTTAGTCCGAGGCCCACCCGTTGAATGTGGAGAGGCTCGCACTCTAAAAGTCGTGCAGACTACTTCGGATGAACCGGATCCTCCCGGAGGTTGCCTACATTAGCGTGAGTCTGGCCAGATCGTAGGATCTGGCATTAGAATCTTGAAGGCAATTTACCCCTGGCCCTCACGGCCCTTTCCGTCCTCTCATATTTCTTAACGCGGGGAAGAGCGGAGAAGGAATGTAGGGTCTAGGTCATGTACCAGAAACACTACTAGTATGTGCCTCTGGACTAGCAGCCCGCGTAAAATCACTCAGGATTTCGAAGATCTATTGGTCGGAGCGGTTACCTAGGTGCCGTTGATCAAGCCCGCATAGGAGCCCATTTGTTGAGATCTGTGACGAGACTGACAATAGAAAGCTCGAGAACAGCGCCTTAACCCCCTAGAATTAACTGAAGATCCGTAGACTGTATAGTCGGATCATGTAAAATAGTGACCTCGCCGCAAACGTTAATAAGGGCGGGCTATCTGTATTTGCAATGGGAATCTAAGATCCCTTGGGCATTGTACGTCGCACTGTCGTGCACGTGGGCCGACGTAGACGACTAGTAGGTAGATACCTGTGCATGCTCCGGGAGAGGCGGCGGCACTGTGCGACGTGGAACCTCGCAGCCTCTCGGCGCGACGTTGCTTTAGGCAGCTGTGCGCCAAGAGCCGCTCCGTCGGCGGTGAAGTCGTCTCTTCCTCCGCCGAGAGCTGATAAATGCACGCTGCCTTGGCGACCCGAGCAACGGAAGGCAAGTGTACCTAAGTCCGAGGTATCAGCCGCTAATACTAGTCCTGCGCCCTCAGCAGAACGGTCCAATTGAGTACTACCAAATCCTGAACAACGTCGGAAGGGAAGAGAGCAACACTATACTAACGATGAATTTTATTGGCCGAAGTCACCCAAGGATGTGAAAGGCTCTGCTTGACTGATTGGGCGCGGTCTGAGTGCTCGAGTCCGAGGCGGGAGCCGCTACCCAATCCTCAAGTGCTGCGCCAAGAGCCGTACCCATGATAGCTTCAGGTTCTCCTCTTCGCCGGGAGACAATGAATGCAATCACCGTTAGTGAACTAAGGAAGGGGCCAAACTTGATGCTGAATCGGGGAAAGAGGAAGAGAGACAACTGTGCGCCAAGGGCCGAGCCAACGATGTCTTCACGTTCTTCTTCCTGATCAGCCTTGGCGAGCCAAGCAAAGGATCGTGTTCTAACTTTCCGCCTCACCATATTGCAACATTGTGCTTATGATATTACAACATCGCGCCTCATCACACACATCAAAGTGGCTTTCAGTCCGTCTCATGACCGGTGGCGGAAGGCGAAGGAGGCTGGTATACACATGTCCACCTCGTTTCCGAAAGTTCACCCCCTGAAATCTCGGACTTTAGGAAGAATGGATTACACGAGAAGTCAACACAGAAGAGGAGCAGTAACAGGTACTTGACGAGAGGTCCGAGACGTTTTGATGAGGGCTTCCAGAAATGCATAAAAGGGTGGCTCCCGCCTCTGTCTGGGAACTCTTGAACCCATCTCCATCCAGCTCAACATCTCCAGCCTCCCAGCAAAGACAATAGTCCGGCATCAAGAAACCTGCACAAATCAATCTTCTCAAAAACAATTCCATCCCATCTTCCCCAATCATCAAAATGCAGTTTTTCACCGCTATCGTCGCCGGCCTCTTCGCCACCGCCGCCTCGGCCATCGACCTGCACCTCGAGTACGCAGGCGGCTGCAGCACCAGCGGCGGCGGCTTCATCTGCTACAACATCAACCCGGACACCTGCTGCAGCGTCAACTCGGGCACCTACTTCGGCAGCGGTTCGTTCCGCGCCATCCCCCGCAACTGGAACATCAACGCGCGCGGCCACGGCGGCCCCAACTGCGGCGCCATCCGCGAGCAGCGGGCCAGCGGCGGCTCCGACTACGTCTGCCTTGGCGGCGGGCCCTTCGGCGGCACCGGCTACGGCTTCGCCAACAAGAAGATGATCCGCGGCGCCACCGAGGCCCGCGAGGAGTCCGTGGGCTGCGCCACCCCCGACGTCGCCTACCTCGCCGACGGCACTTTGTACAACTACACCGCCGTCGTCGAGACCGGCCAGCCCGCCGATGAGCTCGTCCAGCTTTTCCAGTCCGGCGACATCCCCGAGAGCTTTGACGCGTTCAAGCTCGAGGAGACCCTCAAGCTGTAAACGTCGGGCCTGGCTTGAGGACATGCTCCGCTGCCTCCCCCACGCTAGGCTTTGCCCGAGTACCTTTTAGCGAGTGCTTCAGCTAGGGGTCAATGTTACGATGGGGCATAATGTTTGGTGTTGGGCCGGCTTATGTATTTCAAGCGGGAGTGATGGAGGGAGCAACCCTTTTCTGTTTCTTCGCATGCTCTGCTTGTTAGAGTAGTTATGCTTAAAATGGCTTTTCAAAGTTTGGGTGGATCAATTTTGAGTATATACATAGTAAAAGAGAAGCCCTTCATTGCTGCTAATTATCTACTCAGTGACCACTGTGCTATTTGCTTTCTCTCGTCATTTCCACTCATTGTGACTGTTTTAGCCGCAGGACATAGAAGCTTCGGCTCCCTAGTCACTTGGGGTTTGATCAAACAGCACACAGTACTGATTGAAAATTTCCTCCAGCAAATTTACCGTGGTACTATTCGTAATACACCGTGTATAGTCAGTATTTATGTGATAGAAAAGGAAACTACCTTAAATAACTAACAAAGGAGCCATACTATATGGAAAAGAAAAGCAAGCTATGAGCAATCTACAGTAAATTTCATGATGACAGATGAGTCCAGAGCAGCAGAGTTTGGTAACATTTAAACTGTGAGTGAGACATTTTGAAAATGTTTATTGGCATCCAGTAACTGTTCAAACTATCTCAAGGAGTTGTCAAGCAAGAGCTTTACTTGTTATAACAAGGCATGATTAATCAAGGGTGTGACTACAACTTGAACAGACAGATCTTGCTGTACACAAAGTACCTAGGTAGGTAGTATTTATAGTTAAGCTTAAATCCACCTACTTACAACCTAATTATCTTGTGCCAACATGGAAGTAATGTGGCAGACTTGGGGAATTTCGGTGGAGCTTCTTCATCAGGTCTTAGAATTCAAGGCTGTGAACTAATTTGTCCACATAGGCAATATTAAAGACTGAAGCTCAGACAGGACTGGGGTGTCAACTGGTTCGAATCCTATCCGAGGCTATGTCGTGGATGCCTCACATCTCATCAGCTGTAATAGGCTCCAGAGATCACATTGTACAATTGGTTGGGGCTCTCGATGAGAATCAAAACCAGCACGACAATGGCACCTTCCTCAATGTTTTGACAATCTCATTTATGCTTACAAAACTGCCAGAGACAGGCCGGGCATGCTGTTGAAGATGTTCCTAGCAAGCTGAAGTTGGCCAACTTGAATCTTTCAGAAACCATTAGCCGTCCATGATTTTACTACACATAGGTAAATTATTTCCATGATATTAGAAAATTTCATATTTTAGAAGACCATCTCTGTTGAATGGCCTGATGAACCACAAAGAATTATTCTTAACTACTTTCCAACATTACCTCACAGGCAATGTGGGGCTTCATTTGGGTGAGAGTGGTCATGAACAATCTTCATCAAGAAATTGTTGATGGGAATTTAGTAGAATTGTTGCAGAGAAAATCTTTCAGCATGCACAAGCTCACTCTCAGCAGAGTTCAAAGCGTCTGTCGGCCAGAGGCTCTGGCAATTTTCAAGGCTGTGTTTGTCAGCCGCATCATGCTCAACCTTCTGCAGCTTTGCATCGTGGCATGAATTTGCATGCGCTCAACACCATCAGATTGAAATGAACCTAATTGTCCCTGATGTCTCGTCAGTTCAAACGTTGGCTACCTAACTAGCTATGATATCTGCTGGTTTCTTCAAACAGCGGTTGATGGCCCAGCAGAGCAAGAAATTAAAGCATTCAACAACCCTTGAGAAGTCTTCAGAGCCTGGCCACTGACTACATTTTGGCAAGGACACAACTGGAATTCATTGATCAGACTGCTCAAGAAAGGTGGTGAATTTGACACACACCTGGTACCACAGGGACTAGCAGAATCTTTTTGGTATGGCTTTGGCCAAAGATGGTTTTGAGACACCTGTTTGCTTGAGCCGAATTGGTGAACTCACATTTTGTTATACCTTAAATATTGACATTTAATGTCATCTTGAACTGCCCTATGGTTGTATACTAGAGTTGGCTACCTATGTATGTGTTTCGCCAAGGGCAACATGGTATTGAGTGATAGCTTTTCACTGAAATTATTTCCTCAACGACACTGAGAAACCTGCCCATGGATACCAGGCTTTGACATAATCAGTTGATGAAAGGTGAGGTATGTCCAGGCCTACCTGCCAACTAAGTTTGCATTCACTGGCATCGCAGAGCTGGTAGTGAATGATGGAGGCACCAACTGCTGGGAGGGATCAAACGCAAACACACCCCCCGTCCAAACGTTTGCACCTTGCAAAACTGCCACCAGCAGCACCTGAAAGCTTTTTGTAGGTGTAGAACTGCCCCGCGGTTTTCAAGCACTGGGGCAGCTCGATTTAGAAACCACACCAGCAACCTCGACTGCGAAACCACATCAACAACCTCGACTCTGAAACCAACTCGACAACCTCAACCCCGAAACCAACTCAACAACTTCAACCCCGAAACCCACATCAGCACACCAGCACTGTCATCATGGCCGAGTAAGTACAGCGATTCCTGTTCCTGTCTCCATGCGCTATACCAAGCATCGGTGCAAGCAGAGACGGCTTTTGTGTTGTTTGCAACATCAGGCGCCACGCGATGCTTTGTGCCCAGCTACCCTCATCGCCCCTCATCGCACACTGCATCCTGCTTCATGGCACAGTAGCCCTTTCAGTCTCAGCACCTGCTGTCTAGATGTTGAGCAACTACTAATATAGCAATCACAAAGACTCAGCATTAAGGATGGCATGAAGGCCTATGTTGATGATGTGGAGCGTGAAATGGAGGAAGGCTGGGGGTGAGTTCCTCCATGACACCATCAAAAGACACACAGGACTGTTGTAGCAGGCTTGCGATACTAATATACTACAGCAAACGGCTGAACGATGACGAGAATCAGAAATTCAGGCACTCATTGGTTGCCTTCGCAGACGAGGAGGGGGCCTTCATGGAGAATGCTTGGGGCCCTCAGAACCGAGACCAAAACAGGCTTGGACACCACATCAGGGAGCTGGTGGATCACTTGGTGTATGTTATATTCCGTCCCAGCACAAGCTTCACAAGCGTCTGATGATCTTGTACAGCGGAAAAGTCAAGAGCAGAGCCATGGACGCCGGCCGCGCCCACGAGATTGACGAAGCGGACCTAATCAATCGAACCAAGATTACCATCTATGATGGCCCTCTCAGCATGCCTGGTTCTCACATCCTGACAGGGGAGATCGAAGAGGCTCGACCTCCCGAGAGTGAAGATGCTGCTGTGGAGTTTACCGTCGCGACCCCCGACATGGACTTTCAGGTGTCCTACCCACGTCAAGACTTCCAAGATCTTGAGGTCGATGAAGATGACATTCGGGGAGAGAGGGAGTTGGCATCCGGCGCCTACCATGAACCAATTCCAAGCGGACCCGAGTTCGAGGACCAGATCAGAGGTTTCCAAGGCATGTATGAGGATGAGATGGATGAGAACGACGATGGCCATTTCCAGCCTGTGTCGCAGCAGGGTGATAACTTGGGCTTGATGGACAACAGCCTTGACAACATGGACGCTGTCGGCAGCGCCCCTCTCCTTCCCCTACAGTGGTATGATCATGCACAGGGAGAGGATGTGATGGAGTCCATCGAGGAAGATGATATCATGGAGGACGACAACGATGCCAAGGGCAAGCAGCCCCAGCAGGCAAAGGCAAAGGCCCCTTCTGAGCACCCCCGCCACAAGAACAACAATCTCTGGGACGTTGTGGTGGACGCCGAAAAGCCCGAGGGACAACCCACGGGCTACATTTGCAAGTTTGCCCGCTGCAATGGCTGGCAAGGCAAGTGGACTTCCCGCAAGGCCCACTTCGAGGTCAAGCACCCGGAGGAGTGGTTTGCCTTCAGCGGAAAGCGGGCCAAGGTGCACACATGCCAGGTCGATGGCTGCGGCTGGTCCACCACCCACGGAAATCACTACATGAAGAAGCACAACAAGGACAAGCACGGCTTGAGCGAGGAGTGACTGGGTCCTATGGGGGCTGTGGGCGTTGCCTAGCTCTTTGGCAGAGTTCCCTTTGGAAGTTTTCAGGTTCATGATGAGGAAAAAGCAAAAGTTCTTGGTTTTCACACTTGCAGGTTCACCTTTGGTTGGGTACCAGACTAGCATGAGCAAAGCCCTCATCTTTGCTCCCACAGAAGCTGGGTTGTAGCACCCAAAATAAAAGTTTGTCCTTTAGGTCTTTAAGTCCTCTTTTAGACTCCACTTGCAGCACTTTTTTGTTCATGTGAACCATTGTGAGTTGATCCCAATCGTTACCAAGGTCGAGAGAGGCAGACTAGAAACGAGGGAAACGTGGAACTTGACCAAGGTATGGGCATACTTGTCCAACCAAGCAGCCAACCTTGCAGAATTTTCAGACCAGCAGCGAAAAGGCTGTGCCCGGGTGGTAAACGAGTTGGGATCAGCTGAATTCCGTTTGTTTTGGACGCCTCCAGGCTTTCTGCAACCGTACAACGAACAACCTAGGTACCTAGGTACACAACGTCGCACACTCCACCTTTTGGCAAAAGTCCTGGAAGTTCGTCGTTTGGCCTCCGTCCTTTTGTCCCAATTTCATTTTCCCCCAAAGTCCCATTTCAATTTCACAACCTCCAACCTCTCTTTTCCCCTGGTCTCTTCAAGCAAGCTGACACCAGGGCACCTCCATCCTCGACCTTCGTCTCTACACATTTCAGTTTATTGAAAGCCTGTTTTTCTTTGCATCGACCACTCTCTTTTCAAAGCGGCCATGCTGTTTTCAAAGCTCCTCTTGGCTGCACTTGGCGGCGCAACTGCCGCCCTGTCCGCTCACGTCTCACGTTGTGCGCTCAATTCCAACCGTAATCCCGCCTTCCTCAACGACAAGAGCGCAAGTAAGTTGTCCTGCCCTGATCTCCCACCAGGTTACCATTCTCAGCACACTCAAGGGTATTTTACTGACTAGCCGTTTGCCAGAATTCCAGGTCAACCGCACCGGTGTCCCTGGGGTGGACTTCGACATCGGCGAGTCGTACGCCGGGAGGCTGCCCATCGCAGGGCCCAAGCGGTCCAACAGCTCCAGTGCCAACGAGCTCTTCTTCTGGTTCTTCCCTTCGAGGAACCCGGATGCCATCAATGAGATCACCGTTTTCCTCAACGGCGGCCCTGGCTGCAGCTCCATGGCCGGCCTGCTGCAGGAGAACGGCCCTTTCCTCTGGCAGCCGGGAACTTACTCGCCCCAGCCGAACCCTTTCTCTTGGACAAACCTGACCAACATGGTTTGGATTGACCAGCCCATTGGTAAGCATTCCCCAAACACTGTTTTCGTCAACCTCGGCCGGGGACTTTTGTGAGCCCGCTGTATGGTCTCCTTGCTGAACAAGCCTTTTCCCAACGCACAATGTGAGAACCTTGGAACTGACTTTTGCTTGCTAGGCACTGGCCTTTCCTCGGCAGATCCAGGAGCCGGCCTCAATATCACGAATGAGCATGACGTGGCCGTACACTTCGCTGGTTTCTGGAGGAACTTCATTGACACTTTCGATATGTATGGCTATGATGTTTACCTGACCGGCGAGTCGTATGCAGGCCAGATGATCCCCTACATCGGAGACTACTTCCTGAAGCAGTCAGAACATGGTTCTGACAACGATTACTTCAACCTCAAGGGGATCCAGCTTATTGACCCTGCCATCGGGCCTCTTGGCGTCATGGAGCAGGCACCCGCAGTCCAGTACCTCAACGCGCGCCGCAGCTACTTCAACCTTAACGATACTTTCATGGAGCACATCAACCAGGAAGCCCTGTATTGCGGGTTCACGGAATACATGGACAAGGCGCTCACATTCCCTCCCAAGGGCCCGATCCCCCTACCCTTATCCATGAACGCCACCGCCGGAACCCTCCACGACAAGTGCCAGCCGTGGGTCGAGATCGCCGAGGCCGCGCTCTACGTCAACCCGTGCTTCGACCCCTACCACATCACAAACTTCTGCCCCTTCCCCTCGAACCAGCTGGGCTTCCCCACGCTGGGCTGGGGCCCCAACAACTACTTCAACCGCAGCGACGTGCAGGACGCGCTCAACATCGGCGAGCCGCGGCCCAACTTCATGCTGTGCAAGGAGACGGAGTTTGGCCTCGACGACTCGGAGCCCTCGGCGTTCAGGATGATCCCGTCCATCATCGAGCGCACGGGCAACGTGGTCATCGCCAACGGCGAGCTCGACTTCCTCATCATGTCCAACGGCACCCTGGCCGCCATCAACAACATGACGTGGCAGGGCCTCCAGGGGTTCCAGGAGTCGCCGTTCAAGGGCGGCGACAACTTCTTCGTGCCGTACAACCCGACCATCGGGCCTGCCATCGACGCCACGTTGTCGCAGAGGCGCATCCCCAGCCTGTCGGTCGGCCTCGTCGGCGGCGGTGGCTGGTATGGCAAGACGCACACGGAGCGCGGGCTGACGTTCACCACTGTGGCGCTGGCGGGGCACGAGATCCCGCAGTATGCGCCCGGCGCGGCGTACAGACTGCTCGAGTTTACGCTTGGGCGGGTGGATAACCTGACGGAGGTTGGCGAGTTCACCACGGTAGGAAACTGCGTTTCGTGATGGCAAGGTCTGGCGGACCGAGCAGGGTGTGGCTTTCCGAAGCTTCTTCGCTTCTCAGCGTGGCGCATTTCTGATGGAAGGATACAATAACGCTCCATATTTACAGGCAGCGTAATGTAGTAAATAATACAATCTAAACTTTGAGGAGCCCATTTTGAGCGCCCTTGACGGCATGTACTCGTTCGAGTAGGCCGTTCCGGCGAGACTGTGATGGCATCTGGACACAACACAATTTTGCCTTTGTACTCATCACAGACAGGGACATCTGTAAAGAACACGTAACAATGCACCTCCCAAACAATCCATTGTATTTGTGTCGCAGGTCCCTTTCAAGCACACTAGTCGCGCGGGTCACAAACTTCTAGCCGTTGCAGAAAACAAAGGCGAGAACGAAGACACGCGCAATACTTAAGCACCGCCATAAACGCCAATATGCTGTTTGGGCCACCCTTCTGCATCACCCATCGCGCCTCACCACCAGCCTCGAAGCTACTACATACGCCCCCAAGACATAACACCAAAGAGTACGTTCCCCATCACCACAAGTTTCTAAGAGAAAATGGTAGGCCTGACCACCACGCCCGCCACCATGTCCCTCCGCCCGGCCGACACAGACAGCATCATCCAGAAGGACATCGAGGCACGCGACTGGAGCAAGATGCCGGCGCCCCCGCGCCTCGCCCCCGTCGAAGACGCAGCGGACGAGAAGACCCTCTTCGAGCGGCGCGTCTCACGCCCAAGCAACCCCTTCACCAAGCGGCCGCGTCAGTACACCTTCAGAGCCCCCGTCTTCACCCCGAACTCGCCCCTCGACGAGGCCGCGACGCTCGCCATCTCCCCGGGCAGGGGCCACAGCACCACGGGGCGCGCCAACCCAGGCAGGTCCCCCTTCCCGCCCCCCTCGGCGCTGCTGCGCTGCCTCCCCGACTTCCCGCACTGCCTCCCCCACCTGTGCGACCACCCCTCGCGCGCCCACTACCACCACCAGGCCACAGGCGAGGGGGCGCAGTGCCACATGTGCGCCGAGGGCGAGGGCAGCAGCCCCACCAGCAGCAGCAGCAGCAGGGCGCTGCACGCCCTCCCCTGCGGCCACCTGATCTGCGGCCGCCACCTGACCGCGACAGCCGACACGGCAGTCTCGACGGCGCTCGCCCGGCGCCCGCCGCAGGTGCGCGAGAACCTGGAGGCCGCGTCGCGCGAGCTGGCGCGCGTGCGGCGGGTGGGGTGCGGGGCGTGCGGCGCGGACATGCGCCTCGGGGAGGGCGGGGACGGGGACGGCGGCTCGGTGCTGCTGCGGTGCCTGGACGAGGGGCTCGCGCGCAGGCTGTGGGCTGTGCGCTGGCGGCTGCTCGGGGCGGAGGGCGGTGGTGTTGTTGGGCCTGCTGCGCGGTGTGGGTGGCCTGATTGTGGGGCTGCTGTGCCTGCTTGGTGTAGGTTTGATGTGGCGAGGGGGAAGAGCTTGTTTTATTGTGTTGCTTGTGAGGGGAACTCGGTTTGGATTGAGGGTAAGGGGTTTTATCCTACTCGGTAGACAACATTTGAATACCTTGTTCTATTAGTTGGGGGGTTGTTCCTTTGTCATGGGAGGCTCTTCTTGTCATGAATTCACACACGGCCTCAGGTGCTCGAGACTGGTCATGTTGAGAGTGTCCAGGTCGTATGTGTATTTCCATAGCTCGTAATACATTCCTGAACTTGAAAACTTGCTCCCTTATCGTATGTGATGCCGCCATCATGAGCCATGTGGTTGATATGTAAGTGGTTTAACTTTCGTTCCATAACCCTCTAGTAATATAAGTCCACCAGAGGCTTCAACTTCTGCCAAGCAACGGACTATAGTTGTCATGCCGTCCTTGGCGCAGTCCCGGCGTGGCGACATGAACACTCATAATGTGGATTGTGTCGTAGAGGCTCTTGATTGTGAAAAGTGGAGCTGTGTATAATTGTCATTTTGGGCATAGTGTAGTTTCATGTCCCAAGTAATATCCCAAGGCTGATAAGGATTTTGTCATGACTGCAAGAGATGGAAGTGGCTCTGAACCAAAAATTGCTCACAACCACAACATTGTAAGATTTCCCCTACAACACTTCCCGAGCCTGGGACCTACACGGTGCGGCGCTGGTTGACAACGGCAAAGGCAGAACCGCATTTATGTCACATTTCACACACAGCAGGGACACAGCAGATTAATGTTGTGGTGGTATCACTGTATTAGAAATATGAATCGCTAAAGTGATGACTGCATGGTTGGCAGCTCAATCCTCCCACTCGATCCCCTCAGTTTCAGTTGAGCGTGGTCGAGGAGTTTACTTCTTGATCTGTGATGGTGATATGTTAACGAGACTATTCAACAGTAACAGTAACAAGGATTCATCATACGCTGTGGGTGGTCTCGGAGACCTTGTCGCTGGCAGCGTCCTTGGCCGCCTCAGCGCGGGTGCCGGCGGGGGCGCTGGAGTCCTTGGCGACCTCCTTGTTTCCCTCCTTGGAGACGCCGGAGATGCCCTGCTGGACGGTCTCGGAGGCGGAGGAGACTGCGTTCTTGATTGCGTCGGCCATGATGACTGAGTTGGTTGGGTTGGGTGGGTGGAAAAGTGTTTGGTTTGTTTGTGTGGATTGTGTTGTTGTTGTTGGTGTTGATGAAGATGGAGGGGAAGAAAAGAGAAACTGAGCTGGGAATCTACGTCCTTTTTGTATTCTTCTGGAGGGCGGCTCAAGTCACAGACAGACAGCTGAACAAGCTAGGCCAGACTGACTAACTGACTGACTGACTGACTGACAAGGCAGCATGACAACAATCCGAGCTGCCTCATCCGGTGCAAGCTTGGTCTCTGCCATGACGTGGGGTTGTGGGTGTTGCCCCGCGATCCGTCTTGTCACCCAAAAGGCCTCGACCTTTTACTCTGTCAGTATGACGACGTTGTCCCAGGCACAGACTGGCGCAGTAGCAGAGCAGGCAGGGAGCAGGTGTGGCACATGCAAGTCGAATCAAGCCTCAAACCGGACTCGCTTAGCTGGAGCAAAGGCTCCGAGGCGTAAGGTATGATGCTCAGTGACGCACTTGGGGGTGGGTAAAGTGGGGCGGACCCACCAGGCAGCCAACCAGCGACCGCGGCCGTGGTCTTGTGGCGCAGCTGTGGCACACTTGCCCAAGCCAAGCCCGCCTGGTTCAGACGACGTCCTCTCTCTGTCGGTCCTTTCCACAAGTCCTCTGCCTGCAACTACTCGACATCTCACTCGCCCAGTCGCCTCGGTTTCACACTCGCGTCACCACTGCCTGGGCCGGGAGAAAGCGGGCTGGCGGGCCATGGACAAAAGATGAAGTAGATTAACCTCGAAGCAGCACGCGATCGCCCCCACGGTGACGTCTTAGCCTTGCCTCCCCTTTGTTGCTCCTACTGCTGCCACTCGAGGATGATGGAATCCCACATGACCCCGCGCCACTGCACAGAACGCGTCACCGTGAACCCGACCGCGTTGCGCCCCGCCCTCAGCACCTCCGCGGCGCCCACCTCGTACTGCACGAACCGCCACTCGCCGCTCGTCCTGCCGCTCCGGTACAGCGCCGGGTCGCTCGTGAACACGTCCTTGCCGAGCGTCCCGACCACCACGCCGTTGACGTCCACGTCCACCGCCGTGCTCTGCGAGTACCCCGCCAGCGACACGCTCAGCACCGCCGTGCCGTTGGCGCGCGCCGCCAGCTCCGCCGCGCCCACCTCGAACTCGATCGCCCACCGCCCCGGCTTGGAGGTGGCGTAGTACCAGTCCCGCGCCGCGTCCGACTCGCCCATCCTGAAGGTCAGGTTCGCCGGGCTGTCGTCCGTCGCGCCGTGCTGGTACGGCAGCCCGCCGTTCCTGAACTCGGCCGCCTTCTTGTCGAACTCGCCCACCTGGAAGATCTGCCTGCGCCCTGTCGGCAGTGCCCACCCTACCTCCCCCAGCGCCGTTGTCCTGCCTGTCTCGACGGTGATGGGCGCCACTGTGGTGTTGGTGTACACGTCTGCGATGTCGCCGCCGTTGGACCACGCGTAGAGCCCGTACGACCCGGCGCGCACGTCGCCGAGCGAGAAGGACCCGTCTGCCCCGGCCGTGGTCGTGTAGTAGTAGTTGTCCCCCTGCACCAGCGGCCTGGTCGACGTGTCCGTGTCGCCCAGGAAGACGGCGGCCCCCGAGGCAGGACGCCCGTCTGAGAGGCGCAGGGTGCCCGTGATCTCCCCGCGGCTGTGGTAGGCCCCGTCTGGCAGCCAGCTGTAGGGGAACTTCTGCAGCTCCTGCCTGCGGCGCTCCGCGACGTCTTCCACGGAGCCATTGTTCTGCGACGGTTGTGGTTAGACGGAAACCCCTCGAGCGCTGTCGGTCAGAGCCGATCCCAAGGTAAACTCACGAGGTACCACAGCCAAGGCCCGAAGATCTTGCCCACCGGCAAGTGGGTGTCGGCCCCGACGCGGAAGTGCGACGTGTCTTGGAACACGTTGAGCTGGACGGCATCGCCCGTTGCCGATTCGCGGTGGACCTGGCTCACACGTTAGACCACTGCACAACCGTGGGAGCCGGGGGGGGGGGGCTTCACAAAACCCACAGTCAAAGTCTGGCTGAGCTGGCTCGCCGAGAAGTACTCGGTCGAAGGATGGATCCACCATGAGCCAGCGACGCCCGGCCCGTAGACGCCGTAAAAGTCCCTGTCCCGCACGTAGTTGCTCCAGTCGTACTTGGTGATGTACCCCCCGCCCGCGAGCTGCCACGTCTCGTCCTGCACCTTTGTCGACGCGCTGCCGCCGTAGAGCGCAAAGTCGGGCAGGGGCTCGTCCTTGACGTGGGTCCGCCCCCGCGTGAAGGTCGCGTTGTCGAGCCGCCACAGCGTCCGGATGATCTCCAGGTCCGGCAGCGCCTTGTTCACCACGTACTGGTAGGCGCCCTGCAGGCCGTCGAAGACCACCCAGTGCAGGTCGGCGTAGGCGGAGCTGAAGGCGATGTCGATGTGGTCTGGGCCCCGCGAGACTATGTTGGCGGCGGTCCACTCGAAGTTGTTCTCGCCGTCTGGTCGGGTCGTCAGCTATAGCTCTCCCCTCGGGGGCTGTGTGTGACGCGTGTTGGGGTTCTGTCTCACCTATCCCCGCGTAGTGCCCCGCCGCGCCGCCGACGAGATCATGGCCCGGGAGGATGCTCGAGAACAGCTTCGTCGCGTAGTACTTCCCCTCGGTGACGTTCCACAGGTCGTTGCCAAACACCCACGTCTGGTTGTCGACCTGGGTGAGGAAGGGGCCCCTGCAGGCGCCGTGCCCGGCGAAGAGGGCCATGCCCAGGAGGGGGGCCAGCTGTCGGAGGCTCGTCATTGTCGTCGACACACGTGAGGTTCTGATTGACCTGGGCCTGCACCTTCGGATCTCCCTCCCGGACTGCCAAGAAGCCATGGCAGGGGCGCCCTTTTAATAACATGTCAAAGGACCCGGCATCGTGTTTCTGCGTCCATGTTGACTGCCCTGAATCGCCCACCGCTGGCCCCCTGTCATAAAAAGATAGGAGCTTTTTTCCTGGCGTTGCAGCAGGTGTTGCGACATTGGGCGATGCTACTTCGCTTCGTCCCTGTCCGTCCGAACTGTAAGCAATGGCGTCGATGGCACCATTTTAGTTCCCGCGTGCTTACGGGGCCGCCGGCTGCACGCGGGACCTGGTTGGTGGTGTTTCTTCAACAGGTTCGGGTCTGGTCGCCGGGGCCCCACCGTTCGCCATCTGGGCTGCCCATTGCACGATGTCAGTCATGCGATGGGGTGAAATTAGTCCTAAGCATTCGGGCATTGTAGTCAGACTGATTAGTCTTTCGTGTAGGCCAGTTTTTTGAGTTCTAATCGAGGGGTCTGACTGACTAAGACCTACTGGCTACATAAAGAATAAATATAGTGAGGTACTTTAACTGAGACGGTCCCGTTAAAAGCCACGCGATAGCACCCCAGGTTCAAGACTATAATTCTTAGTCCCCTAAACTTAGATACTAGCACTCATAAGCTCGCACCATCACACATACTACTAAACTCAACGACTTCTTAAAATCTAATCCTTAATTCAAATTATTTTTAATGTTAAATATTTGACTAGTAGAACTGAGGCGTTAGAGATCAGACACACACACCCGTAACAACGGCCCCGAGGGCGGGTACGCCCATGCGATCCATAAGATCACTCTAATCTCACAAGATATATCCCCAAAGAAGATTGTCCCATAGGCGGTTCATTGTTGTCCATAAAAACGTATTCCATAAGAGGTTTTCCTGTCGCACATGAAGGTTGTTCGACGGAAGCTTTTCCAATTGGATCCCGTCCCATAGAAGACCATCCTGTCTCCTGAAGATATCGCGGCGTGTGTCAGATGTCATCGACCAGATACAACTCGTTTTTGCTCCTCCGCACCAGACAGCGCCAGCCATCAAACAATGCCTCTTTTACGCGATGACCATGATGGTAGGAGGGCCGAAGAAATATTCTCCGATAGGCCTTGCGATACAGTTCATGCCGGTCCTCCTCGGACATCCTGGTCGGCCCGCCCTGACCACGCCCACGAAGGCTGGCGCCCACCCACTGGAAATAGCCATCTTTAGGGGGACGGGGAAACTTCTCACGGTGCTTATCAAGGCCGAAGACGACCTCCCCCCGGTCGAACTGCGGGATGGCGGACCGGAGCGTCACCAGCGAGGGGAACCGCTTGGCCAGCGCGACCATGTCGCCCATCCTGCGGCTCTTCCTGTGCCCAAAAAAATGATGGCGGAAGGAGGTCATGTCCAAGTGATGAGGGATGATGGCGAGGCGCTTGATCCGCGGCGCGAAGCGCAGCCCGAGCGCGTCGTCGAGGTACTCGGCCAGGCGGTGTTGTTTTCCGTCTGCGCCCTTGGTGTGGCGCAGGGCCAGGTCGACCCCGTGCGAGATGGCCTCCACGCAGAAGACGTCCCTGTCGAAGCTGTACGGCATGTGGCGCTTGCGGGGGGACCCAACGGGCTGGCCCTCGGCGTCGTATTCCAGCTCGTGGACGGTCAGCACCGACATGCCGAGCAGGCGCGCCATCCACTTGCGGGTCTCGGAGCTGGCGCGCAGGAACTTGTAGTAGGGCCGCGTGTTGATGCTGAGCGGCGTGAAGCAGGCGACCCACCCGCTGCGGGACCCGTCGCGGCCGGGCTTCACCCTGTTCGGGTCCCGCCTCAGGTCGAACCGGAATCTCTGGACGGAGCCGAGGGGGAAGGGGCGTCGGAAGCGGAAGTTCTCTTCCAGGAATGCCTGCTCCCAGATGAGAAGGCGGAGTTCTGTTGGGAGTTCCCCGAATTTGGGAAAATGATCGGCAGGTTGGTTTTCTGGAAATTCGTCGTCGGCATGAACAGCATCGCTTCGGGCCAAGGCCTCAGACTTGGAGGTGTCGTTGGGCTCCTCCATTGCCTTCAATTTTTTGTAGGCTGATCTTTGACGAAAGTGGACTCAATTGTCTACGTCTCGACGAGCTGGTCCCGGGGGGACGGTGAAGATGAGTATGGGAGGTTGTAGTAGGCGCCGACCGCATCGCCATAGATGGAGTTTTGACACTTTTTTTTTGGATGATAAACCCACATTGAGATATTTCAAAAATGCAAAACTTTGGATTGACGACCTCGGGAAGCCGACCGATGCGTTGGTTACTAGTAGTGTTGTGGTCCGAGTAGTTTGCGTTAGCCTTTGATTAGTTGACAGACGACTTGGATGGAAAGCTCAGGCTGGGATACTGGTGCATTTGCCTCATTAAGCGTAGCGAGGAGTTGTCTTAAAGCGAAGCGAAAGGGTAACGACGAGTGGAGCTTTCTCTATTACTGTGTAATCCAATAAAATGTTTCTCATGCATGAATTGGTTAGAATCTGAATCTCGAATGGGGACTGGGTAATTAATGTATTTTTGTATGTACTGTACGTACTTAAGGAGTTGTATTGAGGAAGGAGTAGCTCTCGCTCTCGCCTAGCTCCAGCTACTAGGAAAGCTTCCTTTCGCTTAAGTAGTTTGTGGTTTCGTTTTCAATCCCCATACATATAAAATATATATAGCGCCTTTATATAATAGTAAACACTTAAGACTTAATATTTAAAGAAATATAATACTAATAATAGTAAAAAGAAAATATAATATATAGATATATAGCTAAACTTTATATTATATAAATAAGGTTAAAAGGTATTACTTTTAATAGTATTATATTAAAAAGTTAGTAAAATAGTTATATAGTAAGATTAAAATAGTTTTAAAATAGCCCTTATAAGAAGAAAAATCCTATAATATAAAACCTAATAAACTAACTCTTCCCTATTAATATACTTAATAACTATTTAAATCTACTCTTATTAAATAAGTTAGATATATTATAATCCCTATTTTAAATATATAGTTATTAATAGAATAATAATACTATAATAATAAATTTATTTAAAAAGCCTTTTATATAAATTTTATAAAAGATTAAAAATTTTAAAAAGCTAAATAAAGTTTATTTATTATATATTAAATAAATATTATATAAAAAAGTAAAAATCTAAATATTTAAAAACTAAATCTTCCTCCTTTAAATATACTATTTTATTATTAAAGATTTATCTACTTCTATATAATATATAAGAAATATAATAAAAAAGGAGCCCTATAAAGAAAGTTAATAACTTTATTATATATAAATAAGTTTAAGGATATATATTAAATAATTATTAACTTTATACTTAAAGTATAAGCTAATACCTAGTTTAAAAGTTAAGAAGATAATAAATAAATAAATAGTTAAATAAAAAATATAATATAGTTAAAGCCTTCTTTCGCTTAACCTCTAGAATAACTCCTCACTACGCTTATTCCTTAGCTAAATGAAACCTTCGGGTATACATATTTTATACCAAGGTGTACTTAAAGTCCAAAATACGGGAACCAAGTTTTTACAAATTAGGGAAGCACTGGCAGGGCATAGAGTTTTAATGGTATATTTATGGAGATTAAAAATCAACCCTCTCGGAAACAGTGGGTGCACCAGAGCCCAGGGATCACCATACTTAGCTTCATTTCTAATCCCCATATATATAAGAGAACGGATATTTGTAGGGCAAAAAACGGATAGTATAGGGCTAAAAACGGATGGTACAGGGTAACTTTTTTATAAAAATAAAACTTTATACTATAACTTTAAAAGAAATTAAATTCTTAGGAATAAAAAATACCTTATAATATAATGAAAAAATAAGCTATTTATAGGTATTATTTTAAAAGTTTTAACTTTAATATTTATTTAATTATATATTATTATAAAAATAAATATTATTTTTTAAAAATAAATTTAAAAAAATAATAATAATTTCTAATAACCCTAACCTTAATATATAATATTAATTAAATAATAATAAATAATAAAAATGTTTTAAAAAATATTATTTATAGATATTACCTATAAAAATTAAAAAAAATAAAAAAGTTGCCTTGTACCATCTGTTTCTTGCCCTGCGAATATCCGTTTTCATATATAAAACAGATACAGTAGCTTCACATAGTAACAAACGCTCAAGACCCAGCTTTCAAGAAATATAATTACTTACCACTGTATGAAGTCGCCATGTATGTCCTCGGACGTATACGGAATAGAAGCGAAACTAGTTCATAAATATACTACTAATAACAGCACAGAGAGAATAAAATACGTCTGTGGGCACATCCATGGATAGCCTCAGCCCGGTGCCGCACAGACAGGGCTATCGATCCCGACGGCGCCGCTGACTAGAGAGGCGTCAAGGTAGTCTGGTAGGGCAAAAGGGATGAACACTACAGCGTATGTAGGTACCTCGGTAGGTACCCTGGGGTAATGAAGGGTCGTGACCTCGGTAGTAGGCAAGCTAGGGGGAAATGACTAGAAGCTTCTACTTGCTGATGAATGATAAGCCAGAAAGGATGTGCGAGTATCCTCAACGGGTTTTACAAATAGCCACCTTCTTCCAGGGGCTCGATCCGCTTCAGAGGACATGGGCACCTGTAGCAACCCGAAGTCCATCCAATCCGTCACAGCCCCAGAGTTGGTACTCCTAGACCTCAAGCCACCCTCCCCCCAAACCTCGGCTATGTCAGGTAAGAGGAAAGTTGGACATACTAGGCAAATGAAGCCGCGAAGATTCCATACAAACCACCGGTATGGCCTTCGCAGTCGAACTCGTCGTTCCAAGGCCGGCGGTTTCCATCGCTTTTGGGATCTGCCAGTCGAGATTCAATGGAACGTTTGGAATCACGCTCTTTCTACCTTGACGACAGTTCCGAGTATCCTGTGCTTCCAAATAAAAGTGTGTCAAGAATCAAAAGTCCCGTAAGTAGTACATTTGATTGGTCACAGCGCTTTAGGTATGAACTGGTGCTGGCAGAAGAGGCACCCTTGTATCCCCTGACCGGGTCGGTCACTCTTTCATTTTGCAGGAGCTGACTCTGAGATTCCACAGCGTCGCGTGTTTCAGCCCCGATGAGTATGCGGCATCCTCTACTCTCGCTCACAGAGCACTTCTTGGAGCATGCTATTACACACGACAAAAAGCTCTGGAGTCGTTGAATATCCTGGAACTCTTCCGATTTGATAAGTCAAGTGGCACTCCCACTAGATTCAGGATCCCATTCGACTTCGAGAAGACCTGCTTCTGCATCCAAGGCTGGGAGGGGTATGACACGTACGAAGATATCCGTCACAACATCATCGGTATGGAATTCGCCAAGAGAGTAAAAAGGCTCGCATTCATGGTCCGGAACGACGACTTGGATTTCCGGCCCTCCACAACATTTTCATTGCCCATGCAGGGGCCCAAATATCAACTCTCGAGCTTGGCTCTTATTTTTCATAATGCCAGGCAGATTAGTGGGATCCGCAGCATAAGTATGTCAGAGGTTAGAGATTTGGTGGGAGAGGAAGCCTTTATTTCCTTGTTCTCATTCCAAAGCTTCAACCAGAAAGAGATGGTTGGAGGCTTTCTTGTGACAAAGCCACGTGGTGTGCGTGAAAGATTATTCTGTGGTGCAATGTATTTAGTGCTCAAAGATTGGAGACACAGACTGTCGGCTGCTCTACCGACCGTGACGGTCTGACGGTTCTCTTGAGCCAGCTGGCGCACCGTACCACCTGGAAGAGTATTGGGAACGCTTTGCACGTCCACGGGTACGAAAACAACCCCTCACAGCCTATTGGAAGACGGATTCGGGATCATGAGGATGGTTGGACTGGCTCGCAATCTTCATGCCAATAATCGTTACCATGTTATGAAATTTGAAGTAAAAGGAATAACCCCTTTTGTTTTCTACCAGCATCAAGCAATGTATTGCTACAGGACTTCGCATGACCACCTGTTTGAATGAAATCTTCAAGTTCATGGACAACTGTGGGATAGGTTCTCATCAGCCTGAGCCTGAATGACTACTAGATTCACTCATCCAAGTTGAAGAACTCCGTATGGCCACTCTTTGATGCAAAGTTAAAAGGTTAGGACGGGTGGCAGCATAACAGTTCAAAGTACCATGAAGTGAGGCTTGTTCAATGACCACTTACAAGAGCTGTAACAAACAATTCTTATGGTGCCGCGCTGGCAACAAAATGGCAGATAACTGACCAAACAGGTGGCATTGAAAGTCATTGGGGTGGATGATAATGCTGGGCTGGACCCCGGTCAGTCACCCCGGACTTCATCATCAATGGACATTGCAAAACCAACAAACGGCCGAGGCAGCTTTCAAGGAGCTGGTGAGCCTTGTGCCCATGGTAATTCGTGTCTACCAACTTGCCACAGGCACACAAACGTTCAAATTCTACAGCCAAGGGTCATGGATTGATTCCCTAATTCATTTCATGCCAGACCTTGGCCACACGGTACGTATGTGGAATTCACCGTACCTCTGGTGGTTCATCTCGGGGGTTTTGTCACTGGCCTTGTCACCACCTGCAGTTGATCAAAGCTGATCGCAACACCACGGTGAAGCTTGCAACACTGCAAACATTGTGGCGGGCGTCTCTGTTGCCTCGCAACTGATCCCCTTTCTATTACGCTTCTAACCTCACCATCTAGTTTGGTTTCCCTGTCAACGTCCCCCAAGGCATCGCACAAAATGTCTCTCTTCTCCTTCCTCGCGCCAACAACGCCGACCACGCCGGCGGGCGAGGCGGGCGAAGCGGCCCGCGACCCATACAACCTCGACAGATTCATCAAGGCGCAAGACCAGAACAACGCATTCGACGAGGTCCTCGCAGCCTTCAGAGGCGGCCACCGCAAGCCCCACCCCGCCATCACCTGGATGTGGTTCGTCTTCCCCCAGATGGACCACTGCCAGACGCAGTCGCTACGCGCCAGGATCAGCAGCGACGGCCTCTCCTACGAGGACGTCGACGAGCACAGGTGGCGGCGCAGGGACGTCTGGCCGGCCGGCCACGCGCTCAGCAGCCTCGACGAGGCGCGCGCCTACCTTCGGCACCCCATCCTCGGCGAGCGCGCCCGCCAGGCCGCCACCACCGTCCTCGAGAGCCCGTTTGCGGACAAGTTTGCGCTGATGGACAACATCCCCATGGACGTGGCGCGCCTGCACTCGAGCATGACGGTGCTGCGGCAGGCGGCGCGGTTCCCGCGGTGCATCCACGACAGGAGGGAGGACCAGCTCGGGGAGAACCGCGTGTTCGCGCAGGTCATCAACCGGTTCTTCGTGCGGTTTGCGCACAGGGACGAGGAGGGCGACTGGCTCGACCAGGGGAGCAGGGCGCTGATGGCGCGCAAGCCTGGGTCGCGGCACAAGCCCACGCTGCAGTGTCTCGAGGAGGAGGAGCGCGTGGCGATCCAGCGGAGGGCGAAGGAGGGCGCGGGGTGTGTGTGTGGCCATGGCAAGGAGGAGGTCTTGGAGATGGATCGGGCTTCGAAGAGGAAGATGGACGATTCGCGGGGGGCGCTGGAGGCGGAGAAGAGGCGCAAGAGGCAGAGGAGGGAGCAGAAGCGCAAGGAGAAGGGGAAGAGTGCTGCGGATGGCAAAGATGCCGCCAGGTGAGTCTGGATGGGGAACTATTGCTTCATTGTTTTTCCAACTCGAGGATGTCGAGGACACTTGACTGACGCCAACAGCAGCGCTGACGGAAAAGCCCCCGCCACGGAGACGAACAACCAAGCTGTCAACCCACAACTTCCGGCTCTAGATTCTGCTCCCACCGGCAGAGATTGACTGAGAGGAGGAGAAGAAGGAGGAGGAGGAGGAGAAGATCTTCGGAAAATCATGAGATAACGGTCGTTGCCGTTGCCTCGGATGAGCCCTGGCTCGCAGTCTGCCGACTCGAAGCTTAGCCGACGGCCTAGAAGGCCGAATGGGTAGGATCTCGATCGGCTGACCTGCCCAGATAGAAAATTCGATCGATTTCATAAACGACATCTTATTACTTGACGCTGTCGTGCACCACATCCACCACAAAGCAGTCTGTGCCAAGTTGCTACACACAACGGAGCCTGACACGAGCGTTTCCGCGACGGTCCACCGCACCGGTACACGTCACCGTTTCGATCACTGGCCAGGGCAGTCCAAGACCGAAAACAGAAGGACAGAAGGCAGCTGCATCTTTAATCCGTGTGAAATGGACTACGCTGAATCGGCAGTTGACTTGGAGACTGAATGCCCCGGTGTTTCCTCAATGACACTGGCACACATGGTTGAGCCTGGCCAGTGCGTTCAGACAGACATGGAAGGCAGCCGGGCTCCTGTCTCACAAAACGGTCATGGGATGCCGGCAGGAACATTTCCATGCCACTGCTGGATTTGAACATCCCAGAAGAGCACACGGGCTAGACTTGCATCTCTGACGTACCTCATACCCCGTCCAGTCGACGGCACCCCACTACTGGACCACCTCCTGCTCATTGTCTGAATGAACTTTGCGCAGGGGCGGGGGCTCAGCTCTGATGAGAGGCAGGATGGGGGCGAGCAGAACGCGAGGGCCTGACTGCCCTGGGGCTCTTTCAAATGGCCTCGGAAGGACTGCCCCAGGGCACAGACTGGGGTCATGGTTGGCAGGGGAGAAAATGGAGCCTGCCGGACGTTGTCAAAATTGCAGTCTGTGCTTTTCTAAGTGGTGTCTACCACTCTATGGAGATCATCGTGGAGGCGGCCACGATGAAGTTACGATCAAGATGCAGCTACTATGGTGCCAGTGAGCTGTGCTCGCCCGCCTGGATAGGATGACGAGACCGGCTCCCTGTTGCTTGATTGTGCAGTCTGACTTGGCTGAATCAGCAAATTCATCCGTCTCCCAGAACCCAAGAAATGATGGAAATCATCAGAATTGCACCACTTGGGGAGGATCAGAAGTCCCGCCGCAGTTGCAGGGAACCACCAGTTTGTAATGCAAAGGTGCTGTGAGCTAATTTGACTTGTGCAGGCAGGTCGGGGTCTTCCGGAGGCTGCCTTCCACTGTTCAGGGTGGGTGGGAGGCGTCAGTAAGAGAGATGATGAGTTCGACGCGGGAAAGAGCCCTCCTCAAGAGTCTGCCTTTTTATCCACTCCCCCTGATTCCGCCATCCTCTGTTTACTTTCCTCCCTCTTCATACCTGGCAGAGCCCACCATCACCAAGCCAGCACTCCCATCATTCATCATCGTTTTTTTGCTGGCCTGTCCGACCAACATCCATCGCTCATTCGAATCCTGATTCTTCAATCTTGTCTTACCCAGAAACGAAACCCATTCCCTCACAATGAAGCCTGTTTCCTCTCTCGGCGCCTTCCTGGCGGTCGCGTCTCTGGCCTTTGCGGCGCCCACATCCAACTTTGAAGCCAACAAGCTCGTCGATCCAGTTCGTCTCTTGCTTCTTGCCCAGTGACACCCCGTCACTGACACTAGCCTACCAGAAAGATTTGGTCGACTTGGTCGAAGAAGAACAACTCCTTGGTCTTGCTCAAGCCATCCAAGAGTTTGCCTACGAATCTCCTGAGAGGAACAGATTCATCGGCACCCCGGGCCTGGACAAGACTATGGATTTAATCGAGCGTTCTCTCAACGGCCAATTTGGGGACGAGTTCGACTACTACGACGTTTCGAGAGACTACTTCAAGTACAAGCACAAGGGCGAGGTGCTGAAGCTGTAAGTTCACGTCGATGCTGTCCCCATCTTCGCCCTGACCGTGCCTGATGGGTCTGCAGGTACAACGTCATTGCTCAAACCAAGGGAGGTGATCCGAACAATGTCCTTCAACTCGGCGCCCACATGGACTCGGTCGCTGCTGGGCCAGGCATCAACGACAACGCCTCGGGTGGCATCGCTCTCCTTGCCATCGCCTACGACCTCGCCAAAGAGAATTACACCGTCAACAATGCCGTCCGGTTCTCGTGGTGGTCCGCTGAGGAAGAAGGACTCATCGGCTCTCAACATTACGTCAACGGGCTAAGCGAGGAGGAGCGCCAGAAGATCCGCCTCTACCTCAACTTCGACATGATCGCCTCCCCTGCCGGCGAATATGGCATCTACACCAGCGAGTTGGACAGTACGGGCTTCGAAGCCCCGCCAGGTGTGGAGGAGAATGAAGAGTTTTTCCAAGACTATTTTGACGACACCGGCCTGAAGTGGAAGACTGTCCAGCTCCGCGGTAACAGTGATCACTGGCCGTTCGTCAAGGCCGGTATCCCGACAGGTGGCCTTCACGCTGGCAAGGATCCCAACTACCACACCGCCAACGACACTGTCGAAAACATCAACATGGACGTGTTTTTCGAAACGACCAAGGCCATCGCCCATGCCGTCGGGACCTACGCGCTGAGCTTCGACAGTCTGCCACCCAGGGACTTTCTCGACAATCTGCAACCCAGGGACTTTCTCTGAGCTGAAAACTCGCGGTTCAGGTTGGACTTGCGAGACATTGAACAGGCAGATTGGTTCTTTTGTCGGACTACGCTCGTGCAGCACGTATGCAATGCCTAGTATACCACTTCGAGTAGTAATACAAGTAACCTAATACCATCAGACATTCTCCTCATCCTGCTTGTGTTCCATCTCCTTTTCAACCCGATTCCTGACTCGTCTGACTGTGCTGTCGTAAATGCCACCCGGCCACCGTACGCCAGAGTACTGATCCCTTCCAAAATCTGCCAAGGTACCATCGCGGCGGACCCAGCCTCGCAACATTTGAAGTGCCGTAGCTTCTCGGCAGAAACCATGCCAGTCCATGTGAGTGGCGAATCGGACTCAACAGATCACTGCACTGAACTAGGTCCTCCCATTGCATGAAGCGGCTTATCCACGGACGGCAACATTCATATAGGTGCCCCATGAGAGAGAAACCAGCCCAGTCCCGAAAAGCTTGACTCACATTCAGTCACACGAGCACCTGACAGACTTCTAACTGGAGCCGCCAGCATCTTCCGTAATGCGTGTATGTTAGTTGCGGATTAATATGAGGGATCCCCACCCCTCTCTTCACATTGCCCCATGGCGCATGTAATTACTATGTCTGTGTCTCCGAGGACCCCCTCGCACCCGCACTTGAGGGTGTTGGGCTTCGAGGCCAAAGGATATATCGAGGAGAGATTCCAACACAGTCTGTGTCTTTTGCTCGGATCTGGTTGTTGTTCTTGGAACGGTGATGCTGGTATCTTGCCTCTGTATGTGTGCCTTGAGGACTCGGCACGCCACGGCCACCAGGGGTCGGATTGATGCCCTGCGCTCACGAGACGTTGGTCTACAGGTGTACTATCCCCCACATGAGGAACATGCTCGGCACGTCTTGGGCGATGGAGCTGTTCCGGAGAAGCTTCTCTTGCCATGACACGGGCTTGTAGTCAACGGAAATCAGAACAAACCTTCGAAACACAGGTCCTACCCAGCCTGTAGCTGTGATGATGGGCCGGCGGGTTGTCAGTCCCCCTCCGAAACAATCACTGTCCCCATCACCAACCGCATGCGTCACCATAAAAACAATCCTCTTATATAAATTCTTTGCTTCTGGAATGACCACGTACTGAAATTCTGGATTCTCTTTTTCACGTTTATCTCGAAGTTTTCTGCTCCCTCTCCATCCTACCTAATTTGACTGTAGCCATGCCTCTGCCAGACACTGCGACATGAGTACCACTGGTCCATACCCGCCGCAAATTCCACACGAGGGCGATCTTTCATAAGTAACCTCCTGAGTACAGCTACAATAGCCCCAGCCATACTTGCTTCGAGGGGGCACAAGTGTGGAACTGACGGGGCCACCCAGATTTTGTTTTGAAACAGCCGTTCTGTGGCATGACATGGGCAATCGGTATATTCAAGTGACACTTGGTGGAAGGAAACACATCTCCTCGCAGTGATTCCCATGTCATAAATATTTGAGGTGAGCTTTGCGACGTTATGATCAAATCGCCGTATTGCTACCCAGGGATCAGCCCTTCCACAAACAGCTTGACGATCTGGTTATAATGACATTGATTATCTGGAGTTTTCTCCCCTTTCGCATAAGTTTTGGGTAGTGCGCCCGTCTTTCTGTACAGCACCATGTTCGTTCAGCTACATAAAACCCCCAGATAACCCATTTATAATGATATTGCATGTGCGGAATAGAAGCGAAACCAGATAATGATGGTCTGACTTTGGTGATACAAGCTGATATAAGCGATCTCGTGGCTGGACTCACTGGGGCTTGCTCATGCAGGAGGCCTTCTCGATCCTATCGATAAGCCTGCGCCCCGCTCTCAAACAGCACCAGGCTCCCTTGCCTCGTCCCTTCTCTTGCATCGATCCTACATTACTTATATCATCAACAATATCTGACGTGGGCCTCGAAACCTTTCTCCGCAAATTCCAAGTGACGCCATACCGTTACCGTCGATACAGGCGGCTAAAGCATCTTGTCGGACCTTGGCATCAACGGCAAGATGAGAGTGAATCATGTTGATGCCCGAACTCCCCTTCTTCCCCGTGCTGTCTTTCCTCCCCGTCCTGTCCCTGGAGTGCAAACGGAAGAGGTGTCGTATCTACATCGTTATAGCTTTTGGCTAAGGTTCCAGGTTGCTGTGTTCGCGTCCGCTCTCATCCTCGTGCTCTTCCATTTATTTTACACACGTGCACCGCCCTCGCCTCCTGCTCCCTCACCTCCTCCTATTGACACGCTGATCTGCTACTCCACCCTGAACACATCAAGGGGTTACGCAAGCAGCGAAGCTCTCAGCAACAACGTTTTGGATTTCTGCGACAATGCTGCGAGAAGCTTTCCCGGTCTCCCTTTTAACTGGAAGCATTCCCAAACGTACTATCCACACACGCCTGACCAGTACACGATGTCCATGACAATATCAGATCAGAAAAAAGGCTTCAACCACATCCAGTGTGCCGAAGCTATGAGTGCCATTATCAACGACTGCGATGTCTCCCTGGAGGATATCAACCCGATGAACTGGAAGCAAGGCGGCAAGCGCATGCTACAGGAAAATACGTACCAGATTGATATTTTCCGCCAAAACCGGCCCTGGCCGCCCCCTAACAAGCCAAGACAGAGCTGTTGGGGCTGGTGGAAATTCGTTCTGCAGCATTATGATATACGCGGCGCTGGCTGGGCGAACCATGACTGGGGACAAAAGTCACTTCAGCCAGCAATTAATCCGTGTTGTGGACCGGGTAGGTCGGGCAGCGAATGAGGTGCCAAAAGATGGACTTTCTTCTGCAAGGAAGGTGGTGACTGATACGGTGTCATGAACAGGAAGCCTTACTGGTTGGAGCTTCAGATACTTTGACCAGCCCGACGAGCACGGGTACGAGGTATGTAGAAACCGTCATGTACACGTTCCTCTTCCCGTTAGAATTGTGCTTACTTTCCTTCCGCCAACTAGTGGCACGCATGGTTCAACACCGCTCTTGGGACAAGGAAACGCTGTTTTGATAACAGCATGGTACAGTGCGCAGCTGGCGGTCCCTGCGATTCATACTGCAGCGGGAATGGCTAACGCAAGCAAATCCGCCTTCTTGAATGAGGATAAGTGCCAATAAGGCCTGAATAGGGAGGCTTTTGCGCAGCAGAATCTCATACATTATCACTTGATCGAATGGGTTGTGGGATCGGCACTGCTATACACCAATAGGTCGAGTGCGTCATCCAAGATGTGCGCTGGTTTACAGACATTTGTTCCTGCATAGCTAATTCCTCGAATTGTGGTTGAGCTCCAGCTTGCTTTATTAGATACACGGGAAAGCTCAGATATGGCGCATGAATTTATTGTTTACTCTTCTTTTCACAAGCAGCCAAAGGCGGCCACTCGCTTCGATCTGCCATGCATCTACTCTGGGTACGCAGTGGTACCTCGACTGCGCAACCTTGAAAGAGTCTGCCAACTATCTCATACCGCTGACCTTAAGCTTCTCCCATAACTTCTCCTCCTCTATCAGGATGTTCTTTCCACTGAACTCGCCCTCCATGTTGATAGGAGGCAGCAGTGCCTGGTAAGGGACGGTGCGGACGCGCACGTCAGATGGCATGCCCTGCTCGGCATATTGCATGCCCTCGACGATATCGCCGTTTCCGTACTGCTCCTCTGTCACGAGGCGCAGCATGATCTGCGCGCATTCCTCGGCAGTCATGTTCATGTCCTGCTTGCGGACCTTGCCGACGCAGTACTCGGCCTCGACGGCGGGGGTGTAGGTGGTGGACGGGCACATGCAGGCGACGCGGATGCCCAGACGGGCCTTGACCTGGGCCAGCGACAGCGTGAATGAGGTCAGGGCGCCCTTGGAGGCGTTGTACAGCGGCGTGCCGATGGTCGGCAGGTACGCGCTCATCGAGGCCACGAACAGCAGGCTGCCCGCGATTTTGTTGGACATCCAGTAATCCAGGGCGATCTGGGCAAACCGGATGGGGCCCATCTGGTTCACGGCGAAGAGGTGGTAGACTCCTGGGGCGCCATTGGGGTCGTCCTTGGACAGGGGGGAGATGCCTGGGAGTTGCCAGAAAGTGGAGGAGGGGGGTTCCCTGTTGTGATTAATTATCAGTGAGAACTGATGTCCATGCCCTTTTCTTCCATTGCGGGCTATCTGCGGAGGTCCGCTACAACAATTTGAGGTGGGAATATCGGAGGCACTAGAATTACAAGTGCTTACCAAATGCCAGCGCCAGGGCAGACCAGGTCAATGCGTCCAAAGGTCTTAAGGGTGAACTCCCAGGTGTCAGAGATAGACTTCCAGTCGGACTGGTCGCACCTGTGATAGACTGCAGAGACGGGAGCGGGGTGAGGGAACTCGGCGATGAGAGCCTTGGCTTCCTCGCGCAGTGCGATATCTGCGAAGACCACGGAGCAACCGGCCTTGAGAAGCTGCTCGGCAAAAGCCAGATTGATCCCTATGCTCATGCAAGTGTCAGAATCACGATGCTGCGCATGCTAATGCCGAATTATAAAGGGAGCTGCCAACATCGTGGGATACGCGTAATGAACCATGGGGCAAAAGATGCGAGGATCCGTACCACTGCCAGCACCCGTGACCAGAGCAAACTTTCCCTTGACTTCGTACGACATTGTGTGATGAATTTCTAAGGATGCAGGAAAGGTCTCGAGGCGGTAAATTAGAACACAGGGCAACTTGTTAAATTAAGACGGCGGAGGGGACCGTCTAGGTACGGTCAGCTACGACACCACTAACCACTAACACACTAGGCAAAGGTACCTCATGAGATGAGAAGTAAGCACTAGGCACATGGTTCAATCGGGACTAAAGTAGTCGACTGCCAAGGAAGATCGGCCTCCTGAAATGGAAAAATAATGCATCTCTGTCCCCGAGGTCTATGTTTTAAATCGCATCTGGTCGTTCGGAGACCTGTTAATCCATACACAAACCTACATGGCATGATACACACAGCTTGAGGGACGACAGAGTCCCACATAAGTGGACAGGCGGATTGGGTAACAGAAGATCAATTCACGCGTATCCTAGGGCAGATTCTGTTGACAGCCAAGGCGATCCGCCTCCAAGAGTCTGGTTGAGCTTGTCAAACAAAATCCTTCGGGGCCTGTCCTACTTCATACCCTTAGGGTAGTAGATGTTTACGTGCAGATAGAACCTCATTGCATTCTCGGCGAAGTCTTGGAAGAGCAGCTACCCAGGCGCATTAGTTGTGGTCCGCCAACTGCTCATAATTACTCACTCCCTACCAGCACAACACTGCATGGGTAGACGAGCTCACTTACTAGCGAGGGTCCTGCCCAATGTGGACATAGAGGCGCGGATCGGTTGACCAGACGATGTGAGATCGACGCTTTACTCTGGTCGAGCTGCAGCCAACTGCCCATCCTGCGGCGCAGTCCTGCATCTGCTTGGTGACAGGTCACATTTGGAAAGGCCGCGTCTTGTCCCAGGCCAGAGGGCTCCAGGGGACGCCGAGCCTGGAAAGCTTTGCGAGTGATTAAGAGAATCTTGAAACCAATCACGGATTGGTACCCACAGGTTTCGTCCATGATTCTCGATTCTGGTGTTTTATTCTGCTCCCATAACATGAATTACGACCTAATTGTCAAGAACCCCCGTATTTGAAAGCTATCCCAAATTCGGCGGCCTCATAATGTTTAGAAGGTATCGTAGCTTGTACCAGAGCCTGGCGGGGAGATGCTCGGGGCAGTCTCAAACGTAACATTGGCGACTTACCCGAACACAAAAACCGCGTCTTGCCTTCGCACAGGCTACTCTGCTACAGAGAACTGTTTGGGCACGTCGATCGCCATCACTTTTGAGCGTCCCCATGCATCCGCGAGTGGTCCCTTTCTTATGTTGGAGTTGATGACTATCAGAACTCAATTTCAGAGCGCATCGACGACATTATGATCTAGACAATTTGCGAGGACGACCTTGCCCTGATCGCTGGTTCTCTACCAATGCTGCGAGCCATTTTGAAGTCAATCAAGGGATTCATGCGGCGGAAGTCGATGCAAAAGACGAGCTCCACCGACTTGATGAGTATGGGAAAGCTTCAGAAGATCCGGGACCAGGCTGAAAATGAACGCGAGCGCATAGCCATCACCGCCGACCATAACATGGGCCAAAAGCCTCGAACCAACGTCACCTTGAACAGCAATCTGCAGCTGCAGTAACACCCACGCGAAGAGCTAATTAAGCCTTCACCCTGCTGCTGAGCTTCGGTTCGTGATTACACATCAAGGTGGCTCGGAGTGAATCGATGCATGTCGAAACGAATTGACCGTTGCCTGGTGTCTGTTGACATAACTTGATGGGAGCAGTGGTCCACTGATGAGGTCTGGGCTATTTTGATATACAGCATGGTAGTCCCTTTGCGTGGCTCCCCCGAGTTACTCAAAGTCAGGGGCTGCCTGCTATGTAAGGTGTCGTGTATTCCGTAGAATACGAATAAATATATGTATCTATGGATCCCAACATGTCTAGGGCCCCTCAAGGTGGGAACTACCTAGGTAGTGTCCGTTTGTCTTATGTTGATTGACTGGTTTCCCTTCTATTCTGTGTGTGTCCGGGGACATACATAGCACTTTCATACGTAGTAAACGCACAGAACCTAGCGTCTAAAAAACATATAGTGTCGATAATAGTGGTTAGAATACGAGAAGTGCATGTCCTTTGCGAGATACAGCCAAGGCTAAAGAGCACTGCCTTGAATAAACCCATATGATTATCGGCCCGTGCGACTCAGCGAAATTCACTTGAAGACCACCATGCTATGACTGGTTCGAAGCGTGATTATACTGCTACACTTGTGACTTCGGTGCCTTCGTTCAGCTCTGCCACGACTCTATCATAGAACCCAAGTTTCCCAATACTAGTATATGCTCCGTACGAGTAAGCCAAAGTCTGGCTCAAGTTGCTACCGAGAGAGTTTGAGAGCAGGCTGTCTTCACCTTCCGCCATCTCCGCCATCTTCACCATCTCCAGATACTCGCGCCGCTCGCGCCACTGTTCCTTCACGCTCTCATCGAGAGGTTGCCCATCTTGGCCGTAATGCTGGGGCAAATCAAAAGACCGGGGCATGACCGAAAGGAACTCGGGGTAGCCAATGAGACTCCACGGGACCGTGAATGCCCCTTCCCAATCAATGATTCCTGTCACATCGAAGCTGGCCTCGTCCACCATGATGTTGCTGTGGAGGAAATCATCGTGGGATAGTGGGAATGGTCCGTCGTTGGAAAAAGGGAGTTGTTTAGCCATGCCTTTGATCTGCCGAGGGAAGTCGTCGATAATCTTGATCATCTTTTCCGCCGAGATTGGTCCTCTCTGCATCATGCCTGTGATCGTTTCCTTGTCGAGCTTGAAGCTGACGTGATCGGCCCATGCCTCAAAAAAGGCCGCCGCTGTATCAAACGGACCGCCGATTCCCGGAATAGGGCCCGACTCATATCCGCCGTCCTCCATTCGGATGACAGTTCCGATTTTCGGGAGTCGCAGTGATGTCATCTGGACCTAGTACAGTCAGCCGACATAAAATCCAACACGGTGGGCGCCAAGAACTCACATGACACTTAGCCACAGATTGATAGAAAGGTTTTCGGTACTCTACGGGTATCACGCCGTGGTGTACTTTGTGGCCACCGAGAGCATCCATAGCAACAATACCGGGAAGCATTTCGATGAGCATGAAAGCAGATTCTGCAGCATTATTCATATCGGTGTTGTAGACAAAGACTTGGGGTACTGGGAGGCTGGAATTGTCATGAATGAACTGCATTGTTGCAATTTCATTCTGTAGGAGTTTGCCATAGGAATAAGAAGGATGACTTCTTATGATGGGAACTCGGGCTGCCCAGCGAGTCTTGTTGGAGAACTCGAGTTGACGGACGACGTTGTTGAGTCCGCTAGTTATCTGGTCCAGGGCCACACAGCTCAAGCTGTGATTGGCGTCGGAGGCTATTCGGCAGAGCTGATCCCAGTTGACTTGGTTGAAACAAGCAATAGTTTCATCATCACTGTTCTGGAGGAATTCATGGACTGTTGTCCAGGACGTTGAGGCTGTGGCCATGGGTAGTGTGTTGTGAGAGAAGTCAATGAGCTGCTGAAAAGAGTCCAGTGAGTGATGATGGGGTCGGGCGTGATCCCCAACCAAAGTCAGACCTTTTGTATGTTTGTTGAAATTGCTAAGGATTATGATGTTTGATTGGTTGATCTGGGTTCAGGGTGCAAACATCCAACCCCTCTGTCAGCTGTTTTCACTAGCTCACTCAGTACAAGATTTTAGCTGTAGGTACCGTATGAAATTTGGTATCTGCTAATAAGTCTACCCTAACAAATTTCTCCAATTGAAGCTACTTGAGTACAAAGCCCCTTCTGGTGCCTTCAGGCTAGCCAGGCAACAGGCCCTGTAGGCAACAGCCTGGAGTAGTTTCTTGGCGCTACCTTAGAAAGTACGTATAAATGTGGGGATGTTGTTTGGAAAAGTAAGTACTGCGTGAGTTATCAAATACTAGGTGGGGAGCCCTTGCTAGGGCCTTAGGAGCTATTTGTCTAAGTCTAAGAGGGTGGGCCTACAGCCGCTAATAGCTTTTATTCCTATTTAAATCGCTGTTTAAATCCCTAGATTTTTATATATTTTAAATATTTATATAAATTAAAATAAAGTGGAGGTTTTCAAAATATATCTTATAAAATAAGCGAATCACTATTAAATTAATATATTAATTAATATATAATAAATAAAAATATTTAATAATTAATTAAATAAATTAAATTAATAATTAAAATCTTTTTTATAATATAGTTTTATACTTATAATTAGTTTTTAATTCAATTATATTATATTATTAAAGGTTTATTTAATATTTAAGTTAGTTTAAACTATTTTTAAATAATTTAAATAATTTAAATAATTTATATAATTTAAATCATTTATTTTTATAAATATAAACTTTAAAATAAAATTCTTAATTTTAAATTTAAACTTTTATAAATTTAATATACTTTATATTAAATTTATAATTACTTAATCTTTCTAAAAGTTTAATTATTTTAAATATTAATAACTTTTTTAAAGTATAAATTTATTTTATATATTTATAAATTTAATTATTAATAGTTATTTCTTCTTTTATTTATAATAAAGATATTAAGATTATAAATTTCAAACTATATATAATAATAAAGTATAATTACCTTACTTAACTATATTATAATTTAATAGATTAATAAATAAAGTAACTACTTTAAAATAGTTTAACTTATAATATAATAAAGTAAATAGATAAATATTTATTTAAATAAAGTTAAAACTTTAATTAAAGGAATAATAACTTTATTTTTATTTATTTTAATACTCTATCTTAATAATAATAGAAGTTTAATACTTTTATATAATACTTATTAATATTAAACTAAGTAACTTATACTTTATAATAACTTTAACTTTTATAAACTAAGAATATTAATTAAAAATAATATAACTTAATATATTAATATAAAAGGTATATTTTATAATAAATAATATTATAAGTAATTATAAAGTTATTATAAAAGTTTTATATAATAAATTTAATTAATTTAATTTTAAAAATATATTATATTTTATCTTTTAAAACTTTAACTATTTATATTTAGTTTAATAATAAACTTAAAAGAATAGTTTATAAATATTTTAACTCTTTATTTAAAAGTAAACATTTAATTATATTTATTCTTTTAATTATAACCTTTATTTTATTATTTTATTTTCATTCTTTAATTTTATTCTATTTAATATATTTTATCTTTCTTTTTTAAACTATTTTTTAATTAATTAACTTATATTAATTTTACTAATTAATAAATAATATTTTAATCTTATAAGTATATCTTTTATTTAAAGATTATAATAGCTATATAATATAGTGTTTTTAGTAGCTGATTACTATATGATAAAATGAAAGTAATCAACTGGCATCCAGGAAACATATTGGGTGGGCACACCAACATGAACACGTCTCAGGCTGCTCAATTGCTGAACATAGAGCAGAGGCTCTGTTCGACACGCCGCCATGAGCACGCCTCAGGCTGCTCAATTGCTGAACAGAGAGCAAAGGGTCTGATCAATACGCCAACATGAGCACGCCTCAGGCTGCTCAATTGCTGAACAGAGAGCAAAGGCTCTGTTCAACACACCAATTAGTGCAGCATCTAGTAACTGTGCAAGGACACTATCTGATGGGTGGTGGACTGAAAAAGTATAAAAACCTGGCCATGGACCAGTTCAAATGGGATAGTTTGTTCATTTAAATACCTACCATCTTCCACCAGAGGACAGACACATCCATATCGTCTTGTTCAGCTTCATTCAGAATTATCTCTGTTTCACATATCTAACAGTCATCCTTTACCACCGATCTCAGATATCAAGGTACGACTTCAACACTTCTACAACATATAATTAAACCTTGAACAGTTCATGCTCACCCATTTTCAGCTGCAATGCCTGCAGGGTCCTCGAGCGTTTATACAAGTTGTGCAACTTTCGGTTGCACTGGGTCCAGCATTGCACGTGGGCAAGCATGTCCTAAGGGATGTGGCTGGACACGTCCTGCAAATGATGGCAAGTGATTAAGGGGGATAATTACAGAGTACATCACAGGTGGATCATATGTTGATAGGCAGCCTAGGGATATGTCTTGGCAACTGGGCCACATTTGGCCTCATGAAGGCCACGCATCAGGCACTTGTGCAGTTGAAGTGGTTATGTTTGTAAACTTGAAACCAACGACTGAAGATTGATGACCTCTACACGCTTTTACTTTTAAAATATTCCGTGCTTCAGCAATAGTCGCCTCATATTGTAACAAAGAATTACGTATTGCTTTGTTTTACATGCAGGCGGCTCCTGGTGCTGTAAACGGCTGAACATCGCCGGAAAGGTAGTGTAATAGGACGGGAATTGGCTTGCAGGTGACAGTTCCTAATTAAAGCCTATCAAGTGACACCCGGACCTGCATATTTGTGTGAATAATTTTGCGATACTTCTTGAAGCCCACTCGTACCCCGTCTTTGGAGTAAAGCAGACTTAGCTTTCAGTGTCGACAACCCAAGTGACTGACAGATCGATTTCCTCGTCAACGCCTAAACCTGCAAAATGTCAGACATACCGTCACTGGCAGAGATTCTACGACAGGTGGACCTAACGGAGTCTATGCAGCCAGAGCTTAGGGCACTCCTCATCACCATGATTATACTTCCAACCGTGATCATACTCATTCGAGCATGGTCTCGAGCTTTATTGCCGGTGAATCCCGGGGCCAGAATCCCATCCAGATTTTGGTGGGATGACTGGACAGCCTTCTTAGCTGCTGTGCGTCTCTACGTTACGAAACTGATTAGTGCATACCGACGCTGTTCTGGGCAGTTAGCTGATTGCTTCATAGGCGTTCAATATCGCCATGATTGGACTCACTCTCAAGCTGGTCCATTTTGGGCTTGGACTGCATGTCTTTGTAGTTCCGCTAGAGAACGTTAAAGGATATCTGAAGTTTCTATGGATTATTTACTTTGTTCACACTACAGGCATGGCCATCGCCAAAACCTCGGTCTTGTTATTCTACACTCGCGTTTTCGGCATGCGAAACTCCAAATTCAAGTACGCTGTGTGGTCGGTACACGCCATGAACATCGCATGGGCCATAGGGACTTTGCTCAGCGTCCTTTTCATATGCGATCCCATCTCCAAGGCATGGAACTTTTTACAGCCTGGGACCTGCCTCGACTTTACACAGCTTTGGCTGGGCAACGGCTTACCAAATCTCATTATCGACATTTTTATTCTAGTGTTGCCCGTCCCAATGCTGTGGCAGTTGAAAATGAAGACATCGCGTAAATTCCAAGTAATTGGTGTGTTTGCGTGTGGATACTTGTGAGTAGTAAATTGCATCGGTGTGAAATCGCAGACCTCGAAATCTAATGCAGTCTCAGAGTTGTTGTGTCATCTATCGGGCGCCTTTACACCACTATCAGAGCGAGTGAATACATTGGAATGGACCCAACTTGTAAGAAACACAGTACATGAAAAATTTGGTTCAAGTCTGATAATTGGCTGCAGGGGTAATGGTCATACCGACCATGTGGTTAGGCTCTGAGATCGCTGTTTCACTCATCAGCATGAGTCTTCCCAGTATTTTCTTTCTTGTCCAGCGCGCGATGACCAATGGTGTCGGAAGCCTGGTACCATCTCGCACAACCAAGACCGGCACGAACCCCGCCGAATCCTCTCATGTTGGCAGAGGCAATCCGTACATCGATCAAGGCGACCGAGATCTAGTCTCTGGCTCGCGAAATCAGGTGATACAGCCCCACACCAAGACGACGGCTGAATATGTTGGCCCAAACAAGAGCTTCGAAAACCTGAATTACAATGGAATCCATGTGGTTTCTAAAACTGAGATTGCATGAGTGCCCCAAGTTAGTCGGGATTGCTGTATGTCATGGGACTCACGGGTCTCTTTATTCCCCCGGGACAGTTTGCAGGAGTCCTTGTCTATTTTTAGGAGAAGAGGGGTGCGGAAAACGAGCGTGGTGGGTATCACGGCAATAAAGCAAGCAGAATGAAGATAATCATTAATTGTAATCGGGTGATGTTAGCACCGATGAAACATAACTAATGCAAGATTCCATCTCAAGACACGCCGTATGGTAGCTTCTCAGGCTGTAGGTCACCTTACGCATAGGTGCTATGAAAATAATACTGTCAATTTGAACAGTGCTGGCAATTTACTGGTTGCAGCCCGAAGGCTAGAAGTTGATCAGATCCACTTTAAACTCTTAATTTGGCTCATTGCGGCACAACCAAGCTATGTACGAAGTTGTGATGCTTGATTTCCGCCGGTTGGTCACAAGACAACCCCTACCCCCATTATTCGCCCTAGACCGGCACAAGTGCTGAGGGCAAACCAACGTCATCTTTAATCTTCACACTCAATGTTGAGACCGAAGGACACGATCCAGCATTTGGGTGACCAACCCCGTCTCGGCATTAGTACTACCAAGACAAAACGGCTACGAACCAAGGATTTAGGGTTGAGATCAGCCAATCAATATTATTGCAGCGTATAGGTGCTCCCCTGGGAAGGCAGCACGGCCGGGATAGGGGCCTTGGTGGGTCCCCTGTTTCACCAGGAAAGGCTTGCCGAGTGAATGGTGCGGGACCATCCGAAGTGACGGTAATCCCAATTGGCTGGTGGACTGAATCGTATACAAAAATGGAGGGCAGTGAAGCTCGAGCACAGACTGAGACCACGATTTTCATAAGGCCTACTAGGCCCGACCCAATACGAAAAGGGACTTCTGGCCGGCTCTGCGTTCCGTTCTTCTTCCAATTCGCTGCAACGCGTGCGAGGATGCAGTCGTCAACAGCCGCCAGCCTGCAAGGCTCACTGAGCTCATGCAGCCGTGCCGACTTTCGCGGCTGCCCAGCTACCAAGGCATACAGGAGGACTTACATGCTCCGCCTCCTCTTTGGATGGCTAATTACGGTGGCCCTAAGTGCCGCCATTTATTCTACGGTCTTCGTTTATTCAAAGGCCGTACCAATCATGGGAAAACAAACAAAGAAGGAATACAACACACTAATTACAGCTTTTTCAATCCTCCTCAGTCTGTCGGTCAGCGGTTTTGTCGACAGAACAATACGAGACGCGCGATGGTTGTTCCTGAGTCTCCGCTTTAGACCCCGGCGCACTGTAAGTAAAGACTGTCCAGGTGGGCCCCGGGTAAGATGCTTCTAACACTGATGCACTTTTCTAGGTTGAGCTCATCTTGCAGGCGAATGGAATTATTTCCGTCCTGATACTTGCTATTAGGTCAAAAAGGTCCACTATCTACACAGCCGCACTTTTGTGGTTCCTATTAGCTATTGTAGGTTCATACGCCGCCGCAGATGGACCGCACCTGATCACTAACGAAGCCCCAGGCATCCCAAATTGGCCTTGCTACACTGGGACTATGTTACACAGTCGAGGATGCAAGCAAGTTAGCTCTGGTAGTGACTCCCGGAACGGTGGTTGTTCCAGAAATGAGCATGATTCGAACCTTCAGCACTGTCGTAGCTGGGGAAGATTATTCTAGCGCGGGCGCACAGGAATATACCGCAAACAGGTAAATAGCTTTCTGGAGAGTGCATTCAATGGAATCCTGCTGATTTTTGAGCTATCTAGCTATGGATCCATGTCCCTCATGTATGTCGAAGATATTCTCGAGGCCGCCCCTTCGAAGGGCGATTTGCGAGTCGCCTCGGACGCTCGAGTGTTCTGTGGTACCCAAGAGTGCCAATACGTCTTTCGAGAAAAGAACACACCACCAGAGGACCTGCCCGCCGATGCCGACTTCCAGCCCACCGTCGTCGCAACGGACCGCAAGATATCCAGCGCCGGGAAATGCAGCCGCCACCAGGTCGTGGCCGGAGGAGACGGCAGCAGCACCAATATCACCATTGACGTCGGAGATGGCGGGAGCCGAGCGATCCAGATCCCCTTCGCAGGAGGCACGAACCAGACCACGTACATGACAAACACGTCTGTGAGCTGCGGCCCCGGGTGCGGAGTCGTGACGGCCTTTGAGTCCTCCCCGCAGACGTCGTGGTACTACAATTGCAACGTGACGGTCGGGGCCGTCACCAATGCCACGCAACCAGAACACAACGTCTCGGAGCCCGTGCGGCTCCTCGCTGCGCAGGGCATCGCACTCCAGGGGTATGCGGTGCTCTCCTTTGTCGACGACTCGCACTCGCAGTACCAGAGCTACCCGGCCGAGACGGCGTTCGGGCTGGCGGCGGAGGGAGACGCGGACGCAATGGAGATGAGGATGGCGCGGTTTGCGATCGGCGTGATTGCCGCGGCTGCGGATTCTAATACCGAGGTGAACATATCCGGGTACCCGCCAGTGAGAGGGTCGCACGTCAAGGTCGACCACTGGGACTATGTGGCGCTGATACTGCTGTCGGCCATTGGCGCGCAGCTGGTCCTGAGTCTCGTCTTGGCCCTTATGTCATTTAAGGTCATCATTCCGCCGGAGGGACTTGTTGGGATGGCGCAGCTGCTGAGGGCAATGGCCCAGGAGACTCGGGTGATGAAGTTCGGGGAGGTTGGCGAGAAGTATTTGAGCGACGAGAGCTCTGCTTGTCGCTATTCCTCCAAGGGGTATTGCCCTGATTGCAAGTGGATCTACAGGCACAAGTTGATCTCTGAAGACGGCATTCATGATTTATATATGGAGCACCTTCCGTGTGGCAGTATAGAGGAAGGTGGATACACAAAGATAGAAGGAGGGTCAGGTTGAGGTTAATCAATGAGCATCAGGTATAGATAGATTTAAGAGGTTCTACAGAGTGAGTAGATACACCGGCCACGGTGACAAATGTAGGGATAATTCACGTAGCAATATTGACAGCTGGCACTCTAAATTACCCCGCATAAGAAAAAGGAAGGTGATGGCTATTTGCAAACGTGAAAGCATTTTCGTCTCCTAGATTAGAACTAGGTGTGTGGGAGCTCGGCTCTCAGACGCTCATAGCATCGACATACCAGTAAAGCTTACTACCACCCTATCAAGGGCTAGTCCTTCCCTACTGACCACTCTTATAATATTCATAGTACAGTAAACTATTAACCCTCTTGCATATTTAGCCCCGTACCTATCTCGCATCACTGTAGGTATCTCGCGGATTTTAAAGACTGACGGTGTAGACAAGTAGGTTCTTAATTTGTTTCTTCTACTAATTGTATGTTATATGGCTTAGAATGAGAGGTTTTTATCCGCTTGATGCAGACTAAATGAGGTGTGCCAGTCTGCTAGATTACCTAGGTACCGCAGGCAGGCCTTTCTATTCTCCCCACACACCTAAATGTAACAACATCTATTATACTTTACTATACTAGCTAACTTATTATTATTAGATCTTTATTTAAGTAATTTTAATAGAGGTATACTTTTATTAAGTAGTTTATTATAAATCTTTATATATATAATTTATAAATTTAATTTTTAAAATAAAAATAAAGTAAATTATTATTTAAATATAATAATAAAATGTTTAATAAATAATATAAATTATAAACTTTATTCTTTATTATATTCTAATTTAAATAAGAACTTATAATATATATAAAGTTTTCTAATTAATAAAAAACTTTAATAATAACTTTATTTTTATAACTAACTTCTATATTTTCTTTTAACTCTCCTATATTAGTTTTAATTCTTTTTAAAAATATATAAAAGTCTTATACCTTCCCTATCTGTAATCTACACCCTGCGGAAGCGCACGGGCCATATCTGGGCAACTCCACCCGACCCTCCCTAACTCCACCAGTATCCAGCCCACCGGTGAGAAATTTTCACTCAGCAATCTCCATAATCCCTATTTTCCATTGTAATTCAACAACAACGGTCCCGTAGCTCAGCTGGTTAGAGCGTGGTACTAATAATTCCTTGATACAAGGAATTAAATAGTGATGCCAAGGTCGCGAGTTCGATCCTCTCCGGGACCATTTCTTTTGCCTTTATGTACTATTTTTTATATGTGACTCATTTTTAAAGCTCCAATGTTCTTCATAGCATAGATTCCTTACTCTAGCATGTTGTATGTATATGCTTCTAGCTGTAGAATGCCTTTATATTTTATTCTTATAATTTTACTTTAATAAAGTACTTCTTTATTATATATCTTATTTACCTCTCCTTTTACTTAAAGTTATTTTATTAATACTGTTAAGTGGAATTTAACTGCAAATTAATCATTGGAAGAAATTCTCTTAGATATAAGAGAAGTCTAGGGTTGGTGGTGCTGTAGTTAAAGGATGGTGTTTGTGCACGGCAAGAAGTTGAACTCTGGACCTGCCCACTGCCAGTTGGGGCTTTGCTCTTATTAGCTTCATAACAGACTAAGCCCATGATATGCACTCCATCTAAACTCCGGGTAGTTGTGCTCTTGTTCCTAGCCCCTGCGACTGCGGCCTGCTTCAGCGCAGATTGAAGTGCCCGGGTACTTCCATGATAGTAGTGCAATACTCATCAACCTAGAGGCAAGCGTAATTTCCTATTAGTAGCCTCAATATCATACATATTAGCTTCTTAAATATGAGGTACAGTTGATTCGTCCTTGTCACCGGCAAGTCTAAGAAGCACACGGCTATAAATAATTAGTACCTAGGTAATTAGCTACCTTAGATGAAAGCAACCGCTAAGCGTTGCGAGGAGGAATCCTAGAGCGGGACGGAATGGTAATAAGATGTAGACCTTTCTCTATCCTATAGTATGAATGTGTAATTTAATTAATTACTTGTTTAAATTTAAATATTAAGTGTGTATTATAGATTATTTATTTTTTTAGTTCTATTATTAAGTTAAAAGTAAATAGTTAGAGTTTTAAAAAAATTAAATATAATATATTTTTTAAAGATTAGTTTAATTAAATTTATTATATAAAATTCTTTATAATAATTTTATAATTATTTATAATATTATTTATTATTAAAAAATACTTTTTTATATTAATATATTAAATTATACTTAATTTATTAAAAGTTAAAGTTATTATAAACTATAGATTAATCTTAATATTATTAAATATTATATATAAAGGTTTTAACTATACTATATTTTTCCTTTACACTATATAACTATCTTTTAATTTAATTACTTATTTCTTTTTAATAGTTTAAAGCTTATATATAAAGTCTTTAATAATTTTATATATATTTTTATAGTTTTTTAAAAGGAATTTTAAATTTATTTTTTCTTTATTTTTATTATATTTTTATACTATTAAGAAATTAATAATTATTAATAATAAAAATATAAACTTAAAGAAAGATAAGCTTATTATATCCTCCTTTTATTTTTTATAAATTACTTTTAAGACTTTTTTAAAAGTTCTAATACTTTATTATAAAAGTTTTAAAATAGTATATTATAAATTATTTCTTTATTTTAAATTCTTTTAAAGTTAACTATATACTTTAATAAAGGCTATAATACTTACTTAATAAAGTCTTATTAATATATATATATATATATATATATATATTTAAAGGGATGATTTTTAGTTAAGCCTCTTTTAATAATCTTTATTTATATAATAACTATTTTTAAAGATTTAATTTTATTATATAACTTCTTTATAATAATTAAACTATAACCTACTTTTATTTATAATTAATATTATTATTAAGATAGTACCCTTTAACCTTATTTATATATTATAAAATTAAGATTATAAGTACTTATTATATTATAATTATTATTATTAATATTATATTCTTTTAAATATTAGGTTTTAAGTATTTATTACTATATAAAGGTATTATATATATCCTTAAATATATATAAAATAAAAGTAAAACTATATTATATATAAAATTATTATATAATTTAAATAAATTAATTAAAATAAGTAAAAATAAAGTTATTATTCCTTTAAAAGTTCTAACTTTATTTAAATAAACACTTATTAAGTATATATTATTTAATTAAAGTATCTTCAGATATACTATATATACCTTATTATTAAATCCTTAGATAATTAGGGTAAAGTTATAAAAATATTACACCTTATAAAGTATGTGGTGTTAATGAAGGAGTCAGTCCCGCCCGGCTCTCGCCCAGAAAAACTCCTCACTACCTATGTACCCTCAATTGTGAAGTTTTCGACCAAAAATATATTCATTGCCAGTGCATACTTCCGTAGTTACTGCCGTGCTGTGCAAACGTAACACGACGTCCCACCGGGGCAGTAGACATCCTGTTCTTGTTCGCCCTCATGTTTGTGACTCGCAAAGCTGCACCTACCAAGTCCGGTTCAGGTGGAATTGTCTCGGACCCGTACTTGGCCTGGCGTATCACGCTATTTCACGTGATACCCGTTAAGCTCCTTGGCGCGGCTCCCTTCAAGAGTCAAAAGAACGACGGGTTGTCTCGCGGCAGTTCCGAGACTGTCCCTTAATTTTTTCTCTTACGGCCCCTGGAGCCTCGACAGAAGGAACGATACACACCGCCCGAAAGATATGAGCTCAATTGCATCTGCTCGACGACCCGTGGAGTCGAGGCTGGCGTCCTCCTCTTCCGCGGCGTGGAGCGGCTGTCGGGATACCCTCTTGGCCAATTGGCACATGGGCGTAACCGCCTTTGGCGGGCCACCTGTGCATTTCCAAATTGTGAGCGTGCTAGCAATCACAAACTTCCATGGTGGCCTGCTGACAGAGACATTTCTTAGTTCTACAAGAAATTCGTAGAACAGGAGGAATGGATCGATGAGCAAACTGTATGCACTGAGGATCCCGGCCAAGCACTGGAAATACTGATAACTTGTAGTATCAAGAGTTGTTCGCCGTGTGCCAGGCGCTCCCCGGGCCGGCTAGTACCAAAATGCTGTACTGTATCAACTCGATCCACGGCGGTTGGGCGATGGGAATTTTATCCTTCGCCTTATGGAGGTGAGCGGCACGATGTTTGCGAAGCGACATATTTCCAATTGGCACTAACAGTCTACTGCAACTCAGCCTACCTGGAGCACTTGGAATGTATGGGCTGTCACTTGGGATATCTCAAGTTGGTGAACGACTCCCTGCCCCTGTGTATGCACTCTTGTCAGGTCTCAACTCGGCCACAGTCGGCATCATTGCCTTAGCAGCAGTGCAACTGGCCGAGAAGGCGATCACCGACAAGTTGACGCGTATCATTGTCTGCTTTGGTGGCGCTGCCGGCATTTTGTATTCCTCCCTCTGGTACTTCCCCCTCCTGATGGTGGCTGGGGGGCTGGCAACGGTGGTGTGGGATCTGCGGATAGGACACAAAGCTTTGAACTGGGCACGAAACATAATATCGTTACAAAGCACCCAGGAACACAGGCAAGCCACTGGGGATCCAGTAAGAATCGAGTCGCAGGACCCGATCATTCAGCAACCGTCAGCCACGATATCTGAAAGCAGCGTCCAAATGAGGCGAAATCGGACGCGGCACATGCAGGACACGCTTCCCGTCACGGAAACAGCACCATCGCAACAGGACGAAGCGATCAGCAGCTCACAGCATCCGGTTGTCCAACAAAACCAAATACTCGCGCTGCTCACCTGGAAGCGCGGGCTTCTAATAATTACCGTCTTCCTCGCCTCGTTTGTCACAGTCCTCACACTGCGCGGCCTGCTGCGAAACCCGCCCCGAGGCTTCTCACTCTTTGCCAACCTCTACCTCGCCGGGACCATCATCTTTGGAGGCGGGCCGGTGGTCATCCCACTTCTCCGGGAATACATCGTCGCAGAGGGCTGGGTCTCTGCACGGGACTTCCTGCTGGGCCTCGCAGTCATCCAGGCGTTCCCCGGGCCCAACTTCAACTTTGCAGTTTATCTCGGATCCCTAGCTGCCGCTAACACACCCCTGCCTACTTTTGTGGGCGCCCTTGTCGCCTTCATGGCTATATTTGCCCCCGGTATGATAATTGTGTCTGGTGTCATGGGGTTCTGGAAGGAGCTGAGATCCCGGAGGTGGCTGGTGTCACTCCTGAGGGGGGTCAATGCGGCTGCTGTCGGCCTGGTGTATACGGCTGTCTACAGACTTTGGCAGATTGGGCTGTTGGATGAGACCAAGTCCAACGGAAGCCCTCTTGGCGGCGACCCGTGGTGGGTGGCCATCACCGCGACGAGTTTTGTCGGTGGGCGATGGTTTGGGCTGAGCGCGCCTTTGGCGATATTACTTGGCGGTGTTCTGGGCATGATCTGGTATGCTATCGTTGAAGCTTGAGGCGACTGCTTTCGAGGTTAATTATGTAGTGGTTTCTTTCATAATCCCCATAAATATAAAACGTTTGCAACGCCTTCATGAAGTGGTGAACACTCAAGACCCAGCTTTTAAAAAATACAGCGCCACCTTAAGACGGCGTGGCTGTTTCTCGTTGGTCGTGTTTCCATGAGCAACAACACCACAGTAGTAACGTTGCCTCTTCTGTAAAGATGAATACCCACGCTAATTTGACGGAAATTTCTGACGGGTTTGGTGTTGATGGCTTGAAAATATAGAGACGTTTCATCAGGTCCAATATGTCCTCTATCCAACCTCTTCGGCAACAATTCCGCGGAACTCGCCATACGAAACTTTGATGTGATGACCACGAGACTGGATTAGCAAGACTCATAAGCTTTTCAGTTGTTAAATTCAATCGAAATGCATCGGTACAGACCGTCGCGTCAATTTACTGGAGGTCTGCTAGGGTAGAAAGCTCACGACTAGCCAGCTTGACCAACATTAAGCTTTCAAAATTGCCAGCCTGATGCCACTATGGTTTGGACACATGGGAATAGACCGCACCTTGAATCAGCAAACACTCATGGATGCGAACCCTTTGCCAGGACTCCGCATCATGTTTTTGCAGGGTACAATTAGGCATACCCTTCCGAATGCCTCATGAGATGGGAATTGTAAATTCTACGGAAAACGGCACATAACCACATTAAATCAATTTGCTATGCACCTCCACGTCCAGGTCAACTACCTTGCGCCTGGACATGCCGATAGGTTCACAACAGGACAAGATTCAACATCTACATAAGATACTAAATTTCCTCCTTTAAGTAGTTTCATTTTCAATCCCTATATATATAAAATATATATAGCGCCTTTATATAGTAATAAATATTTAAGATTTAATATTTAAAGAAATATAATATTAATAATAATAAAAAAAGAATATAATATATAAATATATAATTAAGCTTTATATTATATAGATTAAATTAGAAGGTATTATTTTTAATAATACTATATTAGAAAGTTAATAAAGTAGTTATATAATAAAATTAAAATAATCTTAAAATAACCTTTATAAGAAAAGAATCTTATAATATAAAACTTAATAAGTTAGTTTTCTCTATTAATATACTTATTATATAGTTATTTAAGTCTACCTTTATTAAATAAATTAAACTATAATCCTTATTTTAAATATATAGTTATTAATAGAATAATAATATTATAATAATAAACTTATTTAAAAAGTCTTTTATATAAATTTTATAAAAGATTAAAACTTTTAAAAGTTAAGAAGAATTTATTTACTATATATTAAATAAATACTATATAAAAAAGTAAAAATCTAAATACTTAAGTATTAAATCTTTCTCCTTTAAATATATTACTTTATTATTAAAGATTTATTTACTTTTATATAATATATAAAGAATATAGTAGAAAAGGGAGCTTTATAAAGGAAGTTAGTAACTTTATTATATATAGATAAGTTTAAGAGTATATATTAAGTAATTATTAACTTTATACTTAAGGTATAAGCTAATAGTTAGTCTAAAAGCTAAGAAGATAATAAATAGATAAATAGTTAAATAAAAAATACAATATAGCTAAAGCCTTCCTCCTTTAAAAGGTCATTCAGGAGCATCCTCATTTATTCAGCAACGGCCGGCCGCTGCTTGGCCACATGCCTGATCTGAGAACATTTAAATCTCCCAATATCAAACTACCACTTTACTATGAAGTTACAGGAAGATGACAGATTTGCAGAGCGCCTTCCCCGACGCCGCAGGTATTAAAGCCAAGTACGGCGAGGTTGTATCGGTTCCGGAGGGCATCGACGGCATCTTCGTGATCACCCCCGCAGGATTCCCCGAACAACCCGGTATCAGAAACCTGGCCACGGCACTGAAAAAGGCCAATAGGGCCCAAATAGGTTCGCTTGTATGAGGATAAAAAGAATGTGGTATCGCTTCAGACAGTACTAATCGCTGGAGACTCAGCGTTTAAAAAAACGATGCCAATAAATCGTCCGCCCGCTGGGTGGATTCCCGGATGCGCTATCAAGCTAATATATACATATGGCTGGAGGGTAGCCGCTTCCTTTACCTAGAGTCGACCCAGAAATGGTCATTCATGGGTGAATGGTCTGGGGTATAATATCGAAAGGACTACTCCGTAACCCTCCTAGTCACGAACTCGCGTCTTGGCGGAGCGGCCGAAGAAGCACGGTGACACAGCAGCAGGCTCGGAAATCTCGGAGCAGGCGTTTGGCCAAACACCGTGGAGGTATCTGGCCGCTGATTGCAGCCGGTGCGGTATGACAATGTTCTTGCAGACCATTACTCGAAGCTGACTGGTTCCACCCGGCATTTGAGTTTGGTAGGTCCAGGCAGTCCCTGCAAGTCAAGCTGCCGTGTGGCCTTCCGGGTCGCAATCCCTCGCGGCTCGGCTGCCTCGGGCTTTTCTATCTGAGTTTTGGGCTCGTCCTCCCCTCTGCCCCCTATTCCCATTTATATCCGACCCACTCGCGTCTCGGCGAGAGTATAGACGTCAGAAACGTGAGCTGTATGGCTGCAGGTCATTCTTCTGTGGGGTCTTGTGTGGGCCTTTGTAATCGATCCAGCACGAGTGCCGAACTCCCACTTCGGCCCTCGGCCGGTGCTCACGCCCAAAATGTTCAGTAATTGTAATTCGGCCGAGCCAAGGCGCTCGGTTGACCGGCACGAGCCGAATTGCAACCCCGAAGGATGAACAAGCTTTGCGGCGCATTGTGACGCATGGCGCCCGCATGGCTTTTCCCTCCTGACGGCTCAGCTCAAGGTTCATCGCTGCGTGACTCGCGCCTTGGGGATCGATCTCGTGCTCCTGGCTTGGAGCGCGAGCTGGGGGACAAATGGGGCAAGGCGTGCATGTGCTGGGATGGCCGGTCCGGAGGTTTTACACGGCTGACGGAGACAATTGTGGACCACTCTTGCAGCTGTCTTCGGTCACGGACTCGTCAATGATACCTACCTCTGTACGTACGGATATCGGCGTTGGGACGCCACTGTCAGGGGAAGCATGAAGAGCAACAATCATGCGTCTTCCAAGATTTAGCCGAGAGGGTGGTCCGCGCTGGACAGACTTCGAGGATAAAAGTCGGCCACCTACCTCCTCATGGACAATTGTGGAGTTTCAATACACGTCTTCAACACTCGACTCTTACCTGAACACATTTCAATCTAAACAGCTTTGACCTGAACAGTTCACAATCAAAAGAGCTACAACAAAGATTTCTCGGATTGAAACGGCAATCTGACTGATACCCGAGCAATATTTTCGACAGAACTACACGATACACTCAGATCTACGAATCCACCTGACATGGGATCAGTTGCCAACTTGAGCTCCACACCTTACGGCAGACGTCTACTGCCAACACTTATCGACGAGGTCTCCAGCCAAGACCCGAACCGAGAATGCTTCCAGATCCCGCGCTCTTCGGAGCCATCCGACGGATGGCGTGTCCTCACATGGAAGGACATGGCCAACGCGGTCAATCATTGTGCACACAGAATTATCGAGGTTTGCGGCACGCCTGAGAAGGACACCTTCCCGACCATAGCCTATCTTGGCCCCAACGATGTGCGGTACATCGTGATCATGATCGCAGCTGTGAAGGCTGGATATGCGGTAAGTACCATCCTGCCACACTTGGGTCGACTGCCTGGTGCTGACGCAAACACAAGGCCCTTTTCATCTCTCCGAGAAACTCCAAAGAGGGCCAGCTGAACCTCTTTGACAAGACAAACTGCAAGACTCTAGCCTTCGCTGGCACACAAAAGCAGAGTGTGCAGCCACTGCTGGCGGAGCGGGAAATGCAGGCAGTCGAGGTCAGCCCGCTGGAGGCCTGGTTCCCAGAGGAGCAGGTCCCCCACTTCCCGTACACGAAGACCTTCGACGAAGCCGAGTGGGACCCCATGCTCGTCCTCCACACGAGCGGTAGCACCGGCCTTCCAAAGCCCATTGTCGTGCGGCAGGGAATGTGGAATGCCATTGACGGCTTCCACGACTTGCCGCTCTGGGAGGGCAAGAAAGTCTCCTACCGCGAATGGGCAGACCGCTCGAAGCGGCATTTTGCCCCCATGCCACTTTTCCACATGGCCGGTCTCATGTGTGCGGTCTCGATGCCCCTATTCTGGGATTCCCCGGTGTGCTTGGGCATCGCGGAGCGCCCACTGTCCGCCGACCTGGTAATAGAGTGCCTGGACAACATGGAAGTACAGTCCGCGGCCCTGCCACCAGCGATTATCGAGGAAATGACCCAGTCAGAAGAGGGCTTGCGGGCACTGACAAAGCTGAATATTGTTGCATTCGGCGGTGGAAACCTGGCTCTTCAGGCAGGGAACAGGATAACCAGGCGAGGCACCAGCATCATGAATTCGATCGGCACCACCGAGTTCGCCCCGTTCCCAACGTACGCACCAGATGACCCGGATCTGTGGCAGTACTTTATCTATGTCCCTGAGATCATGGGCTGCGAGTTCCGGAAGCAGGGTGACGAGGAGGTCTACGAGATGGTCTTTGTGCGACAAAAGGGCAACGAGCATCCCCACCCTGGTCTTCAGGGTATCTTTTACACTTTCCCCGATCTAAATGAGTGGAGTACTCGCGACTTATACCGCCCCCATCCCACCGAACCGAACCACTGGATCTATCACGGCCGAGCGGACAACATCATCGTCTTCAGCAATGGTGAGAAGCTGAACCCGGTCACCATCGAGGAAATTGTCAGTGAGCACCCAAGCCTGAAGGGTGCTATGGTGGTCGGAGCGGAGAAGTTCCAGGCAGGCCTCATCCTCGAGCCTCGTGTGCATCCAAACACAAAGGAAGACGAGAAGACTCTTTTGGAAAACATCTGGCCTTTGGTTGAGAAGGCAAATGTGGCGACGGTTGCTCACGGACGTATCAGCCGTGATCTGTTAACCTTGTCGAAACCCGACAAGCCATTCCCACGTGCTGGCAAGGGAACAATTCAGCGGGCTTTCACAGTCAAACTGTACAAGGATGAGATCGATAAGCTTTACGAGAATGCCAAGGTCGATGAGAATTCAGAGGAGGTGGTCGAACTCGACTTGAAATCTGAGGAGTGTTTGGCCAAGTCTATTGTCGAGACACTCCGCAAGTATGTCGCGGCAGAAATGCTGGACGTGGATATCGACTTCTTCGCAGCCGGTGTCGATTCTATGGGTGTGATGAAGGCCGCAAAGCTTCTTCGGGCCGGGTTGAAGAGTGCAGGCCACCCCGTCGAGGAGAAGGCTGTCGCATCTAGAGTCATTTACCAAAACTCTACACCACAACGGCTGGCAGCGCACATCCTGAGTCATGTTCTTAATGGGCAGGGCCAGGATCTGAGCGAGGACGAGCAACAACAGCAAGCCATGGATGCCATCTGGAAGAAATACACCAACAACCTCACCGAGGCGCAGGCGAACAGGCCCGACCCAAGGAACGACAACCAGACAGTGATCCTCACTGGTTCCACCGGCATGCTAGGATCCTACCTTCTCAGTTTAATGATTCATAACCCCCGCGTTGCGAAGATCATCTGTCTCAACCGCGCAGCAGATGGCGGTCGCGCCCAGCAGACTAAGGCCTTCGCCGACCGCGGCCTGGACACGAGCAGGCTGGAAACCAAGGCCGAGTTCTACCATGCTGACCTCGCCAAACCCCATTTTGGCCTGCCCGAAACTGTCTACGCCCGCCTCCAAGCGGAAGCAGACCGAGTCATCCACAACGCCTGGCCCGTGAACTTCAACATCCCCATCGAGTCATTCGAGCCCTCTCTCGCAGGTGTCCGGCACGTGGCCGACCTCGCTGCCTCTGCAGCCCGCCGTGTCGCCGTGACCTTCATCTCATCCATCGCCGTCGCGGACAGGTGGAACCCAGCGAGCCATGGGGCGCCCAAGGTCCCTGAGCACCGGTTGGAGGACCTGGCACTCCCCAACGGCGGTTACGGCCGCAGCAAGGCGGTCGGCAGCTTGATCCTCGAGGACGCCGCTGCGGCGACGGCGGGCGACTTCCCCTACGCTATCGTCCGCGTGGGCCAGGTTGCTGGGCCCGAGGCAGAGGCGGGCAAGTGGAACCCCCAGGAGTGGCTGCCCAGCATCATCGCTAGCAGCTTGTACCTGGGTGCGCTCCCGGCGCACCTCGGGTCTATGGACAGGGTTGACTGGACGCCCGCGGAGCGGATCGCGGGCTTGGTCCTCGAGGCGGGTGGTGTCTCCCGGGTGGTGGAGCGGGCCGATGATATCTCGGGCTATTACCACGGCGTGAACCCGCACGAGTCCCAGTGGCCGGACCTGGCCCTCGCGGTGCAGGAGTTCTACGGCAAAGGGAAGATCCCTGAGATGGTCGACTTCGGGGAGTGGGTGGAGAGGCTGGAGAACACGCAGGCGGATGGGCCCGAGACTGTGGCCCGTAACCCAGGTGTCAAGCTTATTGACTCTTATCGCGATATGGCTCAGGCTGCTGGGGCTGTGGTGTATGCTATGGATAAGACCGTTGAGAGGTGCCAGGGCGTGATGGAGACCAAGGCTGTTACACCCGCTATGATGAAGCACTGGTGCAAGCACTGGGGTTTCTAATTCAGATTAGGGCGGCAGATAGCGAACTCTTACCAGCGATAGAGATATAGATCAATCTGTACTTAGCTTTTTGATTGTGATGAGAATTCATTTCTTATCTGGTTGAAGTTGTGTCCTTGTCAGTATCTGCCCCTCGAATCTAGCTCCACACCACATTTGCAGGCCGAGAACATAAGCTCCAAGCGTGTGTTTAACATCTCAGGCCACCTGACCATCCATGCCTAGATTTATTGGGTGGTTTTGGTTTCAAGACTCCGTTAGTGTTCTCACTCGACGTGCGGATATGAGTAATGGGCATCTTCGTGCATGGCTTCTGTAGTCACACGTGGGCCAACTCATTCAGCAGTAAAAGGGACATCTCTATGATGGTCTTTAAGATTATACTGGCACTATTGACATTAGTTTACACCTTCATAAAGACACTTAGAATGAAGCGTCATGCATCTTTTGACTCCTATCTAGGTAAACACGACACTCATTCCACCAGACGCCATGACAATCTATCCATGTAACCAATGTTTGTCCCTATTGTCCGCACGGCAACACCAGTAGGCATACTCGGGTCTACCCCAACTACCATACCTAGGTATCCGTCAAGCAACGATAGTTAGCCAAATCTGCCATTATATAATTCGAATCAAGTGCCGTTTCGTGGCAAGGTCAAACGAATGCGGCCAATGAGGCAATCCCCGGTCTTTCTGATGGTAATCCAAAATGTGCTTGTAAGTGAGCTTATCACCCCAGCCAGATAGTTTCGTCAGGCCAATCCGACGGAACGTGGCCCTCCTTTCTGAGAGTTTCAGGTGTTTGACTTGTTCATCATCGTCTGCTTGCTGCAGGACCAGGCAGACAATGTATTTGGAGTCGTTGTCTTCCGACCTTGGGCCAACTGCCGCTGGAAGGCAGTAGACCTTTTCCGAGTCGAATATTCCCCGTCTTTGATCGTCGGTTGGCGCATCAAGATAGACGTTGTAATGCTTCTCACGATCAATTTCACGAGATTTACAACAATCGTTGTTCTGACAGATGCCGTTTCGGTCCAAAAGCCGCCAATAGAACCTGCCCGGGTCGCCTCTGGAGAGCTCAATTCTCCTCAGTTTGCCACGGACCATGATGTAGCCACCAGTCACGAGGCCAAATGAATTATCTGTCTCGCTCTCGATGAATACCTCACTGTCGCCTGTCCCGACCTCAATCAAAAGATCTCGGTCTGTCACTTCGCCATATGTAATGCCGTTGCTTGGTAGGTCGTTGAGCCCATTTTGTGCGTCCACAGAGGCCCAGGAGAACGACGGCGCTCTGAATTTCTCGGGGCGTCGGCCTGGCTGGTGGAAACTTCGATTGTGCCGTATGAATATGGGCTCAACCCTCCATAGAAGCTGACTCTCCAGGTACTTGCGCCACAATCCAGCCACATATGTCGCGGGTTTTCCTTCGGAGCCGAAGATGGTTGTTGACATAAGTTGTGCGATACCGTACAGAGCGATGAGTTTGTCCTTAGGAAGCGTCAAATTCATCTTGGAGTACATCTCAACCACTCGTGCCCAAAGCTCGAATCCGTATAGATATTTCTCTGGAATGTGAGGGTCGGGTTCCTTGGCATCTCCAAGCCGGATCCTCCTTAATTCTTTGCCATGGGTGAACGGGTTTAAACCCTTAAGTGGCACCTCCGGCAGAATCTTATCGTGCTGCAGGCCAAACCTAGGGAGGCCGGTAGGGTGGCCTTCCGCCCTTGTGAATCCACCACATTCCCAGGCAATGCTGCCTTTGCAGAAATGCAGGACCCTTGGGGCAAGGAGCCGTTCTTGGAGAACCCAGGCCCTAACATTGACAGGGGCCTTGTTGACCAAGTTGTCCCAGTGCGAGATATCGATGATGACACATCTGCGGAGGCCTTCGGGTTCCGGAAGGGCCAAAGTCAACGGCTTCTCGCCGCCCCAGTCAATCTTTGCCACGGGCTCGGCCTGTTTTCCAATTGTTTGCTTGGGGCCGCTGAAGAGCTGCACAAACCATTTCCAGAAGGACGGACCAGCTGAGCCTCCTTGGGGCCTTACAATCGCCCCTTTGCGATCGTGGATGTGCTTCTCCTCATGCAGTGCTAGACCGGGGATACCGTCAACTTTGAGGTTCACTTCGTCTTCCCAAAGACTCCTACAGTCACGCTCAGTATATAGACCAACATCACTGTTCGAAGCAGCAGTGGCAGATATATTGAGATACGACTCCCGATACACACGTTGCATCAGGGCCGCCTCATGAAGCCAGTCCTTTTCGAAGCCGGGGCCGCTCTGGTAGATGCACAACGAGTCGATCCATATCCAGCCGACATTGTGCAGTTGTGAAGCAAAAGTGATTGCATCTCTAAACGTCTTTGGAAGCTTCTCGATCTCAATTCCATTTTTGAGCTGGGCATATGTGTTCGGTTCGAGACGCAAGGGCTGGACTTGACCCCAGCAATGACTCAACGTTACATAGAGATTGTTTGGTTGATTGCTGTGGCCCGCGACCTCACTGAACACATCCAGACCATTGCGAGCATCGGTGCGGGGTCTTTCGACGAGCTTAACGGTGACCTTATCGAGGTCTTCCAAAGTCTCTCTGCCGTCGAGAACTTTGCCCGTATACTGCATTCTTCGTGCATCCAAGTAGGTTTGAGACTTAAGCGTCCTGATGTCGATCAGACGAGTGGGATACCAACTCGGCTTCTGCTTTGCGCAGGCTGGGCTGCAATTTGTGTCGCACTGCGTGATCCAGGTCAAAGCGAGCTTGAAAACCTCGCTCGAGGATGTTTCCCCAGACATAGGAGTTCGGAATGGCGCGATCTTTTCACCTACAGCTGATATTTAGCATTGCCGTTTCCACTGCGTCAGCTCAATCCTGAGGTCCTCATACCGGTTTGTTTGAGAACAAAAGTCCTCTTCACGGTGTTCGGATCATGGTCGCCAAAGACCCATTCCAACTTGAAGTCAAGCCGGAACACATCTTCATCCTCAATATCGTGAATTACTCCAAGCAAAGCAATGCTTTGAGTCAGTTGAATCTGAGCCTGGTCATCGTCCAGCTTATTCGGCGCTTGGTCTTTATGCATCTCATGTTCCGACCCGAATTGCTTCTTGGCGCCCGTCATGAGCTCCTCGTATAAGACTCGACATATTCCACAGCCCATGCTATGGGATGCCTTCAGTGTGTTGATGGATACATGGTGGTCGAAGTGCAGGTCGTATGTGCCTCTCCACTGCCTCCCAATCTGCCCCCGTAACATGCGCCAGCAGATTTCGCAGAGCATCGTTGGGGCAGAGCGATCGGTCCGTCTTGTAGTCACGGAACGGCCCGATCAGGTGTGGTAGGTAGCCTTGGCGGAGAAGTCGAAGTAGAAAAATGAACGATCTAGCCAGGTTCAAATGTTCCTAGTGACGCTCCACGCTCACCCATATAACAGACGGCTGAAAAGCTCGAGGGGTGCATTGAGTGCCACAGCCTCACCCTGAGTGGAGAGGGGTTATGCCGAGAGCATTCATCGCCTGCATGTGTTCCGGGAGGGTTACATTGTGTAAGCTTGGTCATTTCCGCGGCTCACCGAGTCCTTCGGGTGGCTGGCCGTTCAGCGCCTGAGGGGTGATAGAATCCCCCTCGTCTCGGCCGTCTCACTGCATTAGCGCCACATTTAGTCGCCCAGCTTTTGGGTGCGAAATGTGACACCACATGGTTAAATCACGTGTCACTGCAGATTCCGCCCCTCAAGGCAGTTTTCTAGGCTGCAGCGGGCTGTGCCTCTCGCGCCGCGATCTTCAGTTTCGATGCCCAAGTTCAAATTGCCAGAGAATCCCTCGATGCTTTGCTTGCCTGCGCATTACTTGCACACCAACGTCACCCATCTCAACTTGCCCAGGATATACCTAGGTAGCCTTGACTGGGGCATACTTCCTCATTGCGACTCGTTCCAAGTTACTCATCATGTCGAGACTAGTCCCCGACGTGGTGTGGGCAGAGGATGAGATCGACTTCTATGGCACGAAAATTCCTCTTTATCTTCCAAGTTCCATAAGTCGGGATGAGCTGGAAGGCATGAAGGCGTTCGCGGACTGGAAGGAGACTCTACATAAGAACCTCGCACTACAAAGGACCGAAGACCATGCTTTTCACGCGCACCCGTACAGCCTGAAGTCAATCGAGGTCAAATCCGTCACCAAGTTCGGAGAGGGTAACGTCGGGTTCATCACAATTGATGCGGCCGTGGAACGAGATGAAATCGACGGCGAGTCACGTAACATCTCAAAGACTCTTCCGGGTACAGCCTTCCTCAGGGGCGGCAGCGTGGCGATGCTCATGATACTCCGGCCCAAAGACTCGAGGGACGAGCGCTATGTTATCCTGACCGAGCAGCCGCGCCTTCCAGCGGGATCGCTCCAGTTCCTAGAGATCCCGGCAGGCATGCTGGACAATTCAGACCACTTTTCGGGCAAAGCTGCGAAAGAGATTGAGGAGGAGACGGGCTTCAAGATCCCGACCAGTGAGCTGATCGATATGACCGAGCTGGCACTGCGTGGCTCGGACCACCCGGAGAAGAGCCTTAAAAAGGCCATGTACCCCAGCCCGGGGGGATGTGACGAGTACATTGCGCTGTTTCTGTGGGAGAAGGAGTTGGACCGGCAGGAGATCGAGGACCTGCGTGGGAGACTGACTGGGGAGAGGACCCAGTCCGAGATGATCACCCTGCATGTCAAAGAGTACGAGGCTCTCTGGAGGGATGGTGCCAGGGACGCAAAGACGCTGGCGGCTTGGGCGCTTTACGAGGGCTTGAATCGGTCGGGTGAGCTGCAAAAAGAAAAGAAGCGGAAGAGAGAAAACAGCAATAGCTCTCAGTCATCCCAGGAGAATTCCCGGGCCCGGAAGACGGCGAAGAAGTTGTAATGCGAAGAGTGTATCAGGGTGTCAGGGATGCTTGTACAGCCAAGGTGGAGGTCTCATTAATGAAGCCCTCTTCTAGTGGTGTCGATTTTACGCCTCAATGAGCTCGGGGACTTCAAGTTATGCCCAATGATTCAAATGGTCCGTGTTTTATACAACATCTCAAGCTGTAAAGTCTTGCAGCCTCCTGGAATGGACCCCGTGGGCCTGATTGGCTTCCGGTGTCCACACTTGTGCTCTGCAGAGCAGCTGTATGGTCATCGCGGACTGTATGAGTCCTTCCGTTGGCGGCCGAGCACGAAGATGGAACGAAACTCCCTCTGACCCCATAGTGATGTAATCCGACGGGGTGGCTACTCTTCTAATACCTAGGTACTCTGGGAACCTATTTGCAAGCCCGTCCACATAGCTACGGAGTTGCCATTTTTAGAGCCACAGTGCGGTCTACTCTTGTGATCGGAGTTTTGTAGCAATCAACAATAGAGTCTATACTGAACTACCTGCTAATAAACTACTTTAACTTACAATCCTGACAAGTTACACCCACAGCATTTCCCAACGAATTGATACACTTGACGAGGCCGTTCGACGATTGACGGAGTCGTGCCCTGAACTGAAAGATAAGTTCAGCAAGGGTTGGGCCGACTGATGTAACACGCTTGGTATGGAGGCTTGGGTAAGAGGAGAGGTGCAAGTCAATGTGTAGCATGGAGGCACGAGGCGAGCACTGGGTTGAGCGGCACGTATTGGAGCAGACCGTTACAACACCGTGAGCATAACATAGATACCTGTTAGGCTGCTGGGCCACCTGCGATAGGATAAATTCTAACAGAATCTTCGCCTGGACAGTCTCCCTGGACACTTGCATCCACTCAGCTGCCATTGGCACATCTAGAACTTGAATGGTACAAAACTCTTCTGTTCATCCATTTTTTTTCATTAAAACATAAGTATCATGGTCATGAGCTCGGTGAATCTATTCTAACTTGATTTCCCCTCCTCTGATAGCGTCTTAACGGCTTCCTGCACAAGCTCCATCAAGCTGGTTTCCTCAACACTGATGTCTGCAAAATGCCATTCATCGCGCTTGGACTTTCCCTTCCCAGTCACGAGCTCGCCGCGGGTCGTATAGTAGTGTATTCCCATCATCTTGGCCAAGTTTTTGAATCCCTTGTGGTCCATCTCCGGTGGACGGATTTCAATTACCGCACCGTGACCCGGCCGCATGAACATAGTGTGGGTAAGGCCTGCGCCATGCACCCCAACCAGTATGTCCGTCTGTTGTATTAGCTTCAACTGCTCCGTGAATGACATGTCGCCAAGATCTACCATCTTCGCGTTCACTTCGGGGAATTTCGATTGGATAACGCGCAGCAGTTGATCCGCGCCGACGAGTTTGCGCGACCCCTTCCGGTCGATAAGAGTCAGTTCAAGTTTGCGCTTGAACCACGATGATGACTTCTTTGGAGCGGGCAAGTCGTAATGCCTTTTGATGCGGTCAATGAAAACCTTGAGGTTGACCGAGGTGGTACAGTCGCGATCATCCCAATCGTTTTGCCACAAGGGATTGGCGGCCCCTGGCAAGGGCACGATGATGTTCTGTAGGCCCGAGACTAGGTGCTCGTACTTGTCTGGCTCGTCACGAATTGCCGAAAGTCGAACGGGATGAGACCCAGTGAGGAGTGACCAGAGTTCGTATAGCGGTCCCTCCGGCTCGTCATCCACGACCACGACTTGGGTATCGTGAGCTAGGGCTGAGGTGGTAAGCAACGGACGGCTGGCATCGGAGCTCGGGTCTTCGGCGCTGGTGTTCTCTCGGCTCATGCGCAGTACGTCAAGCGAGTACGCCATGGACCATATTTCCATCAGGTTGTGCCAGAAGTTCGTGTTGCCCTCACGCTTGATCAAGACGGTGTATCGTGGGGAGGATGCAGCGTCCGAGTTAACGGTGCCTGGTTGGTCGTTTGAGATAAGGCCAAGCCCTATATCAACGACTCGGTTGAAAACGATCGGCGCGCCAGTCTCATACCAGTGCTCTTTCATTTCCTCAAAGGCAGTAATCCCTTGTTTTAACTGCGTCCTCTCCGGTCTTCTAACCTCGCAGTCGACGGCGTACTTGTTGTTCTGCCGGTTGAAAAGTGCACCTTGAGCGATGCAGAGGGAGTCCCTGCCGATATCAGCCGCGCGGGTGCCATGGAAGCATGTTAAGCGGCTGGAACCGGAGGAGCAATACTGAAATCCATGGTTTCTGAAATCTTCCAGGTAGTCTGGTTCGAAACGGTTGGTGCAAAATTCCGATTCTGCATCGGTTTGGACCGTCTCCGAAATGGCTCGGTACTCCGGCGGTGCCGGAAGAGGTCCACTTTCCGGAAGAGCCTCCTGAGCCTCCCAACCCGAGCTCAAGAATCCTCCACCTGTCCCATGATTCAATCGGTTTCCTGGGATTGGAGACTGATTATAGTAAACAAAAAGACATAACAATATGGCTAAGAAAATGAGCAAGTGCCTTATCCGGCCACTAGGACATGTGCTAAGGATCATTTTGTTCCAAAGAAGCGGATGTTCTAGGCTCCTTTTAGGCGCCTATGCATACCGCGAGGGTTAAGGGGAGATGCAGATTGAAGGAGTGAATGCGAAGAAAAGACATGAAAAGCAACCTTGTTGAACTGACACTGACCAGGCACATGCTTTGGAAGTACGCGACCACTGTGACGTCTGCGTTTTCGCGGGCGTCAAAAGGAACTGGCTCAGGATTGCGACAAGAGGACGGAGGGGGGAGAAAAAATCCAATCCGGTACTATTGGCGAGATTGGCGTTCTCCCCTGTGGGCCCAACTGAACACGCGGTATGTCAGCTTTTGGAAGTAGCACGACATGACCGCTTTTAAGCATGTTGGTTGTACAATGCGCCAGAGGCCCACACCTGAGTCGAGCACAGCAATGATCAGCAAACAGTCCCCATAAAGCGCTTATGCAAATCCATTCGCCTGACAGGAAGGAGGATTCTGCACCCGAGGTGCCGCCTTGTATACCCACACGCCTACGCGAGCTGATGTGTTATCAACGAACCAACATGCAGACTTTCAAACTGGGAGTGATCCACTGAGTCGATCGCCATTCCACAACTCAGGCTGTCACGGTGAGCATTTGAGATATGTGCCCTTTGCTGCAGATTGAGGGAAATGGTGATACTGTTCGTTTGATTGATACGTTTTTTGGTCTGGGCTTCCCTTCTGTACCTAAGTATTTAGCACACGATTGATAGTGGGTTGTTGTCTTACCTAGACAAGCCACGATTGGGCACATGGCAGAGATTTAACCCACTGATGCTCTTGAGATTCATGCCCCAATCCTCGATGAGCGCCAGGTGGACAGGCCCATCAAGGCCCCGCAAATTTACGCTGAGCACTCCTCACCTGGGAGTTGAAAAGGCTGATTGTGACATGGCGCAAACCGACCCCTGTGTTGCCCCGTTGCCTCCCAGGCTGCCCAGCGCTTGTGAGATCCGTCTGCACCTGGGCAGCGCCGCCAAAATGAGGCCCCCCATAATAATCCTACTCGGCAATGCATGGGAGGGGCGTTCATGGCAGGATCTGTGAGGGCGATCTCTCCCGCTGATTCCTTGCTCTCCTTCCGCGACCTCGGGAGGGAATGGAACAGATTCTAAAGATTCCTACTGGACACTCAGGCTGTTCATCTTCAAGGCAAAAGGCCAGAGGTGCCAGAGTGCGTTCCGAAAAACAGGCGTGAAGAACATTCTCTAGCTCTCTGGCCCGGCCTACGAAACCGGAGATCGCTTATCGTGTCTATGCCCCGATTGGTCTTTTAGCACCCACCACGGTTCGGAGCTTTTGATCGATGGCCATGGGAACCAAGATGACCAAAATCCTCGCCTTGCTCGTTTTGCAAATTACCGCGAGCCTCGCCGCCGATGATTGTGCTCCCAAACCCATTTCGGTCGACGTCAAAGATGTCACACTATCGAATAACAAAACGGCAAGGGGTGTGGCGCTCTCAGTCGGGTCACCGAAGCAGAACTTTGCATTCATGCCCATGTGGTGAGCAGCTTCTCCACCGACTTCAATTATACTCGCCATGACTGCGAGCTGACGATGCTACTATCACAGGCCCATGAACAACACGATGATGTACGGAACGGACGGATACTGCACACTACGAGGAGCCGATGCGTGGACGGACGAAGCCTGTGTAACATTCCGCGGTGGCGCCTACGATAACACGACTTCAAATACCGAGGGCCCCGCGGCTGCAGGCTCATATCCAGAGGATCAACTTAACTTGACCTGGCCATGGTATCCTGAGACAGACCATTTTACCGACCGCCTGAGTCTCGACGAGAATACCACTCTGCTCGATTTTCCGCTGACCCAGGCCAAAAGCGACTGGAACGAAGAGGCATACCACGCTTTGATGGTCATTGGACTGGGGGGCAACTCGTCAATACTGAACGTTCTCAAGAACTCGGACAAGATCCTGACGCGTACCTATTCTTTCTTCTATGGCTTCCTGGGCGGACGAACATCCACCCGCGCGAATGGCCAAATGGTGTTTGGTGGCTATGATGCGTCCAAGGTCTCAGGCCAGGGATCCGAACATTCCCTTGCCACAGCAGAGACCAAATGCCCCTCAAAACTCGTCGTTATTGTTACGGGGATGGCTCTTAGATTTGCCAACGGTACAGAGACTAACATCTTTGGCACATCCGACTCGAGCGCCCTGGCAGTGTGTATTGACCCGAATCTACCTACTGCCATGAGGATGCCATTCAATCCATACTTCAACAACTGGATGACGGCAACAGACAATTCTATCTTCTCCATGAACCGCTCATTAGGTCTTTTCTATTACAACATGCGATACCCGGCAAACACCCCAGCGTGAGTATATCAGAGGCGTCTTTTCTTATGGTTTACTGACTATTTCTTAGATACGACGGTGATCTCCTCATTACACTAGACACAGGTCTTACCGTTACTCTGACCAATGATAATCTTGGTAAGCATCACGACTCCGGCACTTCCCCCGTCTTTAATGTCTTGGAATATCCTGGCACGCAACACTGTGAGATCCATAACAAGACTAACTTCACGCTTAGTTCAACCCCACACCTATATCGATCAGGACACAGGCGACCTTATCGTTGACGACGACATGAGCGAGCCCGATCTGCTGATCGATTCGGAACAAGATATCAACGAGAACGACATGGCAACATTTGGGTCGCTGTTCTTCCAAGCGGCCTACATGGCCGTAAACCTCGATACCGGAAAATTCACACTGTGGGCGGCAAACACGAACTCATCATCGACAGCCGACTTCCGTGCCCTCGATGCTGATCATGAGGAGGTCACGTCATGGTGCGAGGCCGGAGATAAGGATGTTCAGAGCAACTCCACGGCGTCAGACCCGACAACGTCGAGTGTTTCATCGGCCACTGCAGCGGCAGATGACTCTGGCGGCGGCTTAAGCACTGGGGCAACCGTGGGGATCGCAATCGGCGTCGCAATAGGAGCTTTTGCGATAATCGGAGGTCTTGTGCTATGGATCAGAAGCAGGAAGAGGAGGTCTGAGTACATGGCAGCGGAACTGGGAGATTCATCGGGCTCGGGCTCGAACAGGGACTTAACGACCGGGGCTGACCGCCACCAGCCCGACCAGAACGGCGGTCCACAGTCATCATTCGAGGCGTATGAGCTGCATGACTCCACCAGGCCAGAGCTGCACCCCGAATCAGTGCAGAAGTTCGAGTTGCATGACGCCAGATCTGGCAGACCAGAGCTGCACCCGGAGTCAGTCCAGAAGTTCGAGTTGCATGACGCCAGATCCGGCAGACCAGAGCTGCACGAGGACTCGGTCCAGAAGTTTGAGATGCCCGAGTCGGGCCCTCCGACTCGTTACGAACTGTCTAGCTAGGACTTTTCAGCCGCTCCCCCTTTCGGCCATGTCCTTGCCTCTTCACTTTCGAACTTTTGACGACAATACGTATCTAGCTTTATATATTCCCTAATTACCTACCCCCTCGAGATCAGGGCAAGGCTAAGTAATGAACTTGAACGAGTACACGATTGAAGTAGCAGCTAGCCCCCGCGATACCACCTTAACAAGTACCTGAACCGTGTGTACTTCCTGCTTTAACGTGTCCTGCATCCATCCTGCAACCCTAGCTCTGGATCTGAATTGTATATTGAACAGCCAGGTCTTTATTGTGCTCATCTTGTGTGTTGTGTTGCGTCCTGCGTCCAGGACAATAATAGGTATACTGACGATGAGAAGCAGCAGCAATGCTTTCACGAGTTTGCCAGAAGGCTATCATCGAAGCCGTCGGATTCTGTGCCGTTCATCACTGACATACAGTATCTTGATTCTGTTAGCGCCCTGGTGAGTATTTCGAGAAAAAGAAGTAGCGCAAAAGATGAGACTATTGTTAGTTTCTCGTGAAGAAATTTCAAAAGTTTGGGGCTTAACTATGAGATTAGATCAGGGATCCGAAACACTCTCATAAATACATACATGAAAGTGCCATCCCCTGCAAAAAGAACAGGTCTCGAATTCTCGCGTATATAATGATAGCCAGGAGAAACTTTCTGATTCTGATGACTTTGAACAACTTGTTGAAGGCGATTACCGGAACTCGCATCACAACCGCCCAACACCCATCGCCATGTCTTGTTGCTGAGCGGGAGAAGTAGGCCCCAGAAGTAGTACGTCCCGTTCTACCTCTTGAAGGTGGCGAGTATGATAGGTATAAGCTCCGTGTGGTTGTATCGCTACCCAGATACTCGGATACGACGTATGCTACATCAAGGCGAACTTTGTACATTCGTCAACATCCAGGCCTAATTCGGAGCCGAAATCTGCATCTTGTCGCCATATTAAAGCGGATAGATCCATCTGTCGGCAGTGCCCGCTATGCATTAACTCATGTGGAGTCAAATTGGTCATTCCCACAGTTTAGAATTCATCATAGGACCTAGTTATGGGTGTCCAGAAGATAATTACGCACCCTGAGCCTCCAGTCTGTCAGGAGACATGGCTCTGGCTCATGTGTCTGTGGCCTTCAATTGTTGAATTTCTTAAAGCTGTATGAAAGCTGGGAGATCTGAAGCAACTATTTCAGTGAATGGGCCTGTACATCTCTACGTTCCATCGCACTCGAGCGAAGAGCTGGGGCTCTCAGCAGGGAACATGCCAGCTCGAAAACGTGACCCTGGTCTCGGCAATGGCTGGATCGGAACGAGCGTGTGTTGGTGTGGGTTATCCGGCGAGACTGTAAAAATCCGGAGAGGCCGTCAACGAATGGACTAAAAAAGAGACACAACACTACTTCATACCCAGTAATCCGGATAGTTTCGCATCGCGTCTGTGATGTGCGAGCATGACAAGGAACATGTTTTTCCCTGCCCCGCAAGCTAGGTAGCTATGAGTCGGATAGGCTCAGGCAGCTCATGAACCACCAATTTGTCAAGGAACTAAACGAGCAAACTGTTGCCCCTTTCCCACTTATTTCCGATGATTTATCCTCACACTTTGACCCCGAAGCCGGCAGTTCTTGTCTGGGGTGCATCGTACTAGTAGTAGTATGTCGTCGGACGGCGGTTGATTTTCGGGAGAATGTCTGGACCCGAACCCTCCCTTGTTCTAAAACCCACCCTCATGCTCAACCGGCCTCATGTCATTGATCATTGGTACTGCTTGGACTTGCTCTCTAGTGCTATGACATTGACAAGTTCCTGCACAGCAGCACAAATTCAACAAGACAGCGGAAAAAATCACTACAATATGCGAAAGGTCACCCAGAGATCATAACCACCAGCAGTTCAGAGAGACTGTATCCAGTGCTCTCGTCGAGAAGACACAAAAGCCGCAAAAGGGTTGCGGAAACAAGCACAAGAAAAGAAAAAAAAAAGGGAAAAAAGAGGCAAGCCACATGCGGCCAGTGTCCAAACCGCAACCAATACTTTTCAATAAGAAGAAGGCTCAAAGATGGATAACGAGAAAGTGGTTTCATTTTCAATCCCCATATATATAAAATGTATATAGCACCTTTATATAGTAGTAAATACTTAAAATCTAATATTTAAAGAAATATAGTATTAATAATAATAGAAAGAGAATATAATATATAAGTATATAATTAAACTTTATATTATATAAATAAAGTTAAAAAGTATTACTTTTAATAGCATTATATTATTAATATAAGTAACTTAAAGGCTAATAATTAATAAAGTAGTTATATAATAAAATTAGAATAATCTTTTAAAATAACCTTTATAAGAAGAAGAATCTTATAATATAAAACTTAATAAGCTAACTTTTCTTTATTAATATACTTATTATATAACTACTTAAATTTACTTTTATTAAATAAATTAAATATATTATAATCCTTATTTTAAGTATATAACTATTAATAGGATAATAATATTATAATAATAAATTTATTTAAAAAGTTTTTTATATAAATTTTATAAAAAATTAAAACTTTTTAAAAGTTAAGTAAAGTTTATTTATTATATAGTTTTACTTTTATTCTATATATATTTAAGGATATATATAGCACCTTTATATAATAATAAATATTTAAGATTTAACACTTAGAATAAATATAATATTAATAATAATAGTTATAATATAATAAGTAGTTTATTTACTATATATTAAATAAATATTATATAAAAAAAGTAGAAGTCTAAATATTTAAGAATTAAATCTTGCTTCTTTAAATATACTATTTTATTATTAAAAATTTATTTATTTCTATATAATATATAAAGAATATAATAAAAAAAAGCTTTATAAAAAAAGTTAATAACTCTATATATAAATAAGTTTAAGGGTATATATTAAGTAATTATTAACTTTATATTTAAAGTATAAGTTAATAGTTAGTTTAAAAGCTGAGAAGATAATGAATAGATAAATAGTTGAATAAAAAAATATAATGTAGCCGAAGCCTGGATGACGAGAAATTAGAGCTATCCGGATTCTCACACTACGTCGCTACACCGACATTTGAAAATCGCCAATCCGGGACTCCAAACCATAACCCACAGGATCTGTTTCGATACCCCAGACCTGCAGGCAAAATGCAAGCTCACCATCACAACAAGCACCGACATCACAGACAAAATAAACCCGGCCCTCTAGCCAGAGGTCCCCAAGTCCCTAACAACCTACGGGATCCTTACCTCCCCTGCACAAAAAACACCCACCTTCTTCGCCCCCGTGATTACTAGCTACCTCGCCGCCGTCATCCACGCGAGGAGCATTGCGATTACAGTGCGGTCGTTCAGCATACCACCGAGAATTTTCAGGAGGGTGGATGTGGGACGCACGCCATTCCGATTCGGGGTTCTTCCTACAGCGTCCCCCTTTGTTGTTACGATAGGATTGCCCGCAGACTCAGAACGTGGACCTTGTCACATCCAACCGCACGCAAAGACTCATGTCTCGAAATTCCGAATGTATTATCCTTACAGCGAATGTATTATCCTTACAGTATGGCCTCGATAAATCTAGAGCTTTGCTTTTGACTTCCTCCTCTGTCTCGGTTGTCTACAAATCAAGAAAGATTGTGAGCGTCTGTGTTTTTCAAGACCTCGGCCCCCAAGCAGCAGCAGCAGCAGAAGGCGCGATTCACCTGTCTCGGTTGAAGGTAAACGGGCCCTTGGGCTTGTTGTCCAGGACGGCCTCGATCTCCTCCTTGACCTCGGGGGTGATCTTGTCCAGCAGGTCGAGGGCCTTGATGTTGTCGTTGATCTGCTCGATCTTGGTGGCGCCGAGGATGACGGTGCTGACGTTGGGGTTGCTGGCGGCCCAGGCGAGGGCGAGCTGGGAGGTGTTGCCGCCGAGCCTCTCGGCGATCTTTGTGAGCTTCTTGACCTTCTCGATCTTGGCCTTGCCCTCGTCGGTCTGCAGGCTCTTGACGGTGTTCTCGAAGAAGGCCTTGTTGGTGGCGAAGCGCGAGCCCTCGGGGATGCCGTCGTTGTACTTGCCGGTCAGCAGGCCGCTGGCGAGGGGGCTCCAGATGGTGGTGCCGAGGCCGAACTGGTCGAAGAGGGGCTTGAACTCGACCTCGAAGCGCTCGCGGTGGAAGGCGTTGTACTGGGGCTGCTCGGCGATGGGGGCGATGAGGTTGTGCTTCTCGGCGAGGCGGGTGGCCTCGGCGATCTGCTGGGCGCTCCACTCGCTAGTACCCCAGTAATAGGCGAGGTTCAGGTTGCGGATGGCCTGGGTGAAGCCCTCGACAATCTCGAGCAGCGGGGTGCCGACGTCCGGGCGGTGGGCGAAGACGACGTCGACGTAGGGGGTCTGCAGGCGGGCCAGGCTGGACTTGAGGCCCTCGATGACGTGCTTGCGCGACAGGCCGCGGGTGTTTGGCTCCTTGCGGCCGGTGCCGAAGAAGATCTTTGTGATCAGGACGTACTCGTCGCGGGGCCAGTCGAGCTCCTTCAGGGCCTGGCCCATCTCGACCTCGCAGGCACCGTTGGCGTAGGTCTCGGCGGTGTCGAAGGTTTGCTAGCAGAGGATATCGCGAGTTAGTTAGGTGCTGGTGAAGCTGGCGAGGGAGGCTACTCACGATGCCATGGTCCCAGGCGGTCTGCAGGATCTCCTTGACGATGGAGCCCTTCTGCGTGCCACCGTAGGTAAGCCAGCCACCGAGCGAGAAGAGGGAGACCTGCAGACCGGTGGGACCCAGGTACCTGAACTTCATGTTCTTGGGGTCGTAGGCGGAGCGGACGGTTGGTTGAGCCATGGTTGCGGTTGAGTAGAGGCGATGTCTGGACGGTGGCAGTGGTGGTGTGGGGTGGGATGGGGAGAAGAGGGGAGCTGGCAGGGACGGCCTGGACACTCGCAGTACCGTGGAGCTCAAACAGCTTCTTATAATTATGGGGAGAGGGGAAGGTGTCGACAGGTGTTTCAATTGCGACAAACTCAATGACGACATTACAAATCATGTGTCAAGTGGGACTGGGCCGGGGGGTGACGCTACAGGATGGGAGCTGTCGGCTGCAAGCTGCAAGCTGCAACAGGGCCAGGGCACGTGGTATGGGAGGTCTAATAAATAGACCATGTGGTAAAGGAGATAGATGGCCATGTATACGGAGTACCCCGTATCTGACGAGAGCATTGCGAGGTATTCGCGACAATGCACATAATGCGGCCACGATTGCATGGGTGATCGACGCCTGGTGATCTCCCCTTCCGGCCTCTGATCGCGGAGCAAAGAGTCCCCTGTGCCTGGCCTCAAACCGTTATCAGGTGGGGTAGCCGCAAGAGAACCCCTCGCGAAAAAAAAGAAGCTCCATGATGTGGGCTAAAGTGGGCCTAACACCCCGCGCTGCAGGGATTGAGCTCCATGCATGCATGCAAGTGCCACCTCGACAAGAGCCGCCAACATTACACAGCACCAGTCAAAGAGGTACGGAGTACCTCAATATATCGTGTCTAAAATTGACGCTTTGCTAGCAGTCAGCCACCTAACTACCTTGCCTATCTGACCTTTTGGCTTTCACCCCCAGAAAAACAACCACTTCAAGTTGGAGCGGAAACTGCTGGCCCCTTCGATGTCCTCGTCATAACATCGACCCGTGGCGGCGCAACCGTTTCGTGCTAGCGCACAGGCACAACCATGTTCAGAAAAGAATATTGCTGCTAGTGTCTCAAGTAGCGCACAATGACCCCAGAATGAGGAATCTGCCCAGCAGCCCGTGTTTGATTTGTTCATCTGGCATGCCCGGCAGTTGGTCACAATTTGCTGCTGGTGACCCGTCGTCAAGGTAACGCCGCCCTCTAACGCCTAAGTCCGCTTTTACGACCCGTGTTGCATCATCAACCGACCCTTGACATCCACACCAACCGAGGCCGACCGCAGCCACCCCCTCTGTCACGTTAGTCAATCCCGCTCGTCCTGGGCAGCGCCACTAACAGCCGAGTGCTGATAATCTAGATAGCCAGATACTCTCCAGAACAGAAAGAATATCTTGGATTCTCATGCCGCCCATCATCCTCTCCGGATGACTCTCACGGCGAAGTCTCTTTTTGCTGACCTGCATTTGTGACTGCATGCACCACGTCGACCGTGATATGGAGCCATTGGCTGACTGCCCAGCCAGGTCTTAGACTTATTGGTACTCATCCTCCGAGTTCTGGATTCCAAATCCCGCAGAGAACTCCTCCAGGAGGAAAACCTCGTGTGTATCGCCTGGGAGAGATGTGTCGGGTTTTCCCGAGGTGAGAAATCAGACTGCAAGTCTTGGCCGCTCACCCCGAAGGCAGGTAAGCGACCTTATCTCCGTCTGAGTCTGCCTACCTAGGAATGCAATGATGGCCGCCGTGTGCATGTCGCCGGGCGAAACAGAAACTCCAAGGCGAGATGCAAAGTACGGCCCTTTTTACCGTGGATCTCCGTTGGTCATCATTCACCAGCATGCAAACGTCATGGTCTACGCACAATATTTACATACCACACTAGACATCTCACGGCTTCGGTCTGCCCGGTCACACCCCAAAGGATATTTGCCGAGCGTCCAAGCCCTTTCCGAGACTTTGTTGGGATGAAGATCTGTCTTTCATCTTTGCACCAGTCTGCTCAAGCAAGGCATACGACATTCTCCAAAATCTCAACCTCATTGGTAGTAGCCTGTGAGTCTAGACTGAAGAGTTTTTGAGTCCCATTTGGAAAGGGTGAGGTGAATGTCGACCAAAAAAGGTGGGATCGTGAATCAGTGATAGATGCTGGATGGGTCTTGAGCGACTTTATAAGTTAACCTAGCACCCGCCCTGCAGACCACACACACCTCGAAGAAACGGTACTCGAGCTGTGAGGGTGAAAGCGATGAGCCAGCCGCCGGCGAAGTCATAGGCCAGCAGATCCGGTGAAACCACATGACTGAACCAGGGTGATCGTATAGGCGGGACGGAAAGAAGTATGCGTGGCGTAGACGCCGGAAAGACGCTTCGGTCGAGTTCGGGGAACCAAAAGAGAAAGAGAAAAGGCGACAGTCGTCCGTCCATGTCTGGCCGCCTCCCGAGCCAGCAAAAGCTCCGTCCGCAACGACCATCCCATCGCAGGCCCTCAACCCACCCTACCACATCCCACACTCAGAGCGGAACACCCCGTCGCGGAGCGTAGGGTCCCTCCCGACAGACCAGGCATGGTCCTCCGTCTTGCGGTACATCCAGCCGCCGGCGCCCTCGCCGCACTTGTCGTCCAGCAGCGCGCTGGCGGCCCGGAACTCGCCGTGGCTGCAGCCCAGCAGGCTGTCGTCGTAGTTGCAGATGTAGACCTGCGTCGTGCCCCACATGGTCCGGTAGTACTTGTGCGGGTCGATCATGTGCGCCGGGCAGAAGTGGTCGAGGCCGCTCGCGGCGCGCACGAGGTCCGCCTGCCAGTCGCCCGTCAGGTCGTGGTGCGAGCAGTAGATGTACGTCTTGTTGGTGCACATGGCCGTCTCCGTGATGACGATTGGGGTCTCGGACGGGCTGGCTGGGGTCGAGACCGTGTCGGGGCGGCGCGGGGCTGGCGGCGCGGAGGCGTTGGTGAGCATGAGGGCCGACGTGATGAGGAGAATGAGGCTGATGAGATACATCGTGACGGTTCTCGCGAGGGCGCTTTCAGGGGGCTTTGGGGGTCTATGTGGCTAAGCTTGAAGGGTAGGTGGCTGGCTCTGTAGTTGGGACAAAGAGTGAATGGAAGCAGGAGGCAGATTCTTTCTGAGATTTGAGGTCTAAATACTTGTTCTGGGCTCCAGTGACTCGTTCGAATGTTTGGAGCAGCAATGAAGTATCCATCCGGGGTCTCGTCCAATATTTCCCCCAGCTTCCTCCAACACTTTACCAACGTGCGAGACCCATTACCAGAAAGTTTGTTACTCGTCTCCCAGCGCGACAGCCTCGTCATAGTCGGCCCCGAGAAACTTCCAGCCCCGCTTGATGCCCCCATCTTCATGTTGCGCGTTCGCTGGTATCAAAGCATTATCTCCGCTGTTATCTTCTGAGTACAGCGCGACCGCAGACTGCACCGCCCATCATTAGCTGGGACCAGTTCCGGAGCAGCCCTCGGACGACATACCTTGCCAAGCGTTAGCTTGATTGCCCCTTCGACCTCTTTGACTGGGCGGTAGGTGCTGAGCGCCGGGCGCCTCTTGATCAAAGAAACTATGTTGCTTGCAACAACGTGTGACTGGCATTCAGCAGCCCGTGCCATCTTTGGCCCGCCGGTCTCGGCAACGTCTCCGAGTGCGAGGATATTGTCTATGGTGCCTTCAGGCGATCTTATTTGGAGACTCGGAGCCACTAAGATCCTGCCTGTCTCGTCTGAAACGCACTTGGATAGTTCCTGGGTTAGGAACTGGGTATTTGGAGTCTGGCCGGTGCAGGATATCTGTACATGTGCGTCGGATCAGCATATCAGGTTCCTCCAAGGTTGTTCGGCAACAGAACTCACCACTAATTCATATCTGTCGACTCGGCCATCTGGAAAGACCAGTATTGCGTTCACTCCAGTCTTCTCATTGTCTTGAAGCTGCACTTGTGGTCTCTGCCCCAGCATCACCGCGATTCCCAATTTCTCCATCTCGGCCATTACTCGGTCATGTAGTCTTGAGCCGTAACCATGCAGAAGCCTGTTCCTGGAGTGCACCAGGGTCACATCCTTCTCCGGATACCAGCCCTTGATATCAGTCGCGAGTTCCACGCCTACCGCCCCGCCCCCAACCACGGCGATGTTCTCCGCGCTGCTTATCCGCTCCTGAAGCCTCCTAAGCTCCTCACACGCCCCATGTTTATCATTGCTCAAGAGCTTGGAGGGTTGCGGGGAGGATGTTCCAGTAGCAATGGCCAAAAACTCAAAGTTAATGACCTCCCCGGAAGCAAGCCTGACAGAGTCCCTTGTCACCTCGCTGACCGTACCGCGCCGCCGCTCGAATATCCCAACTGGCACACCTTTCCGCCCGCTGTACAGAATCTCATCATACGGAATGAACGCCTTCGGCTCATGACCCCTGACTACGGAGTACCTGGGGAAGACGAAGGGGTAGTGGAAATGGGTGTTCCTCTCGACAAGGACGACCTTGTACCCGCTCGGGAGCGAGTCGCAGAGCCTCCTCGCCAGTGCAATGCCGGCGAAGGAACCGCCGATTACCACCACGTTCTTTGGCGAGGGTCCGGGATCGTACTGTATCGCGTGTATCAGGGCACCAATGCGTTGGGCGAGGCGTTTGAGGCCGTACGAGACCAGGAATGGGAATGAGAACTTGAGAAACTTGAGCACGTCACGGGCTGCCATCTTTGCGCGACTGAGGCTTCCGCCCTGCTCGACTGATCGCCGAGAGGTCAAGTGGAAGAGGTGTGTGCTTTGATAGCGATAGCACTGTATGCCAGGGTGGCCAGCATCTGTTTTTCAAGGATGCGGCGGAGAATCGCCTGCCCGGCTGGAAGCAATTCCGAGACCGTGATGACTCGGGGCGGATAGGCCGGATGTGACTTCTGGGCACGGGCTTTTCACAATCCTCGGCGCCGCGCAGACAGCCGCAGCATCTTACACCGGATGGGACACGGGGAGAAGCTGCCACAGAGAAATGGCAGAGGCCCTGCAGCTTATCAGATCATGCGAGATAATCAAGCTGCGTTAGCGCCGGGGGAGAACTCGTCGCCAAAATCCCGAGTCCGATGGGAGGCGGACGTTGCTCGACCAGCCCGCTGATCCCCGACGTTCTGCTGAACCACTCAATACTCATCTATAAAACCGCGACGGCTCCGAAAGGTGCCAGAATATTACGGAGATAATGTTTTCGGGTTCGGTAGCTGCCCCCATTGCTTGCGTCCCTGGTGATGCCACATGCACGATTCCTCCGGTGCCGCTGCTTGGTACTGACTCGGAATGAACCCGGGTGTCTCATATCCGCCGCACTGGGTATCCAGGCACTCCCCTTCTCTGCCGACCGGTCTGGAGCTTCGATCGAAGGGGTGGCAGTAGTGAAGACCGACCCTCAGGCCTCACCGAGAAGATCTGTGTGATGAACGAAACGAGGGCCAGGTCGAGGTTTTCGTGACAGGCGTGAGAGGGATGCCATCGGGGCCCCCTCCTTCGTGACTTGGCGGCGTTCCAGTCAGCACTCCTCCCGTAGCGTCGGCCCTTTGCTCCTTTTCAAGTTTCCTCCATTCCGTCGCCGCGGCGGCAATCAAGGCCAGCCCAGCCGCTCCGACAGACATGTAGAACGCCGTGGTGATGGCCTTGGCATACGACTCGGCCACGAACGGCACGAGCTCCTCACCCAGGTGCTCGGCGCTCACCTTGGACGCGCCCATCCGCAGTACCTCGGCCACGCGCTCCGCGCTCAGCCCCGTCGCCAGGTGGCCGCCCAGGACGTTCATGAAAATGGCCTGTGCGATGGGGAAGGCCACCGTGGCGCCCAGTGACAGGCAGAACAGCACGAGGGCCTCTCCGGCTGGCACGTCGGGCTCGTCCAGGACGTTCCGGATGGCCGAGAGGGGCAGCTGTATGCCAAGCCCCAGTCCAAGCGAGATGATCAGCTCGAGGCCGATGATATAGGACATTGCTGTGTCGACCCGGATCTGGGATAGCAGCCCGGACCCCACTAGCACCGACGCAGCGCTGGCAACCATGAACGGCACATAATGGCCGGAGTACGTGGCAGCTGCCCCGATGGCGAGAGCGACCACTGTGTCCGGGATGGCCAGGGCCAAGATGTAAATGCCGGACATTTTGGGTGAATAGCCCCTTGCGGCTTGAAAATAAAATGGCATGTAGTAGATAAAGATTCCGTATGCCGTGATGAGAAAGGTGCAGTACAGACATCCGAAGCCGACGGTACGTTGTGTCAGTATCCGGATTGGTATCAGGGCCCTGTACAATAATAATCAGCGCCTGGAGAGCTGCATACAGTGGTGGGACATGGCCTCCTCATACCTGTCTTTTTCCTTGACCTGGATGAACCAAAACAGCCCAGCCATGACGGCAAACCCGATCAGGAGGCCCCATATCCATGGATCACTCCACTGGTATTTGGTACCGCCCCATTGCAGAGCAAGAAACAATGCGGTCAGAGAGGTCAGGATAAGGACAACGCTGAGCTGGTCGGTTGATTTCAATCGGTCTCGCAGAGAATAGTTCGAGGTCACTCTGACCGGTTCGGGGAAAGTGAAGATTATGAGGCAGCCCGCGATGAACGACAAGGCTTTGCCAGCTGATCAGCATATGATACAAATTGATCGGCATAAGTTTTGGGGAAGTGCGCACCTATGCTGAGGAAGAACCCTAAGCGCCAGGTCATGGAGCTCTCCACTATAATTCCACCCAGAGGGGGCCCTACACCTGCTGCGATACCATTCATCAGAATGATGGAAGCCAAGAAGACTGGCATATTTCTCGTGGGTACAACGTGGCAGATTATTATAAAACATCCCAGGTGTAAGCCAGCGTGAGCTAGGCCTTGGATAGCTCGCCCGACGATTAAGACATGAGAAGTTGACGACGTTGCGCAGACGATGGCACCTGGAGTATGTGGTCAGAAATGCTAAAGCGGCAGTGCTACCAGGGGCAGCAGTACTCCGTATACACACCAACGATGTAGATCAGGAGCCCGGTGCAGTAGGTGATCTTCAGCGGAAATAGAGTATACACCCGGCCAAAGATGGGCAGAAACGCCAGCCGGGCAAGGTCGTGCGAAGCTTGGTACCACGCGGCCTGGTCCAGACTCTGAAACTCGCTCGTGATCTTGGGGATCGCGGTCAGCAGCAGCGCTCGGCTCATCTCTCCGAAGAAGGCGCCCATCATCAGTGCTATGGCTATGAGTACCAGCCGGCGTCTCGTGATCTTCTCGCCGTTGCTGGTGAACTGTCCCTTCAGGAATCGGCCAACATTTCTAACACATTTCCAAGCCTGGGAAATGAATCCATCTCTTCCCGCTGGTGGGGGTCGGTAATGTCGGTGGTAGCTCTGCATAGCTTGTTGCACGCCGGCAAACTCGTTCTCGGGTGGTAGGAAGAGGATGAAACTGGCGACTGCTCATCGGATGAGCTCCTCTCTATAGGAGATCCGGGTAGCCGATTAGGAACTGAGAATACGCGACCTGGTCAAGTTCTGAGGCAGGCAGATACTCTAGTTGACATCGACAGTCAACGTTAAGGCCTGTCCATAACTCCTTGTGCCCCATGATGGGAAAGGCTGCCCGTCAAGTTTATAAAGGTCCCCGACGGTCCTTTAACATCACCTGTTGGAGACCGTGTCCTCTGAAACTATCCAAAATAGCCGAACGCGACCCAGCTTGGATGGCAGGGACGCGGCGCTAGGCCTACTGCCTGTAGCGTGCACATTGGGTGAACCCCTTCTGATTACGAGTGCACTCGCGTGGGTGCCAAAGCACGCCAAAGCTATTGACGAGTGACGGTACATAAATGGCTCTCTGCGCACGCGCGCGTTCGCAAAGCGGGGATGGCTTTCGTAGCCGAGGGTAGAAACGTAGGTCTCAGGACCAAATAGAGCTTCAAAACTCAACAAATTGCCCGATTGATCGTGTTGTGGGCCAGGAAGTCATGTGTCCTGCCCCAAAGGATGTCGAGGACTCTGAATTATCCATTCCCTTGCAAAGAATAACCTGGTCCCAAGATCGATGCAGCTTCTGGGTTGACCGGTGGGCCGCCACCGGCTCAATGGGTGATGTACATCATTCAATGCTTGACTCAAAATCAAGTACCCTAAGTAGTGATAAAAAAGACTAGTTCTGCGCCAAATATCTGGATGTCCTTTTGCTAAATTTCACCTAGGAATTCACAATTGTACAGAAAACTGATACGGTCCCGAGGTCTGTTGCTCATATTCCTCTGTGTGTGTGCTACCAAGTTTCGATACAATTCCGGGGTAACGCTCGTAATAGACGAGTTATCAAAGCGGCCCATGTTTTGGAACCCAATCTGGGAACTAGAATCAGAGAAGACCGCAGCAAATGGTACAACTCAGGCTCTCCTGTCTCCACGAGCATTGAAAGCAATCAAATAATTTGGGATAAATATTCGGTGTTTCATGCCTTATGCGCAGTGGATGAATCTGATTCCTGCAAAGTTCGAGATAAGATCCACATCACCTTTGTGCAAATCTGCCTTGATACAACTTTGTCGAAGCTTCACAGTACCAAGGGAAGCCCTCCCTCAAGTGCTTGCGACCTGTAATTACAGTTGACAGACTTGAGAGAAGAAACCAAATTCGATTATGAGTCAATATCTGTGGTGATCACCCTGTTCATACAAGTCTCTAGAACTTGAACCTGGTCCAGCAATACTCTCTTGGCAATGCAATCAATTAACATCGTTACCGTACACCACATTACACTAAAGTTAATAACATTGAATATAATAGGAATGTAATAGTCTCGGTGTAAATATGATTGAGTGTAAACACCTTTAGTGTAAGTACATTATAAACATTTCCAAAAGTGAACAGAGAGCTCCTAGCATCACACTAGCTGATGATCTACCGTTGCAGCAATGTGGGCAATGAAGTACCCAAGTGCTGTGTTATTAGCTGAGTAAGTTGATGATGTCATCACGACGGTGGACTGTGAGTGGTCCAAAGTGGCTGGGCGGATAATTACTCCATAGCCCGCTCGGGGAACCTGAAGCTGAAGAGCAATTCCGGTTGATACTCCGCGGCCGTGCCATGTCCAAACAGGCCGGTGGCAACCCGTAAGATCTACTCGATTATCTCGACTTGCGCCCAATGTAAAGAGACTCTGGCCTGGTCATTTCTCAACATGGGATCTTGAAATCCAAAACTACCTAGGTACATAACCAGAGGGCGGTTCAGTGTCAGAACGTCGGGACGCCGCACCATCTACGATTGAGTCCCAGAGGCATTTGCTGAGGTGTAGTTCGGCCATGGCATCTCGAGCAAACGACGGAAGGAGCCGCCCTGCCAAGGTTGGTCACCGAAAGTCCCGAAATGGGTGTCTAACGTGCAAGTCACGTCGTGTGAAGTGCGACGAGACAAGGCCGACTTGCGGAAACTGCAGTCGGCTCCAGATGGACTGTTCCTGGCCCAAGTACCCTCAAAACAAGAACAATGGCAGCCGAGCACAGCTATTGCCAACGCCTTCTCCCAGTCGGCAAGCTGGTCTTTCGCCTCCCGCAGCCGGCACCGGGACCAGTCCACTCGCGCGTACACCTGAGCAGGCGGCCATTCCCACCACCTGGCCGCGATGGGCTTGCGACGAGAACATCTTTACCCAGCCTAGCTCCCCGGCGGATGATTCAAACGACCTTATTTTTCCCGAATCAAAAGAAAGACGTCTAATGGAACATCGCTTGATGCAAAAGTGGCACCTCACCGTGCACAACCCTTTCCAGCTCACTTCCTGGAGAGAGATATGGTCCAAGACAATGCCAGAGTTGGCATTAACCCACGAAAACATGCTATTTGTGATCTGCGCCCTTTCCGCCACGAATATCCTCCGCTCAGATCCCGACGACAAGGAGATATACAACGCCCGCGAGAGCTACTTCATCGCCGCCCTTCACGCCCAGCGGGAGGAAGTGGCAGCCTTGAGCGTCGAGACCGCCGATGCCGCGTGGTTCGGCGCCCTGCTCATCTCCATCACGGCGTTCGCGATGCTACAGGAGCGGCCCCTGACGCCCTACCAGCCCCCGATGGACTGGCTGCACGTCGGCCGCGGCGCGGGCATAGTGATCCGGCAGAGCATCGAGAGGATCCTCACGCTGTCCAAGGAGGCGGACCACCCGGCCCTGATGAACGCGACCCACGCGTACCCGCACTTCGGCCCGGACGAGGCCTACTTTGCGCCCGAGCACCGCGTCAGGTTCGAGGGCGTGCTCACGCAGCACCTGCGTTCGGGCGACGACTGGGCCGACGACGAGACGCGCGGCGCCTACGAGAAGGCGCTCAGCTTCGTCGGCAGCATACAGACCGGCATCAGCCACGGGGAGCCCGTGTACGCCACCACGAGGCGCATCCAGGCGTTCCCGCTGCTCGTCCCGGCCAGGTACATCGAGCTGCTGGCGGTCCGGCGCCCGAGGGCGCTGGTGGTGCTGGCGCACTTCTTTGCGACCGTCGCGCAGACGCACAACGTGTGGTGGCTTGGTGATGAGCCCTTCAGGGGCGAGGAGACGACGGCGAAGAGGGAGATTCGTGCTATCAAGGATGCGCTGCCCCGGGAGTGGCTGCCGACGATGGTGTGGCCGATGGATGTGGTCGGCTTGAAGGACTAAGGCGATTTGTTAGACGGAGTCATTAGCCTGTTATCGCCTGCGCTCTTGAGTTCAAGGGCTCGCGTCCTTCAGTGGAGGCGCTCTCTGCCACCAGATGTCTTGTATATCTAAAATCATCATGAAAACCGACGGCTTAGTTGCTAGTCAGCATTTTACATCTTTTCCAGTAGCGGTATTTGCCGAGGACGACGTTACCTTGAGCTTGTTGGCTAGGATATTACACAACCTAGCATGCATCATCTCAATCACTTTTAAGTAGAACTGTCAGGCTAGTTTCCTCCTACCATTAGACCAAGCTATGCAAGCTGTATAATTCCCGTTGACACCTGTCTTCTGGCCCGACATCATCTACCTCCACCAAGTTTTGTGATTGCTTCTTGGACAGCGCAAGAACATCAGCCCCCATCTGACTACTACGTGTACGTAGGTACTGTGGCGTGTGTGTGCAACCTCAGGCTTGCTCACACCCGGCTGATATCAAAACCTCCGCAGCCCTGATGAACCACATCGAAGAAGTGTTAGCGACCTTGCTCGTCATCGGTTTGGGCCAGACCAAGGGCGTCCATCCGCGCCTGGCTCATCTCCCCCTTGCCTTGGCTCGGTGGAGGAGCCCAAGCAGACTCGCCACCGATTGTTCTCCCCTGCTCACGCCTCGCCATCCGTCGCCTGGGTGGCTGGACCAGGTAATCGAGATCTACATCATCGCCGTCGTCGTCTTCATGGGAGGAGTCCTGGCCTTGCTGTGGCTCAGCACCAGGAGAGTCGACCGCTGGCGGTGGGGATGATCCAGGCATCAGCTGGCCGGGCTGTTGCATGGAAGGGGCGGGCCGCGACGGTGAGGGAGGACCTCCGCCGAGGAGATTGGTAGACCCCGTCGGCCGACCCACACTCCCACTGTTGAGTCGTTTCTGCCTCTCTTGTTCCTGGCGTATCTTCCGCTCGACCTTGTCAGCCTCGATGCGGTTCAGCGTCTTCTGCCTGATCGCCTCGTTGGCCTTCTTCTGCTTGGCCATCTCGAGTGCGTGCTTCTGCATGTCGCTGAGCTCGTCCTTTGCGTCCACTCGCTTGCTCTTCGCCGGGTCCGGCCTCTCCTTTGGCGTCAGGGTCTCGTTGCCGCCCGTTTGCCGCTCGACGTCGACGAGGCGGTCCACCCCGATGCTGACGAGGAATTCGGCAAAGTCATCGATGCGCTTTCCATCCCAGGTGGTTGTCTGCACCTTGTAGCCTCCCTGAATGAACTTGTGCGGTGTGTTCTTGATGATCGTTGCATTGATCTTCTGCTTCGTGGGTATACCCTTGGTCATCATGCCGAAGTTTTTGACATCACGAGTGAGTGGGCCATCTTGGGCGTGCATGCCGACGAAGCCGGCAAGTTTCAGTCCGGCCAGATCGGCGTTTGTCAAGGTGAAGTTGTCCCACATGAAGGCTGCCATCTCGTCCTCGTTGTCGTAAGCGCTGGCCTTGGCCTCGGGGAACGACGACATGGCCTCGTGAGCCGCCTCGGCAGTCTCCCCCTGGCCGCCGAGGGCGACCCGATCCAGCCCTCCTGCGCGTTCGGCCTCCTGGATGATCACCTGGGTGATATACGGGAGGCTTCCCAGCGTCATCCCCACGGCTGCCCTATCATCGGGTGAGAGATTATTCCAGGGTCTCGCATGGGCTTTGCAAAAGGGAAACACCCAGCGCAAGGTTGGGAACTGCTCGCTCAGTGTCTTGTGGTTCCTGGTCAGCTTGGCGGAGAGGACCTTGTCGCGAAGCTCCTGGTCTGTTGTTTTTTCTGGGAAGCGACGGAGGAAGACGACGGTGTGTGAATGGCCCTCGACAGGGTCAACCACCAGCGGCGTGACGAGTGTTCGACGCAGTGCCATTTTCAGGGATGGCTCCAATGATGTATGGTGTGCAACAATGAAAATGTGTCCTTGGACAGTAGAAACCAGGAAGTGTGGCGTGGCAGTCTTAAATTTGACTGTTTTGTGCCCAGCACTTGAGCTATCTTTGTTGGTTTGCAGCCAAGGCACCCAAACTCAATGATAGCCTGTTCCGGCGTGTTGACTAACTTTCTGGGTCCCCGGGATGGCCCGTGCACCAGTCGGCCTCCTGCAGATGGACAGACTAGGTACGTACCTAGGTGCCTAGGTAGCGTGGTTCATAGGGGTCTTTGACCGCCCAGTGCTAAAGGCTGTGACTAAGCCCATAAACTACTACAGTAATTAATTAGATGAATTAGTTATTATAATCTTTTAGTTACATATAGATTAGTGCTAGTAATTAATTAAATTCTTATTATTTTAATAATTAATTTAAAAAATATAAGTTTAAACTTTTATATTTAAAAGAATTTAATTTAAAATATTAATAATTTATTAAATATAATATTTATAATTTATTATTATAATATAAATATAAGTTATTTACTTTTTTAAAGTAATTAAAATATATTTTAAATATTTATTTTATTTATAAAACTTTTAAATTTATTATAAATAATTTAAAAAAGTTTTAAAAAAGTTATAATAATTTAATATTAAAGTTTATAAATAATTTAATTAAATATTAAAATAATTAATTAAAGGAATTAATTATTATAATCTTTTAGTCGAGCGGTCTTTTATACTAAAAGTTAATAGAATTTCTACTATTTTAGAGTGACTATTTATAAACTACTAGGTCTACATTATATTCTACTAAGGTTTGCAATTTAATTTCCAGCTTGTAGGCCCCGTTTGAGCATTCGAAGGAGGTATCTGAATCATAAAACTAGACTACCTAGATTGGAGTTCGGAAGATGGACTAGATCAGCCAGGCCTAGGGCTTCATGTTGTCGACCCCGAATCAAATGTCACCACCACTGACAATACTATCTTCGGGGACGAGTTCTCTATGAACACGATAACAGCCCCCATGACGGACCCGCCCTCCTTCACAGACCCGATGTGCTTGGGAAACGCCAGCACCCCGGGATGGGCGGACAACCACTCGTCTAGCACCTCGTTCGCCCGAGCCCTCGCGTCGGCGGCCGACACGTAGCTCCCGACAACCTGCAGGTCCTCCACGCACATGCCCCCGCCTGGCCTAGGTGACTCAGGCGGCCGGCCGGCCTCATGGAGTAAGGGCTCGGCCTTGGAAACCCTGTACACGGGACAGGGGAGCGCCCGCTTGAGCGGAGCGTCGTGGACCCGTTGCAGCTCGACCTCGATGAAGTGCCCCGGGAGCCTGTCGACCGGGCCGCGCACGTGGGAGAATTGGTTAAGCAGTTGACCTTTCTCTGTGCCGGCTTGGAACAGCTCGTACGCCTCGGAAGACTCGGCGATCCGTAGGCGGAGGTTGGGCAGCGTGGCTTCTAGGACGTGAAATGGGCCCGAGATGGCGATGTCGTGGATCGCGGGGATGGAAGCGCGGATGTAGTATACCTCGTCCCAGTCTGGTGGTTGATTCCTAGCCACCAGTGGTCTCATTCGGATTGTTGCTCTTTCTGTCATGATAGGAATGTGTAGTGTGTTAGATGTGGTAAGAGATTATGGTAGGTTGTCGTATGACGGGGTTGTAAAGATCCTTGATGGCTGGCATAGTTGGGCACATTGCCGCTTTTAAGAAAATAAGTGAAGCAGAAATAGAGTTAAACACTTACTCCGCACTGGCACCTTGTACATCATTTTCGTCACTTCGGGCTGTTCTCCGGTGTGAACGGCGCCCGCAGTTTGGCGGCCATTCGTTCACAAAGACTACCTAGGTAGCCTGGTCATTTTATGGGATTTTGTAGTGTTTCTATGCAACCTTGCATAACTTCTCATCGCTGTTAGACGTGCCGCAAAGATTTAAACCTAGAAGAGCCACATAAGGATGCATGGCAAAAGCTAGATCATTGTTTTGGTTGACGGCCAAAACGATGCGTGGCACTGGAAAGCACTTGCTCTAAAGCCCCAAACAAAAGCCTACTCTGTACTCGTCAATTGTAGCAGTAGACCTGCACACTCACTGTGAAAGGGACACAGGCGGCCAAGGAGAGATGTGCGTCTCATCGACGGCCGGCCCAGCCTCCGTGTGTCTCCATTACGACCAAGACGATGTGACGTCTTTGAGTTCTGATTCACCGATGTAGTATTGAAAGCTGCGAGAAAAGCCTGGACAGGTCTACCGGCACATCAGGACGCTTTTCTAATACCGCTGATCTGTAAATTCTCACCGACAAAGGCTAAGTGTCCAGGTGGGCTAAAGCTTAATAAGTCCGCGTCGTAGCTTTCCAGCGGCCGACAGCTTGCTTCCATCAACGCGGTCCGGTTGGCTGCTGGTGTTATGGTTACATCCTACTCATGTAGCAGCATCAAGCGATAACCATCAGCTGCAGGTGTGTTTCAAGACCTGCGCACACAAGAGAGAGGAGAAAGGAGGGACTACAGCTATCACAGCAGGCTTTTGCGGCTGCCACCCAGAACATCGTCGACCATCCCGCCTGAGGCCGAAAGCATCATCAAGAGCCTCCAATTGACCTGCAGATTGACTGCCTTCCGCAAAGCTAGGTTAGCTGATACTGACTGCTGATCAGGGGCTCGAGTTGACGGTGCCGAGACTGCTCATGACGCTTGGCCTTTGATCTCGCACATGCTAACATTGAAATTAAAAATGCACCTTGCGCTCAACGCTTTGCATATCGCGTTGCGGTCAGCCGTGCGGCCCCCTGCAACCAGCCTGAGACTCCCTCTTTCAACGGTGGCTATCCGAACAACGGCGGATTAGGCCGCAAACTGTAGGAGACGGTAAAATGTTTGACTTGAAATCGATGAACATGCAATATTCCGATCTTTTGCAACCGCAGAAAGACAAGGATGCCTCCACGCAGTCCACCCTGCATTCCTGAAGTCCACATATATGATTTAGAGCTTCCATGGCAGCATGTAGAGGGACTGGTTATGACGAAAGCCTCTTTCCCCCTCTTACGGACAGCTTTGTGTATGGGAAGTATTTTAAAAGATTGTTGATATTCACTTTACTCATATTAATCTATAATGATCGCTAGTAACATCGCTGAATCTGCCCTCTGCCGTGTGGAACAGAATTGCCGAACGAACTTCCAGCGGCGTCAATGATTGTAGAATACCATGCAGATTGAAAGATTCGAATCCGGCAGTCTGCCAAATCAGAAGTCCTGAAGGCAGGCCAAATGGCCATAAAGTCATCCACTCACCCTAGGCTTTGCAATGTAGATGTACGTAGCTATGACACATTGGTGGAAGGATACCGAAAGTGGTGAAATGGAGCAAATAGGGGCTCTTGGCACACGCCTCGGAAACCTGGTTTCCGTCAGTTCCCCACGATCAGAATTGTCCAACTGCACGTCGCTTACAACTCGTTGGGTTCTCGCCATTACGCTGCAACTGTGGTTTTCGTCTTGATTCGTACATATTCCGAACGCGTATGCGGTACCCTGATATAGTGCCAGGTTCTCAAAGACCTAGTCCCAAAGGAGCCGAGTAAAGCGGTAGAAAGAATACCCAGTTTCACCCGTGGACGGCAGGGGTTTATGACACACTTTTGGTTAAGTATTGCACGGAGTAAGCTACCCTAAGTTGAGAGGAGTAGTACGCATGAACAACCAAATGATTCATTGCTCTTGCACTGCATGAGGATGTCAGATACAATTTTATATGACTGGGATTAGAAACGAAACCACCACCTAGAAACGAACCACCGATTGTGTATTAGCGATTCCAAATTAACCACACCGCCACCGTCAAAACCCCCTGCATTGCCTACTGCTTCTCCCTCTCAGCCTTCATCATCATATCCTCCTCCTCAGTCTTGGGGACCTTGACCAAAGCCGGCACCGTCACGGCGTTCAACTTCCGGAAGGCCTAGCAAAGAAAAGAGAAAAAACCACCAGTCAGCATTGATCTCATCCGACCCAAGAACCAAAAACCGTCACAGAACAGGCAGCCCGCGTACCAGGAACGGCGACCACCAGCAGCACGCACAGAACGCCCACCAGGCGGCGTCGCCCCCGGCCCGCACGGCCCAGCGCGCGGCCGCCAGGGGGCCCCAGGTCCGGGGATTCATCAGGTTGCCACTCACATCACTGACGGCGCCCGAGGGCAGCTCGCCGCCCCAGCGGTCCTCGACGCGCGCGATGCGCCCGCCGGCGCCGACGTGGATCCGCACGACGGAGTTCATGACCTTCTCGGCCCTGATGCCCTTCACGACGTACTTGTTGCTCATGTCCACCTCGATGGGCCCCGGGTCCCCCGCGGACGTGACGCGGTGCGACTGCAGCCGGATGGGGCTGAAGAGCGCGGGCAGGCCGTAGAACTGCGCCGTGTACCTTGCGTGCCCCTGCGCGACGGTGATGTTGTCCGCGAAGGTGGCGTCTTTCTCCCACAGGGTGAAGTGCTTTAGGGTCGGGTTGCCTTCGAAGAGCTGTTTGTTGTGAGCGGTGGTGTGTGTGTTAGCGAGGGGCCTGGGGCCTGGGATTTTTCATCAAGCCTCTCGGTCTCGGAGCTGGGATAGGCGGGGTTGGGGGGGGGGGGGGTGGACTGCTAGTTACGGACATCCAGGACTGAGCCGACGAGGACCTTTTGGTGCTCGGAGAGGGTCACGCCCGGGGCGGTCTCGATTGTCGTCCTCTTGATGCCGATGGATGAGAAGGAGGGCGCGGTGGCAGTGGTGTCTGCTGAGGCCTGGGCCTGGGCCTGGGCGGTCCCTGATGGGGTGCCTGTTGATGACATGGTTCTTGATGAGAATGGGACGTTGTTGCGTTTGGTTGCTGATCTGGATGCTCGTTGGGTGGCAGCGAATAACGACGATGGTCTGGGTGGCATGACACGGGTGGTGGCGGTGGTGATGGTTTGTGGGGCTGATCCGGGATGTATGCGAAAAGGAGGTTCTATATGTTACTCCAAGATAGTAGGTTACACCTTGTATGCGGAAGCAGCCCAATGGAAGATGTCATCTGGCGGAGCGCCGGGCGTGTCGTCACGACTACGGATGCGGCTAGGACAAGACACAGAAACATTGACGTCAACGACAAGGAGGGCGCACCCAACTTAGACGTCCCCGACACGGGCCGGCCCGCGCTCTCTGACCCGAAGTTCCACGGCAGAGTTGCAGAGTCATACGGGAAGCCTGGGAAGCCAAATCCATGTCTCTGGTGATATTAGCGCATATTTGCTGATGGGGAATTTTGCACGGCATCAATAGTATCATGCATGCTCTTGAGGGTGCTTTGATGTGCCATCCAGATGAAATGATAATCAATTGATGTCAAGCGGAGCGAGAAGCTGCACGCCATCACAGATCAAACATTAGCTTTTTGCCGTTGACTGGAACTAATATACATGTATTCAGAGATATGCAGAATAGAAGCGAAGCAGTCAACACACCAGTATCGTCTATTTGCGGGAAGCAAAGAGTCACAAATGGAGAGGCAAAGGAAGGGGATTAGCGAGCCCACAACAGTATTATGCAATCTATGGAACCTTACCTTGGAGATATGCGCACTGGACAATCAAATGCAGAACAAGACTTACCGAACAGTCAGAGATGGCTGTATGTAATACACCCAAAGCCAGCACAATAACAATCATCCTCCCGAACTCACCCGGTTATCCTTGATGTATCCCCCGGCCGAGTCACCCCCACCCCTAGAACAACAAAAGCAAAGTCAGCACATACAATCCGGCAGACAGAGCCCACACCCCGGATCAGCAACAGCAGCAGGCCCGCCGCCCTTTGACCTCGAGGCATCAGCTGCAGGCCGTGGCGCGGGCCTCGGCTCGGGGTCCGGCACGCGGCGCGGCGGGAGGACGACAGGGCGCGGGGCACGGGGCCGCTCCTCCTCCTCCTCCTCCTCCTGGTGGTGCGGCCGCGGCTGCAGCTCGATGTCCTGGCCGTTGCCGCCGGCGGGGGCCTTGCTGTCCTCTTTCTTCTTCTTCTTGTTGCTCCCCTGGCAGCAGCAGCAGACGATGGCGGCTGTGAATAGGGTAACCACCAGGACGACCGTGAAGGAGACCAGGAGGGTGAGCAGGCCCCGTTCGTGGTCGGCTGCGGCTGTGGCTGCGTCGTCGTCGGTTGTGTTGCGGGGGGCCAGCATTTGTGCGGTGGTTTGTGCGGGGATGGCCTTGATGGTTAGTGTGGTGGTGAGAGGTTGGGTGTGCTTACCTGGCTGCTTGTGGGTTCAAATGTTAGTAGTGGGTGGGATATTGAGCGTGGACAGAGCATGTGGGTGTGGGAAGATGGGCTTTTATAAGGGCGGGTGGCGGCTGGAGGACGGCACGGGTATTGTTGGCAGACAATGCGTTGTGAGTGGATACTTGAGTAGATATGTATTGTCTTCAAGGGTCCTCGTGGACAATGGTCTGGTTGGGATGTGTTGCCTTTGTGGGCTTTTTGGTGTCTTGGCCACCACCACAAGGTCTATGTCTTGAGGATGTACCGTGATATCGCGGGTCCGAAAATGATAGAGCATCACCATCGAGATCCGATAATGTCTTGAGTTGATTTGCATTATGCTCCATCAAGAGAACATGGCCTGGTGGAGTATGGCAGCCCTCTTGATATTGGTGGGACTTGGAAGGGTTGAAGTGCTACGCCTGAATTGGATGCAAGTAGCGGGATAGGGTTGCATCTGCTGGGGACTCTTAAGTTGACGGGGGTCCGCCGTGCAGTGCCGGGGCATTTCAATTTTCAACACAGGCCCAGCAGCACGGCGGCACGGCCCGCAAGGTCGCACTGCAGTGTCTGTGGTAGGGTCTGTACGGAGTACCACTGTACCTAAGACCCACTGGACCGGGACATGCTTGCCACGCTGCACCTCAGCCCTTCAGACAGCTATAACGGAGCATGTTCCATCTGATCATGGGCCCGGGCCCGTCGGACGCCCCGCTCAGACTGCTGGATCGAACCAGAGATCCTACAGACAAGCGGTAACTTCTGCCACCACTGGAGACGATGAGAAGGCTCAAGATGGTTGGCGACATCATCACACCCTAACTACTTGGAAGACATCTTTGCCGCCTGCTTGGTCAAATGCCACTACCCCGACTTTCTCAAGCTCTCCAGGACCATCTTGTTTCCCAAGCCGGAAAAGGATGCCCGCCCTATTAACCAGCATTGGCAAGCTGCTCGAGAGACTTATTCTCGATCGTTTTACATTCGAAATATTCGCATTTGTTGACGACAGCTACATCACCGTATGGTCCACCAGTTTCGCGAGGAACTGTGAAGGACTGACATGGGTCCATGGCCAGCTCCAACAGTGGGCAGATAAGAACGGTGTGACGTTCGCCCCTCATAAATATGGTCTACTCCATTTCTTGGGTCCAGGCCATGGCGTAGAGAGGCGCAAAGATCGACCGTCAATCGCCAATTTGCCTCCTGATGAGGAACTGTTCAAGCATGACGAGCCATTCCTCAACATCCTTGGCCTCCGGGTGGACCACCGCCTCTCATGGAAATTCCACATCGACCACGTCGTCTCCCAAGTCAGCAAGAGAATGCGGGCCCTGAAGCAGATGTCTGGGTCAATCTGGGGCCCCGACCTGCAACGCATGCGCACGCTGTACACCTCACAGATCCAGTCCGCATTTTCCTACGCTTCCCCGGTGTGGTTCGTGACCGGTCTCAGCCCTCGCAGGCCAGGCACTCTCTCCGCGAAACTCGTGGGCGTTTTGGACAAGCTCCAGGACGAGTGCCTCGTTGAGATTTCCGGAGCCATGGCCGGCACCAGCGCCGAGGTCATCCGGAAGGAGCTATGTGTTCCCAAGATATCCACCTACCTCAAGATGAGGACTCTTTCCTATCTCGCCAAGAGGACCTCCCATTGCCCCGTCTACCGTGAGCTCAAGGCACAACGCATGGCAACCTTGTGGTACCCCCGCCCGTGGAAGAGATTCGAGCATCACCCTCTGCAGCAGCTTCAGACACAGGCGGACAAGGTAATCAAGGCCACGAGGAAACGACTGCGATCCTTTCACGGACGTGACAGGATGGAAGAGACCTGGAGCAAGCCAAAGGCGCGCCACAGGGCGATCGACAGGATGGCAACTCTAGCAGTCCACGCATGGTGCAGGGCTCATTGGGATCAGTACAGGGAGGGCTGGGACAAGAGGCACAACCGCCCCAGGCCGCTCGCGCTCGCCGAGTCCTGGGGCCTGGACAGCCTGATGTACTACGACGAGATGTGCCGCAAGGAGTGCACCATGCTCCTCCACTGCAGGACGGGCAACATCGGCCTGGCCGCCAACCTGCACAGCCGGGCGCTGCACCCGACCGAGAGCTGCCCGTTGTGCGACGAGGGCAGGCACACCGTCGAGCACCTCTTCGTCTACTGCAAGGGCAGGGACTGCTACGGGAGGGAGATGGCCAAGAGGAGGGCGGCCCTCCACAAGAGCACCGACGGCGTGACCGACCTGCACCTCATCTTCGCCGAGTACCCGGAGGAGGCCGTCAGGTTCGCCTTCAAGACCTTTGGGATCCCCCAGTTCACAAAGGCAAGCTGGAAGGTCACCGAGGCCAAGAAGCGCGGGCGCTCCGAGGCCGTCGCGCCGGCGGGCGATGCCGGCCAGGATGCGCCCGCCCCCAAGAGGAGGCGATACGCCCACCTGGTCCTGAGGCAGGCCGATCCGCCCCCGGCGCCGGCCACCGCCCCCGGCGCCGCGGGCCTCGCAACCTGATTGCTACTAGTTGTTCCATCCATCCCCTAGGTAGCCGCTACTAATACCACACTCGATCGTTTTCCTGTTCCGTGCCTTTCCCCCCCCCCCCCCTCCAGCTCTCGTCCAACCTCACGTGAATATAAAGACAACAAGTCCCCTCCTGGGTATGAGGCTAAAAGACCTATAATTGTGATTTTATAACTGGTTTTTTATTTAACTGTGTTATGTTGCTGCAACCTCGTCTAGGTAAGTGATATATAAGACTTTAACCTTTGATGGATATCTACTTACCTATATTTCCAAGTCTCTAGCCTCGTTCGAGCCTCTTCTCGAGCTTCTCCAGTATTTTTCCCTCTGAGGGAGTTAAATCTGAAGGGGAGCCCTCAAGCTTGAGTTTGAGATTCTCATAGATCTCAATGTGCTTCGAATCAGGCTCGTGATCCCTCAGCTTCTCTAGAAATACGTTGATCGTCTTAGACGTCGACGACTTCTCTGTGAGTAGATTACTAGAGACATCGACCTTCTCGTCTATAGGCTAACCATCGCATGATCTGTGTAGTCGAAGCGGAGGTCTGCCTTCGTGCGGTCGTAGACCTGGTCGTTGATGGCCATTTCTTCTTCTGTTCGTGGTAGGATAGTAATCTTTAACCCTCGTGGCCTCAACTAACAAGCAATCAATCTGACATTTAGGCAGATCTGTCAGAACCACGAACCCAGAGTAGGTACATCATACCAGAACCGATTCTCGAGCCCATTCCTGGGCCCTGCTAACGTGACTGAGTACTGTGCGCAGCAATGGAGTGTGGTTGCCTTACCTGGTCAGTGAACATGTTCTTCTTCCCCCCGTCTCGATGCTGTATAGTAACTAAGTGTCAAAGGAGGTTGTCTCTCTGTTCGGTGGGTTGGTATGCCTAGAAATCCCCTTTAGACAACGAATGTCTAACCATGACGACAAGCGTGGCAGGCTGAGCGACTGCTTTCGAGTGGTTTTGCTTGGTAAGTTCAGTCTCCCGGTGCCAATAGGCATCTTCATCACTCGCTAATTGGCAAAGCAACGCAGCGGAGCTGATGGGTGAGATCTTTCTCCCAAGACACAACTCCGCATGCCTTCCATTGACGCTAACATTCCAGTCTCTTGGGTTCGCCAGATGGGTGTTTGCTTGGTAGGCACTTCTGCTCTCCGACACTGGTCGGCACACCTGACCACGATACTTGCTAACACCGCCAAGTAGAGCAGAGCCAGAACCCGTGCGTGTCCCGTGAGAAAACCCGCACTTGGTATAGTACTTGGTTACGCCTAGTTATCCAGGTACCCAGCCTCGTGATTCGCGGCTGATTTCATATAGCAGTCGGGGGAATGGCAGCTTTTATCTTCGCCCATTTCAGCCAACTTGTGAGTTCTTCCCTCCGGCCATATAGACAGCTGGGCCTGTACTCATACAGTATCAGGTGTTCGTGTGTGGTAATATCCTTGATCACGAGGACGCAGGAAAATGCTGACTAGGAAAGGGAAGGCCTGAGTCACACGGCGACCTCGCACATAGTGCTCGACGGCGTCAAGACTAGGTTAGTAGGCGGCCCACCTCCCCACGAGCACCCACCCCACTTCCCACGCTGATCTGCTTGTCGGCTCCTTGGAGCATACACCACACCGCATCACCCTGTGCGTTTTCAGCTAATCTTGGAACACAAGGCAGCCCGCGGTCCGCGATGGCTTCAACCTTCGACGGGTATGTGTCCCACCACTGTAAAGAGATACTGGAGAAAATGCCCCCTCCCAAGCTGACCAATGAGACCGGTCCATGTCAAGGCTGACGGGTATGTTGACCAGTACCCGCTCCCCTACACCCCTCATGATATTATGCATGTTACACTTGAGCTGACCGTGCCAACAGCGCCGGCCCGAACCGGTGTGTACCCTACTCACCCCGAGTCTGAAGCAATATTTCACATTCCCCCCAACTCCCCATCGCCGAACAATAATTAACACGCAAATGTCGGAGACCAGGCACGGCCCAGCGCACTAGCGCAGGAAGGCGTCTTCTGACAACAGACGGCGTTGTAGACGGCAAGTAACTATGAGCCCATCCCCAGCACCACGGATTAACTATTAACTCATGCCCACCCAGCAGCAGATTGTGAAGTCACTGTGAAAAGTCCTGCATGGCAAACTTAGCTGAGCTGATCTTTGAAAGATACATTGTGTCTCGTCCCTCTGGGACCCTAACTGTTCGCTTCCAGCTTAGTAGTGGAACTAAAAAAATACAAATAGTCCATATGACCGCGGCTGCGTAGCATGCATGCAGCCGCGAATTGATTGTCCCCCATGCATCTCGGTGAATGTTCCTGTGACTCGTTTTTGCTTGACCGTTCCTCGACCTAAGTGCAGAGTTTGATATGTGCTAGGCCCGCTGTGTGTCTATAAAATGTATGTGTGACCTGGCTCTCTCCCCTTTTTTGGGGGGAGGGGGGATGGGCTTTGGGGGGGGGGCTCGCGTCCGCAAACTGTCCGGCGTAGGGATGGCGAAAAGTCAGGCCCACCTACCCTTCTGAAGGAAATCTGAATTTTCACGCCCTCCAGTGAATGGAAAACTGAAAGTCTCGCTAACCTTTTTAGGCGACCCACTATACTCAAAACGGCAGGCGGTCAAGCATTCTGCCCCACACACCTGTTTTCTTACCAGCTACCCACCAGTACTTTACACTAGCAGACCGTACAAGAAGATACCAGTTGCTAGCAAACTACCTCAATTTTATATGGCAGACCCACCAGACCTGAGGTACCCACAAAATATTTCAGACCCACCCAGCCTGGTGAAATGAAATCTGGCTGGCTGACTGAAATATTTCGACTTTGAAACTTTCACTGGCCATCCCTAGTCCGGCGCCCCAAGGGTGGTTGGTGGTGCATGTGAAGGTACCTGGTCCACTCGCCGTAAGACTCATCCCAGACCAGCCCGCGGAGTATTTAGTTAGATTGGCCGTGCACCCGTGCTTTTACTAGAGCATGACTAGCACCACTGCTCCTAGACTAACCGGGTATAATAAAGAAGACCACCGACCCCGCCCCAGGCCACCCCGGTCTGAGGATTTCCATACCAATCACACATCGCTATACCTAAACCACAGAACCAAACTCCCGCGTCATGGCTTCCACATGCGCATTATTGAACCTGCCCCGTGAGCTTCGCGACGAGGTCTATCGCCACTATGTGACGTTCGAGGAGGGCCTTGTTTACAACTTCGACTACGATGCAAAAGGACACGAAGAGTCGTGCAACAATCTGCGAAACCTGGCACCGGCCAACAACACGGATTCTATCGATCTCGCCCTGAGGTCCACTTGCAAGCAGATCCACGGCGAAACAGACGGTCTTATCCTCAAGTTCAACACCATCACCTTTTCGAGCACACGGATCTCGAGGAACAACTCGGACGAGGTGCGCGTCAGGGCGGCTCGATTCCACTTTCTGCGGGTCCCGCGGACCATGGAGGCTGCATCATTCCTCTACTACGAGGACGGTCCCGTTGTCCGACCTTGTTACACTCAAGCCGTGGTGGATGTAAGTCAACCACCGCATTTTGCCCCCCCCCCTAACCCCCTTCCCCTATTTTACGCTGCTCTTATTCTTGCTCTAATGCTCACCATGCATCGGGTACTTGTAGGAGGTGGTACGTACCCATCCATCGATTGGTCCACTGTTACGTATTCTTCTCAAGGAGAATACCCCCTGGGCTGAGATCAACTCCGCCCACAAGGTCTTGCAAGCTCGACCGCACGAACATTGCCCCGAATCTGGTCAGGGCCCGACAGGTTCATGGGGGATTGTGCGCTCATCAATGCGCGCAGCCCTCATGCATGCTTTGAAGGTTACAGCGGATCACGACTGCTTCAGCAGCGGACCCGCTGTTGAGCGGCCAACCTTTCCCCCTCGCGAGCTTTTGGCTCTCGACTCCGAATTCCCGGCTTGGAGCCTCCCCACAGATGACGACCTCCTCAAGCTATCTCGACCCTACGCCAAGAAGACCGCCGACGTCTGCATCAACGGGGCTGTCTACTGTCACGCAAGCCGCCAGCTCCACACGGCTGAGTTTTGGAATGGACAAAGATACTTGAAACGCTGGATACTAGACGAGTTCTCCGATGACCATATAGATAAAGCGGAGAACAGGGGAAAATATCGTTTTTCCGCAGCCTCGGTTGCGATCAAATTTCTTTCTTCCCTTCCAAGCGGACTGCGCCTCTACCTACGTCACATCCGGCTTCTTGAAAAGAATGTTAGTGTTGCATTTCCGGAAAGCCACGCCCATGGGCTCATCAAGTTCTGTGTGGAGAATCCGAAACTTCGCGTTGAGCGGCGTGTCAGCGTATGGAAAACCATCCTCCAACAGCAAAGCCATGATTCCGAACACCAGGGATCCGATTTAGAAGCTACTCCGGAGGACCAGCGAGTACGGGCGTGGATTTATAACTCCGAGGGCTTCTCGACTGTACGAGCCACAAATAACATTGCACTCTGGATGATGGAGGCTGCGTCTCTTATCCCGGCAGGAATGCCAAAGGATTCGTTCACATTGGTTCTTGATGGTGCACCGGGCGATGACGTCCTTTCAGACGTTTTCATCAAGTACATCCAACGCGATGCGGCGTGGCAAATGGCCTGGCAAATTTCATTGAAAGACAAAGCTGAGCAGTCCGAGATCGGGGAGGAGGGCGCCGATGATTTTTTCATGCGTTTACGTGGTCCATGCTGCTGTAAGCCCATACTGCCTGCCCTCGTCCTGTCTCACATTTCTGAGACTAACTGCAACAACAGATATTTACAAGGATTTTCCACTGGTACTAGATGACATCATCAACAACAGGTCAGAGCTCATTCAGTGCACCTTTAACACCGGGCCCAAAATCTGGGATGTCGAGACGGAATTGAACAAGTATCGAGCCCTCGACGACGCAGCATGGGACATCCACCGCCACGAGCACAAAGACATGTTCTATTGGAGGCAACTGGGACGTGAAGAATACTTCGATAAAGTCGTGTACGGGGCAGAAATCCTCCCATACGAGGAAGACCAAGAGTACTTCAGCGACTAGGGAGGGATTGATTGATGGTGCTATCTGGGCATTTAAGCACCCACTTCAAGCCAAGAGGCTAAAGACTCCTTTAGAATTCGTTTCACTGGGAATCTGTGTCGTTAGTTAGAGAACAATGCCAAATGTTTCTTAGGAACCAGCGCGGCACAAGTCAAGTGGCACCGAGGAGACTCTGCCCGGTGAGGAGCCAACATTTGAACTCTTAAGACGCGGGCATGTTCCTTGCGGGCCTGTCATTACCAAGTCCATGGCATGGGCCCCAGTCGTGGGGCTGGTCGAGACACACCCGCATCTTCCCAAGCACTGGCTTTCGACTGCCAGCGACCTCCCAATCTCCACTTGGCCTCCCCGACGCGGCCCATGAGCACAACCCCCCCCCCCCAACTGCAAACCCCCGTCACCTCCCGTCCCGGGCGCGGGGCCTTCTTCCACGGTGCCCCAGACGCACATCCCATGAGATGGCCCAGGATAGGTCCCCGTGCCCCCGTGCGCCGCCACGGGGTCCTGCACTCTGGGCTCGACCCGGCCGGCGAACACGGCGGTTACGGCCCGGAGGCGATGATGGAGCTCGATGCCGGCCTGGCGCCCCGGCCTTGGGAGGGGGCCGCGGTGGTGACTGCCAGGCCCGTGCGAGACGACAGGATCAACCCCCCGGCCCGGACCACCATGGCGAGGGTCTTCCTGGTCTCGCCTTAGTTGCTGGCTTTGGGGGCGTGGCCTCGTTGTCCCTCGGGGCAAACACACACCCACCCCTTTCCCCCCATAGTGAACGCCGGACCGCCTCCTGGCTTGGAGCAGAGCTCGCGCAGACTTTCGAAACCTCCGTCAATTCGCCTTGGGTGGAGGGTTCAACCTTTTCTTTTTCGAACGGGATGGACTATGGGACGCTGCGGTGGATTGTCAGCGCAGCACCGGCGGCTTGGAGTGGCCGCACTATGCTGACAATGCCATCGCCCCTTTCAGAGCACTCGATCCCTTCACCTAAGCTGCGAGATCCAGGGGCGAGGTCTGGCGGCCGATAATTACCAGGACCAAGGCGAACCGGCTAGGGCAGTCGTCCAGATGCTCCGCCGTAATTATGTGGCCACGCAGAGGGTGGTGAAGATTGGCGTGAAGATTGGTCAAGTCTTCCCCTGCAAGCTCAGCTTCTCTGCACGTCGCAACTATGTGGCTCCATTTTACTCAAGTATGCCACGACGTTCGTCTTGAGTTTTAAAAGTCTGCTTGGTGGTTAAATAACATTAGGAAAGTCGGAGGATCGCGAATGAGCACGTGTTGTGCCAAGGTGTGTTGAGAAAGGGGTGCTATCGGTCGATGCTGCAGCACTGATTGTGGCCGGCGCGACGAAAATGGATTCCTCTACCCAGCCCCCTGGGTCAGGTGGTTGTATCCTGACCGGGTGGGTTTCCGTGATCCTCTGCTCTGGACCCACGGAAATGCGACCAATTTTCCCACTAACCACAGTGAAATGCCCAGAGTCGATTGTGGGGAGATGAAGCTTATCCGGGACTAATATCTGGGGAAGCGGGTCTTGGAAAGCGGGCTTCTTAGACACCCTTTTCCGGGCACATGAGCCGGGGCTCGACCGCGAGCACCACTTCCAGGCGTAAACAGCTGTGAGGCCCCCGTCGGCTCAGTTGCGCCCGAATCGTGGAGCTCCCAGTGGGAGTGCCCGGCTGGGTGGAGTGGTGCCAAGGATTGCAAACGTCTATATATACGAAGCCGAATGTTTAGATAAATACCCAATTCAATGATCAGACGAACAAGTGGCGTCCGCGTCTTATCAGTATCGTTGCCTCTGCGCAGCTGCTAACATCAGCCATGATGAGTCTCTCGAAGGTTGTTGCGGCCCTATGCACGCTGTTTCCAGCAGCCGCGGTGGCAGCAGACTTCGCATACGCCACCGTGCCGCAGACGTTCCTTTTTAGCATCCGGTCCGCTCGCCCCTCAATAGCAGAGGCGTCGCCAGCGCGCAACCGGACCTGCATTGTGGAAAGCCACGGCGATGGGGAAACTGACGACTCCGAGTTCGTCAAGGCCGCAATCGACAGCTGCAATCCCGACGGCCACGTCATTTTCCCCGGCACGCAGTCGTATTTCATCGGCAACCCGTTGGACTTGACGCACCTAGAGCGTGTAGACCTAGACATCCAGGCATTTATCAAGTTTAGCGACAACATGACCTACTGGAGAGACGGGCACACCTATGACATGGACTATCAGAACAGCACAACGTTTTTTAAAATCGGCGGCACGGACGTGAATGTGTACGGAGGCGGCGTCATCGATGGGAATGGCCAGAAGTGGTGGGATTGGTATCCTGAACACAAGAAGGACCGGCGGCCTGTGCTCCTCATGACGGATGACATGCACGGCGGCACGATTTCGGACATCAGCTTGAACAATTCGCCGATGTGGACAAACTTCGTCGCCAACTCGACCGATGTGACCTTTACGAACATCTCCATCTGGGCGGTGAGCAATAACGAGTTTTTCGAGAAGAACACCGACGGGTGGGACATCTATCGATCCGATCGAATCACCATTCAAAACTCGAGTGTCACAAATGGGGATGGTATGTACTGTTCTGGATCGTGCCCTTTGAGATGAGCGTACTGACTCCATGACAAAAGACTGTGTGTCCTTCAAACCGAATTCAACCAACATACTGGTCCAAAATATGCGCTGCAACGGCACCCACGGGATCTCCATCGGCAGCCTGGGCCAGTACCCGGAGAGGCTCGACTACGTGCAGAACATCACCGTCATCAACGCGGCCATGTACAACTCGTCAGAAGGCGCGCGCATCAAGGTCTGGCCAGACGCATACTCCGAGAAGAGCGGCACCCTCTCCGGCGGCGGGGGCGGGGGCCTCGTCCAGAACGTGACGTACGACACGATGTGGCTAGACAATGTGGACTACGGCCTCACGATCACGCAATGCTACGGCCAGGACGACGAGGAGGAGTGCTTCAAGCACCCTGTAAGCAAAGCAAGCCGCACATTGAACATCCCCAGTGCTGACCGGCGCCGCAGTCCAAGCTCAAGATCACCGACGTCACCTTCCGCAACGTCCGCGGAAGATCGAACCGCGTCTTTTCGCCCATCGTGGGGCATCTTGTTTGCTCGAGCCCCGACACTTGTTCGAATATTGTGGCCGAGAACATTGACATCCGGACCATCAACGGGAGCAACTTGGTCACTTGCAGAAATTTGGACAGGTCGTTGCTGGACCTGAACTGTAGTGACTGGAGCAAGGGTTACAATCCAGCCTGATGACAAAAGCACATGAGGTTGCACCGGATGAAATAATTAGCGTAATATCAGTGATCTAGACAGATACATACAATACACTTGTGTCCATTGTATCTGAGCAGTGCATTCTCTCACACTGAAGGTGGTAACATGTAACTAAGTGAATTCTATCATATTATAACTATCGTTATCGACATCGCATTCTTTCCAAGCGCTGGGTCAGTGCTTACCACCGTATGAAGGCGCCATGTATGTCCTCAGACGCATACGGAATAGAAGCGAAACCACATAATACGATAGGTGCTTGTGGCCTCAGCCTTGCGACGCACAGACAAGGCTAAGGGGCACCGTCTTGACGACGGCGTTGACGCCGCTAAAGGAGTCATACGGCGAGGTCGATGTAATCCGTAAGAAAACGAAGCCAGGATTTCAACCACGGGCTTTCCAATTAAATTGCCCAATCGGACTTCTTAATCGGGATCATTAAGTCGATCTAGATTAAGACCAGGCCCTAGCCAGCACTAAGGAGATTGCATAAACTTAATCGTGGCGGAACATAGTCGTAATCGTGTTCGGCTTAGCACCTAGGTAAGTGATCGTCATTTAATAGGATCAATATGACATCAATGTCAAAACAGCGAGGGGCGCCTGGGAACTAATATCAGCGCGGATCTGCTCATTAGGTCGTATGAAGATGTGCTTCAACTCCTGATTTGATTGTCACTGTCATGATACGGTGCAGCACTTCAGTTTAATGGAAAATGGCGGACGCCCACAAAGGCAACGTTAAGTTGGTTGGCGCTCAGGAAACGTTGCTGCTGACACTGCTGGCTCGAGCTGTAGATACCAAGGCAGCGCACCCCATATTGAATGACATCCACGCCGCATCGGTCGTCAAACAAGTCAAAGACAGCGGGTACGAGTTCAGCAGGCGTGTCGGATTGGGACCTCTAAAGCGGGCAGTCTCGGCCTTCATTGCTCTTCGGGCACGCATACTAGACCTGAAGACAGAAGCCTTCCTGGCCGCTCACCCTGGTAGTGCCACCGTGCTGCACTTGGCATGTGGCCTTGACTCGAGGAGCCTGCGGGTGAGGTGGCAGGGCAAAGAGAGGCTGTGGATCGATGTCGACAAACAGGATGTCATTGAGCTGCGCAGGCAGGTCATGAGCGACCCAGTCGCAGAGTCCGGGGCGGTGTACAGGCTGGTCGACCCGAGCATTACGGAGCAAGGATGGCTTGAAAATTGCGAAGTGCCCACGGACCGGCCGGTTGTGGTCATCATGGAGGGCTTGACCATGTACCTCACCTCTGAAGAGGTCTACGGTCTTTTGCGGCAGATCACGTCGTATTTCTTAGATCAGAACGTGCACGGAGAGATCTATTTCGATGCTGCCGGCACGATGACGGTCAAGGCTGCGAACAGGCTTGGGGCCCTGAGGAAGTTGGGTACCTCGCTTAAATGGGCGCTGAGCGATCCCATGGAGCTTGAGAAGGATATTCCTGGGCTGAAATTCCAGAATGGGGCCGGGTTCTCCAGCATAATCAAGCACGATGCTTTCAAAGCTGGATTTATTGGTACCATGGCGCGCAACTTCGTATACGGGCTCACATTCTTCTGGTCTTCAACATGGGTCGCCGGAATCTATAGCTACGAATTCTGAGCTAGATTTTACCCCAAATTACTCAATTTTGCGCAAGATATCAGCCCAGTCTGTAATAAAGTACTTTGTGGATGTACGCCAAGGTAGTTTTGACCGCCGCTCTCCTGGAGAGCTCATCACCACACGCGCAGAACTGCGTAGATAACTATTAGGTTGAAATCGATTGCTACGACGACCATAGTATCCACTGCGACTGGTTTCAAAGTCGTAACCTATGAATTATCTACACCCATCTTCAATGTTGCACTCTATCCACGAGTCCATTTCTCAAACGCGAAATGCCTTGTACTCACAGTCCCCACGTCAGCCTCTCTCCACAGAGCCGACGGAGAACAATCTCTCTTTCCGATATGACCTGATCAAGGTCTGGACAATCCTCCTCGCACCTGATTCTCAAGACATCTTCATGGCATTCTGTGCCAACCAAAGGAGGCCTCGAATGCCCCACGGCAGGCCAACGGAAACGAAACAAGGCCGTCGATCTTGTTAATAGGCATGCACATGGTCTCAGTCGTGCGAGGCGTAAGTAATGCCAAAAGGACCCTGATAGCCAGTAAAGAGGAATAACATAACATTGCTGAAGCTAATCATATAATAAATGAATGTAAAACTATCAAGGACAAGTGCTTCATCATCTATGACCAATCTCCCTCAAACCTCACTGCCTCGCCCCTGTCAATCCGGCCATAGAGCTCGTGAAGTGACCAGGGCTTGTACCTGTAACCCGGAGGAATATTCGTGTTCTCAAATGGTGTGCCATCGACGAGACTCCTCAAAGCCTTGCCGTAGTTTTCATAGGCATATTTCTCAGCATTGTGAGCCCAGATCCAGCGCCCATATTCCGGCTGGGGCGTCGTTGGCCCGCCGCCCGCGTTCTTCCGAGACGCTGGCTTCAGGAAATTGGTTTGATTGATGAATCCCACAAGCTGACAGCATGACACTCGCTCGAATCTGTGATATTTGTCAATATATTTGTCACGACAATTGGCCGATACACGATCAATGGAATGAGACTTGCCGCAGTTTGTTGTGCGTCTTTGACCACAGGCCGTTTCTGAGGTTCCCACCAAGCTGCAGGCACGTCGCCACTGAAATCGCATCCTCGATGCCCTGAACCGCCCCGTTCCCCGAGGACGGCAGGAAGGTGTGTGCGCTGTCACCAACTTGGACAACGCGGCCGAGCGGAGAGGTCCAGTTCGGCTGAGGGTCTCGCCACATCAGTTGCCAGTCGATAATGGCATCTTGAGGGGCTGTCCTGATGAGTTTGAAGAGGTATTCGGGAACGTCCGGGTAGTGTTCCTTGAGAAAGGTGACCACGTACTCGGGCGAAACCTTGTTTGACCATGATTCCTGTGAGTTTCCGTCTATGTCCTTGATGCCTCTCATTAGTTCACGGCTTCTTGAAAATGGATTAAAGCACTCACAGCATGCATCACGTGCCATTCAATGACACCCTGACCCCGAAGCACCATGATCTGGAGATCATCTGCAGTCCATATCTGCAGCACAGCACCCCCATCCTCTCGGATCCGAAACATCCTATCCAGCTCTGGATCTGAGATGATATCGTCAACATGGTAGGCTGTCCGAAAGATTGAGTGCTTGCTTCCCATGGCTCGAATGTCATGCCCGTTGACCAGCTTGTGAGACTTGGTGCCAAGTCCATCTGCGGCGATCACGACATCCCCTTCGATCTTGGATCCATCGTCTAGAACAACGCCTGCTTTGGTCTCATCCTCGAAGTAGTCCACAGCATTTTTGCCGTAGGCGACTTCAATACCAAGGGCCAACACCTGGCCAAGCAGTGCTGCAGTGAACTTCGGGCGTGACACGCGATATATTCGGTCAGGCGCAGGTTCGCCGTCTTCATTCAGGGCCTCTTCCCCGTCCTTTTTCAATCTGAAAGGCTCTGGTCCTGCCACCTTCTCCCCGGTTACTTTGTGAAATGAGAACCAAGGATCAGCAGCTGTCTTGAGAGCGGCATCGTACACTGCAGGCCAGGTCTTCTCCACGTGTTGCTGGGCTGAAGGTCCGAGCATGAAAGAGTCACCTGAGTCTCAACGTGTTAAATAAATAATCCTCGCTACATCAGGACCATGGCTAACTCATACTTACCAGCGGGATTGGGTGCTGGAGCGCGGTCAATGACGCGGGGTTGATGGCCTTTGCGCCAACATTCGAGCGCGGCATACATGCCAGAGGGACCAGCTCCAACAACCAGCACCGAGACTCCTGTTAGAGGGTGGCGAGAAACTTTCGAGGTGTCCTGACACTTTAGTGATTCGGTGATGTTTTGGAAGAAGTCCATTATTGGAAATCTACGTTGAGACTGGAGGTAATGGTATGATGAGCAATTCGTGAGGCCTGAAATGTGATGTGGGACCTGTTTGTTGAGTGTAATTAGTTGTATGCTTGTTGACTTTCAGTCACATCTACTTGTATATATATTACTTTGTATTCGGCGTCGGATAACCCATCTCCTTCCGAGAGCCGTCAGCTGAGACATGTGGCCCACACGTCGCTTATTCCTTCAGTTACGCAGAGGCGCACCGCCCCATTCCTTTAGTTGCCGAAATGCAAAGCGCGGAGTAATCCATATGCTGCCTTTGTCCTGCAGCACTTATTACACTGTTGAGATTTACGCCATCATTTGTGAGACATGCATTTCACAACAGAATCGAGTGGAGGCCGTCTAAAATAATCGCAGGGTTTTACAATGTTACGTTCCATAATAATATCTATCTGAGATGGCCACAATCTTGTAATCAGTAACGTTCCGAGCCGTGTTCGACACTCTCTTCGATCAACCTAACTCACGCAGTGCGCCGACTCGTGTTCAGCTTATGAACTAATTCCGTACCATACTCGAGTAGACTTAATAGAAAGTTATAATAACTGCTTATTTACCACCAATATAACTTCTTTACAGATATAACTTGTTACATTCGTGGAATGGCTTTGGAAGGCTCACGGATTAGACTTAGAGCAAACTCTGTGTCCTTACCTAGGTAGCCCTGGAGCCCCGTGGCTTTGCCGCGCTCGTTTCAACGATTAGTCACGTCAACCGTGGAAGTTACTCGTAGACCACGTTATAAAAACCGTCATATAATTCAATCCAATAATATATTTTGAGTGGTTTAGTTTCTAATCTCCAAATATGTGAAACGTTTGTGGCGCCTTCATACAATGGTAAACGCTCAACTGGAAGACCCCGCCGGTTAAAAAAACACACTGCCAATAACAGTTCACAGAGAACACAATATGTGGGCACGTGGCCTCAATCTCATGCCGCACGTTGATCCTCTGATTTCTCCAAATTCCATCGAACTGCCAACACAACCTTTCTGGTTAAGTTTGTCCAGAATGTGAGCCAATTTAGTGGCAGAATCCCGAGGTCTGCGGTGCTAGCTGCCGCAGTATGAAGGACAATGTGGATCTCGACTCCAACGCCAGCCGACTAAGTAAAACACCTTTTGACCTTGTAACACGATAATGACTGCCTGCAAGAAGAGTCAAGACCTATTCTTCAAGCTTGTGCGTTAGATGAATCTGGCTGGCAATCATTATCCACAAGTAGACTAACGCCACTCGCATCTCATTACCTTAGCGAGACATTGTGCACATACTAGTTCCTGGGAGGGATTGAGTTAGGCTTTGGGCTAATCACCTTAATATGGAATCCAAAGATGGCCTCCTGAGAATTCCACCCGCCCAAGTCAGCCCGTTTGAGGTTGATGTGTTCGTCTGATTGAGCCGCACGCCAATGCTGTCTCGGTGGTGGGAGCGTTCCCTCACCCTGAGACGCGCCATCTTCCGAAAAGCGCCAGTAGCTTGACTACCCGTTTTGGTCACAGACCTCCTCCGCCCTGTCTGACACATATTGACATCAATTACCTCACGGAGATTTGGGACCGCAGGATACCAATGCAACTCCCCCTCACCCCCTCTCCACTGATGGACCCGCCCCAAACGGTTTCCGCGCCGGCCCAAGAACGTTCCAGACCCTGTGGTTCCCGACCCTTGGGGAACACCCGGCATCGCCGGCGGTTCCCGTCGGATGGTTAATGCGGGGCCGGACGGGTCCTACTCGCCGTTGGTGTTTTTGCTTGATGATTTGTTTCTGCGGGGGATCATGGTACACAATGGCGACCAGTAGTTCTGTAGCATTTTGTGGGACACCTGCGTCTCCGTCGTCGACTATGTGCGCGGACCGCATGGCTGCGATGAGATCTTACCACCTGATCCCCGCCTCGAACCCTCTGGTGACCGGAACTTTAGAGACAGCATGGGTGAGCAGGGAGCAAGGCAGAAGAGCCTGGTTGTAACTTTTGCGTGCAGACAATGACAAATCGCACACACCACGTGAAATTTGATGGAAGGGGGGGGGGGCGAGTATATTGGATGTTGCAGGCATTTCCCCGCCAGAGTCCGCAGTGCCGAGGCGTCGGGTTTGATGAGGTGCGTGGGCAGCAACGAGTACGAGAAGATGATAGGGGATGATGCGCACGAACGCACAGGATCTCAAGTGTTCTTCGAAGGGCACTTTCCGGAACTCTTGTGGCAGGAGACTAGATTCATACGAAAGGACCCTTAATAGCGATCAGACGCTGATGGCAAGTCGATGCAACGTCTATTAGGTTTCCAGTCGCGGTTTGGATGAACTACTCGAGAATACCATCCCACTACTTCAAGTCCCCACCTGCTGACTTAACCGGTCTTCGTGATAGAGCGTTGAACGGGTTTTACCAGATCTTGGGGAAATGATATTGCGAAATGGGTAATGGCATGACAGGTAGTAGATGCGAGTCACGCGTCAGGATGGTCTCAAGTAGAGCAGTTGAGCAACAACTTTGAAATCTGAATTCTCTAAATCGCCAAAAGTCTAACCACCCGAAGGTCCCCGCCTGGAGGCGCCCAGGTATGCAGAAGAGAATGCCGGTGCTGGAAAGATGAAGCAGATGAGGCAAGTATATCGCAAGATACAAGAAGAATGTGGAGTGAAGGTGGCGGGGGTCTGCCCTAGGGTACCAATAAACAGAGACTGAAGCCAAGAAGGAAAATGAACAGATCCCGAGGTTCATACACGTGGTACCCTCCCGGAACTCCAGGTCCATGCGAGCTCTTAGAACGACAAAGGAAATCACACGCTGCATCCCATCCATCATCTAATGTTACAACAACTCCAATCGAGGTAGCACATGGCTTTTGTGTGTCCCTGCTATGCACATATCTCCGTCGCAGGAAATAGAAGAAGAGAAAATCCGACCCAGCCAGCCCTTGAGGGCCTTGTGCTCTTTGGCACAAAAAGCTCTATTGTACCATCTCAAAAGCCGTCTGGCGTCACCTGAGAGAATAACAGAGGAGTGCCTTATTTCCTGTGGGGCGTCATCTTCAGGGAGTCCGAGCTCCGCGAGGACGAAGTTGACGAGCTGGAGGCCGCGGAAGAGCGCCGGGCGATGGGGGCCGGGGTGGGAGCCCGCTTGCGGATGGATTCGGATCTCTTCCGGGAGGCGGACCCGGGGTGTGCGTGGGCCGCGTTCTCTGGGTGGAATCGGGTGGGGGTCTCGAAGTGGACAGGCATGTTGGTGTTGTCTTGTTTTCTTGCTCGATTGAGGGGAAGAGACACGCTGCTGTGCTGTACAGAGTACTGCGTTGTTTGTATTGTTTGTGTGCGGAAAGATGAGGTGTAATGTGTTGTGTGTGAGGAGCAAGACCAGCGTTGAACCCTGCAACGGTAGAGACGAAGTAGAATGCACTGGCGAGGAAGAATTCCCAAAAGGCGCCTGAGGCTTGAATGTTTTTGTGATTGTTTTTGATGCTGAGCAACCGAAAAGGGCGTTGGACGTTGGGAGAAGCCGAGGAGTTATATGCTCACTCCCATCCGACGTGTGTCAATGGGCAGCAGGTGATGATTGCAATTTCCATATCACATCCCTTCATCTACCACTGGTAGACCCCATAATTTCCCATCAGACGAAGGTTCAAAATAGAGCATGGGCTGTAAGCATAGCATGGGCTGTAGCATGGGTTGCGTAACTGGGGGAACCCATCCCGAGAGGCTGATGTTTCGACGTTTCAGCGTCTCATACATATAGGGCTGGGGCAGGGATCTTCCCTTTGTCCGAACCCCTATTCCGATCTCTGCGTCTGCGAACTGACTCTTGCATCCTTTAGTGCCCTGATTTGGGTGCCCCAACTGCTAAATCGGGGCCGGCTCTGCTCAAAGCCACCACTTCCGAGGTAGATGATGTGCATGCGCAACGCCGTCGAGCAGGTTTGTTATCTTGTCCATCACTCGCCACCCCCCGCTTCCCTCGTGGGCACCTACCATCGTGACCTGTAAGGCTGAAGATCAGACGGTTACAGCCCCAAGTACGTCTGTCATGCCTCCTCCCTGAGTGCAGCACTCTTCCAACAAAAATGTTGGCAGTCGTATTGCGGGCTTACTCGCCGACCCGGGCGGTGTTGGTTGCAGTTGGGCGCCTGACCGCGTTCCCGCCGCCGGGCTTCCAGGAGATTGGGAACATCAAGCCATGGATGACAAGCTTAGGGGTCGCTGGGCGGGTTGGTAGCGTGCGAGGGATCCCGAGGGCACCGGCAATTGAGGCCACATGTGTGTTAGACGTCAGAATAGGTTCATCCCGGCTCTTCAAGGGGATGGCGTCGCTAGGCGGCACTTGTCATGCTCCGCCGGCATTGATTGGTCAATGCCGATGCACGGCTGCGAGGCTTGTCCCTGACTACCCAGTTACGTGCTTGAGTTGTGAGCATGTTCCTCTGGGGGCCCGTAGCGGTCGATCGCACTCCATGAATGTGCTTGGGACCCTGCGGAGAAGGGGAGGGGATCAGGGAAGACAAGTGCAGTCACAACTCAAACGGCGTGATGGGAATGCGCACGATCGTTCCGAGGTTGGAACATTCAGGGTCCTGTCAACATGATTGACCTTTGTCACGGACTGCATCTGCCTTGGCACACAGCAAGGACGGCCATGAAGCTTTCGGTTGACGAGTAACCCTACGTCACCCAAAGGCTTTTCGAGAAATGTCAGGAACGGAACTTCATAAGCGATCGGAGGATGAAAAGATCGGGCCATCATCCGGCTTCCAGCGTCCTGAGCGGCTGCATGGCGGATTGTCAAGGGACCAGAACTTCTCGCGCACGGACGGTTAATGTAGAAGACGCAAATGACAATCTCGCGGCGTTGAAGCAAACGTTCCGACCTCATAAGATGCAGATGGGTCATACCGCAGATCGAGATGTTCGTCAACACATACATGAAATCATGATTCAGTTCACGGCAGCAACACTCTAAATTACTTTCAAGTTAAAACATGAAGATTCGGCATGCTACATAGAATAGCAAGTACTATCTGACTGAGCTTGTTGTGATTTTGCCCATAAAGGCCATACAGGAGAAAAGATTAAGTGACACGTTTCCAGTAATGTGAGCCAATGACACTCCAGTATCCAGGAGACCAAGTAGGTTCATGGCATGATTCTCAGGCAGGATGTTTCTTTCTGGCTGGGCAATGCCGGTAAGACACACACTATGGCATACAGTGTGGCCTATTTGCTTATATTCTTTAGGACCTTAGCCTTCTACTTACAATCCCCTTGAATTTTCCCCGTTATATAGAAGGTGGCGCTGAATTAACTGTAATTGACGTAGTGAGGATAGATGCCTTGTCTCTGCTTTCATTCTCCTGACTTTCTCCATGCTTTTGTATCACGGTAAAGTCTGTTGCAAAAGTCCCAGCACAAATCGACGGCCCGGATTTAGACCGTCATGTATTCTGTTACAGCTTGTTCAGCTCCAAGATTGAAGCGCCTGGTATATGCATCTAAAATCAACTTATGTGCAGACAGACCAGTCAGTGGTCATTTCGACTCTGCTCCGCCCCCATCTGGAGCGATACCACCCGTGGACAGACCGTTTTGATCGTAGACCACCTTTACTCAGCCGGCTGAGCCCTCTTGATGAACGCATACTAACCCCACCCCAGTATCGGACTTCTTCAAACTCCATCGCGCGAAACCGATGTGCGCCAGAGGGACTGAACAAGAAACGAACGCCTTTATTTCCATTCCCAGCTTCAGATATAGACCAGATAGAAGAGATAGCATACGCTTGGCTTGAGTTTGAGAGGGATTGCCATCCTGCCTCGCACTCGGCGTCAGTGCCATCACACAGGTTGTGGGTTTCGTCCTCATACTCGGGTGGTTCTAGGTCGAGAACTTCGCTTTCTCAATAGATGCGGACTGGAGGGTGTTTAAATTTCTCCATTATTGCTCTGGCCGTCTTATACCTGGTTTCGCTTCTATTCCGCAGACGTCCGAGGACATACATGGCGCCTGCATATGGTGGTGGTAAGGCCGTGTTATAACGTGAGTTGATGACCACTTTCTATGTGAATAGTCTGTCCCGGAAGCTGTTGATCATGTGCCAATCTCTTGACTTTGCGCGTGATTCTCACCATTGTCCTCTTCTGCATGACTCCCTTCGGGGATGCTTATGGCGTACGACAAACCGGCGGCCACGACGAGAAACAACGAAGCAATCATGTACGGCAGCCCAGTCCAGAAGCCGCCAAGCTCAACTCCCCGTTTGAGTGCGGTAGCCAGGGCCGGACCGGCCACAAGGCCGCCTACACCTTGTGCGAAGGCGAAAGACGTGTTAAGGACGCCGACCTTGGAAGGCACCACGAGCTCTGTTGCGAGGCTGCGAACGGCTGCAAAGTAGCCCCACCCCAACGCGAAAAGGCAGACACCGATTATGAACAGGGCCGGATCCGCGGAGACGGCCATGACCGTGGTGCCGCTCGTCAAAAATGCTATGCTGGCCTGGACGAGGCGCAAGTCCTTGCGGGAGGGAGGCATGACTTGGCTGAGTATAGTTGATATCTTGGGCAGAATCACCAGCAGTAGCGCGAGGTTGATTATCCCTTTGATGGTGACTAGGAGACTCGCGCGAGCGATGGTCCAACCAAAGCGCTTGGAGGCGTATTGGATGACGAATTGTAAAGGAAGTCCGCCGATGCTGGCGAACAAGAACGACAAGATCGCACAAAGTGTGTTGCTGCTCAGTCCCCCGGGCTGGCATCGGGGGATAGCATCTTTCAACTTGCTTTTCCATGACCCATTTGAAGGACGCGGCACGTCTTGCATATGGTGGGCTTGACTTTCGGACAACTCGTTATAGGTTGGGGCGGAGAGGGTCTCGGTTACAGCAGTCGCCGCTGCCAGGGCAAAGAACTGACAGAACAATCCAAGGAGGGACGGTATCCAGGGCGACCAGTTCGACATGAGGATAGCACTAAGGGGTGTTGCGACAATCTCTCCAAGTAGTATCGCAGCTGATAAGCGAAAGAAGAGTGACGCCCTGCACCGACTCGTTGTCAGCTTTCTAAAGTTGTTCTGGGTGGCGATGAAGCAAAAGATAGCGGCACCCACCTTCCTTCCATGGGGGTAATGTCTGTGAGAATAGTAAAGACCATTGATGTGGCTATCTGCGGCCCTCCACCAACTAGTTGAAGCAATGGTGCGAGCCACAACGATCGCAAAGGTACAATGCCACCCGCACTCCACCAGAGGATGAGGCGTGTCAGAAATTCTTCCAGTATCATACCTGTCAAAGCCAGCAGGATGACCGGCTTCCGGCCAATCAGATCTGCCGCAACACCATATGGAAGAGCTAGGAGAATACCAGGTATCCCGTCGAAGGTGTCTTTCCATCCGTACAGTAATGCAAGTTCACCCTGGACCTCAGGTGACTTGCAGGGATGCGAGGGACCCGGACCGCTTGGTGATTGTATGGCACGGTGATCATACTGGTTACATATGATCGATTCGGAGATCGACAACTGCGGCGCATAGGCGAGTGAGTATCCAAAATCGGCCGCGACGACGGAGGAGCACAGAAGCAGCAGGACGCGAAGTCGGGCCAGGTTATCAAACAGTTTCGGTCTGCCTTCCTGCTCCGGGTCTGAGTCGGGTTTGGCACCACTGGCTGACGCGTCGCTCGCCTGCTGCTCCCCCAGGAGAGGAGTCCTCTCTTCATCTCCGGTAGATCTGAGTCTTTGATCAGACATTTTTTTTTTAGGTTAACCATGCAGCATAATCGAACATCTGCTTCTGCGAATTTGAAGAAAGTCCTTACGAAGACACTAAACAGAGTTGGTGGGTCTGTTGTCGGGGAGAAACGAAGCACTGGCAGAGCCCCCTCCTCCGAGCTGAATTCATATTCACGCACAGGCCACCAAAAATTGCCACCACCCAGGTCCAGTGATTTTCAGACTGCTGGTGGCTTATGGGGGTCCCGAGCGGCAAATGTCCAAAAATCCAAATTTTCACTTTACCCACCCCCTTACTAGCACCTACCCCCCACCCTATCTTAGCCTAAGCTATATTTATTATAGCTCTCTAAAAATTTTAATTTATTTATAATTAAACTTTTTAACTAATTTACCCTATAATATATATATTTTATTATTATTATATTATTTTAAGTATTATAATCTTAATAAGTATATAATTATTATAATATTTATTTAAAATCTTATTATTTTTAGTTTTTTTAATTAATTTATTTAAAAGTTTAAAATAATAAAGATAAATATAATATTATTAAGAATTTTATTATATAAATTATTAATAAACTTTATTAATATATATATAATAATATATATACTTTAATTAATAGATTTATAAATAATAATAATAATATTATAATTAATTATTATATTCTTTTATTATTTTTATTATTATATATTAATATTAATTATAAAAGTTATTTATTTATTTTAATATAAAAGTTTTACTTTAAATATAAAGATTATTTAACTATCTTTAAGTTTAATACTTTAATAGATTTATATAATAATAATATATTTTTATAATAATATATTTATTAATAAATATAATTATTATAATTATTTTAAGTTTATTAAACTTAATAAGGAATATATTTTATTTAAAAGAAGTTTAATTAATAAAATTTATATAAACTATTATTATAATAATTATAAAAGTATATATTTTATATTATTAATAAATATTATATAGTAATATATTAAAGTATATTTAATTAATAATAATAATATTTAAGTTTAAAAATAACTTAAAATATTATAAAAAAACCCTTTTAAGGGATTTAAGAAGAAGGACTTTAATAATATATATAATAGTAATTTTAAGGAATAGTTAGAGATTATTAAATAAAAGTTTATTAAATATAAGTCTAAAATACTATTTACTTTATATAAAAATATAACTTCTTTATATAAATATAAAATTTAAAAGTATATATAGAAAGTAAGGGTATTAGGAATAGTATAAAAAGAAAAGAGTTTTAAAAGTATTATAATAAATAATATATTAATATTTAATATTTAAAATATTTATAATACTTTTAAAATATAATTAAAATTAAATTAAAATTAAGTATTTAAGTTAAAAATTATTTTAATAAGTATATAATATATATAATAATAAAGGGTAATAAAATATAGAGTAACTATTAATTAAAGAAAATTAAATTTTATAATTTACTTTTAAAGTATTAATATTAAAGTTTAGATATATATATTTTAAAGTAAAATAGTATATTAAAATAGGAGAATATAGAATAAAGAATTAAATCTTTTATTTTATAGTAATATAATAGCTTTATATTTAACTTTTAGAATAATAGGCTAGCTTATATTACCTACTTATAATAAACTATACTTTTCTTTTAAAATTTATTAAAATAAATAATAAAATATTTAATTAAATTATTTAAACTTTATTATTTTTTAATGAATATTTATAATTTTAAATATTAATATAATTTTTAAATAAAATTTATTTATTAAAAATAAATTATTAAAATATATATATAACTTTAAAATTACTTTATTTAACTTTTATAAAAGTTTAATATATAAATAGATTTTAAAAAAGCTTTTAAAAAAATAAAAGATAAAAATTATTTAATAAAAGTTTTTAAAGAATAAAAAAACTTTATTATAAACTTTTATTAAAAATTCTATAAAACTTTTTTATTTTATACTTTATTATATTATATATAATTAATAATTATTTTATTTATTAAAAATAAAAATAAAGAATTTATAAATATTAATTTAAAATATTTATATTAAATAATAATTTTTATATTTATTTATTTATTTAAAATATTTTATTTAATATAAATAATAAATATAATAAAATATAAAATTTTATAAATAATTTTAAAATAATTATAAATTATTAAATTTTATTAAAAATAAGTTATTATTTATAAAAAAATTATAAATAAAAGTATTAAAATTTAATATATTATATTAAAATAATATATTTTAAAATATATAAAATTAATTATAATTATTTATATAATATTTTATTTTTAAAATTATAATTTATTATAAAATTAATATTTATATATTTAATATATTTTAAATATAAAATTTATAAAAATATATAGTTAATTAAAATATTTTAAATTTTTATATTTAAAATATAAACTTTTAAATTTTTAAAATCTTTTAAATTTCTTTATTTTTATTTATTAATATTTATTTATTTTTATTTTTAATAATTTTTTATTAATATATTATTTTATTTTATTTTTAATTTTTAATATTTATTATTTTTAATATTTAATATTTAATTAATATTTAAATATATTTTAAAATATATAAATTTAAAAATATAAATAAAAATTTAAAAGTTTTAAAAATAAAAATAAATATTAAAAATTATATTTTAAATTTTATAAATTTAAAATAAATATTTTATAAATCTTTTAATATTAATTTAAAATAAATATTAAATATATAAAAATATTAAATATATAAATATTAATTTTATATTAAAAATATAAATTTATTATTTATTTAATTTAAAATTTTAAAATTTTAAATATAATATTAATATTATTATATTTTATATATTAAATTTAAATATATAAAATAATATATTTTATATAATAAAAGTATATTTATATTTTTATATATATATAAAATTAAATTATTAAATATGAAGCTATATTAACTTTTTTTTTTTATTTTTATTAGAATATATATATTTAAACTTTAATAAAAATTTTTTATAATATTAACCTTTTATCTTTTATTAATCTATTTATTATAATAGATAATATTTATTTAAAGATATAAAAGTTATATAATTAGTTATAACTTAAATATTTAAATTAATTATATTATATTTATAATTATTAATAATCTTTTATTTTAATTAGTTTTATTATACTTTTATAATATAATTAGAGGATAATTTTTAAAAGTTCTTATTTTAATTTTTATTTATAAATTAAAAGGTTAATAATTATACTTAAATAATTATTTTTATTTTAAAAGTTATAAAATTAATTTTAATTAAGTATATTATATTATAATATAAATAAGAAATAATATAGTATAGTAAAATAATAAATTAAATAATAGTAAGATATTAATAAAAATAGGTTTTATTTATAAATTAGTTAGTATATTATTATTATTATTAGTTATTATATAAAGATATAATAATTTATTTTAATAATAAAGTAGAATAATTTTAAAGTTAAAATATATTAATTTATTTATTATATTATTATAATAAAAATAGTTAAATTAAAATAAATTTTTATTATAATATTTAAATATATTAGTATTTTAAAAATATAATTTATAAAGTTATTATATTATTAATAATATTATAATTAGAATAATATAATTATATATAATCTTTTTATTCTTTTATTATAATAATTATTAAAAGTATTTAAAATATAATTTTATAGTTATATTAAATAAAGTAAATAAAATAAATTCATATTTAATATTATTATAAAATTTTAAAATATATTAATAAAGTAGAGTTAAATAAAAGATTAATAATATAATTAAATTACCTTTAAAAGTTAAAAGGTTAAAAGTTAAAAAAGTTATAATTAAAATTAAGTAACCTATTAAAGTAAAAGTTAATATAAAAAAAAAGAAGTATAAAGTAATAACTTTAATATATTTATATAAAAAAGGATATAAATCTTTTAAAAATTTAAATATATTTATAAAATAACTATATTTAAAAATAAATATATATATTTAAATATAAATAGATCTTTATTATCTTTACTTTTAAGATATAGATAGTAGTATTATATAAAAGGAAAGTAAATTAAATTTTAAAAAGTAATATAAAAGAGATAAAGTTATACTTTTTTATATTTTAGTTTATTTATTTATAAATATTTAATTATTTAGTTTTTATATAATTATTTATTTAAAAATGTTTAATTATTTAATTTTTTTATTTATATAATTAAATAAATTTAATATATTATTTATTATATAATTAGTAATAATATTTATAATATTAATATTTATTTTTATATTATTACTTTAAATTTTAATTATTTTTATTAAATTATATTACTTTAAATTTTAGTTTTATTTATATTATTTTATATAATTTAAGTTTTATTAAAGATAAATATAATTATAAAGTAAAGAATAATATATATCTTTTAGCCTTTTAGTTTCTTAAAGTTTTTATAAATTTATTATAAAGATTTTAATATCTAAAATTAAATATATATTTAAATTTATATTATTAACTTTAATTATAAAAGAAGCTTTTAAAAGTAAATAGTTTATATTTAACTATATAATTAATTATATAAGGCTTAATAAGTATTTATAAAATATTATTAACTTATTTATATAAATATAACTTTAGTTATTTTATTAATAAATTAAATAAAAGTTTTATTTTATAATAAAGGATATAATTTTAAAATAAATTTAAAGTATAAAAGTATAGAAGAGTAATTCTATTTATAATATTATAATAACTTTAAAACCTTTAATATAAAGTTTAATAAAGTAGTTTTAATATAATTATTAGTATTTTTATATATAATATATAATTTTAAGTTTAAATATTTATATTTTAATATAAAAATATATATATAAATTATATTTATATATTAAAATTAAGTTTAATTTTTATTTAATTATATTTATTATAATTTAATTTATTAGTTTTTAATATTAATATTAAATTTATAGATTTTATTAAATATTAATAGTATTAAAGGGTTTTAATATAGTAGTTATTATTAATATAATTAATATTTATTTTAAAATATTTTATATAGTTTTTAATTTTTATCTTTATTTAAATCTTTATTCTTTATTATAATACTTTTAATTTATTTTAAATAATTCTATATTTT